ATTTTTGTCCCGGTAACGATCGGCGAGATCAGTATCTTGCGGGAAGAAAATCACACCGAGTCTCAACTATCCTGGCCAGTCTTGGGGAGCGATAACCACGAGGATTGATATCTATCGCACGCAACAAGCCACTTCGCGCTATATCTATCTCTGAGGCCCCTAAACCTGGATCTTGGGTCTGCAAAAACTGTTCCAGCCGATCCCCGGCCCATATCTCTTGGACACTTTTATACGGGATGAATGCCTCTGCTGTGTCATTGTAGTATGTCGCTTGCCTGAGCTTCCTCTGAATATCCTCTAAGCTCATTTGGCTGGCACTGGCCAAAGCAAGGCGAGCTCAGAGGTGGAAAAGTAGCGCAGAAGTAATCTCTGTTGTGAGCATACCCTGGATGTCTCGATTTGTGCTTGTTGGAGGAAGAGCGTGCGATAAGGAGGTTGGTGTAGCTAGAACCACAGAAATGTCAGCAAGAGACTGCCAGACATTAACGAGTTCGAGCGTACTCGGCCTCAGTCTCTATTGGTGCCTATTATAAGCTCAATAGAATACCTAGGTAGTATTATGCTAGAAATAAGCACTCGATGTTTGAGCTGTGGTGAGATCGAAGAGCCAGAGGGATAGTCCCGGGGATTACTCGGACTGCGGTGTAAGCCGGGGTAGGTATACACCTGGGCAGTTCTACCTCAGCACCTAGGCAGAACTCTAGGGTAATTTCAGGTGATATGGGTGAGAATCCTCGATACTGGAGTGATAGGGGCTAACTCACTCTTGAGTCTATGCCCGTCCTAAGAAAAAATACATGAATATAACCCCCGAGAACCCTTCTTTGGCTCTGCTATAATTTGCTTTGAATTTGTTCACTAATTAAACTATAATCTCCGAAAAGAATCTCTAGGAAACGCTAATCATATATGCTGCTAGTGTTTTTGTTCGTATCGTAGTTTTCTTTCATTGTGATTATTTATAGTAGTGTGACGACAAATACCTGTCTCATTCTCACACATAGTTATCCTTGAGAGGGGCTGCGATGGGTGGAAATTAAGTACAAGAAAACAACGAGGCACACCCCTAACTCTACCATATTACAGAGTGTAAGCGACATAATTACTGACATAGTTCCGCCGTCAGGGTGACTGGCTGGGGGCAGCCATAGACCTTCTTGTGAGCTGGGGTACTGTAGCAGGCCGCATCATTAGCCGCACAGTCAAAGACCTCACAGCCGTCCCCGGGACTGAGCGAGTTGGGATTCGCTGCGAAGGGGTTGCCCCATTCTGTACTCAGCTCATCTTGAAGAAAGATAGGATTAATAAAAGATTCATAGCCGGCAGATAGATTGGATGCACTCACAGTACGCATAGTCCGGGTTGGACGAGAACGAATAGCCAAAGAAGAGAGGCTTATCCAGCGTCTTTGTCTTGGCGATCTTGACGGTCTGTATATTTGATCTCCAGTCAGTTCTCTTGCGATGTGGAGTATTACGCAGACTGAATAGGACGGAGTAACGTACCGAGCCAGATGCTCTAAATTTCTCGGAGAAGGTTCCCCCCTCGGCAACGGTGGTGAGAGGGCCGGGAGCGCTACCATCGTAAGGAAATGACTGCACATACACGGAGGTGGCACAGTGGTTATGCACGACGGCATTCTGGGCCGAGACCAGGCCAAGAAGGACACAGAATGTGATCAGGGAGGTCTTCATAGTTGGTATTTCGCTTTTTTGTTTTGCAATAGAAGCTTATACTATCTGTTTTCTTCCCGACAATGGAAGGAATTGGGGGTCTTCATATAGGTCTGCTGCTCGGACCACAGGTGGTACCCATAATGTATTGATGGAGCATATACAGGAGGCCTTAGATCTAAGACATGGCCCCCATTCCATGTCTTGGATTGTCAGGCCAGCGCCCGGAGGTCCACCCCACAGCCAATCAAGACGAGTGGCAGGTAAGACATGCGCATCACCGACACTGCATGTACTCCGCATCAAAGGCATCGCAACGGGTAGCGTTACATCCACCTCACAACCCCGCCAATTTCTCAGCACTGGTTGGAGCTTTTGTCGATTGCTTCTCCATGTGGAGCAAAGAATAATTTCAGCGATGTGGAAAACCTGCCTGAATCAAGAAATTCCTTGGCTTAGGATCGATAATTCAACCGGTTTTTCCACTCGTCACGGTACCGTCAAAGTCATCTATGCGTACCCCGCTTGAACATGATGGAAGATGATGTCACGAGATCCCCTCGTATTTGAGCATATAGACAAGGTGATACGGAGTAGATTCTTCCTTCTTGGGCCAACATGCCCTTGGTCGGCTGATCCATACCAAGAATCACATACCAGCCATGCAGTCAGACGCCTGGTTCGAGCTCGTATAGTATCCATCTTGACAAACTCGAAAGGAACCGACCAGGGATTTTAGTAGATGAGAAGGCGGATTTAAACAACCGACCGTACAAGGCAAACAATGCAGCTATGGAACTAGTCCCACGCTAATGCACCGCTCTAGTATAAGGTTTGAAGAAAGGGGTGCTATTCTACTGGCTATAAATTGGTATATATGCTACTTGAGAGAGGATTCAGAGTATCTACAAATGAAGGTGTAGATATGACTGGAAATTCTCTGAATACATGGAGAAGAGAGAGACTATCTACAGGCATTAACTAGACTAAGAACTAGTGTGGTCCCTAACGGAAGTTAGGGCCTAATATATACCGCTGCAGTGACAAACACACGTTCTGTTTGTCCCTATGATCTTTTGGCCTAGCGGCAAATGCTCTTATGTAATCCCTTAGGAGTTGCGGGGTTTTGATACGCGCACCATCGATTTTACTACCCGCACAATTTTACATAAGCAAATCCTTAGATAATCAAGAAATCACGGGTATAATCGGATAAAAAAGTCATGTGATTATCAACCTCATCTATCAATTTACTGGGCTGATTGTAAGAGAGATAGCAGATAAAAATTGTTTATATAGTACGGAGTACTATTTGACTATATATTCCGGAGTAAGTGATCATATTAATCCACAAACAGCATAATTTAGCCCTATAAACTAGCCCAATCGGGTAGTGTACAGGTTCTTTTACTCCCTCAATAGGCCTAAGGTTCCTTTTAAGTATCAATTACCTGATCTTATCAGATCAAATCGGTCGATTTTATTGGATAAAACCACTCTATTCTGGTTTATTAAGCCTGTTCCAGCACAATTGCACCTAATTCTACCACCAAGTATACCCTAGCAGTAGAAACGGGTAGAAAACTACCCAATTGGGAAGGTAAGCAGTCCAAAGAGGAAGCAGAAAGCGCTAAGCAGGTGTTCCGGGTGTGAAGAGACTGGATATACGTTTAGGAGATACCCGATGCGGAAGTTTTGATGTTATTTGTGTTGCTTAATGCGGAAATAATTGTTGTTTGCTATTATATATGTATCAGATTGATAGATAAGGTTGATAATTATATGATTTTTCATCCGATTATACCCGTAATCTTTTGATTATCTAAGAATTTGCTTATGTAAAATGGTGCGGGTAACTAGTAAAATCGATGGTGCGCGTATCAAAACCCGGAGTTGCGGCCTAAGCGGTGCTTAGAATTACACTAGGAGCAAACGGAAGTCATGTGACTTCCAACTCTACTGTATCGAATTTGAACGCGGTTGGAAAGTTAGAGGAGCAGTATGGCTTTTTCAGGTGAGGCACAGTTTGATAGATGGAAGACAGCTGATTACGCCGGATGCCATTGGGTTGATAAACTGGAACGTTAGCTGCGAGAATGTTAGTCGGTCGATGTATATTAGGGATGACTTTTTGCGCTCTGGGCTACCAAGGAAGAGGGTATATACGAGCCTAGAGTGTCACTTTGGTAGAGTGGTCACACATTTGTTTAGAAGAAAGTCAGGGCAGAGCAGACAGTTGATTAGGAGTGTGGAGCACGGAGAGAGTTTGGACGCCATGGGTGAGGATTGGATAAAGGGGGGTATGTTGGTGGGACAATTTTCGGCGCAGATGCATACATGTAGTGAGTAGTGGCAGTTATCGTGTAAAGAATAGCTGAAGTTATAAGATGGTCAATAAAGGAGCCTTTCTTTTGATGTCTTTTTCCATTATTCATTTCATATAAATCGAATTCTCATTCGAAAACACGCTTAACAAATTCGTTTATAATAAGGCTGAGACTAGGTACCCAAAATGCAGCCTTGTAATAAAATTCCCTCGTTGTCTAGTAGATAAACCAGAGCAAGTGTAAAAAATAGTCCCGATGTCATTTATTTTAATGATTCATCAGGTTTTGGAGAAGCCTACCCTTGTCATCCCCTGGCGTGCCACGCTATAGGAGCGCTCACCCTTTCTCTTACTATAATTACAATCTATATTATTTCCCCCCTGAGACAAACACATACGACCATAGGGTGTGGAAAACAGGGCTTCCCGTCCGCTCAGCCGTACTTAAGCCACACGCCGGTGAGTTAGTAGTTGGGTGGGTGACCACCAGCGAATCCTCACTGTTGTATGTTTTTGTTTTTTTTTATTGCTTCGAAGTTATACAAAAACCCCTTGGTTGTCTGTCCGTTATGAACTCCGTATGTTGCTGTGATTTAAGTCTCCCAAGAAGCCCGAGTCTGTCGGATAAAAGATGGTATATAGTCAGCCACCTTATCAGGCCATCCACCCAATGCTTGTCTCCTTTATATCTTCTATGAGTTCTAAGTTTATTTATCAAAACAGAAAATGAATTCCGATTTTGTACACCGAATCTTTCATTTATACGTCAACGAAAGCCAGTTGAGTGTTTTGAAATAACGGACTATATAGGGGAGCCTCATGTTTCCATGTCAGGAATCGTTATATCAAAGAGATTGGTAAAATCTAAGCCAGCGAGGATGTGCCTATCTATGCCAACCTCGGTGATTGTGCTAGGGTAGCAAAGTGAAGTTGACGAAAAAGAAAAGCTTTCGCTATGTGTTAATGTTTCTTCCCCAGTGGGTTCTGGTCCTACTCTTAGGTCAGTCATCGAATGCTATGTCAGAAAATAAAGAATATGTTTCACTTAAGGTCGAGGTAGTGCCCTCTTCATGTATAGTCAGCGATGGCGGGCCATGAGGGGTCAACGGTGAGGAGACAGCCTGCCTGGTATCGAGCCCTGTGCTATTCACTAGAGGGGTGAGGACAAACGCATTTTGGCCCTGTTGCTTTCGAACAAATTCATAGGCAATATGGGCAAAGCCAGCTAGAAGTGAGGTGGGAAATGATGCACTAGTTGCAAACTCCAGAGGACTGAAATATCCCGCAGCCAGATCTAGAAGAGCCAAATTGAAATCTGTTTCAGGATGGACTGGGTTATAGACAACGAAGTCAAAAAGAACAAACATAGCTGATAAGGGTACTACGCTTAACATCCTACTAATAGTTAGATTTGAATTCATGAACACCGGGATTGGTATCGTACCAGATAGGGGTGAACGGTTGTGTGTCGGTATTTCTTGTCAGCTGGATCACGGTCCGAGCTGAGACCATGAGTCTTTTTTTTTTTCGTAACGTCCATCTGGGGAGAGGTTTCATCGTTGACATGCAAGGTCAACCGACAAATGGAAATACAAAGAGTAAAGTAGACATAGTGTAGACGGAGGGTCATGAAAGAGATGCTTGGGCGATGAATTGTCGGTTTGCACGACTCGCCTGGCCGGAAGACCGCTGGTATTGATAATCTCCAGCGTTCTAGATCGTGATCAATGATTCCGATAGCCGTGTTGTACTTATCAGCCGAGCGCATTGTGGCACTGGTAGAGAACAACATTTGGTAAGCCTTTGACAGTAGCCGACTGCACTGCGTGAACCTGAGAAAGAAATTAAGCTCCCCAAAAATCGCGTCTGGAGTTTCTGGAATTGGGGATCCGATGTCAAAGTCGGCCAGTACCTATAGATGTGAGCAAATATTCTATCAGGGGTGGCTGGAGTAGTTTACTCACTGGACTTCTCCCACTAAAGAAGCATACCATTTTCTCAAGTGAGTAGGTGACCCAGAAGGTTCTGTAGCATGTTGCTTCTTTTCCATCGGCATTCACCGTACGATGATATCCGAGACACTGGGCCATCCTAGCAGCTTCCGAATTTAATGTCTTCTCATTTGCACACAAGACAAGTTCAAGGTATATAGGGCCGATTGATCAATTGTTAAACTTGAAGATAGCCTTTGATTGAAAGACTCAAACTCACAATAGCGGTAATGGCCTAAGTATAGTATGTTAGAATATCATCAATATACTCTTTGTGGGTATAAACACCTGTAAATTGGTTATCCTCTCTGTCGGAACTAATATCTCTGGGAGCAGCCCTAATACCACCTGGTCGAACTTCCACGTCCGTCCTTTGCCAGGATTAAAAGAACCTTCCCCAGTATATTGACATCCGAGGGCGAGGACAGTGTGATATAGTGCCGAAAATGCAAGGTTCACCGTGAGGTATCCAGGTAAGGTTGGCGCAAGCGCAATTTTCTCAAATTCTATCCGATCCAAAAGTGGATACAATCGATGAACGTGATCGAAATAAGCTAGCGAGAAGTTAGGGGGACATAGAAAGGTAAGAAAAAAAGTATAAATGAAGTCATGCCATTTATGAAGGTGAAAGAGTCATTTTGAGAAATTTCAATGGGCACAGACGGGGCCCTAAATCTGACAAGTGGGTTGATCGGCCTGCTGGGTCTGTTCAGCCTAGAATCAATAACGCGGGTTATCGTTTCAATCAGCTCTCGTAATTTTGTATGACCAAGACGCTCTGATATTAGACGAACTCTGCTCTCTGAAAAGAAAGCTAGGTTAAAGCTTGTTACTTGGATAGATTATCAGCATCATATCGGATTTCAGCAGATGAATGCTACATACAATAACGATCATGGGCCTGTAATAAGGTCAGTACTTTCAATGAAAGTGATAGATCTAATAGTTGAGATTCCTCCCACCTTGAATATACAACTATCATTTGTACTGATTCCACTGGCTTGTGGATCGTCCAGAAGATGATCGATATAGCAATCAGATAGATATTGCCCCTTAGATGACTGTTCACCAGTGCTTGACTTCACCGTCGAAGTTGGAGATTCTAGTGCAAGCAAAGGATGTGTTAACACTCAAGCCTCATTTTGCGAGTATCTCTATTCAAGAAACCAAGAGGTGGTCACATACCCCGGTTAGGCGATTTAGCCCCACTCGTTTGCTTCAGTCGGCGCTTGGTATAGCCGAAATGGCAGATTGTACCTCGTTTCTGTAATCAATATATTAAGTTTAGGAAGTCTGGTATGTCAAAATGGTGTCTTACCAAACAATTCTCATAAATAGGAGAAGCAAACTGCACTATATTATTGAATTAATGGTAAATATTAGTTGGGCGAAAGGGTCCGGGAGATACATACCTAGGTAATGCAATTTGCGGGCTTTACATTGGTCACAGCTTCTTGAGACTCTGGAAGAAAGATGAATGGTGTCATCCACCATGGTGCATTATATGCACGCCAAGATGCTGGTTTGAAATATCATTAGTATTACAGGAAAGAAAACCAAGGAATCTTGCGGTAGTCGGCTCCTGAGGTGCCGAGCAACTTATGACTAAACGCCATAATGGACTTCCAACCTTGGAAGGTCCCCCCCCCCCCCCCCCCGGGCAAGCTCCGAGTTCCGTTATTCCAGTCTCGGATGTCGGAACTTGACAAGTGTTAATTAGAAAACTAGTTGTCAGTGAACAGTGTTGTGGTGCTGAAATTCGGTTGTCGGGGGTCGGTTATCTTCAAAAAAAAAAGGTCTGTATGAATATTGCGCCCGAATATTCAAGCGCATTCACGTGGGGTAGATCCCTAAGAATGATTTACTCTTCAAGTATCGGGAGTTTCCCCTTCTGCCTAATACAATTTATCTGATTATCTGATTATTCCCATTATCAGTTCAACTGACATATTTTCTTGCTCCTTCAACGGTCACGCCGTACTATTCTTCGTGATATAAATGCATAGAACCATGACCTTCCCCGAGTCAGGAATCCTGGTGGAGGCTGAAGCATTCAATGACTTCGGCGGCTGGGTCCTAGACTCGCAATTTGAGACACAGATGGGCTCCCCCTACCTGTTGGCACATGGAAACGGTGTCCCGGTTGCAGACGCCACCACCGATATTTCCATCGAAGAAGACGGTGAGTATAACATCTGGGTTCGTGCCAAAGACTGGGTTCCGAGTTATCATCCCGGGCGATTCACTCTCACAGTGAACGCAAAGACCCTGAAGACCGAATTTGGCGCCAACGACCAGGATTGGAACTGGCAGCTCGGAGATAGGGTAGAGCTAGTCGCTGGTAAGACTCAGCTAAGGCTACACGACCTGACTGGGTTTTGCGGACGCTGCGACGCGATATTTCTGAGTCGAGATGATACAGCTCCGCCTGAAGCTGTCGACGAGGAAACGCGGGCGTGGCGGCGGAAATTCCTTGGACTGCCCGATGAGGCGGTCGACATTGGAGCCTTCGACCTCGTGGTTGTCGGAGGGGGAGTTACTGGGGCTGCTGCAACGTTGACAGCGGCCAGGCTAGGAGAACGCGTGGCTCTCATCCAGGACCGGCCCTTCCTAGGTGGCAACGCGAGCGTTGAAATTGGCCTCAGCCCCCGCGGTGTGACTGGGCCACTCATCGATGAACTATCTCAGCGTAAGCCTGATGGCGATTTGGTTGCTATACAGCTACTCAATGCCGATCCAAATGTGACCGTCTTTCTCGAACACACTGTCTATGGTACTGTCACCGTGGATTCTACCATTGTCTCTGTACTTGCACGTCATGCTAGAAGTGGTCGGGAGATCCGCATCTCGGCCCCAGTATTCATTGATTGCACGGGGAAGTGTATCCTCGGACTGCACTCGGGCGCAGAGACAATGTTCGGTCAAGAGTCGCAGGCAGAGTACGGGGAAAGCCTTGCTCCGACATCTCGCGACAATATGCACCATGGAAACACCACGTTCTTCCGTACCCGGATGGCTGACTCACCTGTCCCCTTCCCATCTGTTCCATGGGCTATTGAGGTATCAAAAGACTTCTCTGACCTCCGTGGACAGCTGAGAACTCCAGGTCGTGAAAATGGACCTGGTCCGGTTGTTGTACCTCCAGGACATGTCCCAGATCCAACGATCCGCCAGCGCATGAAGGGGCCCCTCACCCACTTTTGGGAGTATGGCCAATGGCTCGACCCTTACACCAAAGCTGAACATATCCGCGACCATCTGCTCCGTGCAATTTATGGCACATTCTCCAACGTCAAGACAATCGAGCCGCAGACATATGCTAACCTCGAGTTCGACTGGGTAGCATATGTGCCTGCACAAGGTGAATTTCAACGATACAAAGGTGACTATGTCCTCACGGAGACGGACATTCGCACGCACAAGAAATATCCAGATGCCGTGGTGAAGAATGGAGGAGCCTTCTGTCTACACTACCCAGGTGACGAGAAGTACGACTTCCGTCTTAAGTTCTGGGAATGGGATGAGCGGGATGGGAAAACCTACGACGTTCCATTCCGCACGCTTTACTCCGTGAATATTTCCAACTTGATGATGGCTGGAAAACACATGAGTGCTACGCACGTCGCCGGGTCCAACACTAAATTCATGGGTAACTGTGGACAGCACGCTATCGCGACTGCTGCTGCTGCACACCTGTGCCACAAGTACAACACAATACCACGGGGCATCTACGAGAAACACCTGGCGGAGCTTCGGGATATCACCGTATCTATTACCGGGCCAGATACGCCCGTTGCTCCGAGTCGGCTGTAATTTTATTACAAGCACTACGTGTATACTTGGTAGGCTAAGGCTGCTAAGAGATTTATATGTGTAGAGCCAGATGCCCAGCTCTTTGGAAATATCCAACCGCCTTTCATCGCTACATACATATATATCTTGGCCCTCCATCCGAAAATTAAAGAAATATTTGGAATCCGTCAGGACTAAATTTCCTGTTCAGTTCTCGGTTGTCGGTTCTCGGCACTCTCAGCACTTGGCAAACTATTTTTTACCACTGTGTCCGCTACCTCGGCGTTTCGCTCAGATGCTATTGCTGTGTACTTGCTCATAATCAGTAACAGGGCTAACCTTGGGCCCGAAAGTTGAGCTTTTAATTCACATGATAGTGTCAAATTGGTATTTATTCAATTTATAGAATTTAGTTAAGCTGATCTTCATCACTATTGCGCAGCAGTGTAGGCGCCAGCTGGCAAAACCCCATTTCTAGTAAATATTGATGCCTTGATGCCTGATTTAATCTGGTTGTTGACCGCTCCTTACACCGCCCTATACAATGTAATATAAATTATTTATATCCTAAAATGAAGCTTTTGTCCTCCATTTGTACAGAGGACAAAAGCTTCATTTTAGATTTGTAAACGCCAGCAAAATCAGGCTACTTTGATTATCAGAGAAACTGTCATAACCAACTAGTAATTCAGGTATTTCAATTCTTCTGCCGGTCTTAATTTAGGCCGCCACGCCAAAAATAGGCATCGAGGCATCAACATTTACTGGAAATAGGGTTTTGGCAACTGGCTATACCGCTGCGTATCACTATGTCTCGCTCACTATGTATGGTATATGTTTCTTCCCCGTCAGAGTTTGAGCACATACGACCATAGGGTGTGGAAAACAGGGCTTCCCGTCCGCTCAGCCGTACTTAAGCCACACGCCGGTGAGTTAGTAGTTGGGTGGGTGACCACCAGCGAATCCTCACTGTTGTATGTTTTTGTTTCTTTTTTACATGACTGTATAGTTGACAGAGCAATAAAAAGAGACTCTGCAACATGCTCAAAAATGGAATTTGATTGGGGGAATTTTTGACTGAATCATGAAATTTAGCCAATCTGATAGCAAGTTTCGTCACAATTGAAGACATTTTTTTGGTAATGATTCATGTTAAGTACCATGTATTTATAAAATTGTACTCCGTAGAGACTATACGCAGCCACCAAGGTGGCAGCGTGCAAGCTACTGCTAAGCACTTTATCGGCAACGAACAGGAGACTCAGCGCAACACTACCATCGCTCCTAACGCAACCGTCACGGATGTCATTCAAGAAGCACTTTCCTCCAACATCGATGACCGCACTATGCACGAGCTGTACCTTTGGCCCTTTGCCAATGCTGTTCACGCCCAGGCTTCTAACTTCATGTGTTCAAACCAATGCCTGAATGGTTCTTATGCTTGTAAGAACTCGAACGCCCCTCAAAAGTCTGCTTAAGGAAGAGCTTGGCTTCCAGGTGTCAAGAGAGGACTACATCGAAGTGCTTGGTGAAATATGAGAAGCTTGATTGATTAGAGAGTTGTAGAAGCTAGGTTCTACAGAGCTATGAAATCTGACACCAGGGATACATGATGTCTGACTGGGATGGTACTCACTCCGGTGTTGCCTCCATCGAGGGTGGTCTCGACATGAATAGGCCCGGTGGTCTTGCTGTGGATGAATCTCGGGTGAACGATGTGATCGTCCGTATTATGACTCCCTATAACTGATTCGGCCAGGATAAGAACTATCCTAATATTGACCCTTCATCTGCCGACCTGAACACTTTCTCTCCCCGGTCAACTTGGCTCCACGAGTGCAATCTCACTAGAGAGCGAAGCCGTGATGTCCGCGGAAACCACGCCAAGCTGATTCGTAAACTTGCAGCCGAGGCCACTGCCTTGCCGAAGAATGAGAGGCAGGTCCTTCTCTTGAAGGCTCCTAAGAACATCGCCATCTTTGGTAATGACGCCGGCGAAAACACTATGGGTGCTGTCAACCAGGCAAAATTTGAATTCGGAAACATCGCAACTGGCGGTCACTCGGGTACCGGCTGATTTACCTATCTCATCTCCCCACCCGAAGCCATCAAGACCCGTGCTAAGAAGGACAAAGCCCTCGTCCAATAGTTCTTGAATAACACACATATTGCGACCAGGAACGTCACCGACTTTTGGACTCCTGCCACCCCCGACGTGTTTCTTGTGTTCCTCAAGACTTGGGCTGAAGAAGGGGCCGACCGCGAGAAACTAACAGCTGACTACAACGGAAACGAAGTTGTCGCATCCGTCGCCAAGTTGTGCAATAACACAGTCATGATCACTCTTTCTTCTGGAATCAACATTCTCCCCTTCGCCTACCACCCTAATGTCACTGCCATTCTCGCCGCACATTATCCTGGCCAGGGAGGCGGTAACTCCATCGTTCACGTCCTCTATGGCGACGTTAATCCATCCGGCCACCTTCCATACACAGTCGTCAAGAACACTAACGATTATAACGCCCCGCCCACCACAGAGGTGTACTGGCAATCTTGGTTCGACGAGAAGCTCAAGATCGACTAAAGGTACTTCGACGCTTAAAACATCTCCGTGCAATACGAATTCGGCTTCGGTCTCTCATACACAACCTTCAAACTCTCTAACCTCACTAGTAAGCCCGTAGCTGATTCCATCTCTTCTACTCCCGAAGAGGAGCCTGTCCAGCTTGGCGGAAATCCCACTCTCTGGGAGACTATCTACAACACCACCGCCTCAGTTACAAACTCTGGTCATATCGAGGGCGCGGCTGTTCCCCAGTTATATGTTACCTTCCCTGATAGTACACCTCAGGGAACACCGCCTCCACAGTTGCGCGTTTCTGAGAAGGTCTCTTCGGCTCCCGGCGAGACTTGCACTTTTGACTTTGAGTTGATGCGCAGAGTTTTGAGTTATTGGGATATTGTTTCGCAGAAGTGGCTTATTCCTGAGGGTGAATTTATTTTTCGGGTTGGATTCAGTACCAGGGATTTGAGGGAGATCACCCCTGTTCGTGCTTAAAGTGTGCTGTATATAGAGCCTGTGAGTCTTGGTCAAATGCCAGGGTATATACACGCTTCATACATAGTACATATAACCCTCCTATCACATGCATATCCAGGCTACAACCAAAGCAGTTAATCCCGGCTCAGATTCCACCGCGCAATTCCACTCTCATTTTCCTTGAATCTGGTAGGTACTAGCTAATATGGATCAATTTCTAATCTAAATCTCTTTAGATGGTTTTGCGCTTAATTCTGTTTTTGGGGTACATATAGGCCTCTGCAAAGCCCACAAAGCCCAAAGCCCAGCTCAGCCCAACCCACTAATGGGTTGGGCTTTGGGCCTATCCTTCGGGCCCATCGATGGGTTATAGGCTTATACCTCGAGCCTATAGGGCCCATTTAGGCCCATACTGGGCCCCTATTATTTATCAAACAATACATTTATACCAATCCATCGCAACTGTATAATAAATACATTTTTTGCTGGTTTTTTTGGGTATTGAGATTACTATCCAGGCTGTATATAAAGCTATACGTGAATCATTATATTCTTTATCTTCTTCTTCCTTTACAAATTTACAAGTAAATTTATAGAAAGAAATGATTCAAATGATTTGATTTGATTAATAAGATACTAGAATTAGTGTTATATTCATATAATTCCTACTTGTTACTATAATAATTAAATAATTGAATGCTACTGAGTATACAGGTTGGAATATACGTAAAATAAAGTCATTAATCAGCTACTTTATGTATACCAAGATGAAATTTATACAGCAAAATGGGCTTTGCAGAGGCCTAATATGGTGTTTTTAAAGACGCTTTTTACACATTTATATACAATTTTTAGAACTAATCCTAGTCTTAGATGAATAAGAACTAGCTTGTATTAGATGTTTATTGTTTTTTTTTTACTTGAAATGGCCTAAGGGTTAAGAAAACCGAGGTTACGATTTTTTAGCCCGTAAGTATCTTTTGTATGGAGTTGCCATAAAAAATATACTTAAAGCTTGCTGTTTGTGATCCAATGAGAATTTGTTATCCGCTGGGGCCCACCAACACTAGGTAGGTGATGATGGGCTTGGCACGATCATAGCATCTATTTTAGCAAGTATTGCTTTTTTCTAAATTAAAAATAATCGAAACCCACATACTAATACCTTGATGTCCCAATTGAGTGTGGTCAGATCAGTAATATTTTTTCCCTACCTATCTAGCTAGCTAGGAAATTTTGCCCAATCAAAGGTTTCTAAGTATGGAGCGGAGTAGACTAACTAGTCAAATAATTTAATGGCCTAAGGTCACCGACATTTTTAAGCTTGAACCTTGGAATATTTCCGAGCCTTATAACATCCATCACACATAAGGATACCAGAACATGCTATTAAGATATTAATATGATTGGCGAGGCTATATCATATTCCTTGGATGATAACTTACATATAGGAAGAACATATCAGGCGGGTATTCCTTCATATAAACCCCAGATACCGCTTACATGACTGCCTTCTATCATGGATGGATAGATATCCTACCTAATATCTCACCTAAGCCTCCGCGGCTGTTACAAAATTATTCTTAACTCCTTCCCTCGACTCACAAATGAGATCCATAGAGGTGTATGTGTCACATTGAATCTGAGATATCAACTGGTTTAGGAATAATGGAATTGGTTCTCTTCCTTGATCCTCGTTGATATATGACATACATAGGTCGGTATACTATGTTCTGATCTATTTCGGGGTTCCACTCCACCAGTTTTTCTCCGCAGGCCAGAATGTCTCTCACGATAAAAATTCTCCGCTAGCTATAACCTCATCAAGCGAGCAATCTTTTCCGAAAATGGATGCTCACGCAACAAAACTTCTGATGGAAGTTCCATATCATCCTTCTACCTAGAGTAACTAGAGACAATCTTTGCCTAGGAAAGAAGATTTAATTGATCGGGGGAAGTGGATCTATGAATCCATATATGGATGGAAGGTGTTTCTGAGCTAAGACCATAAGGTAGCGACGTTCAATCCCAATCATCAGTTCACGATGTATATCCGAGCCTCTAAAGATGAGAATTTGTTAAATTTACAGATGCAGAGACCCAAGAGCACACCTAAAAGGTTCTTGTAAAGCAGTGTATAATTTGATATTCAGAAATTCGATTTCGTTTCGCCTCCCCATTTCGTAGAAAGACAGTCTATATCTATTAGTCTACTTTCCATACCCGTTTCATAACCCCTTATTCTCTAAAATAAAAGTATATGAAAACAGGACTTGATCTCTATTTATAATCAAAGTGCTCTTTCCTGATGGTAAGTGATATTGCAATATTTTTAAGCGAGCTGATTTATACCGAGTATATTATAATTGCGTTTACTAGGGCCAACGCACGGCCTGTTGGGAGTCGGGCTGTGTAGGGGTGTTGGAGTGCGGGCGCACTGGGTCGGGTATACGAAGCTCTAAGCCCATACTTAGTTGATAGCCTCGATTGATCGACCCGACTAGTGCATTACTATGATCCTTCCCACAAAAACTCCCGTTGATGCTATCCGCTCAGAGTATCACGCGCCCCTCAACTGAAAGGGCCCCAGACGCCACTCGGTCTTCTTTCTTACAATAAATGGCCACATAGTAACTTCCAGAAGGTCTGCGCTAACCATAGTTATGATAACGGAATTGGCGAGGCGCACATGATTGTTGGTCTAGCGCTACTAGTATACCTAGATCTTAGATATCGATAAATTCCAATTTTCTTCCGACCAAGCCTAGACCTTATGATTATATCCCATCAACTAGGTTCTTGCGCATAAAAAAAAAAGCGATAGGGGTTATTTATCATTGTAGGCTTCTCATTACTTCGGTGCTTTTGGGTGCACGTCGAGCTGCCTATATTATTCGGCTTCAATCATATTTGACTTTAGTGCTTGCCAACAGAAATACGAAATTGGAACTCGATTACGCCGAGACTTTGAGCCACTATCTCCATTTCCACCTATAATAAAATAACATGCAAGAGACTGCAGTCCGTATGTCTGGATAGTTTGTGCTAAGTACACGAAGCCATATTTTTATTATTTATATCCCCAGATCCCCGCATCCCCGCATCCCCGGCAGTTACGAGGCATTATATCCGTAATTATCTAGTCCGGAGTTAGGCCAAATGATTCGTGCTAGGCGTAGAAAGTGAGCTTCTCCATTTTGCCTCCCCGCATGTTCGGCAGTTGCGAGGCATACTATCCGTGATCACTGTCAAGTTGGGGATAAGCTAGATGGAATGCTTTTATTGGATGAACTTATTATCTGCCCAATCCTTAACTCCACGGCTGAAAAACACTTCAAATTCGGGCATGGGCAGCGTATGGGATAAAGGCAGCCCTGGGCCGTCCATTTTAATTCTCAACAAATTACCTGAAATATTATTTGCACTCAAACTATCTTGTTCGTATCCATCATGGATCATAAGTTGGAAATTGGCCACGAGGAGGACATTCCTCCCTCTGGGGATTCTATCCAACAGAACATAGGCTTTGATAAAGACCCTGTGCAACACGATCCTCAAGGTTTTCCTGTTATTCCACAACCTTCATCCCATAAAGATGATCCATTGGTATTTGAAAAATTACCTTTCTGTTTTATACCAGCGCTAACTTTTGTTAGAATTGGAGTCCTGCACTTAAATTGAGTGTCTGTCTCCAGATTAGTTGGCTTGCTCTACTAGAGCCATTGGCATCAGCTGTCGTGAATCCAACTTTCCTTCTGATGGGAGAAAATTTTGATCTTAGCGTCAAAGACGTTAGCTACGGTGAGAATTATTATCTAAAAATGCCTCACAGCCCTGTTGAAGCAAAGATGTAAATGCTGATTCCGATAACAATAGAGCTAACAGTCTGGCTTGTTTCTGCGGGTATCGGGCCATTGATTGTAATTCCTTTTGCCAATGTATACGGTCGTCGACCTGTGTACCTGCTGGGTAATCTTCTGGCCGTAATCACTACTATTACCGCAGGCTATTGCAATACATGGGCAGGAATAATGGTCACGCGCGCTTTTAATGGTTTTGGTTCCGGTTCTGTGATATCAATGGGCGCAGCAACAATCTGTGATCTATACTTCGTCCATCAACGCGGCGTTTACCTCGGAATATATACTTTTGCACTAACCAGTGGGGCACACGTATGAGTCTTCATTCGTCTTTTTCTATATATTTTAACATACCTCAAACTTATACGTTCTCTAGGTTGCTCCCCTTTTGGGAGGCTTTATCGGACAGTCCCTTGGGTGGCGAGCATGTTTCTACATCCCGGGCTACATACAACTAGCAACATTTGTGTTAACCATATTTTGCCTACCTGAAACACTTTACACCACGAAGTATCCATCTGACTCGGGTCATTACGAGGAGCAAAGCTATATGCAAAATATCATGTTTAGACGGAGTAAAGTTCCGGGAGGTCGACCGAAGATACGAGACTTTACTCGCCCGTTTGAAATGCTGAAATTTGTGGCAATTTCCCTCACGGGAACCTTCTATATGGTGTGCTTTGGATATGGTGGTGTTATTTTTGCCCTTACAGGAGCCAGCCTCTTCAACAAGCTTTATGGATTCAACACTGCTGAAACAGGACTTATTCTGAGTTTACCCCTATTAATCGGAGGAGGACTTGGCGAGCTTAGCGGAGGATGGGTAACGGACTGGCTTTCGAATCATCATGCGAAGAGACACAACGGCGAGCGTCTCCCTGAAGCTAGACTGACTGCTATCTGGGGCGCCTTGTTGATTCCTATTGGACTTACCATTGAGGGAATATGCCTTTCACATGCAAAAACCACCAGCTGGGTCGGCAGTGCTTTTGGGATGTGCTTAGCGAATATGGGCTTGCAAATAGCCACTACAACCATATATACGTATCTAACTGATGTGAGTGATATATTGTCATGTAAAAAGTGTTATCTGACAAGATGCTTGACTACAGTGTTACCGACCCCAAAGTGCAGAAGTATCGACAATTCTGAATGTTTTTCGGCAGTTTTTCTCGTGTCTTATCTCCTTCTACGCGTCAGTATGAAATGCCTTTGAATGTTATGAAGAAATACTCATGCATGCCGATGTAGTCTTCCATTTGGGGAACTCATTGGAATCCAGTTTGCTTGGCTAACTTTTTCTATGATTGTTGTGATTCTCATGATCCCTGTCGTTCTGCTACGGTATTATGGTGCGAGATGGAGAAAGTTGGGCTCCCAGTCGGCTCTAGATAGAGAAGGTTAGAAGTCATATTTTATGAGTCACTTGAAATTTCAAGTGATGTTATCTTTTATGAAAATAACTACATAGGACTACGTCTACCATATTCATAAAGAAACACTGAAATGAAGACCACCGCAGCATAACCTTAGAATCTCAACGTGCGATGTAGGATGCAAAATTAGAGAGTGAACCACATTTCAGTCAATATAGCCTAAGGCTCGCAATTAATGGTTGATTGGCCAAAGATGTGAATTGAAGGGAATTAATGGCGCAGGAAAATAGAGAAAAGGTGACGAGGGAGGAGAGGAAAAGAGAGAAGAAGCATCCTGATTCTCTATAAATAAACGGAGGCTAGTTAACTAAATAGCCAATGGAAGTCTGAAAAACAATGCGTACATTATGTAGCTTGTTTTGAAAAAGGGTTAGGTAGAAAGAAGGAAAAACAACGAAAAAAAAAACAACAAACAACAAACAAAAAGGGGGAGGTAGAAGTTGTTGAAAGCGTCTCATTATCAATGGCATACATTAATAGGGATGAAGGGATCACTGGACGACCATCCTTGTAGAGTCTTGTCTATAATTGTATTCGATATAATGTCCACTTATGTCCGCTAAGTTTGATTAGTCCACGGGCGTTGGGAGGAACTAGCGGACAGTATCATCACCCTCGCGACCGTTTCCGCCATTTGAAAATGAAGATCAGATACGTCGCCACGACAGCCATCGTGTAATTGAAGAGAATGAACCCAATGAAGATTCCCACATTATGGCCTCTCTGTGAATAACTAAAGTCGTATTGTTTGACCTAGAGTTTCTACTGTTAGCTGGGTCTAATTCCAAAGAGCGAGTTCCGAGGAGACACCAAAAAAAAAAAAACAGAAAATACTAAGCGGATGAGGAAGAGAGAGCTTACATATTGATCTCCATCAGCATAACTGCAGTATTCGCACCGTCCCGTTGCGCTTGGATCCACCAAATATCCTGTCGAGTTAGACTGGCTGAAGTACGCGCCAGCATAGGAGCCGCAACTTTCCGATGGTGGGGAGTTGAAGATGTTCAGCTCGGAGTCTCGGCAAGTAATTTCCAGGGCATGCATAGCATTAGTACCAATGCCTTCGACAAAATAGAACAGCGGAGAAATGTTGTAAAACCAGCGCCAACCGCTCGGAGTCAGGGGAGGTGGTGAGAGCGGCCCGTTGAAGGTATTAACCACCAGCCATACGAAGCCAGTGGCAACCTGCGCAGCTAGAACGGTAGGGAAGAGAGCTGCCGTAAACTGGGCTAGACTGGCCACGAAGAGCGAGTAAAGCTCGTACATGAGGAATGCATAGCCCGCGCGCGTTGAGATGGTGAAATAACCCACCATGTAGTACCAGAGTAGCCAGTAGATCAGGCCTCCCAGCAGGGTGAACGGAATCTCCACAAGCAGGGCACTTATTGTAAATACGCTCCAATGATAGACGTGCGACTCATTCTCTCGGGCTAGGAATTGGTCCCGCAGGATGATGAACTTGGGCTCGATCTGAAGACTGAGAACAGGCCCGGTAATTACACCCACGAAGATGGAGAACATGCGACCGCGAGAATCTGTCAGGTCGTTGGATAGTTGCAGGAAGGTCAGTCCGTTCATCAGGCCCATCCAGACGTTAAGCTGGATCTTTCCCAGCACATAGTCCGAGTCACGCCAGTAATTGGTGAACGCACGTTGAGTGACCACACGAAGCTGCTCGAGATAAGAGGCAGCATGAGCTCGATCAGACCCCACAGAGGCTGTAACATCTTTTTTCTCAAGCAGACGTTGAAGGTTATCCTGCGTAGCCTTGAATTCGGGCGACTCTTGCCATGTCTGTTTCAGAAAATGAGTATTGGATCCTCGGAATGAGGGATATAACATACCTTAAACCAGTCTTCTTGGGGGTCAGCACTGATATCCAGTAGGTAGTCAGCTGGATTTTCGGTGTCTTTGCAGCGGCGTGTATAGCGAGCGAAGTAGTCAATGATTGTTTGACACCGAGGGCCAAGGGAGCCAAAGTACATAGTCTTCCCGCCAGGGATCAAAAGCAGCAATGAGTCAAATTGTTCAATCATCTGGGAGGACGGTTGGTGAATCGTGCACAAAATGGTTTGTCCGGCGTGTGAAAGCTTGCGCATCAGCTGGACGATTGAAAGTGCCGAATTACCATCTAAGCCCGAGGTGGGTTCATCAAGGAACAAAAGGATATCAGGCTTAGCTGCCAGCTCCACTCCGATACTGACACGCTTGCGTCTCTCCAAGTCGAGTCCAGCACCCGGAACACCGATGACAGCATCAGCAATATCTTCCATGTCCAAGAGTTTGATGACCATTTCAACATGCGACATCTTCTCTTCGAAGGAAATATCTGTCGGGCGGCGGAGTCTCGCACTAAGCTGGAGGGCTTCTCGTACCGTGGACGAATCAAGATGAATATCATTCTGATGAACGAAGCTGGTTTGACGACTCATCGATGCTGGAAGTGGACCTCCATCAAGATAAAGCCCTCCAGACAAAACACCAATCTGTATCCTCTGCGCAAGGGTATCAAGAAGAGTCGTCTAATGTATATCCAAGTCAATTTCAGGATTCATATTTGAAAAACCAAATCTGATCAAAGTGCATACCTTTCCCGCACCAGACATGCCCATCAGCGCAGTCATTGAGCCTGGTTGAAGCCACCCTGTATTGTTTCATCAATGAAATGTCTACAATCAAATTATGCAAATGATGCAAATGAATTTACCTGACACATTCTGAAGCAAGTGCTTGCCGCTGCCCAATTCAAGAGTCAGATCCTGCCATGCAAAGACATGCTTATTTGGCTCAAGTTGGTTAACAGCCGACTCGCTATCCGAGATTTTCTCGGATTTTCCAATTTCACCAGTTGGTTGTGGGTTTTCGATATCTGCCAAATCAAGCGTTGATGTGTTTTTCCACGGTAATTTTTGATAATAAATAGTCGACATGCGCTCAGCCGCATGACGGAATTTCTCCATTCCGATTCTGTTGCATCATGATGGTCACGTCAGTAATGTGAAGGGGAAAATAGGAAACGAGTGGAAGTGCATCATACGTGACTAGACATGAAAAGAAGACGAAAAAGGCAGCATTGATACCGACATTCCGCCACTTGTGAAGAGACTGGAACCCATATTCAGCCATAAGATACAGCTTCCCCGAAACGTCTAGGTGACCGGGAAGAGAGCCCGACACCGCACACGTCTGATACCTGGTGTCAGTATATAACAATCCTTCGGGCACGGTATCTTTGGGACTGCATTGGTACGTGCTGCTCCCAATCTCGTTCAGGGCGATGGACTCAAATATATAGTACATTGGCTGGGGGAAAATAGGACTGTTAGATTTTGATCACCCAGCGTTTTTGTTCTTGTCTGCAAAACTTACATCAAGGTACCGGATCCATCCCAGCCAAACTTTCATACCCGGTGGGGTGATATAGAAGCCGGTGTAGATAATTAGGACATTGAGAAGCAGGCCAACTGGCAGAACAGCTCGAGTGATAGAGGTTGTAAATACCGCAATCGCCCGGAACATCACGCAAAGGGCCATCAAGCCCACGTAAAGACAAACCAGCCACGTGAAAAAATGACTGGCCGTGCGCTCAAAGCCTATCATCCAGTAGATTGGAAGAGAGTAGAGGATAAAAATTAGCTTCCATGGCACATCGGCGAGTATCTGTCCTAGCGCGTACGCTCCGGGTCGGTAAAATCGCAAGGCCTTCTGTTTCAACAAAATTGGGCGTTGAACGAAGGTATTTCCAAATTCGGCAGATGCTTGAAGTCCCATAATGAGCACAGAAAAGAATAAAGCTGAGCCACGTGTGTATAGCCCCTCGGTCAGAGCGCGTTGGTTTCTAAACAGAGTTCCAAGAAGAAGAGCTTGCACAATGGTGCCTGCAGCTTCTGCAATCCAAGCCGCCCTATCAGTCATAAAAATGCGATAATGACGGATAGTGCACTCGTAGATCTGACGATGGAATGGAAGAGCGTATCCAGAGGGCTTTATGACCGCCGATGTGGGCTCGGGCGCCTTGGCTTGCTCGACTGCCTGCTGATAGAAGCTGCTATCCCAAAATCGGGCTTCAAAATCGACTGGGTGAAGAGGGACTGGGCGCTGAAGATCGTCGCGGGGGATTCGACCATCTGGAGTCCCCGACATGGATGCAAGGAAGTCTGATACAGAAGTTCGGGGCGAGCAGTAAAATCCGAGGGATTCGAAGTACGCCTTGGCAGAAGAAACAGGACCGTAGTAGGCTACATGGCCCTCGTTGAGTACTAACACTTTGTCAAATAGGGAAATAGCCAGGTCGCTGGCCTGATACAAAGACATTGCTGCTGAACATCCACTGCGCCTCGTATATTCCCGGAGAACAGTGAGAAAGCGGATTGCAGTTGAGGAATCCAATCCACGTGTAGGATTATCAAAGCAAAACAAACTTCAAGAAAGTCAGTTCAATCTATAGCAACAACTTGGGCATAAACAGACCTTGCACGGGTGCAAAATGCCTCAGCGAGAGATACTCGACGACGCTGTCCACCACTGACTCCGCGAATATGATCACTTCCGATACGTACATCAGCTGCATGGCTGAGACCCATGAGTTCCAGCACAGTTTGTAGGTCTTGTTCGAGGTTCGATGTGCGATCTAGTTGCGAGGTACCGCGCCGGGCATTGAGGGCAAATCTTCATTATTATTAGCAATAGTCCGCTGATGTCAAACATAGGAGAGCGATGGGAAAGATACCGAAGCGTGGTGCTTACAGACAGCGATGGAAAATGAACATCATTTTCCCCTATCCGAGACATCGAAGATTAGTATATATGATGGGAATGCAATAAGAGGGCTATATCCCCATACCGACGAAAGCAATTTGATCGGGTCTATTCTTCATCGCTTCAGCTGCACTTAGAGAACCATACCACACATCTCCCTCCATGCTGAGATACTCATCCCGCATGTTCGCTAGGGCTTTAAGAAGAGTTGTACAGCCACTGCCTGGTCGCCCGACTACCACCATCATCTCTCCCTCGCGAATTGTGCCGGTCAACTTGTGGAGCAGAATCCGAGATGGCGTAGGCTTATGAGACCACCAGGTAGCTGGATTTGCAAGTTTCAACAGTCGAATGCATGCTTCGGGAACATTGTTAACAAGTTGGTACTGTAGGAATCATCAGCGGTCTAAGCAAGAACAAAGATTCAAACAGGCAAACAAACCCCAACACCTGCTCCTATTACAGATAAGTCCTTGAAAACAACGTCTCCGCAATCACCTGGATTGCTGGTCGGACGAGCTAGGAAGTCGTTCACCAATCGATCAATTTCTTCAACATCATGGTGAGCTTCCTCAATTGGGTCTTGGTCTTGGGACACCTTTAATTCGTCCATTATGAGAAAGTAAAAGCTGATACCTAGAGAGCTTGCGCTGTAGCCCTGGAGCCTTTTAAAAGAGCATTTGAATATTTAAATTCGGACATTTTTCCCCTGCGCCTTTGTAGGCTGGATTACCCAAAGGGGCAACTGCTACTCCTTTGAGTTAGCACCACATGCGGAAGGCATGCCGACCTCGGGAGCTCTATAGGATTGAACATATATAGGAGAAATTCCAATCCCTATTTTTTTTGTTCTACTTTTTATCTTTGATTTATCCTAACATTTGTTCAAACTATACCTCAATTCGACATGTCTGATTCCTCTATTGACCCTGATCAATTTACCCGAATGGGTTCGATCACTGAAACATACTACCGAGATGTTTATCCAGCCATTGAGCCGACCAGGCCGGAATTCTCCCAGACCGGCAAAGTGACTATTATTACAGGTGCGGGCAAGGGGATTGGCAGGGTGAGTATCTATTTCACCAAAAGAAAAGAAAAGAAAAGAAAATCCTAACTCATATTCTATTGTAGGCAATTGCACGGAGCCACGCCCAATCCAATGTCAAGGGACTAGTTCTCATCACTCTATCTGAGTCATCTGCAGAGGAAACCAAAAATATTATCGAAGCAGAGTTCCCCTCAGTCGAGATCCTCACACTTCCTACCAATATTGCCGACGAGAAGGCCGTGGCACGCACTTTTGAGGCCATCAAAGATAAATTCGGAACGGCCAACACCCTGGTTAACAATGCTGGAGCTTTTGCACCGGGTGCCACCATTTCTGAATCCGACGGGGCCACATGGTGGAGCGACTTTGAGATCAATGTGCATGGCACATACAATGTTACAGCGGCATTCTTGCGTTTGATTGCTCAGACGCCTGAGGTTAAGCCCACAGTGGTCAACCTGATCAGCACAATTGCGTTGACGCCCCCGTCGCTGAGCAGCTACTTTATCAGCAAGCTGAGCGTGGCTAAGATGACAGAGTTTGTCAGCGCCGAGAACCCCAATGTTACAGCGTATAGTCTGTCGCCCGGGATTGTCCTGACAGGTATGACGTTAGATTCGTTCAAACCATTTGCTAAAGACACCGGTATGTTATACGTCACAAGAGGTCATAATTCCACAGGGGGTTATTGCTAACTTTGGGCCACTCATATAGCGGAATTGACGGGAGCTGCGACGGTATACCTGGCCGCAAAGCGTCCCGAGTATCTCAATGGCCGCCACCTATCTGCTAACTGGGATTTGGGAGAGTTGGAATCTCGCCAGGCAGAATTTTCTTCATCGGACAAGTTGAAGGTCGGACAGTTTATTTGAAGAACGTTCCCAACATCGTGTGCATGATCATTGAACGTTTCTTCTTTCTCTCTCTCTCTCTCTCTCTCTCTCTTGAATCTTTCCAACCCCTAAAAAAAAAGAGTCATGGTATTCTTATAGATACATAATTAGATAAAAATAAGATAAAAGACATATAGCAAAAGCACGCTTGCTAAAACATAACCTTGTCCTTACTGTGGGAAATGATCGATGCCAGAGGGGATCTCTGGGAGGTCTACTAGCATATCATTAATTTCGTGGCAGTAACCAGACCAAGTCTCAGGGTCTACTGTATTAGCCCAGGACCATAAGTCACCAGCCCCGGGAGTAAGTGTGGAAAAGCCCGATGATTGTTCTTCCAAATCTACTCGATCCCAATTTTCCGCAGCTCGCTCGCCATTAGGCGAATGGCAATGTGTATGGGATGTAGAAGCTTGTGCATTGAGTAATTCAGTAAGTGCATCGACTCGTCCAAGAAGGTAACGAGTCAGATGCGCAGCCCGGGACGCAATAGGATTTGAAGTCTTTGCTGTGTCAAAAACCTGGAGAGACAGCTCCACATGTTGCCGCGCGATGGAGAACCAATGGCACAAAGGATAGGCCAACATAAAGCCCACAAGAGTGAGAACAGCGTTCCAAACGTGCTGGTAGACATCGGAGCATCCATAAAGAGAATCATGATTGAGCATGCGCCGGTGGACAGTCTCTATGGCAGTCAGAGCGTGTTGAATAGCTGTTGTCGCATGGATGTCGGCTCCCGGGCTGCGTTGAGGTACTAGGCCAAGACTAGGAAACTGTATGAATGGGCGGTGAAACCAAATAACAAGATCATGAAATTGAAGCTCGAGAAGTGTTTGTTGCAACACGCGAGTGGGTGATTGATGAAACATCCATGTATCGTCGTCATGCTTCAATCCTTCCTCAACAGGGTGCGTTTGAGGTCGATTGACGCTACCAATAAGCACCAAGTCTCTGAATGGCTCTGTCTTCACGATAAGATTCCTCCATTCATACAAGCGACTGATTTCCTGAGTGAGATGCTCCGCAGACACTTCAATTTGTCCAATGGAATCGTTCGGACTCATCGTATCATGCCGAGCCGCTAATGATTCTGCAATCTTTTTGCCAACAACCGTGAGCATGATAGCTGCTGAGTGGAAGGCTAGCTCCGAGAGGGCTAAGTCATTGGAGGGATTATAACTTGGGATGTAAAGTGTCGTGTCTCTAAGAGAGACAATAACAGGTTTACCCAGATATCGCGAGCAGCGAAAATCGAGGTGAACCAACATCCACCACACGCGACCACGGAGTTCAGCCTCTTTTGAACTGACTTGAGATGCTGGAGGATTCTGCAAGTCAAGTGACTGCGCAAGGCGAACAGCCACCCCCGTAATGTTGTACGCCGCTAGGACTTCTCCGGAATTCAGCAGAAATAGGGCCATTAGAATATGACGTTGAATATCCGACACAGATGGCTCCGCATATAGAAGGAACTGGCTGTTTGTCGCCAAGGCTTTCTGAAAGAAGGCAGCAAACATAGCCACGAGAGGGCTCTGCTGCTTTTCAGAAGAGCGTTCTTGGGCCTCAACTAGTGTTATATTGACACCCAGGAGACGATGATGTAGTCCAGCATGATAGACTGATTGCAAGCAATATGCCATCAGCGCGTCTCGCAAAGACTCCCGCTTTCGACCTAGCTCGGAATCCAATACATCTGTTTGACTCACAATCGGTGCTAAGCACTGATAGCGAGCCCAAAATATCTTCAGCAGCCTTTGTTGAAGGTCTTCCGAGTTGGAGATGTTCGACTGCGGGAAACTCTGCTCTGCATTTTGAAGCAAGTCTGGAGTGGAATACGAAGTCTCTGAAGAGAGCGATTCGTCAGATACTGGAGATGATTGTGCTGACATTTGTGATACAACAGAGCAAAAGGTATTAATCCGTGAGATAAATCCAGTAAGACAGTCCGGGTCGCGAGCAACTACATGAGTCGGGTCCTGTGGTGAACAGATCGGGGCGGATGCGCTCACTGACTGGGAAGGTGGTGTACATGAGGTTAGAGATGGGGGAAGAGACGAGCGGATATGCTCAGCGCTAGCAGAGCGAGGCGGCGATGGGAGATGCAAGGCCTTGGGCTTAACGCACTTGACCCTGTTTGTCACACACTGTGAACACGGCAGTGCGCCATCGCATCGAACGCGATGCTGGCGACAGAAGTCGCATGCTCGACGCACTTTTCGTCGTTTAACCAGAGGACCTGATCGTGGAGGTGCAAAATTGTAAAGCATGAAGAAGAGTGGGGGCGTACGCTAATTACGGCTGTAGGTGGAGGTTTCACCTTGATGGTAACAGAACAGTTTGATTTGTATCGAGGAAGAGATTGATGTGACAACATATCATAGATGGGGCCCTTTACGGCAGTACTTGCCTAGATAGGTCCCGGGACAACTTTCTACGATTGTCCACCAATAGGACATCGAGGAAGCAGTGACCAATTGGAAACGAAGGAACGACGGCATTCTCGCACTTTTCATTAACCGTGCCAAGCATGCCGAGAATGCCAAGCTCCCAATAATACCAAGGTACACAATAACGGATACCGCCCTTCCCGCTTCCCGCCTGCATGAAAGGATTCCGAGTCCCACATGAAACTCTGCCTGAGTACCCAAAGGAGTAATGTCTACGGAGTACAAAAAAAAAAAGAAACTAGTTGTCTGTTGAATCAACATAAATGTGCTTTATTTGCTCTATTTGCCCATCTATTGTAATCTGGCAGTGGCCAATATTCACTTGTATCCGTTGGTATGGACTTTGACATTCGAAGCAACAAAACTCTTCGTTCCACCTCCATTTTGCCACTGAACAGCGCGCATTTGCAGTTGAGCCCAGGTCATGGCTGAAGTAAATGAACGGCCGACTGTCCGACGAGTGAAGGAGGATGCTTCCATCTTGTGTACTGCGTAAGCCCAGTCGGTCGTATACTCCTTGAAGAAGGGCTTGTAGCCGAGGAGACCCCCAATCCAGCGGCCCACAATAACTCCGCCCCAGTATCCGATAAACTTTCGCAGGCGATTGGGTAACCAATTGGGTGGCAGGAGATAGGCATCCCCTCCATCGTATGTCTGTAGCAGGAGAGAGATCAGTTCAATGATGGACCCATTTCCTACGCGTGGAAGAGTGGAAGAGGCGTGGAAGGTGAATTGAAATCAAAGGGGACCAAGATGGCACACTTACACACAGCAACTGAATGAAATCCATCTTGCCTTCGTGCACGAGGTAATCATGCCACAAGCCATACCAATTCTCGAAGAAGACCCGATCCAGCTGATAATCAAGACCCGGATCAGATGCACTCAAGATAATGACCATGTCTTCGGTGCTGTCTGGGGCAATATAGAAGCGATGGATACTTCCGGCCCGGCCCATGACCTCCCCATCTTCGGGAGTAAGGACACGCAGAACCCCATCCATCTCGACACACATCCGACCCTGCTCCACACGGAAGTACTCATTCTGGAATGGGTGGAAATGCAGAGGAGGGCCGGATGGATGATTCAAAGCTTCATTAATTCGGTCGTAGTGCGGGTCATCTTGGTCCATAGGGGGTTTGAGGCAGTATTTCTGACGAAAGCAGAAGCATCGACCTGGAGGTGGTTCTAGGAACTCTGTGACAAGAGCGCCTCCAAATCTAGGGCATAATCTGCTTAGCTATTGGGGTCTCTTTAGGGGTAGCACGCATACTTGACAATAGGGTTACTTCCTGCAGAAACATGGTAAGGTATGAGAGGAGGCATGATGGGCAATTGGTAAAGCAAAGAGAAATTGACTGTCGTCTTTCTGTTTTTCCACCCTTCCCCTGTCAAGTAGGAATCTTACTTATATACTTTAGATCTATTCCCGTAAGCCGACAAGCTGAAACATCCTGAGCATTACCTGATTAAGGTAGGCTAAACCAAAATAGACGTATTCTCTTGGGCATTAAATAAAATCTTTTCCTATCATACCAATGGGAAATTGCCCGAAAGTCGGCTGCTATGCACAACAGTGATTAGTTAGGCAGACCCCTGCAAGATCTCGGCATTCTCATATCAAGCAGGGTCTGGATTATGTACTTCGTACCCGTTCCGGGAACCCGATCAGCTGGAGCATCCTGAATAATGTCTGACTCAAGTGTGCTAAACTAAAATAAATTTATTCTAATCAAGAATTATCCACCAGTTGCGGGTTATAAGCTGACAGATAGGCTAGGGATGCTTGGGTATTAAATCAAGTCCTTTCTTATCATACTAATGAGAAGTTGCCTGAAGGTCGCCTATGCACAACAGAGTTGATTGGCTGTAAGCTACTAGACCCCTGCAAGTCTCAGAATTATCATTTCAAGTAGAATCTAGGTTATGGTGTATATATTTCAGACCTATGATTTGATGAATTGCACCGTCCAAATAATATCTAATGCAGCTCGGCTGAACTAAAATAGAATTACTCTCTTGGGTGCTGAACAAAATCATTTGCTATCGTACCAATAATAATTGCCGGAAGGTCGGCTATACACAGCAGAGTTGGTTACTTTCGTAGTCGCCTGCAAGATGCAGGACCTCACGCCAGCTTCACCACAGATTTTCCGGCACAAAAGTACATGATTGTCGCGAACCAGAGAAATGAGTCCTGCATTGTGCCGTATGTAGTTGGGTCTAGTGACAGGCCACTATACATCGCAATATATATGGATTACTATAATCCAGAGCCCTCTGGATTTACCTGTATTTTGCATCAATACCGTTATATATTAGTATCTCTGGTTCCTCGAATCAGAGACCTTGTACTTACTATCCCTTAATGCATTCGGAATTCCACACATTTTGTTTGGATATTCTCGTTTAATTAAAATTATACAGAAAACCAAAAGTCATTTTATTTTCGCGTTTTGTTTGGTAGAATGATCATCTTCCGATATGCAGAGTAATAAAAATCGAGATATCTATCATTCAGCTACTCCATACAGAGGCTTCAATCATAAGTAGCTGCTGTGTAGCTTTGATTGTGAGTGTAGCAGCTCTATCCACCATATTTCCTCGTTAATGCGCTATCTCAGGAATGCTTACTCTAGAATACGTTGTTAAAGTCAATAAATAGTGTGAGATCTGCATCTATTTTAAATGGAATGACGTGCCTGACTAGAAGGACTTCGCTTCGGTAGTTGAAAATCCGAGCATTGCCGATAGCCCTGATATGCCCCGGGTACGCAGGTGTATAGCGGCCAGGGCACGGATGCGGTTTTTTGTAGTATTGGTACCTGAAGATTTCTTAGGATGCCTGAATTAAAGCCGGCAAAAGATCTGAATGAAAAGGCGGTAGAAAACCAGGCAGATTCAGGCACCGATACTATAAAAAACCGCATCCGTCCCCTGGCCGCTATACACTTGTGTACCTAGGCCTCTGCAAAGCCCATAAATGGGCCCGGACCCCCGGCCCAAAGCCCAACCCGCAGTGGGCTATGGGCTGGGCCGGGCTTCGAGGGCCCAACCCACGGCCTATTGATGGGGGCCCATAAGGCCCCCATCAAAGCCCATTTTGCTGCATAAATTTCATCTTGGCATATATAAAGTAGCTGATTAATGACTGTATTTTACGTATATTCCAACCTGTATACTCAGTAGCATTCAAATGTTTAATTATTATGGTAACAAGTAGGAATTATATGAATATAACACTAATTCTAGTATCTTATTAATCAAATCAAATCATTTGAATCATTTCTTTCTATAAATTTACTTGTAAATTTGTAAAGGAAGAAGAAGATAAAGAATATAATGATTCACGTATAGCTTTATATACAGCCTGGATAGTAATCTCAATACCCAAAAAAACCAGGGCTGGGCTTTGGGCTTTGTGGGCTTTGCAGAGGCCTACACCATATATTAAATATTGTATATAAAATTTAATCGGGAGCCCACCTGGGCTTTATCCTTTAACTAAATACTATCATCATCTCTACAAATTGAATATTCTTGCCCATGGGCCCTTTGAAGACCAATTTCCAAGAACAGGGTATTGTGCCCGAAAAACATATAACACCAGCACCCGGCATACCATACCTACAAAAGTCCACTGTATACTACAATTAGTCATCCCCTCCGCACAGATTGTTCAAAAGCGGATTTTATCATATTTTATTAGTTTTATGCACACTGACCATACCATATCTTGATCTTTGTTAGCTATAAGTATTTTATGGATATTCAACCTGATACATACGACCATAGGGTGTGGAAAACAGGGCTTCCCGTCCGCTCAGCCGTACTTAAGCCACACGCCGGTGAGTTAGTAGTTGGGTGGGTGACCACCAGCGAATCCTCACTGTTGTATGTTTCTTTATTTTTTGATTCGTTAGAAAAATCACCTCGCTGCTACTTCTCATAGTCTTCAGCCCATTCACCAGAATGCCCTGAACCACTATTCTACACCTTAATATCCTGCACGCCTCTGAACCGCTGATGTGTCCTTCCCCTCCCGTACTGATTTTTTCTTACATGTAGAGTTTCCCCACGTCGGCGGGCCGCTCACCACTATGACTCGGTAGCTACAAAGTACAGAAAATGGGTAGAATATTGTACCAAAGCGCCAAAAACACAATGTGGACGAGGTAAGCGCCTCCCAGGAAATAAATATGGAGATTACTGAAACATCATGGAGTTGAGGTATGGGGGGCGGTAAGACGGCTAATATTTAAATCACCGAATTCAATTACAGTGATGTTTGAAATCAGCTTTTAACGGTCGAAATTGGTTTCACCATTTCACTCTCTTGCATACCCCCCCGAACCACACTGGTAGATGTATTTTGCTATACGGTTGTATAACAGAAATTATGTATTATACAAAAAAGCACTATACGTCTGCTGCCTCATGTGCCTTTTCCGGGAATATCACATGACCAATGGCTTGATGCACACGCCTAAATACGCCCCCACTCATCGGCGGTCGTTTTCTGAGCCTCTACACATCCCGATGTGTTTACCTTTTGCTTAACATGTCAAAAATAATTGGATATCTCAGTCTAGAGCTCATCAGTATTGTTTCTGAGCCCCTTGGATGCGAAGATCTTTGTAATTTTTGACTTGGTGCTCGATATCTTCGATACTGTTCTCTCACGCCTTTCACCAATCTCTTTTTCCGTGAACGAGTCCACCTATCAAGTCGATTTAGCCTTATGACATTGCTGGATATATCACGCCATCCATTGTTTGGGCTCTCAATGCAAGCCTTAGTCATTTCACCCGACCACTTAATCCCGGACGAGCTACGTGATGACCCTCACGCTTCACCATGCTGGATTCCGGGTATCAACTCTTTAAGTATTATCGACAGAAGGAAATAAATAGCACCTCAACGAGCAAACTTACTTCCGCTGTACAAGTCTAGATACCGCACTTTTGTCTCAAATACTCAAAAATGCAAGAAATTGTCGAGACATCCGTCTCAATGATCAAGATCAACCTTGGGGGGCTGCTGCTATTGAAAGAGAAACTGGACTTTATCCATATTCGAACGCAGAAAGCAATAACAGCAAAACTTACTTCAAAAGAGCTGTTCATGCTGTTATTGCTAGAGATGTCAGAAACCACATTGGTTTCACTATCTGTGCTATCAGAATTCATAGAGACAGCTCGATATCGGTTTACTGGCAAATGAAGCAAGAATTAGGCATTCATGGGAGATGGGACCATTTCAACAAAATTATATGCCCTGGTGACTGATTACCTGCCTGTTGCGTTCGCTGTCTAGTTCGGGTATGTCCCTCTTACTATCCACGGGAAGTTCCGAATACATATACGTGTCCCCGCCCAACTCAGACCGTCCATCCCTGGCACCCACTGGAAGCTCAGACATCGGCTGTACTTGGCGAGTTACAACCTCAGCCTCAGCCAATATCGCATTCTTTTGTTTCTTGTTCGTTGCAATAAAGAACCACAGCAGGCCTATTATCAGGGCTAGGCCAGCCACGCCACCGGCAACGCCACCGGCAATAGCACCCCTGATTGCTGGATCGGACGTGTTAACTTCCTGTGGCTCGGATGTGGAGGATGTTTCGTTATTAGCGGAAGTATTGATTGTTGCCTCACTCTTTCCAAATAGGGTTCTAAGGGCTGGATCAGCCCATTGTGAGGGAGATGCAGAGGCCTTGATATCGCTGGCCGTCGAAGAAGATAGGGAAAATGAAGATAGGGCGGGCTTTTCAGCTATTAATTTGTTGAACTGGGCTTCGAAGGGGGTAGAGTACTCACATCAAACGACGATCGCGTTGCCTCAGATTGAGCGTCATATATGAAGGCTGGAGCATCGTAACAGCCTGCCTTGCCGTCCTCTGCCCAGGCACGTCTTCCGCCAATTCCAAATATCTGACGCCCGTATGTCACACATGTGAGAGTCATGCGAGGGTCGTCAAGAGGGACGGCAGAATACCATTTGAAGGACGGAATTGATAAGTAATTTCTAAAAGGTGTCAGGCAGGTGCGTGGGGATCACGATAGAAAGCATACCACATACACATCCAGAATAGTGTCTTTTGATTTCAGATCTGCCCCTCCAAGAACAAATATCTGATATGAGAACGAGGATTTTTCCTGCTGCACGGAGGCGCAGAATTGTGTCCGGGACGCTACAGTTCCCGTCGTGGACTGGTTATACCATTTTGCCCCAGCAATGTCATAGACTTGGACATGGTTCCATGAGTTCTGCAACCTCGATTAGTATTCTGGTTTAAATATAGGCACTTCCAAACGTACCGAGTTCATCGTAGCATTGATTTCATCCTTAATCGAAGGAACATCACCACCAATATATACCAAAATTCCCCTGTCGCCAACTGGCACGTATGAAAGCGAACCTTCTTCGACAGCTTCGTAGGGCCCGTCGAGAGATGTGTACTGCCCGGTTGTAGTATTTAATTGAATCATTCCCGTGGCATACTCCTTTGTTGAGTCTGTGATTGAAGATGTCGTGCCACTAGCCCGATAACCACCTATCCAAAAGCCGGCTTGGATAGCAGGCGCATTCGTGTACACTGTCGGAAAGCTGATATCAAAACCACGTCTCGGTAGAACAACTGGATTATAACGTACCACCGTACTCCAGCCGCGAGGGCTGAATGGTGCCATCTTGTTTGGTCCACGATTTGTCTTTGACAGTATAGGTCCAGATCGTATCTTCGGAAGTGATGTTTTCCAGAAACCTGCCTCCATATTGGTACAATGTCGAGTTTTCCGCGTTGGACCAGAGCGCCATGTCTTTAATCTTGGGAACCTCGGCGCCGATCTTGGTCATCTTGTAGTTTTTGCCCTCGGAGGTGGAGAAAGAAGACGTGAGATCAAGCGTCATGAGATAATTGTCTAAGAGGGAGCATAAGTATACCAGGTCAAATTGGCGAGAAACGGCTTAGATTGACTTACTCGAAGCGTCGCCATCATCTGGAATGAGTCCTCCATCCAGACCAACCGTGTACAAAACATTGTTGGCAATATCCGCTACACAATCGATAAGCATCCGTCGAAAATCGACTTTTCTCCACATACCTCCAAATCTGTAACTGCGACAAAATCCCCCAGATAGATCCGACAAAACTGTTCTCTTGGCAAGATTTATGACTCCAGCGTTTGCAAAAGAAGGGTCCAATGCCCAAAGTAAAATAAACCACCAGCCCGCCATCTTGGCCGTTGCTTCTTAATAAACCCCCAAGTGCTAAAGAGAGTGGGAATTTTTCATCTAAGATGACATGTGCTGGGGCGCTCTATTTACTTTTCAATCACGGCGCAACCGTGAAGCTAGTGCATAAGAAGTAAGTCTACTGGACTTTAATCTTATTATCAGGGGCGAGAAGAGTTTCAAATTAGTCTCAGTAAGCGCTTGGGTCTTATGTTTCGGGGCCGGGTATGCAGATCAGAAACCCTGAACCAATCGGTTTAGCAGGCGCTAACTTGACGGCGCGTACGCCATGCAGTGTTTGATTAATTGTGTTTATACTTAAATAGAGAAGACTAGCTTAAAAAAAGATATCATTAACTAAGTAAATGATAACTTATTATTAAGTAAATGAGAATCTAGTTATAACTAAGTTAAATTATTATCATTACCCGGTGTTACCATGTAGATTAGTAGTCTATCATTCAAAAAAAAAAAAAAAAAAAAAAAAAGAAGGATGAAGAGTGAAGTTGCTGGACAAGTACAGTGTGTATGAGCGCACTGCACAGATATATATCCGTATATCTCACTATAAACCTCAGAACTAGTTATTTACTAGGAATTAAGGGTGAAGAATGTGAACATAACCCTAGATTCTACGTAAATAAATAATATATACCAAAACAGGATGATAAATAGAATACAAGGATTTCAAAATCAAATGGTATTTGGCCGGAAACAACCTTGGAAGTTCTACTGAGCACAGTTGGCGATCTAATCTCCCCTGGTTCCTCCTCTACTAGTACTAAGTACGCGATCATCCGCGAACCTCCAGGGCTGCAGGGCAGCCCTCAGCAATTCGATGTCTCCACAAATTATATGCGTTGCCAAGGAATTTTGCCATTTAAGATTTCGATGTCTATAGTACAACAGATTCTCCTACTTTATTTTGCCAGGATGTGGTTCATTTGTGACAAAGCAGATAATCACGATCAGAGAAAATAGAGGCACAAATATGGCCGGTCAAGGCGATCTAGTGATCCACACTTAAGAACGTCTAATTGTGGACTGCCCAGCATCTAGTTTGGCTTTGTTGTCTATGATCTGCAATAAGAGTATAGTTTGATAGGAAACTCTTCTAGTTCAGCATACAATTGAGACGAGGGTCATGGTAGCATCAGTTCGGTAGTCTGATGAATTTTGAAAGGCGGGGCAATAGGGGAATGTTGTAGAAGTGAAAGGAAGTTATTCTATTGGTTATACTCTGTGTCGATGTGAATAACATTCCCCCAGCATCCCTTTGGCCGCAAGGGTATTAGCACTATCTCTTGTCTGTACATCGTCAATGTTGACCGGCGTCATGATAAATAATTTGCAAATAGCGACCTAGCAACTTTATTAAGTTTTGCAAAAATCTTCTCAATACAGACTGCATCGGCTTTCTTAAGTTCATTAGTCAAAACGTCAACGATCCTAATCATTTTCCGGCTGAGATTCCGACCAATAATATGGGGAGTGATACGTCGCAATATTCATGCAACATTCCTAAGCTGTCGACAATGTTTCTTATAAAAATTACAAAGCACAAAGACTTTTTTTTCTTTTTGAAATTTACAGTTCAATCCAAACCCACCCCCCTCCAAATCGAACTTGATAGGGCTGATACGCGGGGAAGAATGACTTTTTTTTTAAGGAGTCGATGACCCAGTTGGCACAACATTAAGGATTTTGGCGCATCAGCATCATCCGTAGTTCGAATTGCCTTTTTGAATTCTTCCCAATATCCTTGGCATCATTCATGTTCTTCTCTTATGTTTCTCTTCTTCATTGGGCTATTCGAACTCGAAAGTTCCGACAGCTGGGCAGGTCTCTCTTAACTAGTTACTCCGCACTCCCAGACCTAGGTAATATAATCTTACCATTAAGTCCAACCTAGAAGCCCTACTACTACATTAAAAACGTACCTTATATCTATAAATGCTACTTTTATCTTATAATGTATTTTTTTTGTATATTAGAAGCAGCTCTATCGTCATAAATTTGTTTCCTTTCTTTTTATAATTTCACAATGTGGGCAAATATATACTAAGCTAGTTAAATATATGCATGTTACTTAGCCACACATATAATTGCTCCTACCTTACTACTACTACTACTACTACTAAAGCTACCTACAGTTCGAATTAAATATCGGACTTGAATTCGTTAATTCCCACTATAAATGGTCTAAACGAAATTTTCAGAATTAAAATATCCACATCAGTGATAGTAGAATTACTTGAACTTACCCTGTACGGAGTGGTGAAGTGGGAATTCCTACCATAACATATATATAAGATATTGGGCGAATAAAAGTCGAAATTTTATCCTTTGGAACATACGAGTTAGTAAATTCTTATAGTAACATTCTCTCAGGAGTACAAAGTAGAGAGACGGAAAATTAATCAATTATGTAATAATCTGTACGGATCTCTCGGAGGTCCTTTGTTGACATTGAAAACGCACCTCATCACTAGATTCCTTCAACTACTCTTTCTTTGAGATTATAAAAAATAAGCAAGGACTGTACAATTTATTGAAAGTTCCTATGAGGCCTTTCGTTCTTTTTTTTCTTACTTTTTTCTCTCTAGCATGTCTGGCCTCGTGGAAGTTCGGACGTTCGTGTTATACTATACTGGTGATGTCACCATCACCAGCTCAGTTATCCATCGGCTCCTACGGAGTAGAAAGAACTAGGTCAAACTAAAGCTAGCTAGAACGATTTGGGTATATGTATCTTGGGACAAATTAGTTTTCGACAGACCAATAATATATCTAAGGAGTACCTAGAGGTAGCTATATATTCGAACTTTTCCCCCGTTAAAACCCACCCCTTGCATCGTGGTCTTCCCTCCTACATTTCCACTCTGCCCCCATATATGAACTCTTGCAATCTAGCGTTTATACGTGGGTTTCTTGTGACTTTTCACCACCTACTCTCGACTTACGCCTACTGCTGGAATCAGATTTACAGCAAATTTTGATGTCTACCTCTTTTGTGTACGATTGGCAAAATCATCATAATGCCCACGATGACGATCGAGAATGAGTCCCTCTTTGCCCCCCTGACTATAACGTCGCAAGTGCCAGCGGCTATGAATGAATGTATCGATACATACTCGTCGAGCATGGAATCAAGCGCACTTTGGCGTAGCAAACGACGCAATCTTTTCCAACGGGCGTTTCACCGCGTGCAACTTGCGTACTACCGCTACGAAGTGACTTTCGGCCTCTATGTGTTGACATCCAATGAAAAATTCGTCGCAAACGCCTTCGTTTTGACCGTTATAGCCCTAGTCTTCTGGGCACTTCTTTACTTCCCAGCCTTGGTTTATAACAAGGGGGATGACCTTGTCTGGCTGCTGACAGGCCACCGTAACCAGGAAACTGGCACCGTGGTGTCGTGACAAATACAGCAATTTCATGATTACCCACAGCTGAAAATTTCTTCCAAGGTTGGCTTGATAATCACGTATTGGGTACACTGTTTTTTTGTATACCAGAATAACACCACACCGACGAAGTCACACCGGCGAAGTATGCGTCTCTTAAGGGCCTTTGCTGTTTTTGCCCCCTACCTACTGAAACAACATGTCCACGCTTTAAAATTTGCTTTTTTTTTGCAATTCATTTTGTTCTAAGCTTTCGGTGTTTTTTCCCCCTCAACTGAGAGGCGTTTATTTTGCATGTTTGAATTCAAGATCCCCCCCCCCCCCCTTTATTGTAAATAATTGATTAATTTCTTTCCACATTCGTTGCTCCACTCCTGATCTCGGGAGATCCCTGCTCTAACATATACATATGTAGTTACAAGTAGAAAGGGCCGACCCTCTGGGTCGGCTGAGTACAGCTTATAAGAATATTAGAGAGTAGGCCAGTTTATTACACAAACACTACTATAAGGCCCTCCGTTACCCACGCTCCTATAAAGCGCCGTTAGCGCTCTGCTATATAGGTCGACACAGGAGGCATACGTCTGGCAGAGAAAAAGCGGTTGTTAGAGGAGTTGCAATATCTACGATGAATAATAGAGGTACTGGAAATACTCTTGTTGTTGCGTAAAGAGGGAAGAAAACTATGTATCTACAGGAGTGGGGACTAGAGCTAGGAGCAAAGAGTGGTCACGTGACCACTGACAGCGGTATAAAAGGGAGAGAACTTTAGAAAAACTAAAGTTTATATAGTAAAGTGTAATCAAATGAAACCGAAAAAAGGGGAGTTAGATTTATTGGTGCTGTCAATTCATCTTGAAGAAGAAAAGTAAATGAGTTAAAGGGAGAGCCTAGTATATTGATTTAAAAAGCAAATGGAATTCGAAATTTTGGTGAGGGAAGTGGCAGAAAAACATAAGCGGTCAGCCGAGTTGTACACCCGAACCAATCAGAACACACGATTCACATACATACCCACACTACCATTACATATGTAGGTAAAGAGTACGGAGTACATGGTCATAATTGATTCTATTGAAAAAATGGAGGCAAGTTTTGCAATGCACACAAATAATAATAGTAAAAATAAGAAAAAATGAAACTTTAAAAACATACAACAGTGAGGATTCGCTGGTGGTCACCCACCCAACTACTAACTCACCGGCGTGTGGCTTAAGTACGGCTGAGCGGACGGGAAGCCCTGTTTTCCACACCCTATGGTCGTATGTATCAAACTGCATCCCACAATCAAATATCTTGTAATACTGCAATCTTATTTTGGAACACCTATATCTGGGCAAGTCAACTACATAGTATATCAACTATTATCGTAGTATATATTTGCAAGTCGTTTTCTTCCATTTTTGCGACCGCTGATTGGCTGTTACCCATGCTTCCTTTTTTATCGCTTTCCTCCCTTACCATATAGTCCGATTTGCTTTAAATTTGAGCGTTATATTATAGTAATTATCTATTTCTACTAACATTTACATCTTCCCGACCTAGATAGTTATAATACCTAGAGCAGAGCGCTAGCGTCGGAGCATAGGTAGCCTTCTCGCTTGTTTATTTTAATATTGTCTTATCCTAATAAACTGGCGAAACCTTTAATGTTTTTTTTTTAGTCGAGTGAGGCCCGTAGGGCTGGCCCGAGCTTCTTGTCAAAATATGTACATGGCAAGAGGCAAGCCGCATTCGCTTCTTCTGATTTGTTTGACTGATGTAGGATACGAGCCCTGTTTACTTCACCGAATTTGATAGTAAGTCAGAAAAGGGTTCGGATAGTATCAAGGTACCTTCATTCTCGACCTGCTAAAGTTGTTATTTTGGAAATCGTCAATCTGTAACCCATGTCATAAAGCCATGAAGTATAATAACGAAATTTATATTCTCTAGACTTTTCCACTTAGTTGGCCCATGTTTTTTCAAAATTCTGGAATTCCAGATCATTCAAATACCAGCAAGCAACATGTACGTTTCAGACACAGTGTGCGAAGATAGAACCTATTAGCGTAATAATAGAGAAGGTGATCCTGTGGTCTGACGATACCGAGTCTGAGTCTCTACAAGACTTTAGGCCGTGGATGCTACCCATAATTATCGGATATGATGAATATCTCACATTACCTAGGTAGCTCTGGAGGTAGTAGGCCGGGAGGCAACCTAGGTCCGCAGGTTTTCTGTTAGTCTAAAACCAGACATGTACCCTTGGGCTCCTACACTACACAGGTGTATAGGCGGCCAGGGGTCGGATGCGGTTTCTCGTAGTATTGGTGCCTGAAATTTTCTTCGAATGCCTGAATTGCTATAACTTATTCCTTGGTAAGCAACACTTGAATCCATCCATCTTATGTATGGATCCATTCTTCTAAGGTCAAGATAAACGCTTCAAAAAATGGGCAAAAAGTGCGACGCTATTCGCATTTTTACAAATGCTAGGATCCCTTTTTCCGTAGACCGATAAATACAAGGTCGGGGGTAGGTCGATGAGATTGGCGATATATATAATTGGTTCAAATTGTTGAGAAATTGGTTATTTGGACGATTAGAGGGCCTCAACGCTATAGAATGCCAAATTTGAGGCCTTTCAATAAGTATGAATAGCTTCACTATTGTCAGATAAGGAATTGTGCTCGGTTGGGGGGAACTTCAACGCCCTGAAATGGGTGATTTCGGAGATTTGTATAGTTGGGAATAGCTTCAATGTAGGAGTTTCGTTAACAATACACTGTACCCGGTTCTTGCCAAGCAACCCTACCCCCTTTCGGGTGTAGGGTTACCACAGGTAAATGCAAACGCTTGCCAAATGCCAAATGTACCTTTTGTAGGGGACTCACATATAAACGGTACATCCAGTTAATTAGAGTTTCTCGACTTTCGAAGGAGAAAGGATAATTATAATATTAGAATTCAAATCTCAGGTATCTCAAGACATATATCTTTTGTAAACATAATTTCTAGAGAACGGTTGGTATAGATATAACGCGAACAATTTTCTGGGGGTGTTCAAAACTCCTTCATGCTATAACACCATGATACCGCCAATCTTAGACATTAAAAGGGTACCAAATGGATTTGTATATCGATAAAATAGAACAGTCGAGCTCAATTTATTTTTATCAATTTTGATCAATTTTGATCGAATTTTGGCAGATATTGGGCCATATGTACCGTTTATATGTGAATCCCTTACAAAAGGTACATTTTGCATTTGGCAAGAGTTTGCATTTACCTGTGGTAACCCTACACCCGAAAGGGGGTAGGGTTGCTTGGCAAGAACCGGGTATAGCGGTGTGAAAAGGCGGTAGAAAACCAGGCATATTCAGACACCAATACTATACAGAACCGTATCCGACCCCTGGCCGCTATGCACTTGCGTAGCTACACCCGCTTGCACCTCTCTTTATCCCCCGAGCAAAACTTAATACAAAAATAGTATTATATAGCTCTTCTAAGTCCGTCAAATTCTGATCTCATTGCAAAAAAAGACAGGCAATTTGTGTATCGAATAACATACGAAACATTTTCGACGCGCCACTATCTCACAAAAAGACCGTCAACATAATTATGTCTGCAGTAGTTACACCACATCGCTTGTTCGAGGTAAGACAAGGTCTTCATATGTGAATCCTGCTAGGTATCCTTGCTAACCGGCACTGGGTAAACTTCGAGAACAACTGAATGGTAGCAATCAGCTTCTCCAACAGGAACTCAACGCTTCGTTGATCCATCGTCTCCTCAGTGGCTGTTATCATGAGCTCGAGCTGAGATCCGTGTTCAACGGAGATGATACCCAACTGGCCGTGCGCCAACTTGGAGCTGGCCCAATCGCAGGCAGACGATGAGCGAACGCCATCCATTTCGAAGGGCTCCGTGGCTTCTTCACTCTGATGGTGAACAAGGCAGGCCATTTTTGAGCCAGGCTGCCACCCTGTGCAGGATTCTGTGATAGAATCAAAGGATGCCTCGTCATGGGCAGTGATTTCCAGTTGCTGTACCTGAACATGATGCAAGAAATCCTCCACCGTCCAGTCTGGTTCAATCCTGATTCGAACGGGCAAGTGATTCAAGCAGGGCCCAATGGCTGTATTTGCGTCCAAAAAGGAACTTCCACGTCCGTGAACAACCTGACCTAAGATAATATCAGGTTGTGAGGTTTTCTCAAACAGGATCCACGAGAAAGCTGCTTTCACCAGTGTTGAAATGGTCATGTCAGGTGGGAGGGAGGGCATTGATGTTTGGCGCTTTTCAACTATGTCATTGTCCGAAATACGTGCCTTTCCAGTTTGACGAAGAGGATCAAGAGCAGCAGATGGAACACCTTGAAGGTATCGTCGCCAGAATGAAACCTCTGCTTTGTTCAGATCGCCCATCCGCTTGTAGGCGACATCCTTGAATTGCACAGCCTGTGGTAGAGGCTCGTTATGATAGGCTTTTGTGATTGCCTTCCAGAGCAACGGTATAGAGGCCCCATCATACTGTGCATGGGATATGCGAAGGATCAATGCAGAGCACTGCTTGATGGGACTAGTAACGAGAGTGAAGCTGACTGGCATTGCACCCTGGGCTGTGAAGGGTGGAACCTTTTCTTTGGACTCTCGACCAACATATGCCTGTGGATCATCGCATTCAACAACATTCAGCACAGGCTGAACTTCCCGGAGGATCACCTGGAGAAATCGGCCATTGGCCTCCATAAAGACTGTGCGTAAGATGCTGTGGTGAGCAACAACGTTCCTGCACGCGGTCTTCAGTCTATTAATGTCCAGGGCCACAGGGAATATTTGTGCCATCGAGACTGGCGATGCATGCGTCATGTAGAAGACTTGGAATGGAAGCGCCGGGATGATATCTTCCACATTATCTTTAACCACCGAATGTCCCCGTAAGAAGTGCGAAGCAAACAATTCCTCACGCTCGTGATCCGTAATCAGGGAGTAGGGTATGTGAGACCACAAGGAAGAATTTGCAGTCTGTATTCCATCCATGATATCGGTAGAGTTAATGACGGTAGCATGTTTGGCAACACGTATTAGTGTTTTCCACTGGAACAAACTCTCGACTGAATGCGCAATCCCAGCTGCCCGTGCCCTCGATGCGACTTTAAGAGCCGAGATAGAGTCACCTCCCAATCGGAAGAAGCTGTCCTCAGCGCCAATCTCGTCGGCTGCAATATTGAGTACTTGTGCCCAGATGTGCTGCAAATCCCTCTCCATCCCCGTGGCGGGCACTCGCTTATCTGAAGGGGCTTCAGCGAACAAAGACTCCAGCTGCACTCGTGTTGCGTTTGACGCCGACTCTCTCAACCGCTTTCGGTCAACTTTGCCACTGGGTGTGTGGGGTATCCACCGCAGTGGCACAAAAGCAGACGGTACCATATAATCTGGAAGGATATCACTGAGGTGGCGTTTCACATTTGATATTTGGGCCGCGAAGTTGGTCGGGGAAACAATTTCCAGGGAAGGGATCGCTGAGCTGGATACTAGTGAAGCCGTCTCAGCCGCCTTTGAAGCGACAAAGACAACCAAGCATTTGGAGCTCGTCGAAGACATCGGGGTCACAATCTCAGCCGTGATGTCCGTTAGATCTTCAGGCCAGACCTCCTGCAGTCGCTCCTCAACTTCTGCAAGCTCAAAACGCTGGCCTCGTAGCTTGACCTGAAGGTCTTTTCTTCCTATAAATGAGAGAGATCCATCCTTCTCATAACGAACAAGGTCGCCTGTTCGATACACCCGACCTTCCTTTTGACCACCGGTGAAGCCGAAACGTTGCATCCATGTTGGGCATGAGATAAAGTTTGCAGCTGTTTGGTCCGGACGGTTCAAATATCCGCGACCTACAAGAGGCCCCTGAAGAAGAAGCTCGCCCACAGCACCAATGGGAGCGATTCGTTGAGGATTTCGTGGATCGGCCACCCAGCAGGCGCCTGCAATCGGCTTTCCGATATTCCCACCCTGCGAGTTAGAGTCGATTGGAGACTGCACGGTAAACACGACCGTGCATTCTGCTGGACCGTAAACTGGCACGATCTGTGCATTCGGCACCCACTGCTTAATGTCGCTTGACCGGAGGGGTTCTCCACCAAGCATGATTGTTCGGAGCGACCCCAGCTCGCTTGGCATCATCGCGCGTAATACACTGGGGGTTAAGTGGGCATGCGACGGTTGTAGCACTTGCAATGCCTCAGTTAGCCGGCCTCTACGCTCAGGCTGCGTCAGAACGCAGACACAAGCACCCACAAGCAGTGGACCGAGTATTTCCAAAATACTAACGTCAAAAGCATAGGAAGAGAAGTTCAGGACGCGGTCACCTGGGCCAATACCCATAAGACGAGAAACTTCTTTTGTCATTGTCATAAAGGAACCATCCTCAATCACAACACCCTTGGGTTTGCCGGTTGAACCAGAAGTGAATACAGCATAAAGAGCACGCTCTGTTCCCAACCGAGTGGTCTTATGGTTTGGCATCGGTGCACACTCGGAGATGCTCCGAGGCATGATCACAACCTCGTGGAACAGCGCCTCTGCTTCATGACGATGCTCGGGAGATGTAAGTATAAAAGGAGGCTTTACTTCTTCGCAGATACTCCGAAGCCGTTCTTGTGGATGCGAGGTGTCTAGAAGGACAAAGGCGCCCCCTGCCTTAAGCACGGATAAAATTGCTACCACAGTCCAGCATGACCGATCAAAGTATATTGGAACGAAGACCTCTGATGACACTCCCTGCAGACGCAAAAAGCAAGCGATGTTGGAAGAAAGAAGGTCTAGTTCTTCATATGATAGGCTGAACTCGGATGATGAGACGGCTAGACTCAATGGTTGCCTCTCACAATGCCGAGAAATTACATCAGTGACCGACTCCGAACGTCGTGCCGGGAATCCAGCGTTCCAGGCTTGTAGCTGCTGGATACCTTTTTCATTCAGTGTAGCAATTTCGTGCACTGGCTTTTCAGGATACTGGTGCACCTGCTGCAAGTTGTGGCTGAATTGGTCTAGCATGCGTTCAACTTGCCATGTTGGAATGACAAGGTCATCGTTGGAAACTGCAACGGTTACCTCATTTGGCTTGAGCATAACGGCTAGTTGGATGGCGTATGTATTTGATGCAGCATCCCCCGATGATGTTCCTATGGGTTCCATAGGATGATTATTGCCAGTACCCAAGTTTTCAACCTCTCCTCTCCCTTCCACAAGTAGGGTTTGGAACGAACAGGCCTGCTTGGCCTCCGGCCCTATGGCAGAAATTTCAGGTAGTCCAACTTGTTCGAATGGAATCAGCTGTACTGTCCGCTCTTGCAAATTTCTGAGGGCTTGTGAGACGCTCGCATTATCATCGATTTGCACGCGCAAAGGAAGCGTAGCAATTGTTGGACCAGCCATGCCCTCAATGCCATTGACCAATGCTGTTCGACCAGGGGACACAATGCCAAATACCACATCATCATTGCTCTGGTAATGAGACTGAACAAGCGCCCACGCGAAACGGATGGCGGTGGTTCGACTGACGCATCCATCCACCACTGGGCCAGTTTCAATTGTTCGTACCGTTTGTTCTGAAGCCCGAGGCCGATATGATGTGGAAGGAAGTGTGGGAAATGGCTCGGCAGTAAGTCCGTGGAATTCACGGCGCCAGTATTCAAGCGCATCCTTTTGTTGGGACATAGAATATTTGATGAATTCTTTGAATGGAGTCATTTCGGAGGGCACCATTACCTGACCTTGGTAGGCTTCTCGGGCACGGTGCACAAGCAGAGGCAGTGACCAAGAGTCATACAGAGCATGATGAATGGTAATAACTAGGTCGGATCGCCCAGCTATATTGAAATCCTCGCTCACCACCGGGACAACTTCAAACTGCACCAGTGGCTGGCCCAGAAGGTTGTTCCATTGTAACCTTTTCTCTTTCATACCCGGCAAGATCCAGTGGAGCTCACTGTCCTTTAACAGGACTTGCATGAAGCCAAACTCCGACTGAATGAATCGAGTGTGCAGAATTCCGTTGTGTTTTGCTACTATCTCCCAAGCAGTTTTCAATAAAGACAGATCAATATCCGGCCCTAGTCGGAAACGATGGTGTGCGATATATGATCCGGGACGCTCCGCCGTTAAAGCTACCATACCAGCCTGCAATGCGGTGCAGGGGTATATGTCCGCGATTTTCTCTATCGGGAGGTTACATTGTTCCATTGCATGTGCTTTCAGTTCTTCTATGCAATTTTCCGGGAGCATTGAGAACGGGGGCACGGAATCACCCATTTCTTTTGGTTTGGACTTTGGAGGTTCCTTCGGCTCTGGAATTGAGCAATTCAGTGCAAGGTCGCTAAGCTTAGGATGTAGGAAAATATCTGAGACACCTAGTTGAATGCCTTTCTCGCCAGCCGTGGCAGCCAACCTCATTGCTGCGATCGAGTCTCCGCCCAAGCGGAAGAAGTTGTCATCAGGTCCGACTGTCTCTACAGGACGAGCCAGCACTTCAGCCCAACAATTTTGCAACTTGCGCTCCCGACTTGTCATTTCTCTGAAATTTCGTAGGCGATGGCTGGTCGCGTCTTGACCAATCTGCACCCGTAGCGCTTGAGATGCTGCATCCCGCACTTTTTCCCGGTCAATCTTTCCATTCACTAATCGTGGTACCTGATATACAGGAACGAATGCCGACGGGATAAGAGGAGCTGGAACATTTGCCCGAAGATGTGATTGCATTTGCTCCACGGCCGCTTCAAAGGTTTGAATATTGTCGCTGTCTCCTGGTTGAACAATGGAGGCTACTAAATAGGCATCATTGGTATCTTTTGGTGCGATCATATCTGCAAAGACTTCGGGGTCGTTGATAGGGAAGCACTGCTGAACATGGTGCTCAACTTCAGGAAGTTCAATACGCTGTCCACGTAACTTTACTTGACGGTCTTTTCGTCCGATGTATTGTATAGAGCCATCCACAAGACGCCTCACAAGATCCCCTGTTCTGTACAAGAAGCCCCTTCGGGAGCTACGGAGCTTGCATAACCAAGTCGGATATGGAACAAATGCTGCTGTCATGGCCTCGGGACGATTAACGTAACCGCGACCAACAATAGGACCCTCGATGAGCAGTTCTCCGATAGCGCCTATAGGTAAGAGACTCTCTGGTCTGTTTGGATGTGCTACCCATGCGACACAACCAACAGGGTTTCCAATATTCGATTCATCTTGGGCGAGATATTGCGGTGATGACTGGGCTGTGGCGATGACAGAGCATTCTGAAGGACCGTAGGCATTCATTAAGCGTACATACGGGGACCAATGACGAACATCGTCCCTAGTCATGCCCTCCCCACCGAGCACAAGTGTTTCCAACGTCGGAACTTGCTGCGGATTTAGGATGCGTGCCACAGAAGGGGTCAGCAACGCCCAGTTCACTTTCATATCATGGATTGCATGACTCAGCCGTTGGTTTCGGTCTTGATCGGAGGGAATACAGATACAACCACCGACCAAAAGCGTGTCGATCATTTCAATAATACTAGCATCAAAAGCATAGGAGGCAAATTGGATGACCCTGGCCTTTTTATCAAGACGAAGGACCTGGGTATGTGCAGCTGATGCTGACAGGAAAGACTGGTGCTCAATGAGGCTTGCCTTTGGCCTACCTGTCGACCCGGACGTAAAAACAGCATATGCGGAAGACTTTGGACTAGCTGCCAATGGGATAATGTCTTTTTGAATTCCCGAATGCAATATTTGGCTCAGGTCCTCGGCGATGATTGGGTTTGGCGCTAAATTGGCTGCGAGCTCAAAGTATCTTGTTGAGGTAATAATGACTGGACACTGGAAGTCCACTTGTACCATATCTTGTAGTCTCTCTGCTGGATGCGACGGATCAAGCAAGATGAATGCTCCACCTGCCTTCATAATCGCGATTATGGCGACTACTGTCCATCGGGATCTCTCACGGCATACTGGTACAAAGACCTCGGGACCTATACCAAGCAAAGCCAGCTCTTTAGCTAATAGCGATGAGAGAAAGTCGAGAGTCTCATATGTGAACTGGCCATCCCAGGCATCGACTGCAGGGGATGTGGGTTGCGCCTTCGTCATTCGTTGTATGTCAGTGTGAATACAAGATCGCACAGCTTGAGGTAGGTTGTAATTGAAACAAAGCATCCGACTCTCGTTCTTCCCCATTGACAGATTTATGTCGCTTAGATTGACGATTGCGGGATCAATAAGCTGCAGAACGATATGACGAAAGGTGTCGGCAACCAATTCAGCCTGAACTTCAGCCACAGTGTGCGGCCAGTATGTCAAATCACCATCGATGGTCTCCTCACGCGCCGTGATATTGATAGTCAGGTCATACTGTATTTTGGTAAGTTATCCAAATTTGAAAAAACGTCTTGGGGGCATTATTCCACACATACCTCAGTTGAGTCAATCCCGTCCTCTGGTTGCAACTTGATTTTTTCGGACTGATCAGAGAATATGATTCCTGGGTCCTTTTGTAATGACATCGCGGTATTAAACAAAGATTGACCGGAGAGATTCAAAGAATGCATGACCTCTGCTAAAGAGCAATGTTGGTGATCAAGGCTTTGGGCGTAGGCCGCATGGTTTCCGGCAAGCGTTGACAGAACCGATGATTCGTCAGATAAATGTAGGCGACAAATCAAAAGATTGATCAAAGGTCCAGAGATATTGTGCGAATCTTGCACTGGGATATCACGGCAAGCATTCAAATACCCGAAGCATACAGACTCGCTTCCTGTGTATACACGGAGGACAATACCCCAAGCAACTTGGAGCAAACTGGAAATCGTGATACCATGATGCTGGCAGAATGAGCGGAGATCTCGTCCAATGTTCATGGAGAATGGTAACAATTGTAGAGAGCTTTTGTTTGGCCTATGCTCTTTCAATCCAATAGATGGAAAGAGACATGTATGAACACCAGTCAAATATTGCTTCCAGTAGAGTTCCGAGGCCTCATTTTCCCGAGTTTGCAGATACCCTAGGTACCTGCTATAGCAGCCCGCAGACCCTGCGTCCAGTTTCCCATTGCATGCTTGGTAGAATTCTGACAATAATCTTTGCTCTGTGATACCGTCGACAAGAATGTGGTGGATAGCCAGCTGGCAGTATGCTCCACCATCAGGCCCAATTGCGACGGTAAGCTGATGGGGCGGGCGACCCTTCTCATTTGAGGATGTTGGATTGAGCAGGAACTCATCCGAAAGAGAAGTAACTTGACCTTCTGCATGCAATTCGGATTCGGAAATTGTCTTAATGTTTGCCTCGGACGTTCTCAGAACTACTTGGACTGGATGACCATGCCCTGTGACGCCATCGGTGAAGACAGTGCGCAGGATGGGTTGACGGTCAACAACCTGCTGCCATGCTTGCCTGATCTCATTGATATTTATTGGGTCCGCAGATTTTGGATATAGAGACCACCGGATATGCGACCAGTATACTTGAGGGTTTCTTAATTGGCTCAACCACATGCCAAGTTGAATGGGCGAGCAAGGGAACATATCCTGGATCCCAGACGGAGACACATCGAATCGACCAGAGACCTGATGGAGTAGCTTGTGAAGCTGCTCCTCGCTTGCAAGTGATAGCAACGGAAAATCGACAGCGCTGAGTCGCTGTTCCTGTTGCAGCTCTATGGGAAGTTCCTCAAGGGTTTGTAGGCAATTACTGATCCATTGATCTAGTCGGTCCTGATGCCTTAATCTTCGGTTATAGATAAAGGACAAGTTAAGAGAGCCGTTCATGACAGTCGCATTCACATCAATGAGAGCCATGCGCGGCAAATCAGCTGCCATGGGGAGAAGGGATTCATCTTGGACCGACGTCATCTGGAGAAGGGCGCCTGGTCGCTCAAATTGTTGGAAAAGGCCGGTATAGTTGAAAAGAATCTCCATTGGGGAATGACCCTGGAATTCGTTCGGTCCCTTGGGATGGAGGAATCGCGATGCAAAATATGCCCATCCGTTGGTGGATATGCTGCGGCGACCGGCTTTTGTCAACTGCAAGATCCTCCTGACGCTGTCTTCTTTCTTAACATCCAAAAACAAAGGTGAAATAGTGGTGAACCATCCAACCGTGCGAGATATATCAATATCAGCATCCCATGGCTCTCTCCCATGCCCTTCGCTGAACATGGTAGGTGCAGATCGATTGTCGAATGCCTGAACAAAGGCATAGAGTACTGCTGCCTGAATAATTTCCACTGGCTGGGTGTGAAACGCGCCATTCGCAGCACCAATTATTGCGTCGGTTGTTTCCTTCGATACCGTGATGTTTCGTCGTATTGCATCCGCCCAAGTATTCGCACCTAGGATAGCCTCTGAGCCCCAGTAGTTCATTGAGGGACGTGGAATTTCCGTCTTCAGCGTTTTGCTAGGATCAAGAGACTCTCTGGTATAGTTTCTTTGCAACCGGCACCATTGTTGGAATGATATGGAGAGAGGCTGTATTGTACGGCCGGTGCTGAGGATATCTTCAAGGTCTTGCAGAATGATGCGCCATGACACTAGGTCAATCACAAGATGATGGGCCATCAGACCCAAAAACTGCTCCCCCGCGTTTGTGATAATAACGTCAACAACAATCATCACTCCTTGGACGATATCCAGCGTGTTCTGGCTGGTTGATAGAATCGTCTGTAAGGCTTTACGGTCATTCATAGATGACACCCGATGCTCTCTAAACCGAAGGCTTCTAGACACATCAGGACTAATAATCTGTCCCCATTGACCATCCGATCGTCGTTCAAAACGGGCGCGGAGCATTGAGTGAGTGGCGACAATCTTCTCAATCGCTCGTTTTATCTCAGGAGGTGGAAGAGGCTTACCGAGCCGGAGAATGAACTCGAGAGTAAACTTGTTGTGACCATTGGGCACTCGCTCAAAGAAGAGCCTTTGGATTGGGGAAAGTTCAAACCACACCTCCGTCTGCTCGTCCTCCCCGGCCGAGGTGAAAGAGAGGGACCCGGAATCTTGGATCCTTTCTGCCAGTTGCCTGATGGTTGGAAAACGAAATATATCAGCAACCGCTACTTTCAGTCCGACGGTACGGCAACCTGCGGCGACTTGCATCGCGCTGACAGAATCACCTCCTAGACGAAAGAAGCTTTCTGTAGTGCCGATTTCTTCAACAGTTCGATTTAGTGTCTTTGCCCAGATCTGTTGAAGCTTTTCCTCGCGAGAAGATAATGGCGCCTCCGGCTGCGTTTTCACAGCTCGATAAGCCTGCATCTGCTCCAAGGATAGCTTATTGGCCTGCTCCTGGATGTAACGTCGATTGGTCTTCCCAGAAGGCGTCAGAGGTATATGGGAGAGGGGTAGATAAAACCGTGGAATCATGAAAGATGGTAGAACATCCGACATGCTAGCCTCTGCCGCAGTGCAGGCTTCACGAAACTCATCGTTTGGAGGAAGAAACTCGGCTTGATGATTGACGCCGTCTTTTGGAGGAGATGCAGGGAGACATATAAATGCTATGAGTAGAGCGTCTGGTCGACGATCATTGGTGCCATTCTGGGAAGATGACCGGAGGACGTCTGCAAGGGTCTGGTGGGATTTCGGAAATGCTTTGTGAAGATGGTACTCAATGTCTGCCAGTTCTAAACGTTGTCCGTGTAGCTTGACCTGAGTGTCTTTCCGTCCAAAGTATCGGAAACTACCATCCCCGGTAGCTTGCACCAAATCTCCGCTTGTGTATAATTTTCTGGATGGAACGGAGCCAAATTGCAGGCGCCAGGGAGGTGGTTCAACGAAAACCCGAGCTGTCTGCTCGGGCAAGGATAGATAACCCTTGCCAACAATTGGTCCTTCTATCAATAGTTCTCCAGTGCATCCAAGTGGCATGAGCACCCGATGATCTTCCGGATGAACAACCCATCCAGATCCCCCCGTGCTATATCCTATATTCGCTGGATCATTGCTCTTGAGATTTGGTTGTACACTGAACACTGCTGAGCACTCCGCTGGGCCGTACGCATTTCCAACGTGTACAAAAGGCTCCCAGCGGACAACGTCGCTAGCCAAAACTGCCTCTCCGACAAACATCAAAACCTTCAAGGACTTAACACTATCTGGGTTAATGATCCGGGTGACACTGGGTGTCAGGCATGCAACGGTCACTGCAAAGCGGTTCATAGATTCCACCAGATGACTGCGACAGCCATCCATTGATGGGATGCAAACACAGCCTCCATGAATTAGAGTACTGATATGTTCGATAATGCAAGAATCAAATGCTGGAGATGCAAATTGTAGCACACGCGACTCTGGTGTGAAGTGGTATGGCTTGCCATGAGCCATAGCACTTGAAGCAAAGCCTTCGTGATGAACAATTACACCTTTGGGGGTTCCCGTGGATCCAGAGGTAAATGTCAGATAGACGGGATCCTGTGAGCCAACAGAAGATTTCCGAGATGAGCTACTGCAATGCGGTTGCTCCGAGTCAAAATCATCCAGGTTTAGCAATACTTGAACTCCAAGCTGGGCCGCTAGCTCAATATGCAAACCGCAAGTCAATACTAGGGGAGCTTTAACAGCTTCACACATATTCTGCAATCGGGACTGTGGGTGTGATGGGTCTAGCAGCACAAAAGCAGAACCAGCCTTCATCACAGCAAGCATGGCGACCGCCATCCACTTAGTCTTTCCCAAGAGAAGAGGTACAAATGATTGAGAGCCAACAAGATGTCGAGAAAGATGGTCGGCCAATGCGGACGACAATTCATCGAGGGCTAGATATGAATAGTTGCCATCCCAGCTACTGATAGCCATGGCGTCAGGTTGTTTTCGCGTGCGTCTTTCAATTAATGAATGAACACATGGCATTATCTCAGAGTGCTTTGTCAAAATATTCTGGCGGCGGAGAATGCTCAAATTTTCGGGGCTCACGACACTAATATCGGAAAGTGCAAGGCCCGGCTTAGTGTCGACCTGCTCGTAGATATGAATGAGTTGGGAGAGAATTCGCTCCATTTGGCATGGTTCTGTTGCTGCCGGGTCAAAAGAAGCCTCAATTGACATCATCGTAGTCGAGGGGCGATATCGTAGGATCAAAGGATACATGTCGTACGTCAATTGGGTTGATCGACTCTGGGAGAATAAGTCGGGAAGTTGATGGCCATCTCTGGGCTCGACCGAGAGCAGGGTTTGAAAATGACACGCTGCTGCTGGACCAGGACCAAGGCGAAGCAGATTTTGCAATCCCACATGCTCGAACTCCATGGATGTTGCCCATTCATCCTGTATTGCAACCAAGGTATCTGCGACGGTATTCTGCCCGCACAGCTTGATACGCACGGGCACGCTAGCAAGTGCAGGTCCGCTTAAGTCCTGCACACCTGCAACGGACACTGCACGACCCGCGTTTACTGCTCCAAATAATATGTCATCAGAGCCAGTATAGACTGATTGTAGGATCGCCCATGCTAATCGAATTTTGGTGCCAACAGTGCTTGAGGAACCTTTGCCAGATTCAATGCTAAAGGACCTTTCTAGCCGCTCAGTTGGTCTGGCAGCATGACCCACTGTGGGTAGTTGAGGAAATGTCCCCATGGAGGCCTCATGTGCATCACCAAACTTGGATTTCCAGAAAGCATTGGATCTATCTTGGGTCCCCTGTACATGGTCCACTAGAGGCCGAAAGGGATGGAAAGACAGTTCTTCGCCTCTGTAGGCGGCGGCAGCTTGGCGCAACAACAATGCAATAGACCAGTGGTCGCAGATAGAATGATGGATTATCATTTTCAGCTTATTTTCGGTGACATTGAAGATGAAATACGCCAGTGGAGCGCCTGCTCGCCAAGAAGGGCTGGTAATCTCACCATTTATGCCGTCGTCGGTCTCCTGGACCTGCCATGGAATTGATCCTCGCACCACTGCCTGTACACAACCGTGCTGACTGGTTGGAATCATACGAGTCCTCAATATCGGGTTGGCTTGGGCCGTCTGAATCCAGGCCCCTTGCAGCTTATGATGGTCAACCTCTCGTGGCAGACGGTATTCGTGTTCGATGGTATATGCTCTTGGGTCTTTGAAAGTGAGGGCTATCATTGCTTCCTGGAGGGCGGTGCATGCATATACATCTTCAATCTCATCCAGGGAGCAGTGGCATTGATCCGCCACTTGTTGCCAAATTTCATCGATTGAATTCTCCTTGTCACTCGAAATACTAGGGGGCCCTTTATCGAATGTTTCCTCCGATGGGTCTCTCGACCCTATCGAATCTTCGGGTGGAGTGATGGCTCCCGAGGCAGGAACATATATTGGTGGTCTCATACTCAATACAGGATGCTTTGATACCATGATTTCAATTCCTGTGCTCTTCATTTGATTAGAAAATATACCTGTGTCTTTGGGGTCCATGTTAACAAACCTGTGCCACTCAATAGTAGGTGTATTGTATCGTTCGGGGTTTTATTCAACGCATGACCAATCTCGTCGGCATTGCCATGTTCTATGAGAATAGACAAGAGACGTTTTGAAATGAAGTTTATACGAGAATATTAGTGACATACATGGTACCTAGAGAGCTACGGCCGGGATATACATTATGCGCCCTGATCCAAAAGAAGTTTTCATAAACCGTGGTATAAGCACATGTCAATGTAACATAATAGATTCCTTGACGTACGCAGTGTAAACTCTACATCGGCTAAGCTTGATATCTTGTTCAGTAGGTTCTTCTTTGCTGCTGTTTTCAGCTGTTTTCGGGTTCTTTCTTTTCTTTCTATCAAGTACCCACAATGTATATTCATCATCGATCGAGCTTGATCAATTTCGATCAAGCTCGTACCATGGTTTCTGACAAAAATGCTATTGAGGAAGAATTACCTTCCGAAGTGGATTGCCTGAATGCCAGTTGTTCGAAATCCTAAATTTATCCAAAATCATTTAAGCTTAGGTTACATCCGCGCGGAACGCTTTTTGCACGGGTACATCGATCCACTTCTTGACATCACTGCCCCTCTGCATTATCCTATTTTGGCCAAATGTGAGATCAGATTAAATACGATGACTTTGAGACTTATCGTCAATAGCTTTGGAGGGCGATGGCCTTGAATTGTTCACGTCACGTGTCACTGGTATCCGAACGTTAAGTTCCGTCGGCTGATTCTTTGTCATCTGAAAGAAAGTACTCAGGGGATTCTGACACGTATATTCAATTTCCCAGTTACACACGAAGCCAGAATTACGATAATGGTGCAGAAGTTCACTTTGTTCGACAAAAAAGGGTCTTCTGTCATCGAAAATCCGTCCTCTGTCAGCTTCCCCGCATTGTGTCGAAACGCAGGACCTACCGATATTACTGGAGTATAACTCCATCACAAGTCCAGATATGGTCGCTCATTCAGCGAAGTCAAAAGATAAGAAAGCCAAGGAAGACAAGAAAGCTAAGCAAGCAACTCTCGCTAGCTATGCGGTAGGTTCTGACCCATCCCTATTGATGGATCTGGCTTTGTCTACCATCGCTCATACTTCCACCAGAGGATTTTATCATATGGTGCCTCGCATGGGGGTATTTACATTATGGTGCTGGGCCTGATTTGTGCCATGGCTTCGGGAATTGTACGTTATACCAAGTGTCGAATGTCGAACTCTACTCAAGATCAACTAATGAGACTCCAGGCTCTTCCGCTGATGAACATCGTCTTTGGCAAGCTGGTGGGAAACTTCAATGCATACTTTATACCAGGGTCTGGTATCACCGAGCAATCATTCAAATCTTCGGTTAACCAAGACAGGTAAATATCGCACTCTATTGCTCATGGCAGCGAAGAGCTTACCTTATCTTTCTAGCTTGTATATTGTGTATTTGTTTATCGGAAAATTCTGTTTGACATACATATCCATGGTAACTATGATTTTCTACCTCCATAAAATTCTTGTTACTCATACCCGACAGATTTGCTTTCGATTGACCAGCCTCCGTGCCTCAGGGGCCTTGCGCCTGGAGTACACCCAGGCTCTCTTTTCACTCCCCGTGAGCAAGCTGGACGAGATGTCAGTCGGAACTGTCACACATGCGATTACGGCGCTGTCAAATACGATCCAGCAAAGTGTTTCTGATCGACTAGCCATTTTATTCCAGTCACTCGCCTTGCTCATTGCGGCTTATGCAATCGCATTCCGTTATTCTTGGGCACTGACGCTTGTCGTCAGTTCGGCTATTCTATTTGTGGTCATTGGTTTTAGCTTGACAACGCCGTTTTTGGTGAAGGCGCAGCAGAGTGTGGACCAAGCAGACGAGAAGCATGCAGCCCTTGCCTCAGAAGTATTCGGCTCTATTCGGACAGTGTTCGCCCTGGGTGCTGAGCAATCACTCTTCAAGAAGTATAGACGGTGGGTCGAGGAATCACGAAAACGTGGCCTGGGTATGTCTTTAGTCAGTGGAATTCACCTTGCAATGCTCTTCTTTGCCATGTATGTCAGCTTCTCCCTGGCCTTCTGGTTTGGGCTGAAACTGTATCGCGAAGGCCACATTGCTAATATCAACACCGTCATCACGTATGGCTATCCCATATTTTGAATACTTATGATGCCGCATTCTGACAATCAGTTAGGGTATTCTTTTCCGTGCTCCTCGTGGTCACTATTTTAGGAGGAATTGCGTCGCCATTGATGGCTATCACGAAGGCCATAGGCGCATCAGGTGCCTTTTTTGGTGTTATTGATTCCAAACAGGATATTACACCTGGAATTCGAGATCCGGAGTTATCCCATGCTGATATCTTGTTTGAGAACGTGACGTTTGCCTATCCCACACGACCAGACATGGCTGTGCTTAAGGGATTCAATGCACGATTTGAGCGCAATAAAACCACGGCTCTCGTTGGATCTTCAGGTTCAGGTAAAAGCACTATTGTCGCTTTGATTGAGCGGTGGTATCAGCTTCAGTTAGAGGAAGAAGAGCCCACACTGGGTCATATCCATGTGGGATCTCACAACATTAATGACTTGGACGTGAAGTGGTGGCGATCCCAGATTGGACTTGTTCAGCAAGAGCCGTTCTTGTTCAATGATTCAATATACAATAATGTTGCTTTTGGTCTGATTGGATCGCAGTGGCAGAATGATACAGAATCTGTAAAGATGGAACTCATCACCGCAGCCTGCAAGCAAGCCTATGCAGATGAATTTATCGACCGACTTCCCATGGTATTGTCACGCATTTTCCGCTGTGTTCTTTTATTTCAATTTTATCTGATTATCCTATTTTTAGGGCTACTTGACTACTGTTGGAGAAGGTGGAATCGCATTGAGTGGCGGACAGCGCCAAAGAATTGCTATCGCGCGAAGCATTGTCAACCAGCCCCAAATTCTCATTCTTGATGAAGCAACCAGCTCGATCGATGTCCAAGGAGAAAAAATTGTGCAAGCAGCCCTAGATCGTGTATCCCAAGACCGCACTACAATCATGATCGCTCATCGCCTGTCCACTGTCCGCCGCGCGGACAAGATTGTCGTCATGAAAGACGGCAAAGATATTGAAGAAGGTTCTCACGAAGAGTTGATACTCAAGAAAGGCATATACCATGACTTGGTTCATGCCCAACAACTGGAGCCACTGACAGGCTTGATGGATGCTGACGTACCAGGTTCGATTTCTTCGCAGAAAGAAGAAATCATGCCTGAAGATTACACCACAAAAGAAGGCAGCGATCAAAATTGCCAAGATAATCTCGACCCCGAACCAAAGAGAAAATTTGGCTTTTTCCACAGCTTTGGGGTCCTTATTTACGAAAATCGTAGCCATTGGGTCTTATATGCGCTGACGCTGATCGGGGCTATAGGGGCCGGTTGTAAGAATACATCCTCCTTTGCCGCACATTTCCAGATATAAGCTTACAGGTGCCAATAGCCGGGTTTTCCCTACAAAGTTGGCTTTTCGCCAAACTTGTGCAGGTTTTCCAGTTCACTGGTGAGAAGCTCGTGCACGCTGCAAACTTCTGGGCATTGATGTTTTTCATCCTTGCCCTTGCCATGGCGACCTTCTATTTCATGCTAGGATTTGCGTCAAATTCGATCTCTATGGTGAGTCTCCATACGTCCATGGACTTCAACCAAGGCTAATTGTTCAGTTTGTCGTGTCCACCTCTCGGATGGATTATTTCTATAATTTATTGTCCAAGCCGGTGTCATACTATGACCACGAGGAGAATGCCTCGGGTAGTCTAGTTTCCAGACTCTCCACTGATTCAAAACAATTACAGGAAATGTTTGGCCCTACTGGTGTATTCCCTCTCATCTCGATTTTCAATATCCTTGGATGTGTTGCAATATCGTTCGCCTTTGGATGGAAGCTGGCAGCTGTAACCTTTTTTGCCGCCATGCCATTCATATTTCTCTCTGCCTTCATGCGCATTCGATATGAGATCAAATTTGAGAGCCTAAATGCTGAAGTTTATGCCGATAGCTCCAAGTTCGCAACTGAGGCAGTCGGGGCCTTCAGAACGGTCACTGCTTTGACCATGGAAGATACAATCTTGGAAAGATATTCAACTCTGCTGAAAGATCAGCGTGAAAAGGCCATCCGGAAGGCGTGGTACGCAACGTTGATATTTGCGTTTTCCGACAGTGTTGAGCTATGTGCCATGGCGCTCGCCTTCTGGTATGGCGGCCAGCTGCTCGCGTCCCACGAATATGACCCAGTTGCATTTTTCGTGGTTTATATTGCCATTATTCAAGGTGGCCAATCTGCTGGGCAGTTCTTCAGTTTTGGTCCAAATATCGCCCAAGCTAAGGCTTCTGCCAATCGCATATTGGCTGCACGGTTACCGGCCCAGGGACAGCTTCAACATGTTCCGACGGGACCGCTCTCTTCTTCAGAGGATAGCCCCAGTTCCTCTGTTGAACTACGGAATGTCTCTTTTCAATATTCTTCTCGCGAGGTGCCAACATTTGTTGATCTCAATCTCGCCATTGAGAGTGGCCAATTTGTAGCATTTGTCGGACCTTCAGGCTGCGGAAAATCTACACTTATCTCGCTACTCGAGCGCTTCTATGACTGCACTCAGGGAACCATCCTGTTTGGTGGCCGAGACATTCGTTCCATTGAAATGCCCTCTTACAGAAGTGCTTTATCGCTCGTCTCCCAGGAGCCGAAACTCTTCGAAGGTACCATCCGCGAGAATCTCCTTCTCGGTCTGGAAGCCCCTAACAACCCAACTACCGAGGACCAAATGATTCAAGCATGCAAAGACGCCGAAATTTATGACTTTATAGTATCCTTGCCAGATGGGTTCTTGACGGAACTTGGCGTCAACGCTCAGACCTCTATGAGTGGTGGGCAAAAACAACGCCTTTGCATTGCGCGAGCCCTGATACGAAAACCGCAACTTCTCCTTCTTGATGAGGCTACATCTAGTTTGGACTCTCAGTCAGAAAGTCTCGTACAAAGTGCTATGGAAAGACTAGCAAGTAAGCGGGACATGACCATTATTGCGGTCGCGCACAGACTAGCAACTATTCAGAAGGCCGATGCCATTTTTGTGTTTGGAGAAGGAGCATCGGGGCAGGGATCGAGGATTCTTGATTCCGGAACACATCATGAATTGTTGCGCAGAAAGGGGGTTTATTGGCTGATGGTATTTTTCCTCATCCTGAGTGACATCTACTTCTTTATAACTAACGTGAGCATAGTGTCAAGCGCAAGCTCTAGACCGGTGATAGGATTTATGTGCTTTTCAAGTAATACTGTTCTATTGACACGATCTCTTATCCTATCTCACTCATACTTCTGTATCTCCCAAGGCGCAAAACACGCACCATATGTCTCTAAGAATTCTATGCGTGAACTTTAAATAGGCAATGCGATTTCTATCAAGATATTTCACTTACTAGAGCTGTGTATAGCACGGGATCAACCTTGAGAGTGTTTCAGTTGACTTGCAATTTAATATTACACTCTGTGCCAACTGAGAGGATCGATACGGCCGTATGGCTTACGACTATTATGCCAGCTTCCGAGGCGCGTTCCTCGGTCTAGGCAGGTCATGTTGGCACCCTCGGCTGCAAGATGCCCCCGGGGCGTTAGTTACCTCCCCAGGGCATTTGATCGTCCAAGCCAAACGCTAGCCCGCGGGAAAATACACTAGCAAAAATGCCGGCTGAATCCTGCGAGTAGTCAGTCGCAAACACTTCCCTCTCAGCATTTTCACATGTTCTTGACTCTCTTGTTTTTTTTTTTAAAAAAAAAACCAAAGTGCCGCGACCTAGGATGATCCTCACTCTAGTTTTCACCTCACCTACCTACCACTTACCATTTACCATTTACAATCTATGTTCCTTTCTCATACTACATCAATCACATACGACCATAGGGTGTGGAAAACAGGGCTTCCCGTCCGCTCAGCCGTACTTAAGCCACACGCCGGTGAGTTAGTAGTTGGGTGGGTGACCACCAGCGAATCCTCACTGTTGTATGTATTTTTATTTTTGCATTCCACGAATGCATAGCTATTATGTGTTAGTGGGGTAGGAGAGCGACCGTGGCGATTTATGAGTGCAGATTTAGCCGTTTCTGTCTCGCTGCGGCACAACTGGGCAGATGATGGACACAGATCGTTATTCTCAAAGCAGTCTATGATGCATAATATTCTACAACATTGATAATTTGCAAGATTAGTTTTAACCATTTCTTGATATGGTTCTTGATACAACACAACCAGCCGTTGACATAAATAGAATCCTTGTTGGTAATTCGATTTTTTGGAGATCCATCGCCGCGGCGTCCATGACTTGTCTTTGAACACTGCGCGAGGAAAGAGTTTCTTGTTGCGATTAGAATTCGACATTCAATATTTCGATCACGTTCAATCTTGCCTGTCCAGGCTTTTGTTAATGGTATAGAGGTTTTCAATGTGAGAATTATTGCCGGTATGCTCGCTTAGGGAAGTTGATCGCTCCTTTAGCTTGAATTGGGGTAAAAGAAAAGGGTACAATCGCATCAACAACTGAATCGCACCAACTGGCCAATTCGGAAGCAAAGCAACCTCCCTAGGTAGATATGACAAGGAGATGGTAATAGAAAGTAACCAGATATGTTCGAGTGATAGTAATCATTGTAGTGGGCCTTGACACTGTGTATATTGAAGAGGGGAACGCTCAAGGCAGTATGCTCTATGGCATACGGGTCGATTCTGCAAGCGTAATGCAGTTTCATACCTTCTACAGCCTACATAGCAAACCGGGACAGCGAACCAGGAAGTTAACCAAGAGAGGTGTAGGAGTGTGTATTGTCAATCTGTAAACTATCTGCTACTTGTAACCTCTGAAGCACTAATTGCGCTAACTGCTTACCTAACATCTGCTTGCATAAATCAAAGGAACCACGGGCGCATAGTAGTGGGAGACCATGTCCCCCACTACATTATGTATACTAAGTGGGCGAAAGAAGAATATGAAAGAAAATGCTCCAGGGCTTAGGTATTTTATGAGCTACACAGCTGTTTGCCAGAGCGTAACAGGCCGTCCTCTTGGTTTTATTAGCCATCAATACGTATATCCACTCTGCTGGCTATGTCATGAACTAGTAATTGGTCTTGAATTTTTACTTGGTTTGCTCTGCGATCAAAAAAGAAAAGTGCATAACAGGACTGCATGTTATATGGGTGAGAAGATCCCCTCCGAACTCATTATGTGCGAAGACGAGGAGGTCAGGGACTTCGGATCCACAGTTCGACGAAGTTGGCTGTGTCGCCTAACTTGTACTATGACCCCTAGAATTAAAGCTATTTCTTAAAGTCTCTGTTGAGGCCACACTTCAGGTATTTCGATCTTCTGTTAGCCTGAACTGAGACGAAATTCGGGGTTTTGAACTATAGACTTCCGCACCGGCCCATAAAGCCCAAAGCCCAACCCGACCCAACCCGTAAATGGGCCGGGTTTTGGGCCCGGTCCTTAGGCCCATCGATGGGGGGCCCCAAACAATGCAAATATACTAAGTTGAACCCCCCTAAAAGGGGGTTTAAAATTACCCTTCGTTTTACCCCCGTTTCTAAGCCTTATCCCTAATATAATATTATATCAGTTTGAAATTTCTTGTGTCATAAAATATGGGTATCCACAAACGATATCACCTTTGCCGGCACAGCGATTTCCTGGCCCCAGATGAAGGAATCAGTCATTCTGCGGATGTGTGTGATTTTGTTGATTTCCTTTTATTGATGGAGAAGAGTGCTCTGATGCTTAAGCTACCATGAACAATAAGTAGCTGAGGGTAATGTTCGATAGTTATTGCCGCTTATCCCTCCCATCGAGATGCACAGTCACCACACTAGTTTTTGTATTAGCATAATACACGATGTATTTCAGAAAAATCCCTGCAGGATTAAGTGTTGACGGCCTTGGAGAAAGCCCTCTTTTTCAATTATGCTCACATGAAACAACGCAAATCATTCAGACTATATTCTAAACATGTGCAACCCAAGGGGCTGATAGTTGAATGAAATGGGATCAGAATATGGAGAAGCACGCAAGTCCCTCGTGTCCATCACTACCAAGTCTCTTATTACTCGGACTCTTGTCGGGCAGAGATACAACCACTGATTCGATTGATCAATAGGCTAGTAATAAGGGTTCAATCAGTCTCAATACTATATCCAGCCCTTCGGGTGACGTAGTGGTCAACTTGATATTTGTACATGGAGTCAACGGCGGCTTTCAAAGCACATGGACCAAAAATGGAGATTCACCATTGTTCTGGCCTCAAGAATGGCTCCCCAGGGATCAAGCTTTCCAGGATGTGCGAATTCACACGTTTTTCGATGCATCCGGCTTTGTCCAGGAGTCGGTTCTCAATGTCCCGGAATTTGCACAATCCCTGCTGTACTCTATACATGATTCACCAGTCATCCGGAGAGAGGGTAAGGTAGGTATATTTTGGATCATTTCAGGAGCCAAAATTTGATTTACTAACTGTTCGTTATTAATCATGTACCATTGGTCTTTGTTAGCCACAGCATGGGTGGGCTGGTCAATGAAGACAAATCAAAAGTCACCACAAATTCTTTCTTGAGATCGTTGGCTTGGCAGATGGCTCAGTTACATAGTGGCATTCTGTCGGCTGCACTAGACGTTGCGGCAAAGTGGCAGGATGCAACAATCAGCAAGGCGGGCCATAATCCTGTTTGGCAGAGACTTTACCTGCGCAGTTTGCTCCAGCTTCCTCTGATGAAGTAGCAATACTGGGTGATCGATGCTCTGGATGAGTACAAGGCAGGTCCCGAACTCATGCCTTTCTTGGAAAAGGCCCAAGAGCTCTAGCCGTTGTCCATCTTAGTGACTTCTCGATATCCAACGATTTTCATGGGTTTTACAGATCAAACAATTGAAGTGGTGTCGAAGACGATCGAAGAGTGCGACACAAAATGATATATCGCTCTTTCTTCGAGCCCACATCATTTCACTGCCCTCATGGAACGATGATGAGAAGAAAGCGATGGCGGAAGACATTGCTGAGACGTCTAATGGTTGCTTCCTTTGCTTCCTCTAGGTTGGTCTAGTACTGAAGGAACTTCAACAAGCGAATACATATATCTGGAGAGTGCTGGGGACAGTTCTGACAACATGGGTAACCTTTACCAGAAGATCCTCACTGATATTGCCGACCCTCGACTCGGGAAGGACTTGGCAAAAGCTATCCTTACCTGGACAGCATGCTCATTTCAGCCACTGTCAATAGATGAAATTCACCGGGTCATTAAGCTTGACATCAATAACAGCATCGATGATGTTGAGCGCTCCATCAACACATGTTGCCGCAACATCATCTACGTTGACAACCAGAAAAAGGCCCGGTTAATCAACTCGACAGCTCGAGACTTTCTCCTACGTCAAACTAGTGTTCCGAATCAAGTCAAATGCGCGCAGGCGACTTACTCTGGCGTGTCTTCAGTACCTCTCTAGGAGCGAAATGAAAGCCCCTCGGCCAAGAAAGCTAAGTCTCTCCACAGAAGCCGAGAAGAAGTCCCCATTCGGAGATTATGCATGCATGCAAGTTTGTCTTCAACCATTTGTCTCTGGTGAGATCGACAGACGACGATATCTTCATAACCCTGTCAAAATCCCCTATGTCACCCAATATCCTGAGCTTGATTGAATATCTCGCCAGACATCGAGATCTGCAGTTGGTGTTTCATGTTGGGAAGGCCATCGACAATGTGTTAGCTCAGCACTTCCAGCATACACCCCTGATTGGATTGAAGAAAGATCTTCGGTTCATTCAGGAGTGGGGAAATGATAAGATTCATCCCGTAACTACGTAGATTTGGTCAACAACTTTCCCTATACCCGTTGTCAATCCACCATTTCGTCCCTCCGTTTTCTCCCCGCGATTCGAACCTGCCGTGATTTTTCGGTTCATCGCCCAGAGGATTGTCTGGGCATGGTTTATCTGAGCATACTTAGGATGACTGCCTGTCCACCATTTCGTGTCCCAAATAGGCAAAACTGATGAGCATGGCAACATCAGACAAGTACCTGGCCGTAGACATGGCAAATGGCCATATCATTGTTTACGACAGTACAACATGTCACGATTATCATGTGGCCGGTCAACAAGGAGCGGTACTGAAATTGACATTTGGGGAGAGCCGAAACTATCGCGCATTGGCCGGTATAACCTCGGTTGTTTGTATGGAACTTAAATTCCAGGTCCAAGGTTTGCACGCTCCCGATCTCAGCAATGTGCATCGCTATGACATTCACAGAGAACTACTGTTTTTTGCTTGGTGCATTGAAGAACAACCAGTTGGTTTACTGGGATATCCAAACCGGTGGGATCATCCAGTACGAGCTAATCAATTGAATGCAGCATTTTGAAAACCGCTATATCCAGTTCAAGCAACCTACGGGAGCAGCATTTTGTCCTCACCAGAAGCTCCTTGCAGTTATATATCGCGGTATGTAGCTTATCTTGTGGAACTCTGAGCTGGAAGGAGTTCACGATATATATGAAAAGGACTCCGGGTCTCATCTGTACGAACCGTTGAAAGAAAGCAACGGAAACACCACAGTTTGGATTATAGCCTTCAACCCTGCCATCGACACGAATATCCTCGTTACAGCTTACTCTGATGGAGATACGGTGGTGTAAGATACCTCGTCCACCCAGTCATCTGGGCTGCAGATACACGTGTGGGATCTTGGAGACTTCAGTTCAGACGGGGCAATTCAATCCCCCGTGCACAGCTTTGGCGCCGTGTTATCAAGAGTCGAGGCAGTCATTGGCGCGATTGATGATCGACTTATCTACCTCGACACTGATCACTGGGTTCGCTCAATCAATCTGGAAAGGAGGGAGGAGCCTATGGTGTGATACTTCTTTTCCCCAATGACTGGAAAAGTCTCCCTGCTCAGTTGATACTGTATTTACCGACTTGACCTCGCTTAGATTGTTCCTCTATCTTTCGAACCCATAGGATTTCATAGATTATCTTAGCACGCCTTTGGTCCTCAACTTCCACTTAGTGGGTCTAGCAACTTCCTCTAACGTATCAGCTAAAATCCCGTAGCGACCGAGTTCGCGAAGAATGTGAATGAGTAGTAGAACGCGTTCTATAGACGTAAATTATCAGTATATACTAGGTAGAATCATCCTATATATAAATCTACCCTATACGGTCATATAATCAGGCCTCTTATATTGAATACCTAGGGGCCACCACTCGGGCTTAGTGAACTCCTGATTTCTAAAGAGTCTATACCCTAAATACTTATTATATAAATATCTAGATTGCTTTTAGGGCTTAATGGTAGCGATAAATAGCTTGGTAATCGTTCCATAGTTGAACTGTTAGAATTTACGAAGAGCGTATTTATAGTAAGCTCGGGAAAGACAGACGTACGCAATGTGGTAAAATCTAGGTGTATGAAGTGGCCAATCAGACAAGATTTGCTATTCAAAGCACGTGACCTCCATCCGTACCTGGCTTATCGATAAGAGTGCCAAGCCATCAGCAACCCAAAACTTTTCCGCTCATTCGATATTTTTACCCCAAGCCATTCTGCCGATCATTCACTACAAAATGTTGAGAGAAGTGTAAGTTATGGCGATTTATCGAGATTGTTGTCCTAGCCTAATACCCTGCCCTACAGAAAAGCCAAGAACCCGCGCACTGCGCGTATCCTGAAAGCGCGGGAGCCGCAACTCGTCGAACCTCCCAAGAAGACCCTGATTTTCCACGGCGCAAAATGCCCTCAGACACTCGACACCGTGTTGAAGACCTTCCACGCTTTGACGAAGCCCCACAATATTCTTTTCCACAAGAAGAACGAGAACTTGCATCCATATGAGAACTCGGAGAGTCTGGAATTCTTGGCGAATAAGAACGAGTGTGGACTCGTAGCATTCGGAAGCCACAACAAGAAGCGACCCAATTGTGTTACGCTGGCTCGGGTTTACAACTCAGAGTTGCTCGATCTTGTCGAGATAATGCTGCTTCCCCCCAGAGATGGAGAAGTCATCCCGCCCATCAACGAACTTGTCATGGACGTCGGTCTCGGCCTGCGACCTATGATGCTGTTCTCTGGTAGCCCTTGGGACGATCCTACATCTACTCCTCACGTTATCCTCAAGAGTACTCTTCTCGACATGTTCAAGGGTGAAGAGACGACCCAGGTCGACGTCGAGGGTCTACAGTACGTGATGATGGTTGGTGCGGAGGAGCCCCAGGAAGGCCTCTCGCCCGTCATCCATATGCGCTGGTACAGAGTCATCACTAAGCGTAGCGGCCACAAGCTGCCCCGCGTGGAGTTGCAGGAGGTCGGTCCCAAGTTCGACTTCAAGGTCGGCCGCACACGCCAGGCTGCTCCTGAGGTTCAGAAGGAGGCCATGAAGCAGGGCAAGCGTCCCAACGAGGAAGCCCGAACCAAGAAGAACATCACCATGGACTCTATGGGTGACAAGATTGGCCGTGTCCACCTCGGCAAGCAGGATCTGTCTGACATGCAGACCCGTAAGATGAAGGGTCTCAAGCGTCGGGCGGGTATGGAATCATCGGACGAGGAGGAGGAGCCATCTTTCGATATGATGGAGGAGGATATCATCTCTTCTGACGAGGAGGTGGAGGAGAAGGAAAGCCACAAGAAGGCACGGAAGAACTAAGATCGATTGATTTGCATGATTTCTTTTGCTAAGGAGTTTGGGCCGGACGGGATTTCGTTTTCTGCGCCTGTATGAGCAGTCTTACGGCATATGAAAAGTTATTTTTAAAAACCTCTACATCTAATAGAGAATTTCCTCCATCCATTACTTTGCACTAGACTCAATAAAATTCGCCGGTATGCTCGTAGCCAAGGTGTCTATATACAGCCACGTGACCATGACGTCGGCTGTATTCTCACATGCCGAGGCCCTTTCTCATTGCGGGAACCGATGAAATGCCGTCCCCCTCCCTCAACATCTCCCGCCGCAGGAACCCTTTATTTTTTACTTTATTTCCTCTCCATGTTTTGTAATAGTCTGCAGGTCTCCTCTCGTTGTCTATCGCCCCTATAACCACCCTAAAGCGAGTCCGACCTCTTACCGAGGCCTATAGACGGCATGGATAAACTGCTCGTGAGTTCCGCAGCGCTTCCGACCATACATAACAGTATTAACTGGTCTCTGCGCAGTCCCAACTCGATGCGCTTGTCCTAAAACCCGAACTCGCGCCGTTGTTGTCATTAGTGAAGGGTGCACGCAGTGGAATTGTCTATGGATCAAAAGTCCGCTTTCCGCATGCGCTGGTGTATGTTGGACCTCGGATAGCCCCAAACCCCGCTACAAGGCCTAGCTGACCGATAACAACTGCTTCTAGAATGATATTTCTGTTCAGATCTGGAACGTACGTCACACCTCCCATGCTCGACCTTACCTCTCCGCACAACGAAGCTGATCGCTTCGTTATCTAGAATACGCGAAAAAACAAAACTCGTTTTGAAAGCAACCCGTCAGCATGCGCGGAACCTCTCCATATTCGCTGTTATCTACAAGGCCTCGATGATCCTTCTCCGGAATATACCAGGCGGCGCCGGGAAAGAGGGCCGATATGATAGCTTTTTTGCAGGCCTGCTGGGTGGGTATGCAGTTTTCGGACGACAGCCGGGCAGTATTAGCCAGCAGGTATGTGATTTGAAAATTTCCCTTGATTGTGGACACGATTTGGATTTCGATGCCCGAATACATTCCGGTTTTCTACAAAGCTGACTCGAATCTAGATCGTTATTTACGTCTTCGCGCGTGTGATGCTTGCTCTCGCCAAGCTCGCCGTCCAACCCAACATGCACTCCTTCTCCTCCCTCATTACATCCGACACACGCGCTCAGATCACGAATAATGCCTACCCCGTCTTCGCCAGTATGACCTGGGCGATGGTCATGTACATTTTCCGGTGGCACCCGGAAACGCTGGCTTCGAGCCTCCGGAGTAGCATGGTGTATATGTATGTTTTATTCCAACTATATTTGATTCTGCCTCACTTCCGGCCATTCGAAAGTTCGGAATCGCTTTTCCCAATGATACTAACCTTCATCTCAACCATAGTTACGGTGATTCGGATCATTGGGATTCCCTCCGCACTCTGCTTGTACACAACAAATAAGCTCTTAACGGGGCCGGCCCTCTTAGCTTTTGGGTGCGTTATGGCGTATAGAGCGGTTGTTATTTGTCACTTGGTGTTTCTTTAAGACACATTGGAGATGTGCATCATTCCAGGCCTTGCTCATCATTATATTTTGACCCTACATTATGAGGCATGGGATTCCTTTTTGCATATTTTTGATTACAATGTAAACTTCTACAGACTTTACTCTGCAAGGAATTTCGTGACCAGCAATATAGCAGACTTAGCAACCCAAGCATCCATCCTTGAGCTTAGTTGAATGGATTAAGAACAGAATATATAGGTGTTTTACACTCTTCTTCTTAGAAAACACATTTCGTTTACAATGAGCTGTTAAATATTCAATATTGTGTAGGATGTTACTTGACAGGATAAACATATTTTAAACCTTTGATAAAATTATGGTGGAAGCTGGAGCATATATAACAACTCAGTATTCCGATGGGGATGTCACCTCTTTCAGCTCTTGCTGGATAAGGTGGTATTTACTGAGAATCTGGTATCACTCTCGGGTGGGAAGTTAGAGATTTGATGTTTGAGTTGAGAGGGAATATTTGAGAGGTAAATGAAAGGTATCATCTCTCGTCCTAGGAGCAAGAAATGAGAATAATCACATCGTAAAAGAAAAACAGAAAGGAAGATAAATAAAAATAAATAACTAGTTAGTTAATGGACAGAAAAGGTGCTGATTAATCGAATGATGCATGTGACCTCAATCAAGGTAAACCGCCCAAACCTCCCATCACCAAGCAAAGATAGACCAAAACCAACACGAGAAGAAACAGGAAAAAAACAAAGGCACCATAGGGGAAACTCTACAAACTGGGCACTTTCCTGCCGATGGTGTGAGTGGCAGTCACATCGGCCAATGACTTACGAGCAACCTGACCACAAGAAGAAGCCGTGAAGTCGTTCGTGTCTCGCTTTCACGTTGACCAAGTTCAAAGGCGAGGATTACCCCAGATCCCCGGCTCTCTGCACAGTAAAAGTCCCACCAAAACAGTCAATTACAGGCACAGGGTCTGAAGCAGTTCCCGCTGGGTTACCTGAGACGAGGCATTGAAATGCCTTGTTTGTCTCTGATGTATATAGGAAGGTATTGTTCCCAATTGGGACTAGTGTTTCTCCACCTTTGATTTCGGCTCCACTTTTTACAATTCTTACATAACAACCTTGGAAGGTTGAAGAAGGTTATGTTGACCGAGGAAAGACCTATACATGCAATGTACATGTTCGTTATAGATAAATTGAAATAGTCTTTTTAAATTGAGGGTATAACGGTACGACTTATCAACATAGAAACTATAGGGATATAAAAGCGGGGGAAAAAGTCACAAAATCATAGCTCTACTGCCCATCCTCTCCATCAACGTCAACAAGAACCTTCAACTCCCCATCCATCCAATCAACAGCATCAGCCAAAAGTACCGCAATGGTCCACTCTTTCTGGTTTTGCACAGGCATCAGACCATCCGACAACCAGACCTTGACCTTCCACCCATCCAGAACAACAGATTCGCGAGCTTCCTGCGCAGTAGGGTTAACCCCAGCGCCCTGAAACGCTGGTAACCCGGGGATTTGCCCCGCATATCGACGCAGAATTGCCTGTTTGACCGTATCGATGTTGGGACACTGGCTAGCCGGCAGGTCGAATCTGGGGAGAATGCGTTTTCCGTTGTGCAGGATATTGACGCGAAGGGAGATCTGGCCTTGGGTGTGAGAGGGGATGGTTGTGTTCGCCGTTGGTGTTGATTCTGGGAGAGGGGTGAAGGGTTGGTGGAAGTGAGGGTCGGGGGTTTGAGCAGGGTGGCCGTGTCGGGAGGCGATGTTCTCGCGGATAATGCGAGACACGTCGCGAGTGATGCTGCTTGCGCTATAGGATTGTTAGTTGGTATTTCACACGTGTCTGGAAAGAATGGATGGCTTACAATTCGTCGCGGGCTGGGAGGTTGCGGCCTCCACCAATGCGCCATTGGAGACCTGAGGTGGTGTCTGCGTGGATGATGCGGTTGATATTTGCGTCTTCACAATTCGGTGGACAGTTGTAGTCTCCGTTGTGGATGACATGGTAATGGCTGTCAACTGCAGCGACGAGCCCACGCCAATCCGGTTGCTGGAGACCGGAGAGGGACCATAGGTTATCAAGCTCGTAGCTCTCATTGTACGTATCGTAGCATCGGGCGATCTCTTCCCAGTCCACTGTGTACCCGTCTAGGAAGAGGTCTGTCAGACCAAGATCTATAGGCTGAGACCCATCCATTGCTGATTGCTGCATCGGCGGTGGAGGAGGGGGCATTGACTGCGACAGATCATCACGATGGGACGTCTGATTTTGCATTTGGAGATGCTGCTGCTCTGGAGAGAATCGCGGGCTATTCATATTCGAGAAATCTTCCGTTTTACGGCGGCGACGTTCTTCAGCACCACCTCCTTTGCGAGTCTCAATTGCGTATTGGCGTTGCCTTTCGTTAGTGACCATCCGTCTGAGCAAAGGAATGACTAATGAGATAATCTTGTGTTGATCGCGCGGCCAGATGTAGGCTCTCGGGCCCATGCCTTCATTAACGACACTTTCTCCGAAAAATCTTTCGCCATTCCCCTCGGCTTCGAGGAACTGACGAACGCAATTCCAAAGGCGAAGCTTGACCATTTCCGTGTCTCCCTTTCCACGTTGACCAACACAATCCCGTCGTTCAGGGTGTTCATCGTTCAACATGTAATTCTTAGCAGCAGCCTGAAGATGCAAAAAGTTCTCTGGTGAGATTTCAAGGGACGAAAACATCTTTGAGATAGGAGGCCGGGTGTACTTCTTATTGCCAGAAGGTTGGCGGAACAGTGCCGCCGCAGAATGAATGCCAACAGCACGAGCATCCGACAGGGATTGCTGCTGCTCGGAACGAATGTCTATACCTTCTCCGGTATAGCCATGGGGCGTTTGATGTGCTGAATGCGACTGATGCTGCGCGGCAGAAAGACCCGCGCCAGTCAGGGCCGGGTCGAGGTTATCGTCATTTCGCTTGCGCTTTTTCGTTGCCGTTCGTGTGAGCCCCGAGGACTGGGAATGGTCGGTGTGGCTAGATACTCTCATGTGTCTTCCGCTGCTCATGCCAGTTCCGAAGTTCGCATCGCTGAACCCGTTCTCGGAGAGATCCATATCTGTATATGAATCCAGCTGGTGGTGATGGCCAGCTGCACCGGCTGCTGCGGCGACTGCAGCGGCGGCGGCCCATTGTGAAACATCTTGATCTGCGGCGGCTGTGGCTGCCTCAACTAATCCCGCGAGCTGGTTGTCGTTGGGTGCATATCCGTTGTTGGCTAATTGCACGTTCGGGTCGAGGTGCGGGGCAGTCGCTGTCTGCTGGGAGGGTAGGTCGGAGGAGGTCGTGGGGAGGTGTTGGTTGGTGGAAGAACTCATGTTGTCGATTGGGGACTAGGTGCTTGGGAACACCCAGTTCGATAAGCTGATAGTAGTGTCGGGAAGTTGTGAGGATTCCAAGGTTGAGACTAAAAAAAAAAAGTGACAGAGAATTTTGCTTAATGAGAGCGAAGGCCAAAGCGAAGAGCAAACTGCGTTCACGGTCTGCAATTTATCTCTAGAGTACGTCTTCCAAGTTGAAGCTCTTATCTGGAAGTTGTAAAAAGCCTAGTGAATAGCTTCACCCATTGACAATTCAGCTCAGGCAGACTCAGTTGTCCCAGCGCGCCACACGCAAGAGGGCGAGAAGCGCGTGACAGCAGAAAGAAGTTCGAAGCAAAATAATACAAAAAAAAAGCTTCGACAGCTTTAGTTCGATTTGGCTGATAAGAGGCGCGCCGGTCGAGATGATGTTTGTGCAGTTTGAAGAAACAACAGACAGTGCAAACTGGGAAAAATTGGAAGATGTCACGTGATTGTGGTCATTTGGTCGTACATAGTAACATCATTCGATACAGAATCTACGTTCTATCTCTGACTCGAATGTGGGAATATAAGGTGCTAAATGATCGTTTCTATCCATTTCTATTTTGAATATAGCCCTATCGTAAGAAACCCAAGTCGCAAAACCAGAAGTTTTCTATAAGTACATACAAATCAAGAAATCACCAAAGATGACAAAACATGTGTCTAGCAGAAGACCTCGCGAGGAAATTGCAAATAGATGGCATATACGTAGATCGTTGGATCACACGATAGAATAAAAAGAAGATGACTGAGAGAAAGCAGCACCCGACTTGATCCAGCCAAGAAAGAGCTTAGAACCCATCACCCTCTTTCCAAGGACGACCGGCCTCCTGGGCACGGTACTGGGGGTTCTTACCACGCTCCATAGCACCATATAGAGTCTCAATGAGCTCCTGCTGCTTCTCCTGAAGTTGATTGAAAAGAACGTTGCCCTCCTCACTCTCATCCAATTCAGCATCGTCATTAAATCCAATTCCGTCAGACAACCACATCCAATTATCTAATTCCCGCTGGATCTCATTCTTTTTCGTTTCAACTTCTCGGTAAGTATTGAATTCCTCATTTCCGCCAAAACAAAACCCGTACCCATCACATAGACAAACATTTTCTTCAACGCAGAGAACAGCCTCCCCGGTGAATATATACTGCCAAAGATACTCCCAGATGCGACCAGTGATATAATCACTCAGATCCGTCGACAGCAGCCAATCACGGTAAAAAACAAACCGGGCGCGCGGAATGGAGCGAATGCGATCGCGGGACAGGGCGAATTGCGCACAGCATGGCTGCGCTAGGACAGATGGGATCTGCTGATCGGGGAATAGTTCTCCCCACGCGCGCGCCAGCATGATCTCCTCCTGCTTTGACTCGTCTTCTTCAACCGCACCAGGGTGCATCCAGGCTGGACAGCCCGGGCCAAATCCACAGCGAGTATTCATGTAGCCCTCGCGGATGACTCGGTTCAGATTGAGGCGGCGGAGCAGCTGCGCCGCGTCTCCAGCGAAGAGGTTATCGTTGTGCCAGGCGAATTGGTGCGAGTGCATGAACACCGCCACGTCTGGGAGCTTGTCGTAGTGGTCGACAATGTAGGTGAGGTAGATCATGACCTCGTGACCTTTGTTCTTGGGCGGATGGAGTGGTGCTGTGGGGTCGTCTGCAACATAGATGGCATGATCCCAATCTGGTAGTTCATTGGCGATCCAGCTGGTGTCTTCCCCCTTGGTCCGAGTCACGACCATCACCTTAGAGTACTTGTAGCCCGGAGGTTTGGGGGTGCCGGGGATGAAATCCGGCAGTGGGGCATAGAGGTCGTTGTTTGTATGGCTGCGGGTCGTGTTCCAGGCGTTTGTTATGTTGGATGACGAGGAGATCAGGTCACCCAGGCCGATGACTTGGGGTACGTCACGCCATGGTCGTGCGAGGCTCCGGGATGTGAAGAGGAAGCCGAGGAAGAAGCAGACGCCGAGGAAGATAACCGCTCGCCGTGGGAGAAGCATGGACAGAGGGTTGGAGCAATCGTATACGGGAAATTATCTGTCGTGCGAGATGATTAGCTGCGAGATCACTGCATACCACTAGTATGTCGCGTGCACAGGTGTTGAGAGTACTTTAGAACGCAAGGTGCGCGCATAACCTTTGGAATGGAGCCATCGAGGGGACACAATGACTTACATAGGTTAGGATATCATTTCCCCAACAGTCCACAAGTTTAAGGGGGTGAAGGAGAAGAAACCCGATCTAGATTTAAGGGACTGTGACCGGGGTGACCCTGCCTGGGGAATATCTGGACAAATCAGATGCAAGTGGAGTCAGGACTGTGCCGCCATGACGAAGCTTCTTTCGATGCGCTGTTATACCACTTCGCCGCAGAAAGAACGCCATATATAATACATAATTGACTGTTAATTAGTTAATAGAGTAAATATTAGCCAAAATGAAGCGATGCAAATATCATGAAGTATTATTCGTCATATTAAACCATCTAACTAACACGGGAAGGAAAGTGATGATCCCTCCACCAAGGATCAGCCACGCGGCCTGTCTCAGCCATGGCATAAGCCACAACCCCATATGTAGGTAGACCCGCGGACCCTCTACGTGATATCCATTGTGCTCTCTCCCAATCGAACTTAAACATTCACATCAACTGCATATACACATTTTCATTGAAGGTAATCATTGAGAGCAAATACCATGAGATTCAATCGTGGTATAAAAATCGTGAAAAATAACTCTGGGTATGATCTTTTGCTCGCGAACAACGCCATGCAAAAACACTGGTGTAAATCACTGGGGAACAGAAAGGGCTGAGCAGACCCTAGAGGGAGGGGAAAAATACAAAGGGGGTTATCAAAAGAGGATCCCATGATCAAGTTTCTTCATCGGGGGGTTCTTCAACTGATGCGGTCCGGCCTTTGCCGTCAGATGTGGATTCAGGGTGAGTCTCAGCTTGGCCAGAGGCATTATTTGCAGATTCTCGATTGCTACCCCATGTAGTAGGAATGGAGGCAGCTGGCCTGGTCTCAAAAGACTCTCCAGGAGCAACGTCGGTCCATTCTTGAGACGGGGATTCTGCACGATGATCTGCCGAAGGGATGGTGGGCAATACCGGTGGACTAGAGGCTCCATTTACAGGAGAGGTTTCAGCATCGGTGGTGCCATGTGCATTTACCCCGACGTTCCCGCTCGTTTGATCCTGAACAGGCACGGGGAATGAGGGGGACTGGAAATTTACAGCACTAGCCACGGCTGGCGCAGCTGGTGATGTCACTGTAGTGGTAGGCGTGCGCTGTACTGTTTGTGCCATACCGTTGGCACCATTGTCTACGCGCTGAAGAGGGAGGAGGGTCCAACCAGGGGGAAGAGTGAGCCCCTCAGGTAGACGAGGATCTCCAGAGTTTAAAACATCAGTGCCCGAGTTTGCGCCATACCGGTGACCAGCTGCGAAGACCGCAGATCCTGGGAGCACGTTGGGAGGCGGGCCTGGTTGAACGCCACCTTGTTGGCCCGCAGCTTCTTGGTTTGCAGCCCTTGCTTGAGCAAGCAGCCGCTCCAATTCCACCCGAAGCTGGCGAACACGATTTAGATGCTCTGTAGCAGCTCGAAGAGTGGCGATCTCTTGATTGAGCCGTTGCTCAATGTGCAGTAATTGGTCGTTGATTTCAGCAGTGATAGATCCCCCCGGGGGCGCAGCTTGTGGGGCAGGAGCAGGGGTGGGGGCTTGGGGACGGCGTCCGAACCCAAATCCAAAGCCAATTTGTCCTCCAGGCACATTCACAGGTGGGTTTGCCCCAGGCTGTGGTACGTTACGTTGGTCACCCTGTGGATGAAGATTGTTGAACAAATCTCCACGAACAGCTCCAAAGCCGACACGGAAGGGCCCAAACTGATAGACTCGAGCACGTGGTTGTGCATCTGGACCTTGTTGACCTGGCTGGATGCCACCATTCTGACCTCCGCGTGCGTTGTCAGCTCCAACCCCGGCAGCTCCTCGAGTTCGAGTGGGCGCTATGACAGGACGTCGGCATGTAGGGCAGTTTTGTTGCCTCTCAAGCCAGCTTCGGAGGCACGAAAAGTGCAAGATATGGCCACATGGGAGCTTCTTTGGACGCAGGCGGTCAGGAACCCGCTGTCTTCCAGCGGCCGGCTGTTGTGCAGGCTCTCCAGTAGCATTAGCGGCCGGTTGCGGTTCCATTGGCTGAACTGGAATCATCTCCTCACGACAGATGATACACACATCTTCCCGGGAGACTTCTTCTCGCGTCGCATCCGGATACCTTTGGTGCATATCCCTTGTCGCATTTCGGTAACGCATGAAGTCCATAATGCGACGGGCGAACGAGCGGATGGTCACAACAACGTCCCGCAGAATGTGGATGGGAAGGCCATAGAAAGTGAGAAGGATACCGAAGAAGCTCAAATAAATCACGAGTTTCAACAAATCGGTCAAAAGGTCCAGGTAGAAGACCCAACGACCCTTCTCCTCCCACCCGGGGACGTCAATCTCCATCTCATCGATATCGTTTTCGTCGGGCAGATTGTCAGGAGGGGAGGTAGCTCCGGCGCGGGCATGTTCTCGAATGGCCTCGACACGCGCAACACGTATCTCGTCCCGACGTTCCTGCATCTTGGCCTTTATTTGCTGGTGGGTTATGGAGATCTCGGTCAACGCGATACCATATCGCAGGAGGGTAGAAGTCGAGAGGATCGCCAAAATGGCGAATTCGAATCCAAACATCACCATCATATCCGGCCGTGCCTGCGTAATTACGGTTTGCACACAGTACCGCAACATGAAGGAGTTGAACAGCACTGTCAGCACGAGAGACAGCGCGAGGCGAATATGGAACAACCGAGGATTAGCTGGCGGCTGCTGCTCTAGGAACTCGACGCGGCCTTCGCCAATCCAGCCCCAAACCTTGCCGACCAGCAGCGAAATGAACATTACCAAAAACCAGCCTCCAAGTTCGCCTCGGAAGATGGTCATGGCCAGACATGTCTCTGTGACGGCGAACCAGGCCCGCTCGTATAGTTGCTCGGTCTCGATTGGTCGCAAGGGTCCGTAGAGAAGTCGCTGGAGCCAGAATAGTACGAAACCGGTGACGAGAAGACATAAATTCGTGAGGATCTGGAGATGGAATGATTAGTTAGGGACTATGATCACCGAGCGCCATAACCAAAACTGGACAACTCACCATAAGATTCGCACTACTCTGAGAGAGATAAACGCATGCCGAATAGAAATTGGACCTCTGATGAAGAGCTTTCAGAAACACACCAGTGGCTAGGACCACTGAGGCCTGCAAACGGGGGGTTTCCAAGGTTAGCGGGTGTCTCCCCATCCACTGTGGTACTACTTACCCCAGCATACGCGGCCAGTCTCATGGCTATTGACTGGATCGGACAAGCCGAAGGTCATGGACCGAAGGAAGAACAAAAAAAAGGCAGGCGTCTCAAGGTAGCATTTGGCGAAGAAACGAAATGAATGCCGTTTACTTAGGAGTAAGTAGCTTGATCTGGACAGCTTTCCAGAATATCCCGTAGACGCCTCTCCGCATCTTACGTCAGCGGCTCGCACGTGCCGCCACCGCCGGATCTATACCAGCCTATGTTCTTGATGTGAGGCGATCTTCGATTTTAGTATAGTAAGGTATATTATTTGTGAATTGTGTATATTCTAGTATAGTCTTGTTGATTCAAAACCCCTTAGACCTACTTTCAACGTCAACACATATCCGTCGATCTTCGGTGTTTATCTGATCATCTCTGTCATGTGACGTCCCACATTGCCCGCCTTTGGAAGAAGCAACCATTGTGACACCGTCCAGAGATCATTAGGTTCTCACCAATTCACATCGAGCAGAGGGAGATTGCCTTATCTTTATCCTTTTCTCATCCTTGAAACTCAAAAGAAATGAATCATATCCGGTGATGGCTTCATCACCGGCATTGTTTACTGCTTCGCGCAGCCAAACACTAACATACCTCTTGGCGGTGTGCCCCTTCTCTATCGCCTTCCTAGTCTACATCAATTCATCTATCTCCTTCGTGGTAACCGATTTAATTGGACTCCAGGATGGAGTGGGAGATGCAGTGGGAACTCTGGGATTCGCGGATGAACTCCTTGCCCTGGTTGCCTGCCCACTTTGGGGTGTTCTCTCGGACCGAATCGGAGTCCGCCATGTAAGCTTGCTACTAGCCCATATCAGGCCAATAACAATAACATTCAACGATATTGACATTATCATATAGGTATGTACTGCAGGCTATGCTATTGTAGCACTCGCGCTAGTCGTTTTTGTTCAAGCCACGAATATCTACCCTCAGCTTCTCTTCGGAAGGCTTCTTTTCAGCATCGGCGGCTCAGCAGTGTCGACCATGGTCACCGCGGTTTTGCCAACTGTCACTGGCACAGTCTTTAATGCCAAGGCATATCGCGCGTCTGTGTCTTCAGAGTTGACCATCACACCGGAGCGTGTTAGAAATGGTCATTCCATAGGTGTCGGTGCCTCCGGCGCTTCGCCGTCTGCGCGACTCTCTGGGTTTGTTGGCATGTGCGCTGGCTGTGGTGCGCTCGTGGCACTAGTTGTTTTCCTACCGCTTGCAGCCCGGTTTGAGAAGATGGGATTATCTCCATCGCAGGCGATCCAACGCAGCTATTATCTGGTTGCTGCCATATCCCTTGTTATTAGCCTTGTATGCTTCATTGGTCTCCGTGATCTCCCCGGAGAAAAGTGCAAAAACTGGAGTGCACTGTGGAAAACACGTGACGAAGGCGATGACGATGATGATCTATCTATCCATGGCCCAAGATTGTCATACTGGAAGCAGTTAACAACTGCGCTTACACTGGGATTCCAAAACCGTAGCATTGGACTGGGCTATGTCGGAGGCTTCGTGGCCCGAGCCTCTTCTGTGGGGATCTCATTGTTCATTCCTCTCGCCGTCAATCACTACTATCGGGCTTCGGGCCTCTGCGATGAGGAACATGAACCGGTGCCTGGGTCGGGATTGGGGGATATTAAGAAATCCTGCCCCCGTGCATACATCATCGCATCTATACTGACCGGGGTGTCCCAATTGGTGGCACTGATTGCAGCTCCAGCATTTGGGTACTTGACAGACAAATCACGACGGTACAATTTCCCACTTCTTTTCGCAGCATTGGTGGGAATCATCGGCTATATTATCTTCGCCACGCTTCCGAATCCTTTATTCGAGAAGCCTGACGGCAACCCGGCAGTATTTGTTGTGATGGCTCTGCTTGGAACCAGTCAGATCGGGGCAATTGTCTGCAGCTTGGCTGTGCTGAGCAACGGCATCTTGCGAGTCAGCATCGACAATGAAACATTAAGAAAAATATATGAGGAGCGACGTGTTCGTGGGGATGAGAATGACGCAGAACCCGACGAGAGCCAGTCTCTTCTTGCTGGATCAGCCAACCAGAGATTGGAGCATCTGTCTCACCTCAAAGGCTCCATCGCCGGAGTCTATTCACTATATGGTGGGGCTGGTATCCTGCTGTTGACTAAAGTGGGCGGACTGCTATTTGATGTCCTGTCATCGGGCACACCATTCTATATCATGGCGGGCTTTAATGGTGTGTTGCTTATCATGGGAATTGTGTGTGGGGGCCTCAGCCACTTTAGATCCTCGACCAGAAGGACTTAGGGTGGTCAATTTTGGGTTTAATTTCAGTTATAAGTTTGTTATGGTGTATGATCTTGTCGGATTGCGAATATAATTTTATTCTCAGTATGAGGTGGGAAGAAAAAAAAAAAACTCATTAAATCACCGGCATTGCTCGGCTAACGGGTCCATTGCAATTTCAAATACTCTGTACTCTGTAACTCCGTATACGTGGTTTGACAAGTGAAAGCGGGTAAAAAAAAACAAATCAAACTATTTGAAAGAAAATGGTTCATAAGATCAATTAACACGGCATTGCGCTTTCAGGCACGGGCTCTTTCACCGGTAATTTGCATCGTGCACGGTAACTCGTGGGCGCTAGTTTTCTGGGCAGGGGTCGGTGGCTGACCTGGGGAAATTACAGCGACAAAAGAAGAAATTGACCATTATATATACTACATATGAACGATTTCAACATATAAAAATGCCAATATGATTTACAATTTCGCTACTTATACTGTCTCACCTCACTTCTTTGTATAGTGTAGTCTTATAGTCTGTTCTTTTTTTAATATAAAAAGGAGCATCAAACTACCTTCCCAAACAGGTACACGTCCCAAGGGTCGATTCGGCCCCTAATCCTAAATCAGCCTAGTTCCACTTTTGCGTTAACTTCCACTAAAATGCCCCTAAAATGTCCATTGGAGAGTCCACGGGGGACACTTGTGGACTTGGAAATGGTAAATGCCCCCTTTTCTAATCCTCGAACCCCTGGGGCCCTGTTCTTGGGCAGATCCGCTATATGGGCCAATCCTATGCTACTTCTTGGCACAACGCTATGCCATAATGTGCGCGCCTAACCCCCATCTCCCTCTGGTACTTCTTCTTCCTTTCACATCTTCAGGCTCAGTCCGTCACTCTTTTATTCGACAGTCTTTCGTTAAATCCAGTCCTTCGTTTTGAGCTATTGTTGATTCTACTTTACTGTGTACTCTCATTCTTTGTGCAAATCCAACATCTTGATTATCACCAATTTTTCAATATAAATACCGGCCAACCATCTGCTTTCAACATGCGTTTCTACACCATCGCTCTGTTGACTGGCGCTACCGCCGTCGCTGCTGGTAACTCCGCGACCCTCCTCCTGCCCGGCTTTGCGGGTCAGGATCTCCAGGCTAGCGTTATCGAATCCGTACGTACCAGATTCAGTTGCGCGATCAATGCGCTCTTTCGCCAACGCGCTCTCCTATCCAAGCACTTTTGACTAATAATCCACAGAATGGCGATGCGACTACCTACCGTATCACCTGCCCCAAGACAGCCGATGCCTGTGGTATTGTCGGCGATGGAATGACCGCAATTGCCGCGCCGACCTCCATGCAGTTGCAGAACATCAACCTCCAGGGAACGTAAGTACTAGCACTGACTGTCCTCTTGCGAACCGCATTCTGATATCAAACAGTATTGGAACCGTTTCCTGCAACATTGCCGGCACCACTTACGCCTCCTGCGAGGCCTCTGCCGGCACTGCGCACCCGTCTGGTACCCTGGGCCCAGATGATCTGAATTGGATGCCCGTGACTATCTCCACAACCCCGACTCCGACGTCGACCCCCACCCCAACCCCTACTAGCACCAGTACCAGTACCAGCACCAGCACCAGCACCAGCACGACTGAGGCGCCGAGCACCACCGAGGTGACCTCCACCTCCACCCCGGCCATCACATCTACAACCCTCGTCGCCTCGGTCCCCAAGAAGTCCTCCTCGTCTCACATTTCGTCCGCCACTATTGCCTTCTCCACTCCTCTGGTCGCCGCGACCACCAGCACTGCTATCATCGGAACTGGTGGCCCTGCGGCTTCCGCTTCCGCTTCCTCGACTCCCTTCAACGCCGCCGGCCAGCTGACAGGCAGCATCTGGACTGTTGGTGGTGCTTTCTTGGCTCTTGCCTGCGCTTTCGCGTAAGCCTGATGAGTGATCTGTATACGTTTTTTTTTTTCTTACACGGCTTTCTGCTTGTGGGAATGATGAGCTTTGTGCTTGTCAATTTATTAATTCCGGGGTTGCTGACGTTGCTTCTTATGGATGTATTCATGTATTTTCATATATGTGTCCATCTATTCTTCTTTAATGATTTGATACCTTTCTCCACGACAGACTACGATCTAGCGTCTAGCGTCTATTCTATACATGTATCTTCAGCTACTGAATATACTACCTTTTCTCGAGCTTTAATTTTTGAGTTTTGCCTCTTTGTTGTCATTTGTTTGTTGTCTATTTCACACCCCAAACTAGGTGTGACCCTGTACATTGTATCCACTCTTTCAAAATATCCATATGCGCCTCAATCTTTCTCATTTTTGGATGTGCATTGGAGTACTTCACTGAGCACGATCCCTGGCTTCTACTTGAATATGCCACCAAATGCAAGGACGTGTCGAATCGAAGATCATCTCAGAAGGCTCAAGCTGTCACTGATAATAGGACGTTCAGCGTGCAGTTGGGCCAATGTACTCCATATTGGGAAACTAGCTAACTACACATATCTTGCTACCTTGTACCTTCCAGGGTTAAAAAGTTGCGAAGCTTTTGTACCCTGTGAGACATCCTTCTATTTATTTTTTTCTTAATCTTAATATTACTATATAATTTAGACTAAATTGATTTCACACTATGTCTATTTGATACAAAAATAATGATGTGGCCGAGATAATGTTGGCTTCAAATAGTACCTTTTGTATGTATATTCCATAGAAAAGGTACTTAAAATCAAATATTTGCATTAAACTCGTACAGCCGAGTAGAGCAATTTAGCTACACATTAAAATCAGCTAATCGCCTCGGCTTGTATCATACTGCAGGTACCACCAGTAGTACAAAGTCGGTACATAGATTGCTACTTCAGCATCCATCCATCCATCCCGGGGCCATGTCAAGTGCTTACTAAACGCGTTTAAGGCTCCAGGGCCCGAGGCTGGGGTTAGCCCCCGAATTAATATGTAACTACTGTTAACTAACTAGTTAGTTATATTCGCCCGTTTACTTAATACGTTTGATATTTAAAGATATATTTCGGTATCCGGCAGCCCTACCGGGTAATCACTTCCTCCTTCCCCCTAACTAGACACTAACTCCGGGTATAGCTTAGCTAGAATAGCCAGTACCTAGTGGATCTTCTCTTAGCGTAAGACCAGCCTCCCTCTATTCTATTGGAGCTCCGGCGGGATCTCTCCGGAACTCCTCTAAGTCCAGCTCCTCTATCTCTATCTTATGGACTGGCGAGAAGGGCTATGCGTCCCCGCTTCTATCTCCTCCTCGCCAACTAGCGAGTCCACTCCCTTCCTAGGGATAAGAGAACCTCACCCTTGAACTCCATTCCCCTGATCTTCTCTTTCCACATCTTTCAACTCTCAAATTTCCACATATTGATGCAAGACCCTGCTATTTCTGTGGCCAAAATGTCTCCAATCAGCGGCCCCTTGGAAGCCCTCCCTCCAGAGGTCCGGCGCCATCTCCTCACCATGATGGAATTCAATGGATTAAGAGCCCTCGTCCATGCATCCCCACTTTATCATGAGCAATATCTGTTGGACCGTCAATGGCTGCTCGGTCAATGCGTCGACAAACTACTAGGCAGCGTTAACATCGAGGCCAGCCTGGTTTGTCAATCTAGTACTGCCAGCTTTGCACAAACTCGAACTCGGGAGTCTATCACCCCACTTCTTGAATCATACAAAAATCGTCAAGATCTGCCTAGCTTCTCTCTTATCGAAGAAAGCCTTCCTCTGGATGATATCATCTGGATCCTGCTCTTTCACACCTCGATTGTCGTGCCTCTAGCCAATCGGTACAGTGCGTGGGCTCTGGAAAACCTGGCCAAAAAAACTGTGGCCAACGAAGCGAGCTCATCCCTGGTCGGTGTTCCTGACTCTTTGAGTCAAAGTGAAGAGACGCGCATAATCCGTGCCCTTTATCGTTTACAGCTGTGGTGCAATTTATTCGGCATCGGACTACATCAAGAGATAGATAAGCCATTTTATTCCGGATACAGCAGCATCGATCTTCTTACCATACATGCATCTCACTTTGAGCCTTGGGAAATTGAAGAAATGCACTGTGTCTATCTCTTCTCCGAGACGATATACAGGCAGATCTTTGATCAAATTCGCTGGGATGTGGATGAAAGAAACCCCAAGTTCGATGCAATAAGAAAGGATGATGATCCAGAAGGCTCATTTGATCTCGATTCCAATGGTTAGTATCAGATTCATATTTCCTTTTGGCCTTTTTGGGGGCTAACACTGTCGCAGAAGATGGCCTTCTGAATCGCATGGTTACGCAGGGCCTCGAGCTCCTTCACATAATCACTTCTCGTGTCACTAATCACTTCTCGTGTCACAGATCACTCTGGACTATTCTTAATCATGCAGGCCAAGCTTTGCCTCCACACGGGGTTGCTTACTGGAGATGACCTTAAAGGGATGGGGGCTGAGGAAGAACGACGTCGCTGCGCACCTTCAGATCAAGATTTGAAGGAGAAGAGACGAGATCCACTGCCATTCCAGGGTGATCGAGTAGATGGTGTGTATCCTCCGTTTGCATGGACATTCATATGGGGAGGAACCTACAACAATATAACGGGAGATTCGCTCTGGGATTTTATGGGAGGAAATGGACTACGGTCCTGGGGGTATGTAATGTGAGATAAAGAGCGACTAGAGAGTATGGGTGCAATTGAGGTCTTGGCCAGGCAGATAGAAGAAGATTCGTGGTTGGAAGATGATGATCCACGAACGAGTATGGGGTAGAATTTGGAATTTAATCCGCCGAGGAGTAGGAAGAAATTAGCTGCATACTTGAACCAAATGTAATCTTTTTGGGAGACACTTTTATAGACATAAATTTCCAATGAAGAAACGAGCATCGGCGAATGCAGATGTAGATTCAGTGCTGCATTCACACAAAGCAAATGAATTGCAGCTCTTGTGTGCGTCTTATGCAAGCTAGCATGATCGAAGCAGAACTAGAACAGGGAACAGAATATACCCTTGAATAAGTGTCCAGCCGGCAGATATGTAGGATGTCTAGATAATCAACTCAACGCCATAGTTGGGTGACGGTCGGGCCATGTTGGATCAATGGAACAAAAGACACGGTTATCAAAAAAAGAGCATTCCATAGTATTATAAGGTAATGCGATGATCGACGTTTACAAGTAGCACATTTATTTATATCCTTCATTCTCTACCTTGTCCCTTCTCCTCAGGTCTACTACCTGGAACTAACTATTAAAATTACCCGGGAAAGGATAGATAAAGATGCGGGTGGGAGTATGTAGAATTGAATGACGATTTTAATATCTAGTCTAGCCAGTCAGAACAACTAGATAGAACTATAAAGTCGTATAGTAGATATAGTGTATGAAGTCATTCCACGGGACCCCGGCAAAGGTGCTGCTATATCAGGGCCGAAGAAGATGGCCCGGGAGACCTTGATTACTCTCATCGAATCATGCCTTGATCAGGCGATTGGCTTTTATACATGTGAAGAAGCAGCACAGTCTGTATTTCCAAGGCGTTTTTTAGACTCCCTCCACGGGTTCTGTTAGAGAACTTATTCCAATCCAGAAGAAACCAATTATCTACGAAATAATTACTTAAAGGTAGTCTAATAAACCCAACATAAGGCCTTTGGATTGATTTTTTTGACTCCAACAAAACTAATATTATCAATAATCCAACTAGTTAGACCCAATATTTTCAAGTTAGATATTACTCCAACATGATTCAAGAATCAAACAAGCCTATTATTATGAAAGTATCAGGCGACGGAAACAGCCTCTAATCAAAGCAAATTTCTTACAATGAGACAAATAAAAAAATAAAAAATGGACAACATGCACACAAAGCGCAAACTCCAGATCCGAGTCCAATCGCCGCCGCAAGTCCAAAAATGCAAAAGAGCAATCTAATCCAATATACGAATGACATCAGCTTACAATCTCCGAACAGGAAAAGAAAACACTCGAAGGTAAAGAAAGGGAGTCGTAGATATCATAAACCTCATTCCGCAAAACCCCTTCTGTACTTATTGTATGACACGACCGCATATGCAAGGCATCTGCAAACCTCAAACCCCAACCCATCCCCATAATCAGGATAACAGAGCCATGGGCTCCTCAAAACTCGACAAACCCGCGTTGGGAAATCGGTCTTTCAGCGTGACCATGAGAGCCGGCTTATCCCAAAGGAAATAGGCTTTCTGGTCAGCCCAATTGGTGCTCTCTGGGCATAATGCTATGTCGAAGTGGTAGAGGAGTTTACATAGGATGAGACGCATCTCACAGTTTGCTAGACTATAAGAGGGGAGAATGTGTCAATATTAAGTTCGGTGGTGTAATATAAATAAAAGGGAGAATGGAAAACCACATACTGTTTTCCAAGACAGACGCGTGGACCAAGGCTGAATGGCTGGAGGACATCTCTCTTATCATTATTGAAGACCGGGTCTGATCCCAGCCAGCGCTCTGGCATGAACTTATCCGGGAAGACGAAGTTGGACTCGGAATGGTAGGAGGCGTAGTGGTGACATGCCACAGTTGTCTGGTTGGGATTAGTAACCAGGTTAAAATCATGAAAGATAAAATCGAAACGCATATCATACATTCTCAGGGACAAAACGGCCGTTCACAAGTGCTCCACCTCGTGGCACAACACGCGACAGATTCGTCACGAAAGGCGGGTAGATACGCAGCGATTCCTCGATGACAGCATCCATGTACTTCAGGTCTTCGACGGCGCGGAAGGTCATTTCGCTGTCCTGTTTGAAAGTTGAGCGGATCTCGGCGACGAGTCGGCTCATGACGTGTGGACTTGAACATAGGTAGAATATACAGCCGGATAGTAGGGTTGCGGATGTTTCGCTACCAGCTACGATTAGACTATTATCAATTAGAATTAGCATAATATATCAATTTCTCGGAAAAGCAAAACATAAGAGAGAAAGATTTGAAAGCAGCCAAAAAGAACTCACATGAACCCATTAGAATGAATTTCAGCCCGAGTCATAATACGCTCGCTGTCGCGATACTGGCCCTTATCCTCGCTAAGTCCATGCTGGGTAATAGCAGACATAAAGTCCGAACGGGGCATAGTCAATTCCAAGCGTCGGTCGACCTTCTGCGCACTCAGCTGAAAGTGTTCTTTGCCGACACGCTTGACTTCTCGCGGAATGAGAAAGTCCAGGATGCCCTTGAGCACGGGGAATTGATTCGCAGCTCCAATATAGGCAATGGCCTTCATGGAGTTGAAGATCAACTTAATCCATGGGTGAAGCTGGCTGTCCTTCAGGCAGTCGAAGGACTCCCCGAACATCAGGTCACCGGTGATATCAAAAGTGGTGAAGTTCATCCAATTTTTGATATCGACAATGGGCTTCCCCTGCCAAACTTGAGACTGCAGTTTTGTGATCAAGATATCAACATAGCCTATGACAAGACCTTCTTGGTCTCTTAAAGCCTTGTCAGAGAAGGCATGGGACAGCAACCGTCTCTGTCTTGCATGCGTCGCATTATCAATCGCACAGACCAAATGATCGACCCCATTCGCCGGGGCTATATAATTGCTCCGATTCTTAGGGAAGCAACCGCCAGGTCTGGCACCATATATGTCGCGAAAGGCCTGTGCTGTGCTGAAGGCCAGCTCATTGGGTCCAATACGCAGTATGGGGCCGTACTTCTTGTGCAGGTCCAGGATATCTAGGTGGTTATAACCACTGAGGACGGAGATATTTGACGGGATGCGAGATATTGCCCATAGCTTTGGGCCGGGGAAATGGCGCAGAGGGGACCAGCAAAAAGTGTAGATGATGCTGTAGGTGACCCAGAGTAGGAACTGTTGATTGCATGGCTGATTAGCACCGGATTCCGAGAAATCGCCTGTCAGAGGGACAAGGACTAATTAGATTGCATCGCTCAGAGCTGCTGTGTTTCCTGGGGAGATATCCTGGAGCGGACTAGCTCTACAGTAGGGTTCTTTTCGTGCATGAAACAAACGAGGGTTGGGAGTACGGGGCAATGCAACTTACCAGGACTCCTGCAGTCGCGGCCCAAAGGCCAGGGCCTGAGGTTGCCCAAGACATTGTGAGATTTGAAGCAAAAAAGGTCCACCAGGTCATGTATTGCCCTAAAGCCATCTTTAGTTCGGGGTCATGTTCTTTCCCGGAAAGGAGGGGAACACAGTAAATATTTTCTCCCCAGATTTCCAAGTGATTGGACACTGAACCGAGAGCATAAAAAGTAAAAAGAACAGAGAAACGCTGAGTTGTACCAATCGGATGCGGTTAGTGGCAGACACATAGATGAGGGGAATCACATCGGAGGCGGAAAGGAGTACGAACGGATATCTCATGACCGCATTCCACATATCAAATTTATCTACAATATACTTTTGAACTCCGAATATCCTCGGGACGATCACTGGTCAAATTACCAATTCGACTGGAAGTGAGGCTTCCGACCGTAGACGACATGCAGCTTGCAGTACGTATGCACGGCCGGATTCTTGAGATCTTTGCGCACCCCCGCCAGGAAAACCTGAGTATCATTATTCGACCATCCTAGTACTCGAGTGAAAAGAGCTAGGGAGTAGGATTCAACCGCCATGAGAAGGGAGCATTGGTTGTACCGACCAATCTCTTTTTGCACGGGATCCCTAGCCCAAACACTCGATGGGACCTAAGACATAATAGTCAGTTATGATGGGGCAAACAAAAAAATGCGAAGTGGGATAATAAAAGGTCACACCTTGTACACTTCATCTCGAACATCTTCAAAACCAGCCTCAACCAGCCGCTGCCGGTGCCCTTCGGCGATATTCATAGGTCGGTGGAATGCCTCGCTGGCCTGAGTCAGTCGATCAAGAAACTCACACAGCGCTGGCGCAAGACTGATCGAATTATCGTCCGACCTGAGCATAACCTCAAACTCCTGCAACTCAATCCATCCACCAGGACGCAAATGCTCGTAGCTCTGGCATATCAGCCGCGGCCAGTCAGCGATAGCACCGCCTAGATCCCGGGCATGGATGAAGTCAAAGGGCTTGCTTGGGCTGTACAGCCATTGCGACTCGGCGTCATCCACCACAAAACGAAGATTTGGTGGGACCCATGATGGCTGGATGGGACTTAGGTCAGTCCCTGTTACCTCGGCACTGGGAAAGCTGTCGGCGAAGTCGATGGCCCATATTCCGGTGCCGGTCCCAATGTCGAGAGCACGTTGGATATTATTGTCTAATGGGGCTCGAAACAGCCGGCCATTTAGCACGAGATTCCGGACGTGATGAAGAAGATCTTGTCGATCTTGTTCTGGTTCGTCGTTGGGAAGGACGTAGAGGCCTTCGCGGTATGAGTGATATCGTCTTCCATTTTCATAAGTGTAATTTTTCACATCGGATAGCAGTGAAGCTGTGTAGCTGGATGTATTTTCTGATTGTCCATCATCAAAGACTGAGTCTGAATCATTGTTTGTTGATGCTGCAGAGGATATGTCTCCATTACCATCACTGTCTGGTGATAAAGAGTTTATGGGTAAAGATGGTGTGGATGATGGAGTGAGGTTAGAACTATCGTGACCCACTTGGGGAGCAGACATAGTTGTTGGCTTCAGTGGAGCCGGCGAAGAATGCGGCGTTGGCAGATCCCTCGTTGAAGTCAAGAATTCAATTTCAGCGAATGACGTACTTGATGCAGGTAGCAAGGGGTTTATGTTCTCGCTGTCACTGTCTTCGGAGCTTTTCTCTGGAATTGGGGCCAGTACAGGCGATGGGAGAATACTCTCTTTTTGCTGGTTGCTATCAGCTTCAAGCGCAATGTCCAGCAATGGGAGTTCCGGGATATCCGGCAACCCAGGGGCACGAATTATTGGACCCGGAATTGAAGAATTGGGCGATAATCGCCTAGTGAACTCTGAAGCTTCTTCCATTGTGGACTCCATTTGGTCGAATGTCCTTTTCAATGGGATACAAGGGACAGGCACTGACCCAGCCTCTGGGATTGGAATGTCTGAGCTCATATTCGTGGAATTTGGCACGGAGTCAGACTGCGTCGACAAGACTTGCGAAGAATCAGGATTCCCTGTCGAGGCTGAGTATGTGTGAGAGGACAATAGGTCGGTACCTAGTTCAATTCTGGAGTTGCATCGCCGGTCATTCAAGCACATGGGGTAAATACAAATGAAGTCAATCATGTCAGAAGAGATAGCTCTGGGGAGCTAACCTATACAGTAAGCAATTTTTGGCCACAATGAGCAATGAACTACCTAGAAAGGTACTGGGAAAAGAAAAGAATAAATAGCAAGTTGGTTTAAGCAAAAGAACTTGACTTCTCATAGAACAGTCATTTTTCCTCGGGGTATCACAAAAAACATCAAAAACGGCAAAGTGCCGGAGTATATGGCCAATTCTAATATCTACCGCAGGGTTTGCGACGTATTAACGCGCATTTTGCCAGCATGAAATTAAGGCTAATGTACATTAAAATAAGAATACCACGAAATTTTGCGTTAGACAGGTATCTATATGACTATTTATATCTTGACGCTCTATCACAATGGAAGAGGCACATACCCAGGGCCTTGAGATTTGGAAATTCAAGTACAATCGTAGCACAGAGCACACACACTCCCAACATGCAGTGCCAAGAAACGTTCGTTGACTGGACATGAGAGCCGTGCAACAGTCCTAGCTCGGGATCCCAGGAAACGGCACTGTATAATGTGGCATACATTCGTTCAACAACCCAGCCAGGCCTATATGAATATTAGATATCAATTGGCGTTTTTGAGTCGTGAAGTCGGGCACATACTCTGGTAAAGATGGTTGCTTGCCTCCTGGTTCCGGTCATCTTTCTATTGTGCCAGCAGTACTAGGGCCCATGACTTTGGGTCACAGTGATGGAAGTTTTGCAGAAGCAATGGGAACAACAGCAAGTTGTCAGCACGAGTAGTAGGTTATAAGCTGTTATAGGTTTGAACGATTGGGTTTGAAAATTTCAGTGTACTTGGATAGTGCTTCTGTCCAAGCTGGGATGCCTGCTGCTTTGCTTGAGAATGGTCAAGTCATTAGGCGTCCTCGGAAGTCAATATGTCAAGATGGGTTCATTGATAATGACTATACATGGTGACGACTATATATGGTAGCTGGCCCGGATAATGATGAACTGAGAGACGAAGAGAAGATGACCGATATCATATGAAATCTGACTATTTGTAGGCCAGCCCTGGAGAGATGCCAAAGATACAAACAAAAAGCCATTTTATGGCGGTCTACAAGGCGGTCTACAAGGCGGTCTACAAGGCGGTATACAAGGCGGTATTATGATTTTTATTTGGCTAAATTGCCCTTAAGATTACCTATGCAAGAGGCTGAACTCTAATCCCGTTGATCATTAAATCTTCAAATATCTTCTCTGTGTATGTCTTTACCACTATGGAAATCCTAGTATTTTGGGATGCCTCCTTGGTATATAAGTGCTCTTTCCATTTCTCAAAGCGTGGCACTAGCCAGGTCATGTTGCACGGAGGACTAATAACCGGATTGGATCGAGCGGGATTGATATCCTGTCGAGGGTCGGACAAGGTGAGAATAATATGTATTCAGCTACCCAGTGACCGCTTCCAGAGCACACATTTTGTGCGATGTTTCATGCAGTTTATGTTGTTTATATAGTTTACTATTATTGGAGCAAAAGTGGAGATCATGTAGTGCAGCAATATGTTACTGAGAGTTGAATTTGATTTCTGTAAGCCATACAGTATCTGCATTGCAGTTGCAATCGCAGCTGAAGCATCGGGGTATTATCTCATTCATCATCATTCATGCGCCCGGATCGCCTAGAGTCGAGGAGGGCCGGTCTTATCTCCATCAATTAATCCCTACCCGAGCCTCGAGGAAACCGTCCAGCCTTTCCAAGTCCAGAACCTTCTCCTTTTTCGGGCTTGACCTCTAATCCTGCCTCAAGGACAGCGGCATGCAGAATCCGCCAATGGGCCTCCTCGTTGAATTCGCGTAGACTCTCCAGCGTAGTACGCTGTACCTCTGCCCGCAGGTCGATCTGATTCGACACCAGCAACCCCTTCTCGAGGTCGATACGAGCGTTCAGCACTCCATCTTGAATAAGGCCGACCAGCTCTTGCACAAACGGCGAGGAAATGTCCGTGGGGTGCGCTTCGCCGCCAACGATTGTTGGGGCAAATATCTTCGCCATGGAATCCAATGTGACACGGCTGAAAGGAATCATGTACTGCTCGATGGACTTGGTGCGGATGCGTTTGTACAACTGGGGGATATGGCGCTGAAGGTGAATGTCGAGTAGGTAGTCAGGGCGATAAGCTTCAAGAATGTCAAGGCATTGCCGGAACTTGAAGTTGCAAAAGAAAGCGATGGCGCGGCGGATATGAGGCTCGAGTTCGAGGAAGTTGCGGAAAGTCTGGCTGTCAAGCACGTTCTTCTGCAGGTCGTCGCGGTCCATAGAGGCGAGAGCACATAGACCACCGTAGACGGCGACATCATTGGGGGTGATGACTTCATTGTAGTTGTCACCCAAGTCCGGCGGGATGGATAGGAAAGAATTTGCTGCTTCGAGGTATGAGCCTTGGTGCATCTGTGAAAGGGCTGAAGCGGCTGTGATTTTAGATAGGTTTTTGGCGGCGTCATCTGGCTTTGACTGAGAGTTGCGCAGTCGGTGCACGTTTGACTGTACAGACATCCAGTCACCACGTTCAGTGGCGACGTTAACCATCTTGAAGAGCATGGAAGTGATGTGATTCGGGGTGGTGCAGTAGTCTCTCATGCGAGAATAAGCCTTGGAGGCAGCAGCTAGGTCACCAGTCTCGTAATGATGGTTGCCCAAATCCTCATGGCCCATCTATAGAGATCAGCGTCACGTATCCCCCAGCACGATATTTCCACTCCTTACCCGGATGCTCTCTTTAATCAAATTGTTTTTGTATCCCCGCAGCTCGTGTTCCAATCGCTCAGTCTGGGTCTGTACGTATCGAGTGGTTTCCTGGACCCAGGCGGCGTCAAGAGAAGCGTCAGGGTCGTTCGGGGCAACCTCCGCCAGCGCGCGGACTGCCCTCTCATATCTCGAAACGTCTTTGCTGGATCTAGCTTCGGCTATGGCTGCCTTGAGAGCGTCGGTCGAGAGCAATGGGGAACATGTGCCTATGAGGTAAAGACGGTCGTAGCGGGTGCGACCTGGCTATGGATTAGAATAGAAAGCTGGCTTAGAGATAAGGAAGGTTACTCACCAGTGTAGTTTGCAATGTAAGTATCAAGGTCGAATTTGGGGGCCTCTACGAAATCAAGCGTGTCAGCGTTATCTGAACACAGCGACATAATCGCGGAGATAGCCCTGCGCGGAGGTAAACATACCCTCCACTTTCACTAGCACTCCTGCTCGTGGGGCAGTCACAGCTGTGTTAGCTTCCAGAGCAGCATCCATGTCTGCACGAGACGAACCAGAGGCATCTGGAAGCGTGGTATCCATCTTGCCGGGCTGTTCAGATTGTGCGGTGCAGGCAGAAATGGCACTAGCAAATTATCTTGAGAAACTGGGGCTTGACTAACAAGCTTATTTTGTAATGAATAATAGAGCAACCAATTTGCACGCTAAGAGCAATATGTTGTTTAGGGCAAAGGAGTATGAGAGGTGGGAGACAGTCAGTCGGTCGATCATTGTGATGGTAATTGTTTTGTCCAGCAGAATATGACCGCCTACTACACCGCCATTCAGAAGTTGCCCGATGAGCACTATGAAGCAACTAGATAAAAATCTACATACAAGGAGATAGGGCAAAGAGAATGTAATTTTCTGAGAGTAACTACGATTTTTGTTCTAGTCATCCTTTTACATGGTCCGAAAACAACCGGAAGGCCTAAGGATGAGCTAGCACACTGGAACTGCCTCTCAAATCATAACAGCATATGTCCCTGGGGCAGCCTGGCTGCTTTATATTGCTATTTGATGGTCTTTCAATCACCGGGAAGTATATAATAGAAGTATTGAGCTATTGATGACTACATATAGATCCATCCATGGGCTTGGATGTTAATTTGTCGGTGCATGAAGCCCGGCATACCGGAGGATTTATTAATCCTTCATGTTTTGTAATTAATATTATGTAATCGAGGCTTCATATAAATTGTACCCGGAAGCCGATACAGAAATACAGAGAGTTGAAACCCATTCATTGGACCCCCCTATTTTACAATACCACTTGCTCCAACATAATTCAAGTGCCTGAGGCATCAAAGATCATCGGGTGAAGCCCGTGGACCTGGGTTACCTCGGAACTTCAGTAATCAGGAAATTAAGCATCAAATCAACCTATCGGCTATATAAAAACGGCCCAAGACCCAAATATTTTGATTATAATTCTTGTTGTTTGCGGACTGCACAAAAATATATATAATCGACCAAGCTCGGCATTCAGTAACCACCAAGACCGAAGTATATATAGCGAGCCTAATCCAGGACGTCAATCGACCCCCCCCAACTTCTAGCAACATAACTAAGCCACAAATCCCACCAAAGCCCTCAAAATGTCCCAAATACAGCAAGTCGCATTGATAATAGGCGCATCCCGCGGAATCGGGCGCCAGATCGCTATCGACCTAGCAAAGAACAGCTACACCGGTACAGCCACATGCAACCCCACATATATCATCTGTACTAACCCCGAGCATAGTAATGCTATCGGCAAAAACAACATCCGACGCATCAACAGTGACTCCATTCCCACCAGACCCAAACTCATCGCAGTCCACCATCAACACCGTAGAACGCGAGATCCGCGAAGCGGGCGGGCACGCGGGTACTGTCGCGGTTGACGTGCGTGACGCCACACAGATCCAGCATGCTGTTGAGGAGACAGTGCGGGTCTTCGGGAAGCTCGATGTACTTGTGTACAATTCCGGCGCGATCTGGTGGTCGGCTGTGGAGAATACACCTCTCAAGCGGTTTAAGCTTATGCAGCAGGTGAACCCTGAGGGGCTGTATGCGACTGTTCAGGCTGCTTTGCCTTTTTTTGAGAAGGGTGGATGGAAAGGGCGCATCGTTGTTGTTTCGCCGCCTATTTATTCAAGGTTCTTTAGGGGGAAGACTGCCTATGCGATGGGTGAGTTTATCTCTTTGATCCGTGGATTTTGGAGGGAGTTGGTAGTATGTTTTTTATATGTGCTGATTTTGATATTGTGATATGTTATATGTAGGCAAAGTCGGAATGAGTGTCTTGGTGAAAGGACTGGCCATGGACTTTATGCGTCAAGGCCGAAATGAAATGGCGGTGACGAGTATCTGGCCTGCATCGGTATGTGCCTTGGATTTGATTTTATCCTGTCCTGGAGTCTGCGAGGAGATTGCTGACTGCATTACTTTCTAGTCAATTGAATCAGCAGCCACAGAGCATAATAAAGGATCGGACAAAGCCTACAAAAATGATTTAAGAAAGCCTGTACGTCTATTTATGAATAAGTCACGCTATCAAATTTCTCCAGTCTGTTCAATACTGATACGATATAACAGACAATATTCTCAGATGCTGTGCTGGCCATGCTTCGTGCCCCGCACCAAATAGTGAACGGGCTCCTGGATACAGATGAGGACTTCCTCCGTGAGAAATGTGGAGTCACTGACTTTTCCAAATACTCTGTGATCCCAGGATCGACGCCGCGGCGGATTATGCCGGCCAATTTCCCAGTCCTGGAGGTTGCAGAGCAAGATGACGAAGGGCAGCGAATGGACAGCACGAAGTTGCGGGCAAGGATATAAGTTTGGAAGGGATTAGAGCTCAACTAAACCAGTAGATCATTCAATCCCATGCGCTTATATATAATACTTGCAAAACTCGAGAATTTAAATGACCTATATATGTATTAAATATGGGTTGAATAATGTTCCATAACAAGACACATTACCAATGTAGGCAATGTTAAAACACAATGTAACGAAGGAGCGACCGGTAATAGATTGCTCCATAAAATTACGAACAAGAAAGGGAAAAAAGAAAAAAAGAAAACAAGCGCTCAATGCTAATGCAGCCAGAAAATGCAAATCCAAAAGCAACCAAAGACTAGCCCATATTAGTAAAATCTCGAGCAGGAACAACCGCAACTCCAATTTTCATTATCCAAATCACCACCTGGACCCTTGAAACAAAACCTTGAGGGCGAGCCAATCAAGATATAGACCGCTTACACTCTACAAGAGAGTAGCAAAGCCGGCAACAAACCCACCGACCAAAACACAAAGCCCATAGACATGGCTCATATCAACCAAGGCCATGCGTGGAGCAGCGCCAGTAGCGCCAGTAGCTCCATTGCCATTGATATTGGTATTGACAGGGGTCTCGGTTGCAGCAGGGGTAGCAGATTTGGTGGTGGTAGTAGTAGTAGTGACATTGACACGCTTGGGATCCTGGGCTCCACAGGGGTTGTTGACTCTGCAGTTATTCTGGCAGGTGGAATCACCGTTACATTTGAGGACGCATTGGTTGTTGGATTCCGTGCAGGTGTAGTAGGGGATTGTCTGGGAATATTCGGTGGCATTGGGGGTGACATTGTTGCTGCATAGACAGTAGTAGAGTAGTGTTTCCTAGGGGCTTGTTAGTTGGCTCTAAAGAAATGCTTGTTATATGAAGGGCTTACGGCTTCGCAGGTGTTTGATATCGGTGTGCCCGAGGCCCCTGGTATTTGCAGGCAGAGGAGGGGACATGCAGATGTTTGGGAGCCACACCAGGCCTCTAATAGTAGGAAGACATGTTAGTATAAGAATTTATGTATAGAGAGAAGGTATATAGGATATCGACTGACCTCTTGTAGCGATGGGAACTGATGTCGGGTCGAATTGGCTGTTGACTAGAGTGGCAACCGAGGCGAGAATGAACATGGTCTTGAACAGCATGGTGTCGGTTGAGCTTGGTGATGGTTGGGGAGGTCAAAAATTAGCAACAGATAGCTACTAAATTTTAGGGTTAGCCATTTTGTCTTCAAGAATGCTAGTGACAATCTGATAACACGCCCTAAAGCTCAAATATAGAGCCGGTGATACCTACCTAGGGTAGATAGAATGAAGGGGGAAAGTGTAATGAAAGGAAATGTCTTGGAACTTACTGAACTTGAGTTCCGATCCTCTTTCGAGAACAAGGCGAGGAATGGAGAGGTATGTAGGTGTTGATGATCTAAAGCCAATAGCAAGTGGCTGTGTTCTTTGAAGATGTCAAGGTGTAGGGGCGTAAGTAAAGGAGAGAAAGAAAAAAGTAGCCAACAAGGGAGGAGTGGGGAGCTCATAAAGGGAAAAAAAGCAATCACAAGACTAAAACTGCCTATGTATAGAATGTACTAATTGGTTTGCATGGTGGCACGCACTAGTGCCACCCTCGCTGTTTTACCGCATCGAATGACTTTTATTTTGCTTTTTTTTTGGCAAGTTCAAGGTATTCCCTGTCAAGTGAGTTCATTAGTGAGACTCCTTTGGAAGTGAGGCGTAGATTTATTGAGGGGTCCGCTATAGGGGGTTACCCTTGAGATGTGTCGATCCGGGGATATGAATCGGATAAGGACGTTTGTTCTAGATGGACAGCTCACTGTGTGTCACATCTGTCATCCGGATCTCCGGTCTCCACTAGACATCTCTGTGCTTTTCAAAAATAGTACTTCGTACGGAGTACATGTAGGGAAGTGGCATGTCTCAGTCTGAGTTGAGAGAATTAAAGATTAGATCAATTAACGCTTACCAGATTGGGATTAGTGTGCTGCTAGGCTTTGAGTAGGATGAAATTCCGACATTGTCAAGTTGAAGTTGAGAAGCAGACAGATTTGAAATTCTCGAATCTCAGATCTCAAATACATTTAAAAATGTCAGTTAAAAGGGAATTGGCTATTTCTCCGGGATCTATCCAGGTAGAGGGTGAAATCTGTTCCCTTAGCTAAGCCAACCCCGTGACCACCTTTGTCTCATATCGGCTCCAATTGAATTTCCTTATTCGTCTACACTAATCTCACTATCTGCAATATACACTTCAATCTCACTATCTTGCCACCGCATACAGTTCCTAAGGTTAGTTTGTCTTACTTCGGATCGCTTGTGCAACTCCGCCGAAGCCCGGCGCATCCTTGCGTCAGCCCCAAAGTCCAAAATAGCCCGCTTTCCTCCACCTGGCACTTTATACTTGCCACCCCGCACAAGGGAGGGGAGGAAGACCTCGGGACCATCCCTAAATCGAGCCACACCACTACCAAACGCATTGAACCTCAAACAGCAAGGCTAACGCAAATACCATCCCAAACAGGCCAACACCGTCATCCCTTACAGCATCTAATGGATGGAGCCAGCACCCGAGGAGGCCGGACCGGCATCTAAGCCGCACCACCCCCTCCTCCCCACACTCAGATATCCAGGCCGACCCCGCACTCCGACCTGAGACCGATAACACCCATGACAATTCAACCCTCGGCACAAACCCACACAGCCAGCATGGCACGCCGCAGAGCTCCGCATCCTCCGCCTCGGCAACATCCCGCCCTGTCTCCGTCGTAGTGCCCCCCTACTGGCGCCGACACGAGCACAATCCCTCTCATGCGTCGCAGTCATCTCTGCGTGCCGCTGCTCGCATCACTCTGGAAGATCATACTGCCGACCCAAACTCGGAGACGAGTCGTGGGCTCTGGGCGAGTAGTGTTTCCATTGATGATCATGTTGTTGTGCGGGGTATGACTGGAGTGGGGTCTTATGTTGTTTGGAATTGTACAGTCCAGACCCTTGATGTAAGTTTGGGATTCGGATAAGGGAATGTGGCTGCAATGGTTTTTCTAATGTTGGTGTTTTCTGGTATAGGGTGGCCCGATTATTGTTCGGATGAGGTACGTTGCTTATCTCCCCTTGTCCCGGTTTGAGAGCACATTCAGCTGATCCTTGAGATTTGATATAGATACTCCGAGTTCGATGACCTGCGCCAGCGTTTGGTTGATTCTTTCCCGCACGCAAGGAGTGCATTGCCTGCATTGCCGCCGAAGAGTGTTATATGTATGTTTCTGTTCTCCTCTTCCCTCTTATATTACCACCTAATTGGCTAATAACCATCGTGATCTCAGATAAATTCCGACCAAAGTTCCTGGAATCAAGGCGTGTGGGCCTGGAGTATTTCCTCAAGTCAGTATCTCATCGCATTCCCATGGTCACCATGCAATTCCTAACATCCCTCCAGCTGCGTCCTTTTAAACCCAGAGTTCTCAGGCTCTCCTATCGTCAAAGACTTCCTTTTTGGTCGTATTTGTTAATCGAATCACCTCGTCTTCACTGAGTCATGGGCGTTGAGAATCACCTTTTGCATTATATTGTACATGATGATTCATATCTCAAGCTGATACTGGCATTGAAAACAACTTCGACTATGAAGTTCTCAAATCCATTAATATTGGATACGTCTCTTTCAACTATGCCAATTCACCAAGTGAGACACTACTGTATAGAAAAGACCGAACCTACATATACATAATCATGACAGCCCACCATAAATATATCAGATGCGAGGAACGGTTTAATGCATGGACAGAAACTAGAATGGTACATAGATGTAATCAGACAAGGGATTTTTTTTAAGAGAACCGAACAATGACGCCTAGACTAAGGTACAAAGATCCTAGCAAAAACACCAGGCCTAGCAAAACTAGAACGGAACGCCTTGAGTATGATGTAGTGTCCAGTATCGCTGAAATAGCAACAAAAGAAGAGGAAGATGCTTAAACTTCACAAGGGGCATAGTATACAAGAACCTCCTCGTCAAAGCCTTTACCCTTAGCGGGCTGTTCAGTAGAACTAGAACCCTCCTTCTTACTACCAAGCGACATAACAACCTCGCCGCCAGCTTTCAACTTGCGAGTCAACACAAAAGCCTCAACATCCGCCCGGAGCATCTTCCGCAAACTGATATTCGCCATATGAGTCATAGCGAGCACATGTCGGGGACTGGGGATGCCAGATGGGAAAACAAGATAAAGATCAGAGTCCTGAGCAGGGTCCGGACGGAATTTATCATGGTATGCCTTCTTGCCACCAATGGGCAGACGATGGAACGCATGGCCATACAAGCCGCGTGTAACCTTCTTACAGGGCCACGGCATTCCACTGACATCTTCATGGGTGAGCGATTGGAGCGGTTCGACGCCAAGGCCGAGATATGAGATGTCAGCGCGTCGGAGGAGTGCCATTGCCATGATGAGAAGGAGATCGCTGATTCCATTTACGCTGCCTGGGGCTGCTATGCAAGGGTCAACATGGTAGCCACCGGAGCCGAGGCGTCGAAGAGCGGCAAAACCGTTGACTGTACCATCTGGGGTGCAGGTGTAGATGAATGTCATTAGAGTGGGGAGAGCAAAGGGATCATAGACAGTTATGAAGGCTTGGGGACTGGCAGAGGCATTACGCTCGGCGCGCCAAGCATCGTAGATGGTGATTAGGTTGGATTGTAGTTGCTCGTTTGTGCCGTGAACGGCCGGGGCGTACACGCCCATGGTGATACCGCCTTTGTTTTTGTTTGTGAGCTGACGGCACTTGGTCAAGATGCGTCTTCCGCCGTTCTCAAGAATCACTTCGTTTGTCTGGGGGTTGAGGACACGCTCTGTAGCGAAGCGAATCGTCGTCCAGTCGTTTGGTTTGGAGTAGTCATTGAGGAAGGACTCGCTGGCGCCCATGAATGCCATGCTCAAGTGATGCTGCTGTCGGTAGGCCGCAAATTCGGATAGGAGGTCGGGGATTTCATCTTTGTTGCATAGTGGATCTCCGCCGATGACTGCCACCCCATTCTGGACCTTAAATGACAATGCTGCCGTTCTTGATTTGTTCACGAAGAATCGGTAGCTGTGATCGAGGATTCCCATGTGTGCTACCCTGCCATGTAGTGTAGCTATCTGTTGGATGGCTGTCATGGGTTTGAAATCATTGAGTCTGAATACCACATCTTGGTCTTGGCCTTCTGTTTTCGCTTCAAGGGTATCAGTGGTTGGATGTAGGGCATTGACCTTGATTGGTGCTTGTGAGCAAGTGACTAGGAATGGTTCTTGACTGTTCACACTCGTTGCCGGGCTGGAATCGGATATCGTATGAAAGCTTACTGAACTGGAAGAGGAAGAGACCGTGGGACGTGCTGCAATATTGTTGCGTAAATGATCCATTAGGGAAATTGACGTGGCACCAAGATTGTCATCACCATCCTCGCGCGTGGGGGTTTGATAGAGCTGGTCGAACAAAGAATCTCCAAGCTCATCCACATACAAGATCTTTTTCGGTTTCACTGCGACAGGTGCCGGCGTGTTTCCTTTGCGTCCACGACGTGATCGCTTCTTCTTAGACGTGGTCGCTGCTTCGTGAGATTCCGTAGCTGCGGTCATCATGATGAGAGGACGTCGGAAACTTAGGGCGTAAATGAAAAAAGTAGGATAGATGATAAACAAGAGTCAAAAGGTAAACAAATAAATGTAATCAGCGGTCAGAAATTTGTCGGGGCTGGAAGTTAAGAACGGCGAGAGCCAACTGAGTATGACATTGCACTTGCCTGGGTGAGGTACGCAGGTACCTGGTGTACATGAGGTGTACACCTCATTAGGCAGAGGCATTTTCATAGGCTCTTCCCTTCATGGGACCCGGTGTTACCAGACTCTGTACCCATGGGGTATAGATCAACTCACCAATCACAAAGCAGCAATGGGGCTGCGATCTACCGGTACGAGCCTTGTGGGTCCTCTATTCATCCTATCACAGTGAGTATTTTGATAGCGACCAAGGGTAAAAAAAGCTTGGATAAAAGATGATCCATGGATATCATGAAAAGTGAAAGTAAAAGGAAACGTTGAAAGATTATCTGATCATTTCGATTTACCTCTTCAGATACTTTTGTCTTTTCAAATTATTTCCGCCTTCAGAACGTGACCATGAAGAAAAGGCACGTGGTCCTCAGCATCTTACATGTCCTCACCGTATTTGTTCTTGGGCCTGAACCATGCCAAAAGTTTCTTCTTCATTTTGAAATCGCTGCATGCATCTTATAGGACACATAGAACCACCAGGTAACCTATCGCCACTTGTATAGTTGGAAATACCTACGAACTGGATTCCTAGGGAATGGTGGGTGCTCTCCCGTTAAGCTGAATATCCTTTGAAAATGGGCCGTACATAAGAAAAGCAGCATATGTCTTGAAAGAAGCCAAAGTAAATCACCACTTATCCGTATCAGCGTTATCACCATCACGCTCCGCAATCTCCTCGTCCCGCGCAATTTTACCTCCATCGTAGTCCCAAGAGAGCCCAGCGGCTTCAAAATCATCAACTGTAGCCTCCTCGTACTCCTCGTTTTCAGCATGGCGACAGTCGTCAGGCCCATCATTGCTTCCCTCAGTGGGATCACCGGGCTCGCTGAAAGAGTCACCACTTTCGTATGTCTCACTCTGGATACGATGTAGGTCCGCTAGAAGCTCCCTCTCCCGAGTCAAGAGATTATTAGTCAAACGAGAGATTCTGTCGGTATCCTCAATGCACCTCTGCAAATCCTGGGTCTGATGATTGGTGCGCATGCCTGGCATGTGATCCTAAATCTGTAAATTAGCATACAAGTATCTAGGCAAGCAGACTTGGAGTACTGACAACGTAGTTGATCCAGACTTGTCCAAGAACAGGTTCTGGAATCCCGGGAAAATATGCCGGATGAAGATTTACAGTGCGGCACACAGGGCAGTCACACGCGCGGCGGGTGGTTGTTGCAGTAGTGTTGCCTACATAGTCTGATGGAGAGGCCTGAGGAGAGGCCTGGCGACAGGCAGTCTGGGTGGTCTCACTTGGTTTGTCTGCATTCTCTGGAGGCTCGCCGATGCTGCTACCAGCGTTGCTATTTCCTTCTGCACCGCCTGGGACGGAGGCGCGTGGAGAGGCTGACTGCATCTTCTCAATAGAGCTGGGGAAGTTGTCGCTACCTGTAATTTTGATAGTCGTGTTGGTGTTGATCGTCGCCGGTTTGTCGCCGTTGTTGTCACTAATGTGACTGATGCTGGTGCTTACTGCATTATGGCTCTTGCTCTCACCGGTGTGATAAACCCCATTTATCACTGGTATGGGTGACGGTGTGAGTGACAGCATTGTTATTCATGGGCTCGATAACAGGCTCAATAATGGCCTCGACTGTCTCCATGATGGGATCGATGGTAGGTGTGGTGGTGGGCTCAGCACCAACGACCGCAACGGCAGCAAGGGTGTCTAGAACAGTCAAGTGAGCAGTCTTGTCCTTCTTTGCGCTACTGTGGTCATTCTCACGAACGGGGTGGTTAAAAGCCATTATTGAATGTAGTACCAGGAGAAACTTCCGGGTTGAAAGAGGAGATAGGAGAGATATATGCAACAAAAGAAGTACGTGGAAACCCCATCAGATGAGGCAAGCGCCATGGGGCGGCAAAGTCCAAAGTAACACGTTTTGATCATATTCTACACAAAACTACCAGGTGTTGCCATCGCTACCATAAGGCGATATTTCCCTCTCCTTTGTTCTATACTCCTGATTGGCGGGGTAGTAAATACGCTAGTCCTACAGCATTTAGCGCAACTATTTACCCGCTAATCTTACTTGGGAAACTGACATCCCGCATCGATTTCGACAACATGTCTGCCCACTTCACACTTGTCTGACATCCCTTCTTGCAAACATTCACCTTGATTGTTTATATTCTTGTACTATTACAATAAAACCCAAAATGATCACAAATCGCCCCGCTACTCTGTCCGATATCCCACAAGTGCGGGATATCAACCACTGGTACATTGTTAACAGTTGTTCCACTTTTGCGACTACCCCACCACCGATATCCCACTATGAGGACATCCTTCGGGATCTGATGAGGAGAAATCTTCCATTTTATGTCGTTGTGTCCGACACGCGGAAGACACCGGACGGAGCGGATTTAATTCTTGGCTACGCTTATTTGTCTCCTTTCCGTGGCCATTTGTTGTCCTATGCACCGACCGTTGAGCTATCCATTTTCATGCGCCATGATCAGCAGCAATATGGTTATGGAACCATTATTCTTAGAAAGCTCTTGCGCTTGGTACAGGAGGGCGAAGTGGAGCACCGCTGTGAGGAAAGAGTGGGCGATATTCCTCGAATCGGCTTTGGTAGCTCCATGGGTGTCATGAAGACTTCTCTTGTTCAGAATGTCATCGCAATCATACCCTATGACACTGAGGCTCCAACTGATGGAGAGAGACTGAGGAATTGGTACATGAAATGGGGATTTATCGAGAAAGGGCAATTGGAGAATGTCGGGAGAAAGATGGGTCATTGGTGAGTCGCTTATTATAGGGTTAGACTAACCGATCGGTTTAGCTGATGAATTTCTCTAGGATTGATACTGTCTATCTTCAATGGACAATGCCGGAGCAAACAGAATAGTGAGTGGCTTGAAGTCAGCGAACATTATCTGAGTCAATGGACAAACAAAATAGCTTGGACAGAGATGAGAGTGGATATTCATATTCAAGTATTCATATTCAAGAACTAGGCTAGCCAATTTTCTCAGATATCATAAATGAATGGCCCATTCCCGGCGTAGTTCCCCTATATCAGCTCCATATCACGACGATAAGCGCTCGCCTCCGTTTCTAGCTTGGAGCAATCGTGTTGCTGACGGTGATATTGACGGTGACAACGTGATTGGTGTGACCACCAGTGTGGCTGGCGTGGTTACCGCTGTGGGTGATGCTAGTGTTCACTGCGTTATCGCCAGTGCAGTTACCGGAGTGGTTAACTACATTGTCACCAGTGTGGGTGACGGTGCTGGTGACAGTGTTGTTGCCCGTAGGCTCGATAACAGGATCAGCAGTTGGATCGACCGTCTCCGTGGTGGGATCGATGCCGGGCGCGGTGTCAGGCTGACTTACAACGATGGCAACAGTAGCGAGTGTCTCCGAGGCACTCCGGCGGGAGCTAGTATCTTGAATTTCTTCATCGTCATTTCGGCCACTGCCATCAGGACCATAAGTAGTGCCGCTGGTAGCCATGATGATATGTAGCGGGAGGAGTAACTCGCGATATGAAAAATAAGGAATGAGAAATAAGAAAGTGAGTCACAAGTAGATGGACTCGAGAGGTCCAATCCATGGAATACGGCGAGGAATAATGTCAGCCAAGAGGTTCCAAGTTGAGGGTTTCAGACAAGCCGGATATCGGTTTTCCAGCATTTGAGGCGCGAGGTGTTGGAAAATACTTTTACGTTTGTGATAGTAATTTGTTTAGATGATGGCAGGTCATCTGCTTGAGCTCGGTCTGGGGCAACTTCCATCGCGCTGATGGCTAGAGATGAAGGCATGACTAGATGGAACAATGAACATCAGTGATGATGGTCTGGTATTCCTATCGACTATCTTCGGTTTTCACTACATATGGATAGTTACCACAATGCGAGAGCCTTACTGTACCGCTCTGCTTTGTATTCATAATAAAACCTCCTCACATACCAGCCCCATAAGCCTCTATCCCCCTTTCCAGCTTGAGGTCATTCAATAAGAAAATTTGGATGATACTTTCGAAAATATCATCAAACTCATTGTAAGCCATATTGACAGACCCAATCTGGCAGTTGATACAGTAGGATAGGTGCAATATCTCTTTCTCCAATTTGTGAAGCATCAGTTTAGTAGCAACGTACCAGCTGATACTAACCTCCGGTTGTTCGCAGATGATAATTCGAGCACTTCAGGCAGTAATATAGGTAGAGATCGAGTAGAAGTGGTGGGATCACATGGATCACAGCTTGATAAACTCCTTAGACTGGATATCTTCTTCCTTGGGTGCGAGCAAGTCGAAGATCATAAGGTAGATCGCGTCGGCCAACTCGAGGCGAGGGCGGATAGATTCGAGGAAGGCGGCGAACTCCTCCATATTCAGGAACAGTCACGTACTAACGAGCTGGGATCATTTCAACCAGTTATCATAGCGGTCTACAAAAACGAACTGGATATTGGGTTTTCAGGACTCAACGAGATGTTGGATGGCTTCTTGATGTTGGTGATAGTGATTTCTTTGAATGATGGCAGGCCGTCTGCTTGAGTTCTCGTTGAAATGGGACGTTCCATAGCGCTGATGGCTAGGTTTGAAGACATGATAGCAAAGAAATACCATGCAATTTGTATAGAAGGATGGTTGATACAGATGAAAAAAAGATGTGAGAAAAATGGTTTGTAGAAAATTGTGGTGAAACACGCGACTCATTAAAATATTCTGTTGGAAAGCACGAGGCCCCACTAATTCAATAACTCCAAATTCACTCATCAGATTTTCCATCACCGATAACTACTCTCTCACTGGTCCCTTCTTCTCTTGCTCGCTGTACAGTCGCAGAATACTTCTTTCCGGCAATGAGCCACCAAGCAAGCTCAATGAACAAGAATCCGCCTACAACAACACAGGTATAGTTCATGTTTGTTACTGTGCGATTGTTAGGACATATCCTTGACAGAATATTAGGGAATAAAAAGACCGCAGCACTTACCAGTTACAGGCATCTGGTACGGGAACGAGAAAAAGACGATGGCAAATACCAGCCACGCCACAGAGACGATGTTCACAGTCATGCCCATCGTCTGTCCCATGAAGAATGGGCCACGGTGCATGGTTCGACGGAACAAGAGCACATTCGTCAGAATGGGCACAAGATAGGCAAGATTGTTGATTGTCCTATATCCATGTCAGTATTAAGTCATTTCTAACTAGTTTGTAGTATGGGGGAAAAAAGCTTACACTGCAGAGCTCATCATTGCATTGAACGCCGTGCTTGATCCCAAGTATATGCAGCCGAGGAGGGCGACAATCGCGGTAACACAGAGCTGCGCATTGAATGGCGAGCCCAGCTTAGGGTTGACACGAGCCCAGATCTTCGATAAAGGTAGGCCGTCATCACGGGCAAAGGCCCAGAATACTCGCCCAGTACCTATAAATGTCAGAAGGGGTTTGGCGTTTGAGGAATAAACAAGCACTACTTACTCAATTGTGAACCGATGACGCAGGGACCAAGAGCAATCCATACCATGAATACTAGCGCGAATGCTCCCCCTCTTGTAGAGGTTGCCTGCCAAAAGAGCTCAGCAAGAGGAAGTCCAGTATGTGTGTCAGCCAAGCTGTTGTAATCTTGAACTGAAAACATCAGGCTAAGCAGATATGATATTCCGGTCACGAAGGCGATTGATAGAGTGATAGCTATTGTCGCATACAGTTAGCCAGCTTATCGATGCAAGTAACTCTGCCGCCGAACTAACCTAGACCCAAAGGGGCATTTCTTCCGGGCTAAAAGCACTCATTAGTATAATGCACAAGATTCTGGGTCTCTGCCTCAACTCACATTGGGCATTTCTTCTGTGATGTGCTATGGTATGGTCAGCATCTGCGTTCACCTGAGCACTGTGATAATGGGCATAACTTACCGAGATTCCATCCAGACCTCCAAGTGAGTACATTGGATTAACCAGTCCGGTGATAAAGCAAATAACATTGTTGTCCCAGCCGGTGTTGTTAATCCAGGTACGGAACACAAACTTGCTGTCATTATGAACCGGCGCTTTGGCGGCCACCACAACCATAGTAATAAACCAGGCCAATTGCAGGTAGATCACTGAAACTCATCAGCTGTTGAACCATGCAGGAAAAAGAGCCGACATACATGAAAATTTGTTGAGCGCTGGAATAAACCGATTCCCGAACATGACAACGGCCGCAGTCAAAATATTGAGGATCTGATATGCGACAAAGGTCATCCATGGCTGAACCACCAGGCCATCGTGGTAAAGCGCAATTAGTGCCATGACCGTCGTGGCATAAATCAAATTTGTTGACGCAGTTGTAAAGATCCCTATGCTTCATCAGCTCCATGCCAAGACTTTCGATTTCGGGAAAAAACCCACACCCGAACACAGTGGACCACCCAGTGGCAAAGCTGAGCATGCTATTATATCGTTTGGGAGCAATGGCGGCAATCCAATGGTACATTCCTCCCTCGGTGGGGTATGCTGATACAAATTCTGCCAGGGAGGCACCGACGAAACATTGAAGGATAAAAACGAGGATGAAGCCATATATCACTAGAGACTGGTTATTTGCCGGGTTCTTTGCGACGGGTTCTTTGCGATGGGTAGTGGAAACTCACGGGCGCCAGGACCACCTGCATTAATCGCAGTCATTAAACCCAAGCCGAGACCTATGATTATGTGAGTGAAATGCTGTAGGCTTGCATGATCCCAGCTGACCTGTCCATGAAATGGTACAATTGGCCGCCAGTCCAATCAAACTCCAAAGCGAGAAATGTCGCTCCAACTCCTGTTTATGCCCTGGGTCCCAGTCAATACCATATCTCTGAATAGCACGGAATCAGAAACCTACCCATTTGGGCTAATCGCAGCTCATCCTCATTTTGCACCTTGATAAACTCGGTCGATTTCCTATCTCCAGAACCTGCGACCGGCGAAGAGACAGGTGTAATTTCGGCACTCATGATGGACACAAAATTGTATACCGCTCACGGTAAAAGGTGAGTGTCAAACGAGAGAGAGAGAAAAAAAAAGGGAGCACTCGAGGAATAAATCCTTCGCAATTAAGTACGATCATGCATGCTACCTCGTGATAATCTTCCAGCTCTTATCGCAGTCCGGGAAACAACGCAGGATCACCGGGTGGTTCACCGACGAGATAGCCGGGGGATGCGGGAGAGGGGACGTATCAGCGTGAGATATTCCGCCAAGGGGCGTTGCGCCCCCACTGGGTATCGCGAGATTCGCCGGTGCAAAATGTGGGGATGGCGGGAATCCCTCGTGTGTGCTTTATGCACATGCCGTTGCAACCCCATTTATGCTTGGCGACGTATAAGCTTGCGCCAAGAGTTTGAGGTAACATGCTTGGCTTGAATGGTCTGATTCGCGTTTGGACAATACGCCTGGGTTGAATCCCCAAAGGTTACAGGTACCGAGGTGGAAGGCTGCGACGATACAATTGACATAACCCACCATTCCAGCGTTAATCGCGCAGCTTACCATGCGACGAACGACCTTGAGATGATGTGGTCCCACTTACAGGCCCTACGTTGTAGGCTAGTACAATCCACATCGATTAAGCGCGTAATTCTGGATAAATAATAGTATCCACAAGCAACAACACCCGTTACGTAGATAAGCGCGTAGTTGGCTTCCGATTCCATGTGATAGGTATATATATACATATATGTGATTCGGTGCTATATTTATAGTAAATCTACGGTACATTCATACAGATGGAATTAACTGGCGAATCTGCAACTATAGGAAAAACTGCAAGTGTATTATGTGAAGAGTGAAAGAGATTTCCATATATTCAACGTGTATGTGAAGGTATAATAGAGGAAAATTTGATGCGAAATTCGCTCTATTTTGTACAAATGATAGCATACATAATCTCCCCTTCTGGAGTCCCTCTAGCCTTATCACATAAAGCTCTCGGCTGGTGCTGCTAACCTCTTGGCATTAAGGACTCTAGAGAAATTCGAAAATACCTAGGTACAGGTCCAAGTCCGTGTCATCGGACTGCATCTAGGTATTAAGAGGGAATAGTTGCCGATCCCAGAATTACCCGAACTGGAATTTTTGGTCGACAGGACAAGTAAAACCAGAAATCGTGGTAATGGTCATGATTGTGGGAGACTTGAGGTCTTTCGGGACAGGCCATATAAATAAAGAAGAACCTTTGGAAAGCCAAATACCTAACCTGACCGGTACCGGCTGCTTTCCACACGTGCAAGGTGGTATTTGCAAGGCCGGTCAGAGTCAGGATTTTTATACCTACCTATTTATTCCAAAAGTGCCCCATTCGTTGAACACTGTATTGCATAGTTGCCCCCAAAGCCATGGAGAGAAAAATTCGTCCAAGTCTCCGCTCCTGTAAGCCTTATTCTCTGCTCGGCCTTCCAATAGAAGTGCACAAAAGATAAGATAAACTGGTAGCTAATTTCAGATCTGCACGAATTATATGTGCCCACTGATAGCTTTGCCCTAACAACCCTCATTATAGGCCGCGGCCCTTCAACCTTCCATTGTTGGGACCTTCAAAACCGAGAGTGATCTTTCCTGGATTGGAGTAAGTTTCATGTTGGGAGATACCGCTATTTTGCCACTGTAAGCCACAAATATTTCTCCTTGGGTCATCGACAAAGCGATATTAACACAGAAATTTCAGTGGAAAGGCTTTCGGCAGATTCAACATAAAATGGCTATTTCTCTGGTGCCTGTTGATTTTTGAAATCGGGAGTGCGGTCTGTGCTGCGGCGCCAACAATGAACGCGCTTATTGTTGGTCGCGTTATTGCCGGCGTTGGAGGATGCGGCGTCTACGTGGGCGGAATTACTTTCGTTGCATTGCTTACGACAGATCACGAGCTTCCACTCTATCTGGCTGGAATCTATTGTGTCTGGGGTATCGGTTGCGTTCTTGGTCCTATCATTGGAGGCGCCTTTGCTCAGAGCAGTGCCACCTGGCGCTGGGGCTTCTACATCAATCTCCCCATCGCTGCACTGTTCGCACCCGCCTATTTTCTCTGCCTACCGGTCATCAGGCCACAGCCGAACAAGCCCTTCTTAGAGAGACTCCGTTCATTAGATTGGATTGCTACTATCGTGTTCCTCACTGGGGCCACCTGTCTGAGTATGGCTCTCAGTTTTGGTGGCACGTAATATACGTGGAGCAGCGGTTCCGAAATTTCCCTCCTCGTCATGACTGGCGTGCTTCTGATTGCCTTTATTCTGGTGACTATATTTCACCCAGGGGTGTGGGCGGAAGATAAGCTCTTGCTAGTGGGATTTACGCGCACTGCTGACCTCATTACGTTGCTAATTTAGAGTGCTATCGTGGCAGGTGCAATGTACACATCAATTTATTATGTCCCACTTCTTTTCCAGTTTACTAGGTCCGACAGTCCCCTTGAAGGTGTTGTACGCATGCTTCCACATATTTGCACCCTGGTTTTCTTCGCCCTCTTGAATGCGACTTTTATGCCAAAGCTTGGATACTATATGTCTTGATATGTTTTTGGCAATGCCGTTATTATGATCGGCTCTGCTCTCATGGGTAAGTGAGAAAACACATCTCTTTCACCGAGAAAGCGAAGAGCGTAACTCCGTGCTGACACGCGGGGCTTTTCCCTTGCAATACGACAGTCACTATTGATTCGGATACCTCTCCAGCACATATCTATGGATACACCTTTCTTATTGGTGTTGGAGTCGGCTGCTTCCAGAGCGCCGGTGTTGCTTTCGCGTCAGCAATTGCTTCACCGATTGAAGTGAATAATGCTGTGAGTCTCATGACTATTGGTAAGTGGCATATCCTGTTCGAGCATAGCCTTCCTTTAATTAATGGTTTCGGGTAATAAAAGCTCAAATTTGCGGCATTCTCACATTTCTCTGCGTTGACAGAGCTGTTTTCCAGAACCTCGTCATCAATAAAATCAGCAGCGTTCTTCCAGGGTACAGTACCAACGATATAAGTGAGCTCACCGCTGGCACCAGTGGCTCTGTCTTCCACAGTTTGAGCTCGGATCAAAAATCAGATGTTATTGACCAAGTTACTGATTCGATCCGACGTGTGTTTATTTATCCTCTTGCTGTCTACTCATTTGAGTTTATTCTTTCATTTTCCTTGCGTGTACGTTATCCAGACGCGTGTAGAAGTTCGTTGGAATTTGTTGCTAACATCAATCCCTTCATTTCAGCGCCGGAAGCTATATCTTTCCGCAGGCAAAGTTGCTAAATGATTTTTCTACAGTGGAGGTGACGCATTGAGGTAAAAAATTGGCAACTGCTTAAGGGAGGATGAGTGAGAGTTAGGTAGGGTGAGTATATTGCGAGGTTGACAAGTAAATGTTCGGAGAATATTTCTAGAGACAGAATAGAAAATTGGATAATTACTAGATCTCATCGAGCAGGATAGAACAGTGAGATCCCGGCTTTGGTAATTAATTTACTACCGGGAGATTTCTTATGTAGAATATGACGAATTTGAATCTTCTCCTTTTCATAATATTTGACTTTCTGCGCGAGCTCTTCGATGTATTCTCTCGCCTTGATATTTTTGCCGGTTGTTGCGCGAGCTGGATCTTCAATGAGAAATTTGTTCGGTAAGATACAAAATGTGCAAAATAGTGCAGGCTCAGCGACGGTCCTTGATCCTCGCCAATAATATGATATCTGCAAATATAAATTTGCTTTTACGCTTGGCTCTATCGAGCCCCGATCGATCCGACCCTACTGGAACAATCAGAAGGTATGGCGTGCGGACTCAGATATTGGAACTTCCACACATATGCTTTCCCAAAGATTCTATCATTGGCGATACTGAAAGCGAACCTATGCATTAGGCTTGTCGCCAAGGAATCTACGGCGGTAGTATTCAGTACTGACTGGAGACTGGAGCGCCGAGAGCACCTAGGTTCTTGGCAACACGCTTGTGATGTCCAGCGGCATATGTACAGTATCAGGCATCTCTCCATTTTCCATATAATCCCAGGTACATGCCCAAATCCCGAGGCCAGGTTCTAGACCGACAATAACTTAAGGGTAGTGCGTTTTCCAGAAAGAAATACAGCAAAGGAGATTCATGAAAGTGCTGTGAATCGTGGCCTGGGAGGTGATTTTCCAGAGATAAAAAACCAATTCAATGCTGCTGCTGCTGATTGGCGAGATCTGCGGCTATTGAAAGAATTGCCCCATAATATTTCCAACCCATCCTCTGAAAAAAAACAAAGACGAACAGTCCCATGAAGGAACTTTTGAAGATCTCTGAAAGAATCGGATTTAAATCTCGAATCCACGCTGTTATATCATTGATTTGACTTTGTGATCTTGCAGAATCCAATTTGGGGACCTGAAGATCGACCGATCGATCGGATCGACGGGTCTGGAAATTGCAAGGTTGTCGATCTTTTTTGGACTGCTGCTGGGGCATTTAGACAGTCTTCGCGTGAAAGATGGGATTCTATTTGCCCTCGTTCCATCAAAGCATGGGAGACTGAAAGAAAAGCGCCTGCCTCGTGCCTTGCGATCTACCTAATCATGAATGATATTATTTTTTTCTCAAAGACCTGAAAAGGCCTGAGCTCCCGATCTCGATTCCGATCTCTCATTTGAATTAATTTCGTCAGACCGCCATGAAATCCCCGTCCATCCCAGATAATCTTCCTCACAAGAGACATTCTGACATGTCTTATACGCCCATTCTTGAGCCGCGGGACCCTAGGGACGATCTCAAATCCTTAGCCCAGAGTTCCTCACACTCGCATTCCCCAGGGCAATCATATGAACCAGCACCATTTGGCCAGCCGGCTATTGGACCACCTATGGGACTGCTACAGCGATCAATGTCTAGATTCAGCGCTAATGGTGTCTCTAATGGCATTTACAGTGGCGATCAATCTGCCCGCAAACCCTCCATCGACCAGGAATCGGTCGTAGATTCAGTTACAACCCAAGATCCGGGCTACCACCCCATAGACCAGCCACCACGGCACGAGAAGCAACCCTCAAGCTCAACAGGCCAAACTTTTGACCAGCGATCTATCAGCACCCTCTCTCTGGATCAAGTGTCTATCGGAAACCAATCGCTAGGCCACCATTCTATAGGCGGGCTAACACCTCGCCATCTCTCGTAAGACCAAAGACTCCCAATTGCCAAGATTCTGCGCTAATCATGCAGATCGCCTTCACCCACCCACGAGGTCTACTCGTCTGGCTCGAACAGATCTCTACGAACCAACTTTGAACTTCCAGTTCTTCAACAGAGGAATCCAAATGAGGGCTCCGAGAAATTCCACCCAATCATTGAAGAAGATGACGAAATATCTTTTGATCTAGTCGCTCCCTACGAGGGCGATGCCGCCCCATTTCATACCCTGGAGCAACAGGCGGACATCATGTTTTGCTCAGACCATATGCTAGCGATCCTGAACAATCCGCGGTACCTCGCGCAGTTCCGTGAGTTCCTCGCCCAGGAACGTCCAGGGTCATTTTCGACCCTGACTTATTACCTGAATGCTTCCAAGGCTCTCAAGGCAATTGAATATGCCAATGCGCTCGTGCGTTTGGCAGTTGATGTGCCTACATTGGGTATTGAAACTGCAGATTACCCTGTTGGCCGGACTATAAATCTGGCCCTTGAACGGCGCGTGCAGGCAGCACTGAATGCGTTGACTGCAGAGGAGTTGCCTGCTTTCATTACTTCTACCTGTATAAATATCACTGGAAAGGTAGTCGAGGAGCGTGTGCGTGGAACCTTGCCGGATAGGTTTCAGGGAACGGCAGATGCACTGGCTGAGGTATTCTGTCTGACTGATCCATCGCGGCCAGACAACCCTATTATCTTTGCTTCTGGCGGTATGTCTGAGTTACTTCATAGAGTTCCTACAAAATTAGCTAACGCATCATCAGAATTCCACCGCACCACACAATATGGCATGGACTACGTTCTAGGACGAAACTGTCGATTCTTGCAAGGACCAAAGACAAATCCCAACAGTGTTCGACGAATCCGAGAAGCTCTCAAAGCCGGTCGACCCCACTCCGAGCTTTTCCTGAACTAGTACGCGTCTTCAACTCATTTCACTGTGCAAAATTAATCCAAAAAACCAGTCGCCGCGATGGCTCGCCCTTCATGAACCTCCTCCAAATGGCTCCGCTCTGTGACAGCCGCGGTAATATTCGCTACTTCATCGGCGCTCAGGTCGACGTCTCCGGACTCGCAATGGAAGGCGCCCAGATGGAATCCCTGCAAACCCTACAAGCGCAAAAAGAAAACCGTGAAACAGACGAGCTAATAATCAAAGAATCAAAGGGCGAGTTCCAAGAGCTTGGCGAACTCTTTAGTCCGCGCGAGCTACAGAACATACGAGAACACGGTGGAAACCTTTTCCAGCCGATTGTCAACGAAGATCCCACTCATCGTCTATTCCTACAAGACTCTGACACCGAGAGCGAGATTCATACCCCATACAAAGGGCCACACAGCCTTACACTAGGCACAGCTCCCTGTATTTCCTTGACTGGTGTCTACAAACACGTAGGTTCTTCATTCCCCCATCCCCGGATATGGATATGTATCAAAACCCTGACAAGAATTCTACCAGTACCTCCTCGTCCGACCCTATCCCTCGCTCCGGATTCTCTTCACCTCTCCCTCTCTCCAAATTCCAGGCATGCTCCAATCATCATTCCTAAACCGCATCGGCGAGACAGGCACGAAACGCGATAGTATCATCAACGCCATGGTGGCAGGGCGAAGTGTCACAGCTCGTATCAAGTGGATGACCAAATTCAATGACCAGGGTCGTAATCGCTGGATTCACTGTACACCGTTGTTGGCGAATAATGGTCAGATTGGTGTGTGGATGGTTGTTGTTATTGATGATGAGGAGGAATATTCGGTTAGATGGCAGGGAAATTGGCCGACTACTCAGTAAATCGTCTATCCTGTTCAGCTCGGGCTTTTGTATATAATATATTGTAATCTTCGTAAAACTGGATCTCATTTCGGATGCAGCTAATCTATTTGGATTCACCTCGCTGGGATTGGAATGTAGACTTTATATGAATTGGTGTGTAGCTTAAATGGCATTCCCTAAGTGAGGAGGATATACACCACTGACTTGAGATCAGTTTATGCAGCCTTTCCTTCTATAGAATTCAAGTTCTTAGGTCTACTTCCAACCAGAACGGACGTGACAAATAAACTTCCGGAAAATCCTCCGAACCAAGACCGATATATTGATGTCATCTCCAGATACACAATTTAGCAGACACGTATCTAACCTCAGACTACTCTCGGAGTTGAAATCCACGCATGAAAAACACATAACCCACGATGATTACCTGGCGTTCGCTTGTCCGCAGCTTCCAACGGGTATGTATAATGTCTAAGCGGTGATTTGTAACGACATACTACCCATCGTACAGAACCACGCACCCATCAGATCTCAAGTACGGCAGCTGAGTCTGCTTGAACATCATTCATACCACCTACTCAAAAATGTAAGATATCCCTACCTGCAAGAAAATCTAAATGCTAATACAACGCAGTTCAAACTGCCAGTTCCACCGGGATTCCTAGTAACAACCCCAGAGCAAGCCAAAGATGTCGTCTCTGAGATAAGCAAGTCCATACACTCCCCCAAGTTTCCTATTCTACCAAAACCTAACATCCGATCAGATGGACCCTCGGTGATAAAAGCCCAAGTCCTCGCAGGTGGACGCGGAAAAGGCAGATTCAACAGCGATGGCAAAAGCGGTGTTCGCATTGTGGACTCGTGAGTTTCTTCGATACAAATCACAAATAGCCACTGAGACCAAATCTAACACACACAGACCAAGTGAAGCCTTTAAAAGCGCCACTAAAATGCTCGGCTACTACCTAAAAACAGCGCAAATTCCCCATGACGGACTCCGCGTCGACAAGCTCTACGTCTACAAAGCCATATCTATCGCACAGGAATTCTACCTGGCAATGGCATTTGACCGGGCGCGCATCTCACCCGTACTGCTCATCTCCTCATCGGGTGGAACAAACATCGAATCGAATGTCGATAAACTCCACAAACTCTGGTTTGGACTCTCGACAGGCATAACCGACGAAATTGACGCGTATATCCAAGCCGAGCTTGGATTCTCAGATTCCGAGATGAAGGATATACACCGGATCCTTGTTCAGATGGTGAAATTATTCAAGGAGAAAGATGCAACGCTGGTTGAGTTGAATCCACTCGTTCGCACGAATGAGGGAGAGTTTGTTTGTCTGGATGCCAAGTTTGGGTTTGATAACGCGGCGCGGTATAGACAGAAGGAGATCTTTGCATTAGAGGAACGATCGCCCGAGGAAGAGGAGGAGTATCAGCTAGGAAAATTGGGACTTTCTTATGTGCGGCTTGAGGGGAATATTGGGAATATTGTTAATGGGGCTGGGTTGGCGATGGCGACTAATGATCTTATCAGTTTGTATGGAGGTGAATGTGCTAATTTTTTGGATGTTGGAGGTGGGGCTACGAAGGAGACTCTGTCAAGGGCTTTTGAGATCTTGAAGAAGGATCAGAGGGTTAAGGGGATTTTGATTAATATTTATGGTGGTGAGTATACATGTCAGCAGTGGGGGAATGGAATAGCTGATCAGTGATAGGAATCGTGCGATGTGATATGATTGCCGAGGCGATTGTTTCCGCTGCTGCTGAGATGGGTGGTTTCAAATGTCCGGTTGTGGTTCGGTTGCAGGGTACTAATTCTGAAAAGCGGTTGAAGCTGGTCAGTAGACCTGTCGGCTTTCTATAGCGTTGACTAATTCTAATTGCAGGTCGAACACTCTGGTTTGGATAACTTGGTTGTAGAAGCCGAATTTGAGAAAGCTGCTCAGATGATTGTAAAGAAAACACCTGGGGTTGAATTTTGAGAAATTGATTCACAAATCCAAAGATAGTCTAGTGTTCTGCTACCATAGACGTTGAAACCATGTCATAGTTTGAGGCAAATATGCCCAGCAAGACTCAAAGCAGAGACGAAAAAGAAGATGGGGAATGCTGGACGGTATGTAACCTAAGGGAAGACGATCCTACACTAACAGTATACTAGACTAGCATACTGGTAGGATTCATGCTGTCGAACATTCAGTATGGAAAATCCTCATAGTGATTTTTATACCATGTTAGAGGTTTATAGAACACTGTCAATAAAGGATCTGTATGAATATTGCTCCATCCGTTAATCTCTTCAATCTTATCGTTGCTCCAAGACTACTACATATATACCTACGTTTATGTATCCAAGATATAAACTTATTGTAGTCAAAGCAACACCCGTAAATGCAGAGTACACAGTATTCCAATTCAAGAGATCACAGATTGTCCAGGGCTCGCCTGAGAAGGTGAGCTCTTAATCGCCAAACCGGTTATTTCTTCATCCGCCGTAGGCTTCCTTGCCCATACCCGGCGACTAACCATGATTAGCAAACATTCTCTTAATACCAACACTCATATCAAAAACTCACGCATATTCATAAGCATGTGTCTGAGGATTCCTCAACTCAGCCCGAACCTTCGACAAATAAACCTGGACCTCTTCTGGCGTCCAAGGCGACGGCGCACCAAACCTAGTGAGCAGCCACATAGCCCAGCCCTCCAACGCAGCAGTCCAATGAGCATATTGAAGCTGTCCAGCTTCCTTGAGGAGCTTATCTTTTGGCCACGGCCCTAAAGGAATTTTGTATAGTTTTTCATGCACATCGACAAATCCAGCCTTCTCTATTGCACCTCGCATTGTCTCCTGCGTTAGAAGAGAACGGCCAGCTCGCTCAGAGCAGCCGATGAAATTATCTCCCCATGTGGCTAGATGGCCGCCTTCTTTCATGGTACCGTCGTCGCTGTATAATCGCACGTCTAGTTCGATCTGCTCGATCCAACCGCCAGAGGTAAGAGAGCTGGATAGTGTTGTGGTTAGATACGGCTGTTCAACGGGAGGGGGTGTAGATGGGGAAGGGGAGAAACGTGGAGAGACTCACTCGTAGCACTGCTTGTATACTTGATCCCATCCATCCGGTGTGAATGCTCCCAGCATTAGACGCATATGGATAAAGTCGAATGGTTCTCTCCAGGTCCAGTCGCGGAGGACATCGTCTACTTCGAGTACGCAGTTGGGCGGCATCCATGTCACGGGAGGGGGGAAGATGTCGACGCCGCGGACGGTTGCTGACTCTTGTTAGACTGATATAATAAGAGGAAGGAAAAGGGAGTGAGGGTTACCAGTAGGATACATATCTGCCATATCACTGGATGAGTGTAAGCAGGGATCCATTGAGGAGATGGGTGGATACTTACATAGCCCATGTTCCTTTACCAGTCCCAATGTCTAGAATATGCTGGAGGTTCCTATCAGCAAGGGGTAAATATCTAAAATCCAGATTCCTCTCTCACCTGAGGAGATTTGCCGATGGGAGCGTGGTGGAGAGGGTTTTCGCGGTCATAGTCCAATACGAGAAACACCATGTGGCTGAAAATCACTTATTAGCTGTTGCTTGGACCAAACCGAAAGACAAGAAAAAAAAAAAAAGAATAGTATTTACCCAATCTCAAAAGCCTCGAATTGCTGGTCATCGGAAGGACTCCTGGATCATGATTAGCCTCGAGTCTCCCATACTGAAGCATCGCGACCGACCAGTAGTCATCTTCCTTCATAGCCTGGTATCTGCTCGTACTATTAGCAAGGACACATAGATATTCGCTGCTGCTGTTAATTCACTCACCGTCTACCATTTTCCAACCTTCCCTTCGCAATTGAAGATGCTAAAGATGTAGTTTCCCTGGTATTGTTAAAAGGCAAAACGCCGTGGAAATAATTTCGGTAACTCACGACTGGAAGTCTGAGGGTTCCCAGTCTTGGGTCAGAGTATAGAAATCGGCATCCTGTCAGTGTTAGATATCAGATCAGAAGTTATAACTCTTCATAACTCACGACAGCAATTTTGTCCTTCATTTTGGGTTTTGGACTAGAGGAGAAAAAACGTGGCAAGTGGAAATGACAAGGGGCGGGGGTGGTCGGGTGCATCCGGCCACAAGCTAAACTTATATAGTTTCAACGGTATACTTAGGTACTTATGTTAGGGGTATATATTATTATGTCGGGTGTATAATACAGACATAGCTGATCTACTTCTAAATTCCCAAGGCTAGAAGGTACGGGCACGAACGCTGAGTCAAGAGGATCCGCTAGGTATCAATTTGGAGCAGATATCAACTAGTTGTGCATCGCTGGCTTTCATAATTCCACCGAAAAGCAACCAGTATCCCATAAAAATGAACAGTCGCACCAATTACCACGGAGATGTGGAATACTTGGTGAGATGACCCCCAAACGTCAAAGCTTCCGGGTCTCCAAGACTCCGGGAAATGTGTCTGCCACCAATCAGCATAATCCTGCGTGAGCTCGGTCTGGGAAATTAACGCACTGCGTAGAACAAGACTCCCATCTCGATGACGAGTCCTTCAAGATAGTAATATCGCAATCCAGCTTACTGATCTAACTGCTCATAGTGAAAGATACTAGCAGCGTGGATTATGGGGGCAAATGCCGAGAGTCCCGTCGCCACGAACGTTGATAATCGCCATAGTCTCCACTTTCGACTTTGGAGTTGGGGATGCACCACGACAAATGCGGTCAAGAAGCCCAAAGCGCCAATCTGTACGGAGTACACATAAGTTAGCTCGATGGTCAATGAGAACGTGAGAGAATCGGGAACAAACCATTGACCAGTACAGTTTATGTAGATTTCGTTCACAGTAGAATCCAGTATATATCCCCGAGATAAACGACCCAAGAATCTGAAATAAAATGGCGGCATAATCCAAGCGACTCCATATATCAGTGAAACGGGCAGAATGGCAAAGAAACATATGGTATAAAGACGAGATACCAAAGCAAATAACTGAAGTTGTTAAGTAAATATGAAAAACAAGCTGGTTAACCCAGATAGCGTCCGGGAACTACGTGGCGAAATATCCATAGAGGATTCCATTGCCCAGCAAAACTCTAGTGGCTGGGATGGGATGAGAGTAAATATTCACAGTTTCGTTGTGAATTGATAATAGGCTGCTCAGACACAGAGAAGTTGACGGTGTTACTGGCCTATAGCTGGCCCGAATGTACAGATTATGGCCATACCACAAGGGAACTTCATCACGGTTCAGCAACCGTGGCCCTGAGCAGGGGCTCTCTAGTTTCTTCAGGAGTGGGCTGTCGATATGATCCATGCCGTCCGCCAGTTGCGCAGTAGACGAAAACCGTTTAGCCATTCTCATCTCTCAACTTGGTGGGGTTTGTTTGATGATATCCATAGAAAATGAGAATTTTTGGATATGAGCGAGACCAGAGTGTTTTATGTGATGGTAGGGCATCGTGAGGCGCCTCAGTACCCTAGGCCCTCGGCCCCCCTGTTCGGCGCATACAAAGTAAGTCCTGTTGTGAACGGTGGCCTGTGATTGGATGCATATCAGCGGCGCCAGCGGCGATCGGTGTGATTATCATTTCGACTGTGGTTTCGGAATTATGCCTGTTCAACTTGGTTATTTGCAGCAAAATGCTAAGACGTGTATAAGAGACCCATTTTCCCTTGTTGATTCTTTCCGTATCGACTGTGTGATCTACACCACACATACTCCGACCGCCCTAGTTTAGTGAACCCATCTCTTTCCTAATCTCACTAGTATACAGTTCATTATGACCGGCAACTTATATGCGAGTCGGACCCTCGTTATCGCAAGCTCGACCACCTTACCCAACGGCTAAATCAAAGGATGGAATGATCAGCCCAACAGCAAAGGCGCTTCTGGCCATTCTGTAGATGTGCACCAGTAAAACCTTTATATGCACATACACAATGCTTGCTTTGAGTTTCCTAGCCTGTAATGAGAGTTGCTGGCAAATACAAGCGAGGAAGCTATTATGGATGGCGATTGCGATCGCTGGACCCGAACTTGTATGTTGTATTAAGGGTAGCTGCTGGACAGCTTTCATCGGCTCTCGAAATTCTGCTCAGTCGTATTATGCGCTTGTTATCATAGAATAGACAGAGTTATATGGCATAATTATAACTAGGAAGGCGGTACTCGATTTTAAGACGGGGTGTGTCGCGTGCCACAACCCACGGAAGGCAGGGGGGTGTTTGGATGGCTGTTTCATGTATAATAAGCGGGGACTTTAATCCCACAAAATCGCTGTCAATGTCCTCTCGGATAACGTGCACGAGAGTTATTTCGGACAGAAGTTGATGCTAATGGCTAATGTATGCATTATGGCCATAAGGTGGACTCATATTGAAGTGTAGCAACCACCTGAGCATAATACTTCGGGATCTTGGAAGCTTCTTGGGTTCCGAGGCTGTCACGGTCCGTCCCGCACCCATGTCCACCTAGGTAGGTAGGGTCCATCGTTCGAAAAGGACCCTTTTTTGGAATTATTCATGAAAAGGCGACATGGAATCCCAAATGCAACATTGTTCAAGTGAAGTCCAAAGATTTCTTTGTGATTTAAGGGGCTAATAGCCGTTATACACATCACATTGGTGATAACACCCCCGCGCATCGTTTGTATTCTTGTCATAATCCACCAATGTGGAGTGGAATATGGAGTACTTTATTCTGCTTGGCCTAGAGACTCACTCGCGATACGGATAAATGCGGCTCGTTTGAGCACAGCCTCTTCTAACCAAATTCATCACATGTAACCTAGACGCCTCAAAGTCTGTACTCCGTACTCCGTAGTTTCCTTTCCAATCAATATCATTCTATTTCTGGTCGGCCGAAGGCAGACACTCTTAAAATTGGTCTTGGTTGCGCCGTTTTCCCAGCTAGGTAATGATAAACTCCCCAGTTTCGAAATTCGAAGATTGTCAAGCAATGCTGATTGCGTTTTCTAACTGCAAATGATCACCCGACCAAATTGCACTAGTCAACAGGGTCCGAGGGATGATGCACACAATGGCCGCATTGGGGCCATGGCACTACACTAGTAGCATAGAATTTTTTAAGAGCCTCAATTACCTGCCCAAAACTGTCACAAAATCTAGGGGAAAGATTCCGCCAGGGCCCGTGTAGTTCTGGAATTCTTGTTCGGGATAATTTACTGTGGCGCCAGTGGCAATACACTTCTCATGCAGGGCAACGAGAAGGAATTAGATAAATTTAGTGATTTCTTTCGGGGGTTTTCTTAGGCCGGCGATTACTATATCGATCTGGAGATGGTCTATCATGGCCGTCTCAATCACCTCCGAGTGACTACAGACTCAAGTACTCCGTATATCACCGTATGAACCCAACGGATGTAACCTTGACATAACAAAGGCCGCATAGAATCTCTGGCGACAAGCTAGTCTCTATGTCGACCTAGTCAGTTCGTATTCATTCAATAGATCATTTGATCAACTCATCGGCCCGCGGACATCCATAGAGTCCGATAAAACTACCGCCAGGGATCCTTTGAAAGGTGTTTATTTACGGGGCACTATTCCGTGTGATCCCATTTGCCTCAAGCTAATAAACTAGTCCCCGCTCCCTTTGTATGAACACACGTCCCTCTTCGGGGCGGAGGCTCTTTGATCAAGCCCTTCACTTGCCCAAAGTGATGGGGCGCATCTTATCTCCACGATTTGAGACAGGCGTTCGATAGCCTCACGCTACAGAATGGCGCAGCAATAATATCCGATAAAATGTCTGAGTCACCGGAGGATGCGCTATATTGAGACCCCGAATAGTTCAATATGGTGCTATCGGTGAATACCTTGGTGTATTAGGTACCATTTCCACGGGCGCTCAGGCGGATAACCGGAATGAGGGGTGACAGGAAGGAGTGCATTTATTCCAAGGTCTTGGCAAGTGGACATGCAATCGAAGTATAGCCGTTGATAAGGTTAAGCCATTGGAAACCACGTTGTAAAACAATTGGAATGGAATGTGTGGGAATTCTGTCGCGTGGAATTGCAGAAAAAGCCAAGTTTGATGAAAGACTCAGCATAAAGTAGGCTATACCCAAATGGGAACAGTCCAATATTGATGTGACCAGCCTCCAAAGAAAAAAAACATTCAAACCTTTCCCCAGCCTTCCCAATCATATTTTACCAAAATTCAAGGCAGCGCTATATATCTAACCATGAAAACAATGAAGTCACTTCGACTCGTTTCAGAGATCGCCAGGGGTTTACAACCAGTTTGGCTTATCCTGAGGCTTAGATAGTAAGATCGGCCCCTGAGTCGAGCCCAGCCACCAACTCAGTGGGCCTAAATTAGCTCACGCAAAAAAAAAAAACCACCGGCAAATCAAGTGGCTTAGAGGGCACATCTGATCGCCCAAATCTGACGTTAAATTTGTCAAGACGGTGAATATAAGAAAATGGGTATTCCCAGTTAATATAATCCTGCAAAGTTCCCTCATAACACCACCATGAGGCAGTCGACACCCATTCACTGGGTTGTCCAGGCTTGTCTAATATGGTTGACATTGGTATTATTGGCATCATCTGCCCCCACTTTTGATAATATGGCGTCTTCGGACTCCCATGACCCTGCGCTGCAGACCCGTGACACAAAGCCGTTTCCATTGAGAATTCTACCCCTCGGTGCTTCTATCACCATGGGGTACAAATCAAAAGACGGAAACGGATATCGTAAATGGCTTCGAGAGCAATTGCGATATGTTGGGTGGAAGGTTGACATGGTTGGTACCTTAAAAAGCGGTACCATGCATGATAATGTGAGTTGTTTTGTCTTGTGATTGAAAGAATATATCTTGACTCTTTCCCAGGATCACGATGGACACATCGGCTGGAGAATCGATCAAATAGCCGCCCATGCCAAGCAGATCATCCCTCAACAACCTAATCTAATTCTCCTCAAGTGGGTCTCCAATTCCTATTAAACATCTTCTCTTCGCAAGCTAACATATATCCCCGCAGTGCTGGTACAAATGATGCTCTACAAGAATACAAAGTAAAAACCGCAGGCCAGCGGATGGACTCACTCCTAACCTACCTCTTCGACAAAATCCCTAACACAACCATCATCATTTCAACCCTCACATTCAACGGAAAGAAGCCCCAAGTAGCCACAGAAATCAGCAGGCAATACCTCGAACTTGCAGCGAAACGCCGAGCACGAAATGAAAGCCTCGTCGTAGCTGACATGAGCATCTTCATCAAGTGGAACCAACTTGTGGATAACATTCATCCCACAGAAACTGGCTACGAGGAAATGGCATCGGTGTGGTGGGCGGCCATTCAAGAAGCTGATAAGGAAGGCTTGCTCAAGCCGCCAAATCCTACTCCCACAAGTAAGGGGACTATCAGCAAGGCCCGTGAAACCCAACTTGACGATAGCACCGGGGATCCGGATTTGCCTGCATATACGGCCCCGCCTCAGCCTACAATATCACTTGGCAGCTCGGATCGATCCAGACGGTGGCATCTCTGGGCTGTTGGATTACAGATTATTATGAGTATGTCCCCTTTTCTCCCATTCATTTCTTGGGGGTAAGACTAACTTCGTCTAGTTGGCATTGGTTTGTTTTATGTATGATACGATGGGAACAAAACATCAAAAATAGTGAAAAACAATTTAAAATTTATTAAAATAATCATTCCAACCCCTCACAAGCCATGAATAAAAGTCTACATACCTAGGTTGGGACCTAAGTATGCAACTAAAGCCAGTCCATACATCCACCCCAACCAAACCAACCCCCCAAGCGCTATCCAACTAACAACCCCCTTCACAATCAAAACCCGTTTTATAAAAGCAAAAGTCTCCCTCTCATTAACCCTCGGAAATTTCTTCACAGGAATATCTCTGCCAAGAAACTCACAAAGCGGCTCCCATCCATCCTCCGCCTTAAATTCCAAAATCTTTCCCCCGCGTTCTGTAACAACCCCTCTAACAAGCTCATTATACCTGTCATAAACGACAGTCGAGAAGATATCCACCTCCTCCCCAAATTTCTCCTTACCCCACACCAAAATCCTCATATTAAGCCTATACCACAGCCGTTCAGTCTTCCAAAGAAACCCAAGAACAGCGAAAATACCCGTAAAAAAGAACCTCAGACTCTGCCCACAACTCTCCGCCCACGTCTCCGCGCTAGGCCGCGTTGTCAGAATTACCCGTGCATCCGGGTACATGTCCATTAAATCAGGGAGGAAGAAGACAGCAGGCATATCGCATACTGCGGCGTAGCCGGAGATTAGGGTGTAGAGTTGTTTTTGCCGTGTTGCCGCGTCTTTGGTATATGTGGCGGCGATTAAGAGCTCTTGTTGTGAACTGTGGGGGATTATTTGTGCCATGTGAAGGCAGGGGCCCATGTTTAATTCTTCTAAGGCAGCTTGGAGGGAGGATGTTGCTGTTCGGGGAAGACCGGCGCCGATTACGAGTAGGGGTTGTGTGTTAGGGATTGGGGCTCTGCGCTCATCACTGAGGAAGCGGACCATTTTGGGGGTTCTGATTGTTTATTTGGGGTGGGTTTTCTTAAGGAATTTTGGGATGGTCTGATGGGGACTTGTATGGCGTTAGTGATGGGGGAGGGTTGGAGGAGTAGGTAGATATTAAACGTTGTAGCCCAATCTGACATCATCTAGGGAATGGGTCCTGGTTGGCTAGGCGTATAGCTATTCTTACATAAATATACAGGCGCATATAAACTTCATCTTTAACTGAAATCGAGTCAGATAAAAACGCGAGTGAACAGTGAGATGTAGAAATCACTATATATTCCGGCGTGAGACTAGGAGCAAGATGTGAGTGTCAACAATGGGTCAACCCTGAGAATTCCAAATGTAGACTTAGCCCTGATAATAGTGCGACCGGTATGGAGAATTGAATCATCTTCTCGTCTTGCCTCTAGACAACTTCCAACGTCGAACTTCCAAGGTCGGTTCCCACTGGGGAACCATGACGTCACCATATGAACCACCTGAACCTCGGGAAGCTTCGGACCTGGTTATTTCAAGCTGTTATACATTTGAACCTCTTGACAACCTCCTAGTCACAGATCACCACAGACCACTCCTCATTACTTTAACTAATTCTAATCAAAATGTCCGAATCCGTCGCCATCCTCCGTCAAGGCCGCTCCGATGAGCTATCCAGGCTTGCCGACGAGCACCTTCAACACGACCTCCAAGCCAGCGACCGCGACAAGCTTAACGCAGCCGCATCTTCAATCTCTCTATGGACAACAGTCGGCTCTGCAGTTGGTGTTAGTCTCGGTCTTCTAGCCGCTATTCGATTGCGCGGTTCGCGGAAGGCGTTCTTCTCTGCTATTCGTGCGCAGGAGAGGCCTACGAAGGTAATTTTTGAGGATGGGAGAAGCGGTATGTCTGTTTCTATGTGAAATTGGAGGTGAAAAGAAGGACTGTGTGGTTAATTTGAACCGGTGTTTAGAATCCATTCCGGACCTCACGCCGTTGTTGAAGCCGACTACTTTGGGTGATATTGCGACTTATTTCTTTGCCTCGGCTGGTGGGCTGCTCTTGGGTGGAGAGCTTGGTAAGATTATGTTTGGTGTTGTCGTGGGTGTTCGGGATATTGTGCTAACTTCGACCTCTGTAGGCTTTGCTGGCGGCGTGGCGACTGGGACGAGGACTATCACCAAGGACCCAGAGAGCAAGAAGAGAATCGAAACTGCTTTTAGGAAGTTCCGGGCTGACGTGCTGCGGAAACAGGCTGATGCTTTGGATAAGGGGGTACAGGATTACGTTCTGATTTAGGAGAAAAATGGATGTTGGATCTTTGTTTAGAACATAGACTGCAGAGCTATCAAGATGAGTTACATATTTATTTCATTTACATATGATACATGTACAAGTTAAACCTCCAAAGCCTTTAAGAACGCCGGGCTTTCATAGCCTTGCGCGACCTTCGAAATCGGCGTCAGATACGCCTCCGAAGATTCCTGGCTCTCCTGAATCTTCCGAACATAGAACTGCGCAACCCTGAGCCACATCGCCTTCTCACCCGCACTAGCTTCAGACCCCTGCCAAACCCAGAGTCTATTCCCGGCATCATAAAGGAAAACATCATTCCCATCCAAGTCAGACCGATCAACCCGCTCCCCATCCTTAACAAGATCAAACGACAACTCCCCAGAAGCATCGCTGAGTCTGAAAAGCTTGCGCGAACGAGCACTATCATCACCATCCCTCTTTGCAAACCGGCCAGGTCTAGGCGCCTCCAAGGTAGAAGGAGCGACATCCCTCCCACCGAGCAAGTCAACAAAGATCTTCGATCTGGACTCAAGTTGCGACAGAACCTCAACATCAACATGCTTAGCCTGCGTCATGTCGTTGACCACCTGCGCGGCCTTAGCCTTCTCCATCGGGCTACACTTCTTCCCCTGCCAAACCCAGATCTTATCCCCTTTATCCAAAACAAAGACATCATTCTCATCGAGACTCTGCCAGGTCGGCTCGACCTCATGAACAATAAGCGAATCAATGCGCGCAATACCGGGATGTTTGAAAACACGCAGTAAAGTCAGCACATCCGGCCTTGCCTCAGGTTCAACGTGCGTGAAACCCGAGCGCACACCACCGGACCTGATCGCGTAGTTCCGGAACAAGGCGAGGAACTCGTCCGAGGGGTGTTGCTGGACCTCGCGGTGTTGTGTTGCAGCACCGTGGAGAAACTCGTCTAACTCGACGGTCTTGTAGGCCGCGACACCTGCTTCATCTTGTGTTGTTTTGCTGCCGAGCCAGAAGAAGATATCGTGTGCGAGCTTGTCGTCGCCGACTTTGTAGGTGTGGAGGACGATGAAGCTGTCGCCATCGTAGAATTGACCGGTTTTTTCTTTCGGCCAGAGGATTACTTGGAAGTTTTCGATCCGCCAGGTAGTTAGCCCTGGTGCCTGACCGACATTTTGCCAGGCGGGTTCGGTGAGGGCTGAGTTGTACTTCACGCGGTGGTCAAGGTCGCTGCCGATTAGTTCCACATTGCTGTCTTTGATGTCATATTCTTTTGGGTGGATGAGGCCTTCGTGGGGTGCCATGTTTGTAGATTTGGTATATTGGAATATGTGTGTGTTGTGTATAATATATAGAAGGTAAGATGTTGACGTTGATAAAGAACACCATGTGGCGGTGGGTCCTGCGCGGGGCATCGCTCTTTGAGAAGAATTGGCCAATGACGTCGATAATGTTCATACTATTTTTAGTTGCAACAGGGTTCCAGGGCTTGATTCTATGTTTATATGAGGCTGAAAGTTGTAACCGCATCGTCAGGGTTCTTGCTATATGTCTTTGAACCACTCTGGTGGCATGTCAAGAGAAATACTTTTCGTCATGCTGTGGCTTCATTTGAGTCGGATTTTATGTTTAAAAAGTATTGGCTGAACAACGGATATTAAGAATAGCTCATAGATCAATGAATGTTTAGTTTAGTGGGCGCAAGTACGATATCAAAGATATCAATATCACCATGTTATGCCCTGAAAGAATTTTTCGAAATTTTCAATTTTCAAAGCGGAGCCAGAGATTTCGTGCGAAAAAGGACACGCAACAATATTCCTGTTTACATTGAAAATAGGCTATGGTGACACCACTTGTGTGATATATATTGCAAGATTCAATATTGCAACCACTAATTTAATACAAATCTGGCCCTGTGGCATCCTTGCATCAAGTTGGGCACAATAAAATTCAAGTCTACAGGGGGAAAAAAAAGAGCAAAAAAAAAAAAAAACGATGTTTGTGTAATTCAGTGCACGAGATTATCGGCTCTGAAATGAAATTCAAAATGTCTTCTGGTATATGAAACATCGAGGGAAAATACTATCTACTTCTGGAGTACTCTAGTAACTGCCTTGTGACTGATTTCTCAGAGGCGCACAGAAGCACCGTCACCAACGCTGAGCGTCAATATATCACGTTTTTCTCGCTCCGCATAAAACCATCGCGCACTTTTTCAAGTCACTGATCACGTTTACCAGCGGCCACCGCCGGCACCACCACCGTTGAAGCCGGAGCCACCAGCGGGGCGAGCGTTGGCGAGGTTGACACGGATGCGACGACCATCGAGACTAAATTGGGGTTAGCGACTTGTGTTGGGATTCGGTAGGAAAGGATTGAACATACTCCTGCTCGTTAAGAGCGTTGATAGCGGCCTCGGCCTCCTCAGCGGAAGAGAAGGTGACGAAACCGAATCCGCGGGAGCGGCCAGTCTCACGGTCAACCATGACGATCTGTTAAAAGGAAAAAAAAAAATTAGTTTTTTGAAGTCAAAAATGGGAAAAATTTAGGATTTTCACGTACAGAGTCGACAATGTTGCCGAACTCACCGAAAGCCGCGCGCAGCGACTCGTCGCTGGTGTGCCATGAAAGGTTTCTAGTATTGTCAGTATAAAGCGCTCATTCAGTATCAGATAAAATAGAATTTGACATACCCGACGTAGATCTTAGACATTTTGAAAGAAAGTGGGAGTCACGAGGTGTTGATGAAGAGAATTAAAAGATGCGGGGCATCTGAGGAGATATAGGGCCTTCGTGGCGGTGAGAGGCAAAATTCATTCGCCCCGCATAAAATGTTGGTTATGGAAGGAGGCGAAAAGAAGCAAACTCTGCCCTGGACCAGATTCATTTTAACCTCGATTTCCTAGTTCATTCTAATTTCTTAGTTCTTTTCAAATTACTATTCGTTAATGAGAATTTCCCCCCACATAGGTGGCCATAGGGGATCTGAGTTTTTGTTCAACCACAACGGCAGAATTATCTGTAGCAATATAATGGGCTGATAGTATCTGGAACCCTACAGAATGGCCCTGACTGCGGTATGGACAAACAGACTACCTGGGTAACATGATCTATAGGTGTTCTCCAAGAGGGATCATGCATAGAGGTAATGGAGCACAGCGCCACTGCCTGGACCAAGGTGGGATATTAAGAGGCATAGAAGTGGACAGAAGGGGCAGAAGTGGATATAGTCAAGTTAATCTTGCATAGGACTTACATTTGGAAATACTACCTGCATGCTTAAAAATAACCCAACTCTAGGTCTAGAATGTTTCTCTGTGTCTCCAGAAGATACAAAAAGTAATTTTTAAAAAAACATACAACAGTGAGGATTCGCTGGTGGTCACCCACCCAACTACTAACTCACCGGCGTGTGGCTTAAGTACGGCTGAGCGGACGGGAAGCCCTGTTTTCCACACCCTATGGTCGTATGTGGTTGATATGGCCTTAGCAAGGAACATACACTATAAACGGTAAGTGGTAGGTAGGTGAGTGTGAGACAACTTGCACTGACCTTCTCAGCTGAAGTATAATATAACTTATGCGTATATGTTTAATAGCTCCGGGAATGATATTTTTACAAAAGGCTGGACGCTAGGAACATGTACGTCCAATAATTATGGCATGGAGAGTGGCTTTGAGGTAATTGTATAGGAGTTTCACGATACTTGCATTGACCACACCGAAATGCAAGCAGATCATAGGCTCATAGTTATAAGGATAAGACTGTCTATGAAACTTGTCCGACTCTATTTAATTTTACCCGAAAAGAATTCTAAAAATATGTGACTAACTACATCATCAGAAATATCCCATCCGACTAGGTTCTGAGAGAGTGTGTGTCATATTGGTCACATCAAAAGCAGTAGGGGTCGCAAATGCATTGCTTTGCTGCTTTAGTGGGCACGTCCGGAGTAATATGAACTTCCATTGCGAAAGTAATGATGGAGGCAAGCCTGTTTTGCAGAGAGCCTTTTCGCGGGGTCGTATTGGAGGAGAGCCTCTAGTAGCTCGTAGCCAGCGCTCTCTATGTTAGGAACCAGAGGGGTGCTGGAACGCCTCCATTGAGGGAAGCTGTTTTTGTAGTCGGGGAGCACAGTGACACCGGGCCAGGTCTTTTCGTTGGGAGTACCAAGAAGACTATCGGAGAAAGTCAATCCCACTTGTAATATAGACATGAAAAAGCAGCGTTTACCGAAAGATCGTGAAGATTTCTTCAATCTCCGAATCAGCAGGGAAGAGAGGCTTGCGGGTGCACATCTCAGCAAAAATAGCTCCCACAGACCACATATCGACGCCGGTGGAGTACAGGGGGCTACCAAGAAGAATTTCCGGGGCACGATACCATAGAGTCACAACCTTATTATGAAACACATGTTAATATCCAAGAGTAGAGATAATTTCCCATTGAGTGGGGGCTTCACCTCATGGGTATACCTCCTCAATGGGATACGGAAAGCCCGAGCTAGTCCAAAGTCACCTAATTTCAAGGAGCCTTCCCGGTCAATCAGCAAGTTCTGCGGTTTTAAATCACGATGTAGAATGCGGTGACTGTGGCAATATCGGACACCCTCAAGCAGCTGTGCCATAAACTTTTTCACCACCGCATCGTCTAAACCGAGGGTTATTCTCGATCCTTTCGGTAGAGGTTTCCCACGGCCACCTTCGCTGAACGGCAGGGCGTCCATGTATTTCTTCAGGTCCAAGTCTAAGAACTCCATGACAAGATAGAGGTTCAGACTGTCGACGTGCACAATATTCAGCAACTGGACAATATTCTGGTCCTTCATTTCTTTGAGAAGAGAGATCTCTCGGATGGCTGTACTAGGGACGCCCTCATCCTCGGCTTCGAGTCGGATCTTCTTTAGAGCAACGATGCGGTGAGGATGTTTCAGCTCTCGAGCCTTGTAGACGACACCGTATGCTCCTGCGATACACCAGAAATCTGTTAGCTAAGGTCCAAGGTAACCATGCCAAACAGACACGGCAAAAATGTCACCTTCGCCAACTTTCTCAATTTTCTGATAATTCTCCATGGGGAAAGTGACAACTTATTGGTTATCTCAATCTTGGTCACCGGAGAATTGGAAATATCAGATATAACGGAAGATATTCAGGATGATAGAAAAAAGTTGAGTTGTGAAAATGCTGGGCAATGCGGCTGAGTTTATAAACCCGCATACCAGGAATAATTATTCGCGTGTTGCTAGGGTGAATGGGCTACAATATCTACGGCGTGTTGCTATGGCGAATGCACTGTAATATCGACGGCACGGCACATATTTTTGGTTATGTAATTTACTCGCGAGCTGCACACACTGATTGGGCCTGTTTGAACATTTATTTCTCTTGTGGCCATTATTTCCATCTGCCCCGCCCCCTGACAATTCTCGTGTTTTTGCTCGCTGCTATAAATTGGGGGTATCAGTGCTTCAATTTCTTCTCGAATTGAATTGCATAACCACCTCGGACAGGTCTGTAATTAGAAGAAAGAAAAATTGTCCATCGTAGTACTTAGTGGGTAGAAAATTCTAGTTTCTATCCATAGTTGTTTCATCAAGCATGTTAGCCTAGAAAGGGTTTGAATTAGAACCTAAAGAAACATTACTTCCATGATATTAACAGTATTTTAACAGTCATCAGCGAATGAAATGGCTTTTTGATTTCATTGTTTTATATCATTTCGATATTATCGTACTCTAACCTACTGAGACTATGCATCTCTATATACCAACGTAGCATATTATTAAAAACAACGAGATCGCAGCAGGTATAATGACATTACTGAGTTTGGATTGGCAATCTTGAATGATGTGAGTCAAGTTGTCTATAACCAGCCTTATCCCTAGGAATGTTCATTCTGTTACAACCACGATGACCGGGAGTCCACCATCAGAAACGACTTCTGGGACACCCTACGGAATCTCAGGCACAGATCTAACCTCACTGGCCACCCTAAAACCTACGAGCTTATAGACAGCTATAATATCAGCATCAGCAGTGTTTCAGTAGTGAAAAAGTACTTGTTTGATTGGTATCGTTATTGGTACACCCGCTAGCTATATTATCGAATTCGATTCCGACTCTGGGGACTGTTCTATCGATTATAATAACAGGATAACCCAAATGGATCATCGCATCTGAATATACAGAGGTCAAATTGATATGGAAATTGCAGAAATTTGCCTCTAGGATAACTCTAACGGCATTGACCGCAATGCGCTGAATGGAGGCTATCGTGGCTCTGAGTCTTGCTTCAAACAATTCGGTTTCTCATTCATTAGTAGTATACCCTGGGAGTTGCAAGACTGAACCTAGACAAAATCGATCCAATAAATATATTTGAATCAATGCTGCAGTGTCGGAAGAATGATGCTCAAATACACGCCATCTACAGTCAGTGGACATATGTTTTTAACACACATATTGCCCCACATAGCTCACCGCCAGTATAAGAATATACCGCCTACCTAAAACGTATAGGGAAATTATATATGCGACACTACAAAGTATATTTTGTTGGCTACTACGCGGCAGATATATGGTAAATTAAAGTGTGATATCAAGAATATCCCGCTGAGATGATACGGCACTCGATGGAAGCTATTATTGAAAGCCAGGGGTTGTATACACCATACTAGATTCATGGTATGAATGTTTTTGACCGGCAATATATTATACAGTCGAGGGGGTGTGGGGCCGTGTGTTAAAAATTTATGTCCAGTCACTGTGACCTTACTCATCCCGCTCATCAAAAAATCCTCTCGCGCACTCCGGCTTGATCGCAGCGGGAAATCAAGTAATCAAGGATGGCTTGGCGAGAGATCGTGTTGTGGGCGACCTCCGTGGTGACAATATGTGCTTTGAGACGGAGGCAGTAGGACTTATGAACGACTTCAAATGCCTGGTCATACGCGGTATCTGCGGCGGTGCATATTCGCATAAGAACAAAATGTGGCAACCCTATGTAGCAGGGGTGGCAGCTGACCACAATGACAGTACACTAATTTGATTACCATCAACCTTGACAGAAAATGTCCATTCCATAATTTTTCTATACAGCTGAAGCTGAAGGTTCCAGAGAAATTCGGAATTAGAAGGATATACGCCCTTTTTGCAACTAGCTTCAATATCTTACAGGCGAGTTGAGTGAAAATGGAGCAGAGCTAAGGTAAAATCCCTTCTAATCTGCCTACACTAAGAAAAGAGATACAAAGATTTAATAAGATCCATCGCGCTGAAGTCTAGGCTGATTATCCCACAGCGCCTTGCGCCTCGTGCACGTCTTCGGCTTCCCCTCCTCATCCGCCCCCCCCCCCCCCCCCTGGCCTAAGGTGGCTAACTCTCCTAACTCGCTGGAGAATATTATCTATATTATAGAGAGGATAAAAATAAGAGGGGCTCGTTATCTAAGTCAGCTACAACATTGCCGGTAGTACCACTACCAACGATGATATAGTCGAATATGACACCTAGCCATTGTCCTAGACAGACATAATGAAAGCAGGACAATTAAAATATAGTGCAAATGACTTAATAGATTGAAACATACGAAAAGGATGGTTTTCTCAGTCTATAATAGACGAATTATACAAGCCTTTTATAAGTAAGGTGATCAGCTTTCTAGTATAGAAGACTCGCATCCCATGCTCTGATCCCTCAATAGCCGGCATAGACTTGGGTGCAAGGAGAAAAGCCGTAGTTCTGCATACCTAGGTATCCAGAATCGTCTCATAATTTCCCATTGGTCTGATAGTTTTCCCATATTGGGGTGCATGATGGTCTGGTCGCCAAATTCGCTTTTATCTTCAACGTATGGACATTGACACAGGCAGCCATAAATAATCGCATTTAATTTGATATGATATTATGCCAATAGATAAAGCGGAGGAATTGGTGATAATTCAATTTCTTAATATGCAACTTACTATCTAGTTGTCTGTGAAGGAATAGTCATAAGAAAGGAAACGACGCCGAGCAAACGTAAAAGAGTTACATCAAGCCTCCGTATGTCTGACCCTCTTCTTCGAGCTGCCTGTCCTCTTTGATGTATTGCTTGAAGTCTCCTTGATCCTTCTTCAGTTCGGAATGCAGCCCGCCCTCGGTGGCCTGGCCCTCGTTTCCATGCTTGTCATGGTGATGATCGAGGATCTTGTGGAAGAATGACTCCTTGTGCTCAGTAGGGTGAGTCTCTACAGTCGAATCTCTGGTTAAAATCTGGGGGTGGAAGGTTGAATGAGTGATAGAGTCGCGAACCTTGAGGCATCTTAATTAGATTTGATGAAAGGTCCGTATACAGTATAGGGCTCTGGATATTAGATGTTAATTGGCGTTTAAGAATGTGCGGAGGTTGAGCACCGTTTGATTACCTACTATGTATCTTCTAATATACATATGCTTTCTATGCAAACATTGGAAATGACGCGTTGATCCTCGATCTGCCTTCTGAATCCGGCAGTACCAATCAGCCAATCAGAGGACACATCTAGCATCAGATCACCTAGGCATACCGATCATCGGTGGGACCTGCTAGGTAAAGGGATCGATGTAAGAAGTACTATCAATATGTCACAATTTATTCAATTATTTCATGATTAGGAGTGGACTGATAGCAAGTGTAAATCTGAAGACAGCCTACTAAGTGCTTATGGCTTCCTTCATGGGGAAAAACCATGGTTACAGAGGAAATTTTGTCCGTGATATAAATGACTCCCCTAGAATAGCTTGTTTTACAAACTCATTCCAGCACCCAGTAGTATACGAGATGTAAAAGCTGTAAATTGCAGCCTCATTTATCAAGAGGGAATAGTTGCCGATCCAAGAAACTTTATTAGACAAACGATTATAATTGTTGGCCAATGAAGGAAATATGCCCGTATATTGATTGCCCTGACATGGAGGGAGCGCAATTAACAACAAAAATTTTTTTTTTTAAAAAAAGAAGATAACATGCAACGGTGAGGATTCGCTGGTGGTCACCCACCCAACTACTAACTCACCGGCGTGTGGCTTAAGTACGGCTGAGCGGACGGGAAGCCCTGTTTTCCACACCCTATGGTCGTATGTACTTGAATTTCTACTGATAGTACTATGTAGAGTTAGTTGATGAGAAATAGGCGGGCGCCGCTTTGTGTCAGCGCGACCCTATGTGGATATCTTTCTTTTGTGTTCCCGAACTCCATATAAATTACATGTGCCATGGCTGCAAAGTGAGATTTCAGCCGTGTTTTCATCTCAATATACAAGAATGGCACATATAGAAGCTTCGGGAATATTGAATAAAAAAAACTCAAACTTGAGGGCTGGTGTAATATCAATTTACTGCTGCAAGCACCAATTGTATGTGCAATTGACGCTGTTTGAAGCTGTTTTAAATACAAAAACAAATATCAAGATCCTCAACCAGAGGGCACTCATTTCGGCCATCGGACTACAATTCCTATTTGTATCAATTGGAAATTGATAGGAAACTGACGAGAGAATACTCGGAATCCACATTTGGAAGTAATGACGTAAGGAGAGATGGTAACTAACTAACTAAAGACATAGTTACCTACAGGAAACAACACATGCCTAATATGATTTTACTCCAGCAAGCTTCAGTACCAGCTCCGTTTCAATCGGATATTCAAAGGGTTGGTCCCTATCACCAATATCTATTTTCCCAAGACGATCTCTTTTCTCATTAACACCCCAGAGATTTGCATGTGGCCAATGGGTCTATTTGAATTAGTAAAAGAAATTCTACAGAAATCACAAGATAGAACTCACACTGCCTTGTTTGTTTTTGAATAATACTGCCTTTTTCTCAAGGTTTTCCGGAGTAGCAAACCGAGCCGGAGTATAGCACAAGTCTGAAAGAATGTTAACCATCTCTCTATATCGCAACATCTTTGCTGGAATGAAGACATACAAATCAACGCCCTCATTTGTTCACTCTGAGGGGGAACACTGTAGTGAATAGTTCTAGAGTCCCACATAATTAGGTCTCCCGGGTCGGCGCAGACCTTCTTTGGCTCACAGCCTCTCTCTCTGAACCAGTCGATTTCGGAGGCCTCGAAACTAAACCAGTCTTCAGGGCCCCAGCTCTCACGGTTGGCCTGTTCCGGAAATGTTTCAAAGAATTTCTCTGTTAATTTGTGTGTTCCTTTCAGTACCATCAGCCCGCCGTCCTCTGGGCCATTGGGAGTGAAATTGATGAATCCCTGCACACAATGAAGACCCTTTTTCTGAGGGGATTGGTCAATATGAGGCCATGGTTGAGAATTCGTTGTATTTGAAGATGGAAAGGTGATGTTCATTGCGTCAAATGAGACGAGTAACTCGTCAGTACCCCAGAGCTTTGCGAAGGCGTCTATAATTCCAGCCTCTCTGGATTTTGGCACCCGTCAATTGAGTCCATTTGACACGGGGATTGGAGACGGGCCGGGACCTTACTGTCTCGCCTCCCACATGAAGGCTTCATGCTGGACCCCATAGCGAAAATACATCCCCCCTCTATTGGGAAATATTAGCAAATGTAAAGATTCGATGGATCGGTCCGAGCGATGAACACCTTGCATGTGCTGGAAGATATTCTGGAGTCCAAGTCGTGGAATCATCTTTTTTGAAGCCATATGTAAACTTCTCTAGCCATTCAATCTGCTGCTGTTGATAGTATTGGGCCTTCTCTGGGGATATAGCATTTTTGATGATGGTATATCCATGCTGTTGAAGATGGTCCCTCCAGTCGTCATACTTGACAGATGTAGCCATAGTTTCTTCCATTTACCTTTTTGTCACGAAGAAGCTTCTTAGACATGGTCGTAAATTAGACGTGGCTCGTAAATTTAAAAAGAGGAGCTATATAGGCCATACCTGACTATTCGGGCGAGTTTCGGCCGGGCTTATCGTAAGCTTACTTAATATCATCTTATCACATCTAGTTACCCCACAATTATTTTCCAATGAAAAATAGACGAACAAATTCAAGGCATGATTGAGTTGCGAATACCGCGAAGATGTCTAAATTGTCAATTCGTGAAAGCCAAAGAAGGTCGTACTCATGCATAAAATGCAAGCAACGCAAAGTCAAGTGCGACAAAAATTTACCTTGCAATCAATGCTTTGCACGGGGTCTTGCTCACGAGTGTCAACGAGAGATTGTACGCGTAAAGGGTCAAATCGCTGAGTGAGCCCTATTGCAGAAGTCAAAATTGTCTTCGCTACTAATTTGGCCAGGGATGTCCAACGACCAACCTATGAGCAACTTGTCAGAGAGGTATTCGGACTAAAAGCGGAGTTGACTCGCCAGAGAGTTTACAGTTACCCGAAGCCCGACATCGTCATGCCTGTACCCCTGGATGATAGCATTGAACAAATGGAGCGACGGCTCTTGGAATCTACACGCTCTACGGATCGGATTAACACTGTGGAACAGATTAAAGACATCCTAACTCCTTCTCGGAAATGCAGTGAGTTTCTATTGGCTCATGGTGAAGTATGGATCTCTTGGATGCATTTTGCCTTGCATTCTCCAACTTTTGCCCTGGAACATCAGAAATTTTGGGACATGGGTGGTGACTTGCGACCCCAATCTAAGGATCAAGCACTGTGGTTAGCCATCTATTTCAGCTATTTATGCGTGCGTTGGGGGAGAGAAATATTCCCTAGTTAAATGAGTAGATCTGCTTACTCAATTCCAGGGCGTTGTTCTTCTGCTGTCTAAAGAAGAAGCTGCTAATGCAGAACTGCCAAGAAGTAATCAATTCCCCATATAAACCATCTTTGATTTTTCATAACATGGCGAGCCAACAGCTGACATGACAGGTGACTTGAGCTTTGTGATGATCAATTGGTACAACGCAGCCCTATTCTACCTCAATCAAGGGGACTTTCTCCGCAACCACCACATACGAAGTGTCCAGGCAGTCGCTGTGCTATCAATAGTGTTCAATAATATCAAGGACACTAACTTCCAAGAATCCCTACTCGCAAGCGCAATCCGGATTGGCCAGGCACTCAATTTGGACCAAGACTCAGCAAATATACACGAGACTTTTATTCAACGGGAAACCCGACAAAGAGCATGGTGGACATTGATAATTTGTGAATGGCTTGCAACCCCACGCCGACCGTCATGTATCAGTGAACTAGACTTTGATGTTGCCCTTCCATCGGTTGCGACGGACGATGAGATTTTCCGAGAGGAGATCCGCCTTCAATACCCCGAACGACAGCCACGATCCATCCAGTACCATATTGCAATGGCAAAGAGTGCACTGGTATACCACAGATTTAATTCTTTACTTCGTTTATCTCAGTGGGATACTTCACATATGACCAGTGCGGTGATAGATGCAGATCAAGAACTCGCATACATCATTGATGACTTGCCCTCGCATCTCCAGGCCGATGAGGTTCAAACCTGGAAGACGGATCAACGGGACTTGCAGCATCCTTGGATACCATGGCAAAAGGCAAGCTTGTCTACCGTGCTCTTGTACTATCGGTCTGTCATAAATCGTACACTCCAACCACACTGGTTGAAGGGGGAGAACGTGCAAGCCAGAACCAGCTCCATCTGTCTTAGTTCTGCCCAGGCAATTATATCGAATCTACGAACAGGGTTTGTAAAGAAAAGTCGTTGGAGGCCTTGGTGAGATATTTCTATCGGGCATGTTTGAAAATGCACACTTACTAACGCATTGCAGGGCGATTACCTTCAAAGGTTTTTCTGCAGCATTGACGTTGATTCGGGAGATGAAAAAAAGTGAGGAAACGAATGCGTCTCATGCGGAAATCGAGTTCGCTCTCAAATTTCTTGATGCTGGGCAGGAAAATGACCTCTTTGCTTCTACTGCGGCCCGGTTTCTGCGAGAATACATGTTGATCGATGAATAAGAATTACGTATTTGCCCAGGTTTACTACCAATGTGGGTGGCGGTGCATATTATTTAGACATATGCATTGCCTTGATTGAACTTTTGGCAAGTAGAGTGCGTAGTGCCATGAATGGTCCAATATCTGATCATTTTCAAACTAGCGGAAAACAAGAATAGTCGGCCGCTCATGTGGCCTTGTAATGTATGTTATGGTGGCCTTTCTGAAATTATTTTCAGATGCCTTCTTAGATGCTTTGCCAACAGTGTTTAACTTTATTATATGTGTTTTTTCTCTAGTCACTTTAACCCTTATTGGTGTTTTAGCCTGGAAGAGACAAATAGTTAGCTGTAAAATGCAAGATTCAAGCGGTAAAAAATCCGTAAATTGTGCAGATCAGCTTTGCCATGTGGAACATACGATATAGAGTACTTCGCTATATAGTAGCATCAATCGTAGGTAGCACCTGAGGGATTATAAATTATAAGGTGGTGAATGGGCTATATGGCATAAGCCAGTGTCAGTTACAGAAGCACAATTATAGACTTTATAGCATTCGTATATCTCGTCCGAAACTCGACCGAGATTGTGTCTAATATACCAATTTTGATCTCTAGCACTTATCTCTAACTCTCCTTATCCAGCTTGATAACTTCACGTGGAATTCCAGAGGCATAAAGTACACTCAAAATGCCGTTGGTATCTTCCCGGCCAACTCTGTACAACACAAACTAATGATGGGCGATCTTGAACGCAAGTATGTATCCCGGCTGGTCCCCAAAAACCCCCGGATAACGGCAACTTTGCTGGTCCTTGTTGCAATCGTCAATTCGATGGTAAGAACTCGCTTGCATTTTATCTACACCTGTCAATAAGTTATTAAGACCTTGGGCTACGATACCTCAATGTTGAATGGATTGAACATGCTCCCCCAGTACAAGGACTATTTCCACCCGAACACAGCCACCACGGGATTGAACAATGCCTCCCTTTGGATCGGCAACATCCTAGGCTGCTTTCTCATCCAACCAGTTCCAGATCGTCTGGGTCGAAAGCCCGCGATCTTGGGATCTGCCCTTATTTGCGTGGTGGGCTGTATCATCCAAGGAGCTGCGCAGAACATGGCGATGTTCGTAATGGCTCGAATCATTATCGGTATTGGATCCGAGCTATCCTGTGGAGCATGCCCTGTTCTACTGGGTGAACGCTTCCCCCTGCACGCCGAGGCGCAATACTAGGCTTCTTCTTCTCTTGCTTTTATATGGGTAGCCTGATAGCTGTGGGCATCAATTACCATATGGTCAACATTCCAACTACTTGGGCTTGGAGAATTCCTTCTATTCTGCAGTGCGTGCCCAGTCTTCTTGCGATCTGCTTTCTCCCATTTGTTCCCGAATCACCCCGATGGCTGCTCGCAAATAATCAACCCGAGGCGGCGAAAGAGGTCCTCGCCGTGGTTATTGGTGTTGAATCTCTGGAAGAACCGGATTTCGTGCGGGTTTTCAATGATATCAGCACGGTTCTAGAGACGGAAGCGATGAACCATCCGGAGAATGCATGGAAAGAGATATTTACTGGCAAACCAAACCGCCGGCGGCTTGCGATCTTGGTCAGTTTTGGTGTCATGGTGCAACTGCTTGGCAACTTTGTGGCTTCGTAAGTCGTTCGGAATTATTCAAATACAATAACGAAGAGGGCTAAAATCTGACATTTTCTTCCACAAAGGTATTATTTGGGTGAGATTTTGACTCTCGCCGGTATCAGAAGTATCACTACTCAGCTACAAGTCAACGTAATCCTGAGTTGTTGGGCATTTGTGGTTGCCGTGGTAGGCAGCCTTTTGCTTGATGTTGTTGGTCGTCGAATCCAGGCACTCAGTGCCATAGTTGGCATGGTCTTTTCATTGTATCTGTTAGGTGGGCTAACGAAAAGTATGCACCCGCTCCATTCAACGTGTATCTTTGTCGAATTGAAACTGACTTGTAAGAATACGGAGGGAGCTATAATGAGAGTGGGATTTACAGCACAGTTGCTGCACTCTTTATTTCCCAGGGATTTTATTCAATCTGTATTACACCTATGACAAACTTATACCCTACGGAAGTGCTCCCTTATCGGATTCGCAATACCGGCATAGCAATCTTCAGGTTCTTGGACTGCTCTTTTGGGTAAAATTGTCTATTTCCTTTTCACGGCCACTGCGAATACTAACTTGTGTCTAGAATGATGGCATCTTTTACAATGAGCTTTGCCATGGCAAACCTTGGCTGAAAGTTCTACATTATCAACGCCTCGTATAACATAATCTTCCTTCTTGCTGTGTATTTGTTCTGGGTGGAAATGGCAAGAATGCCATTGGAAAAAGTGGCGGAGCAGTTTGGGGATTTGCTTGATGTGGGACTTGTTGAGGGAGTTCCGAATAGCATCCAATCTGATGAAGGGGTAACAATATGTCCAAAGAGTTGAAATGAGCACATTTTGATTTTTGATTCCCATAGTTGGTGCTGAGACAGTCATACTGTCTGAGGCGGAGATATAAGATCCTTATGCCTCGATCAATTAACCCTTATTACTCTCCTCTTCCCAGCCAATGGCTTAATTCAATGGTTTCTTTCCCATATCCCTTTCTATACTCCCAATTTCATCAATTTCATCAATAAATCATGTTTGAGGATTTGCCTCTCAACCAGTGTAATAATTGAGCGAATAACGATTCTATAGTAAGTAATGGGCTGTCACTTAACCAGTTCTAGAGCCTTGTCTGAGGATATCAGCATAGGGAAGAAATTGTAAATGTAACGCCATCTTTATCAGGTTGTTTGAGCCCCCTCCACTGACGTGATTTTTCAAAAATCCTCATTGAGTTCAAGTTGCTACCCAACGCTCATGCTCACGCATAGATCTCCACTCAAGTCGCAATCCAGGTTTCTCGAATACTATTATCCATACTGATATTCAAAGATACAAACTGGCCGAAAACTGCCAATCATACCTTTTAGCCTTCGCTGGTGTAATTCTGATGGCCACGAGGAATCTCATTATGGTTTGGGAGGTGAAAACTCTGAGGTCAGTTAGATCCATGTGGCTTGAGTATCCTGTGTAAATATTTATTCCCACATGCATGACGACTCATCTACTGCATGACAGACCTCTTGCCGCTTCTACCTCATTTTTAGGGCTTCATGTTTTAGAAATAGATCAATCCTCTTGGAACAAAATGAACTATCGCCCAACACACAGAGAAAACAACGAACTATTTACATAGGAACTCGTCTTGGCTTCGCTTGAAGGTTACTAGTCACCAGCACTGCGAAGAAGTGCGGACCCGTTGCTTGATACATGGTAGCGTAGGGTCCAACGTTTCGACTGGCTGGACGGAGATTTCCCCCGGGGCTGCTTTATTTCCCGTTCAATATGGGGCACAGTGACGCATGGCTCGATCAACTGCTCTAAATCAGTGTGTGTGAGTGCCATAGTGGTCTAGACGTCATCACTCTGAACTGGGTCTCAATTGGCTGGAGGGGACACATCCTTCCGGTGTGGCGGCGGCCACAGCCAGCGGTAGACCTCCGCAAAGCCCACAAAGCCCAAAGCCCAACCCTCCCCACCCACTAATAGGCTGTGGAAGGTATGAAGCTGGGTTACGACTACTGAATCGACCCGTATGCCAGAGAGCATACTGCCTTGACCGCTCCCCTCTTCAATATCTAATATTAAAATATATATTAACCTTTTCTCGACCTTCACTAGTCGGATTTAATTTAAAATTAGGATGTATACTTAGATAGCAATCGCAATTCTAGAGTCTCAATTTAAACTCGACGATTGCAAAATGCTAGTTGAACCCCCTAAATGGGTTATAATGGGCGCCTATAAGGCCCCCACGAATGGGCTGTGGGTTGGGTTGGGCTGCGAAGGTTAAGCCCATAGCCTCCTGAGGATTGGGTTTTGGGCCCAGGGCCCGGGCCCATTTATGGGCTTTGTAGAGGCCTAGCCAGGGGTACCGGTGATGTACCCACTCCTTGGCAACGGGCAGGCATGCGCCCGCGATCAGCCCGATTGTAAGTCCACAAAGTATGTAGATGAGGGTTTTGACGATTTCGTTTTGCATAATTAAAAATAGAAAAGGGCCACTTCCTCGAATTGTGCTTGTAAGGCGAAGAGAAGAAGAAGAAGAGGAAGAGGGGCAGAGGCAATTAAAAGGTGGGCAAAAGTATCAAGGTGCCGTTACTCTAGTAATTGGAAGGAACATTGACAATCCGATTATCATCTTTTAAGCTTGATATCATCACTAGTTAGTATACTCTTAACTTAAGCAGACCACAGACAGAGCACAAAAAAGGAATAAGATTAGGCTATTTAGCCTTAAACCTCATTTGAAAACCCTGAATGCCCATCGTAAAGTGATCCTTGCTCATGTTCATCAGCGAGGAACCATCCTCACCAGGAGCCATCTCAATACTCTCGAAACGAGAAACAATATGGCAAATCACGTTCCGCATCTCCATCAGTGCCAAAGCTCGACCAATGCATCCGTAAGGGCCTATTAAACGAAATGGTTAGTGATATCGCGACTATTTCAGTAGGAAACGAGTCCAAGAAAACATACCAAGACCGAAGGCGGCAAACGTATGCTTATGTTTAATCATTTCTGGCCGAGAATACCAGCGCTCGGGAATGAACTCGAGCGGAGACTCGTAGACTTGCTCGGCTAAAAACATGATACATATCAGTAAGTGACCCCTTGGAGTGAAGTCAGAATATCACTTACAACGTCCCATCGCCCATAGTGGCACCGTCACGGTCGTTCCTCCAGTGATATAGGTGCCATTAATCACGATGCCCTCCTTGGGTGTGAGCCGCGGGAAGCCAGATGGGATAGGAGGGTGCAACCGGAGGACTTCGTGGATGATTCCATTTAGATGCTTGGCCTCGCCGACGTCCTTAGGGTCCAGGGTATCCTGGCCTACTAGGAGTGGCTCGACCTCAGCGCGCAGTTTCGCGAGTTGCTCTGGGTAGCTAGCAAGATAGTAAGTACATGATGTGCGTCAAAGTCGATGCAGTGGTGTCACTGCCACCCACAACAAAAAGTCGTGTATCACCGCGGAGCCACTGGAAGTCAGGATCTGCCTTCGGGCTATCGTTATAGCGGTCAACCAGATATCCAAGTATGTCAGGCTTAGTAGGAGGCTCCTTAACACGACGCATAGCCTGTTCTGTAAAGAAAGTCGCGAATCGCTTCGGACCTTTAGCAGCGAATGGAATTTTGTGTAATAGAATCGTCAGCCATGGTACGACTTGTAGTTGTGCTATCGGAGCCATCCCCTCCTCGAGTAGATCTGGTACGTAGCGGTTCTTTTCGTTTTCCAGCATCTCGAACCCCTTGCCAAAACCGAGTTCGCCCATCACATCCCAAGCATAGTACTTGAATAATTGCGTCGCGTCAAATGGTTTCCCTTTTAGATCTGCAACATAGCGGCATAGCAGCTCTGAGTGCTCAGCGATACGCCTGTCATATTCGGTCAACGCTTTGGGTGAAAATGCATGGGCCCAGACTTTCCGACGGTTCTCGTGGGCCTTTTTGTCGCGTACAGTGTGCAGATTCTGTAATGGTAGTGAGACTTCATACCATGCAGTCTTGTCGCACAGTGATTCTGGTCCGTATAGTAACTGGACTGCCTCGGGGACGTTGAGGCTCAAATTGGATGGGCCTATATGGAAGATGTTAGCTGAATATGCTTGGGGAGACAGAATCATCAAGTGTAAGCATACCAGTTCGTACAATCGGACCATGCTCTTTGTGGAGATTGTAGACCACACGGTAGTTATCCGAGTTGCCCAGCAAAGAGGAGTGATACAGATTGGAGAACCGAGCCAGGAAAGGCCCTGGAATCTGACGAAGTGGATGGAAAAATCCTCGATAGAGGCCCATAGCCCCAAAGAGGCCCAGCAAGTATGCGGCAGTCACAATAACCGCCTGGATGGCGGAAATCGTGAGATGATGGCCATTCTTTCGGATGAGAAGACCCGCGATGATAATCTCAAGAGCAATGTGCATCTTGACAATTTTGTAGCAGCCTCTGTGGTGCTCCCCATGAATGAAATACCCAACATGGGACGTGACGCCGGCAATGAGGGCGATCCAGAAGAGATTTGTATTGGAATCCAAATCCTCCAGCTTCGTGGGCAGATTTGGGATACCCAGATTCCTGAAGAGTCCAGCCGGTTTGCTTAAATATGTAATATGCATTGTGAAAGTTACCTGATGCTTGTGAAGTTGTTGCGATCTCCAAAGTCGTGGGCGTCTCTTATCACATTGATATAATTGTCGTAGGGTAATGACCATGTATCCAGACCATAGCCTAGTTCCGGTTGGCTCGGGCATTGAAAGCCTCCGGTAACAAGACGTAGTTGCTAGTTGGGTTTTGCTAATCAGCACCGGAAATATGGTGGCGTATGAGTATCGGCTCCAGGCTTCCGATGAGGGTGGAAGCGGATTGCGGGGAAATGGTCGATCTGCGGGGATTTCGGGTTCATCGCCCTGGGTAGAGTTGAATGTGCACTTTATACGAGGTTGAAAAATTGCTGTATAGAGATACCCGAGTTAAAAGGCGGAGATTATTGAAACTCCTGGTTACATGCCAAGAGCTGTGATAGGTTTTGTACTATTCTCGACGGTCTCTTCAGTTTCAAGCTTTTTCGCTTCGGAAATTTTTCAATCAAATTCGCAACACTTTAATGTGGCACTTCTCGGAGGATCACTGACATATTGTGTAGTACTTTTATTTGCACGGACAAAGAACGCTATCTATGAATCCAAGTCTATGGAAAATTGCCAAAGCCGGTAGAGAAGAAAAATTAAAACTATATTTGTTTAATGGCAACTGGGAATATAAAATGTTTAAGCATCACATTCTCACATCTAGTAAATAAAGATAGGTCTACAAGCTGGATTCTAGTATTCACTATAGAGACAAGCGTCATGTAATGAGTAGACAACAAACAGGAGAAGTACTGAAATGCCCAGTCCTTAGAAATGTCGCGCCTACCGATGGCAACCAAAAGATTAACAAAAACCTACAATTGGGACTTTTCTTTGCGTCGATAATGCTTAGGCCAGATACCCTGTTTGCCAGGGCTCAAGATACCATTAGGATCCAGCGTATCCTTGATTCGCTCATTCAAGCGCATCAAAGCACCTCCACCATAATCGTACTGCTCGGCAACAAGATCCATATGTTCAATGTGTGCACGGTACTCACCATAACCGGCTTCCCGTGCAGCGTGAACCATATCGACGAACAAGGCGCTGGCAGAGTCTTTGTCCTTTTGAGAATTGCGGTCGAAATGAATCATGTTGATGTGTGTCATGTGCCGCAAGTGCATATGCAGACCAGCAACAAAGTCATAGCCATGTTTCTCACACAGCTTCTGTGCTGTGTAGTAGAATTCAAGAGCTGCCTTTCCGTCTGAGGGCAGAACGGGGGAGAAGGAAATGTGTCCACTGTGGGTTGCTTTGTCAGATTCATTGGTCTCTGTATATTGGGGTTGATATTGAGTTTAGTCTTACCCGTCCAGTGCGCGGTATTCAATTGATGTGATAGGTCGCAGGCCCGGATTTCCAGTCTGCAGATCGTAAGGGATATCAAGGGCATTGACATATTTCTGACCGGGCTTGGGATAATACGCAGTTTCCTTCAACACATGGCCCTTGATTGGCTTGAATGCGTCTTGAATCTGCCTAAGATTGTACTCGATCACCTCCTTAGGCCCATATAGAGCAAAAGTGGCATCCCAGAATCCCAATCCAAGGTCCTTTTGAATTTCCTTGATTCGATTATATGGAATCGAAGTATCCTTGTCCCAGAAGTCCTTGCGAAGGCCCCGTTTATTGATTTCACGAATCACGTTTCCGATAACAGGGTGATTTTGAATCTTTTCCCGCAGAAGCAATTCACGCAAAGTATCTACCATAGGTGCTAGATCGCGCTCCTCGGGGACTGAGAGATGGACTCGCATGAATCCTTCGGGGGCAGGGGATGACCAGATTGACAATTTTGTAACAATGCCGAAGTTCGACTGACTGAACATGGAGTCGTAGGTTGGACCATAGCCACCACGGAACAGTGGCCCGCAGACAGATTTTTCCAGGGCCCCCATGCCTGTCCGCACTAGTGTCCCATCAGGGAGAACTACCTCAATTCCGCAAATTTGGTTGGAATGATCGCCATGCGGAGTGTACCCCCAGCCCTGTTCAATTTCAGCAGGGCTTCCCTTTAGGTACAATTTCAAAACTTACCCGATCGAGCGCATTTCCAACCACGCTTCCCCAGCCCAATGCGGGCGATGAACACCAAATATGCTTCTTTTGTACCTGGATCTCTTGGAACAGCTGGAAAAAGCTCACACCCGGCTCCACTGTGTAGTAGGAAAACTTCTCATTGACCTCAATGACCTTGTTCATGTTCTGAAGATCCACAATAATCGAGCCCTGCAGACAGAAAAAGGTCAAATTTGACGAAAGGAACAGTAGACGAAGAATCAAACCCCACCTTCACACGCGCTTGAGGGCCACCATAACCAAGATTCTTGCCACGAGAGACTGTCCATAGAGGGATCTTGTACTCATTTGCAATCGCCAAAACTTTCTGAATTTCTTCCACAGTCGTAGGTCGCACAGCGCAGGCACTGCCGCGCTTTTCCTTCTCGTCGGCATTCATCGAAAATGGGTCCATGTAGTTTATGTGCAATTCTTTGCCAATGACTACCTTTTCAGTACCAAGCATGTTCTTCAGCTTGTTGAGCACAATTGCCCAGGAGTGAATTGTCAGGCCCGGTGGCAGATACTCAATTGCTTCGTCAAGCTCGGCCTTGTCATACCAGCGCTTCAGGATAACCGTGGCAGCCTCATTGTCGCCAGGGTTATGGCTAATAGTAACTGGTTTGAAGGAGTATGAAGTCATCTTTCACGATCTCAAGATACAAAGTGGAAATGACCCCAAGTATCCAACTGATGATTATCTATTTATTTGAATCTTTCCATCTCCGCAGGCCACCGGTTCCCTAATGCCGATGATCTCCACTTCGGGCATTCTACATTTAAAGCCTGGATGCTGTCGGATCCTGTAATATCTGGTATTTACCCAGTCAGTCATTATTTGTCAGGCTGATAGGTTAGTTCGTGCAATCGGAGTTGTAGTGCCGGCCCCAAACCACAATACTCACTAGTCCCAGAAAAGCAAAAGACTTCGCTTCGTTAAATCCGAGATGGAGTGGAGCCCGGAAGCTGGGATAATTGATCTGTGCTCGAACTACTGCTGCCCATGTGGTCGGGATTAACGATTGGCTCTGCGAAATAAATGTAACATTATATAATTCGCCTTTTTCTAGTCGAAGGCATGCTAGTTGTCATTGCCATAACTGTCTTACCATTGAAAAATCTATATTTCTTCCCTTATCTAATTCCATCATGGAGCGAATAACACATAAACTTCACGTTCATGTAAATTGCTGAAATGCCCCCTGCACACTTGTGAGGTGTTGCATATGCTCTGGTGTCCAGCTAGGTGACTTTGGGCAGCGGTATCGGAGCCGTAAGTATCATATTTATAACGATTGATCTCCTTAATGAGTAGATACTAATTTTATATTAATGAGATCTCCACAATCACGAACCGCCTCTCCTATCAGATCCTGCTCTATATCCTTTATTTACTGCCTAAAGTGATGCTGGTGGATCTTTTTTTTCCTCCGGTAATCACCTGTGAGTTCATTTCCCCTGGCTACACCGGAGGAAAGCAAGCGGCTAAAGACTTGGATCATGAGTAAGTCAAGGAAGGGTAAATTGAGCACATCAAGTCAACCTCTCGGACTTGAAATACCTTCATGGGGCGTATCATTTTACAGTATATAGCAATCTCATAGCATGCAACCAATTTGAAATGAATGAGATCTGAGATCGATAGGTGCATCGCTAGTTGTATGAGCAAGATGTTCTAAATCTGATTCTAGCAGAACAAACATGTCCTACGCTATAGTCTCAATACATTTATACAGAACTAATCTGTTCATTGAACTATACATCTTGGATCAGAACAAGTTCTCCATGCCAGCTGCAAATATAGCATCGGGGAAAGTATTCATCAATTGGGCAAAGGAATCGGGACCTGGGGGCTGGAACAAATCCCATTGGGAGACATCAAAATCACTATAATTCAGTCAGAGCGGGTCCATTTCAGCAATCATGAGATATGGAGAACTTACAACTCCATATTTTCCGAGCTCTCTGGTTCATGAGATATCATATTTTGCTCTTGGATCCCTGTTGGGCCCTCCAAGTCCAACACGCCGCTCTCATATACACGCGCTTGTATATCAGGCACAATCCTCTCACACCACCCGACTTTTTCCATGCTCGCCACGGTTCCGAGGCAGGTCCGCAGCATATCTTGATGTTTGGTACTTTGAGCCTTCCGAAGGGCTAGCATGAGAACGCACATCGCGTCCCCTGCACAATGACAGTCGTTCAATGTCAAGCTAGACAATATTTCCATCGTTTTCATACGCTGCAAAATATCAATCGACATCTCTGCCGCTTCAATACAGGCGTTGCTAAGTCGATCAACACACTTCAGCTTGATGATGGAGTCAATTTCCCCGGCTTTTGATACCGAAAGCAATAAAAACGGACGTGAGATTGAGATCACTAACGACCAGTACCGTAAGTGAAGAACCGCAATTGATCGCAAATGTTGTGGTGGTGCAGCGCAACCCCAACGCAGATGATGAGGTACCTTGTCCAACCAATTCCTCAGCGTCGTTAGACTCTGGGTAATCAAGCTGATAGGCAGCCGACCACCACCATTACATAGCCCAAAGAAACACTCTATGTTAATTTTTTTTTGGAGCTGAACGAGACCGACCGAGAGTGCCTGGAAGCCCTGTGGCATGTTGGGAGATGGATCCAAAATTTGCTCTGACGCGGGACCTGTCGTTATAAAACCGAGATCGTCGGAAATAGCGCAGGGGTAGCCAAACCGATTTGCCATCTCGTGATCCAGGATGTATACTGTCCACCAGACTCGCCGGTATCGCTCTCGATCGACAGTTGATAGAGTCTTCGGAAATATATTGCGGTGCAACCCGAGCGAGAACCCTATACGTGCCGCTGTACCGACGTACAGATATGCCTCCAGGCTATAACAGTTTGAATGCATCGCTAGGCTCTAAAGACTGTTAGCTTCCTGAAGCACTGGAGATTCTAGGAGGCAATACGAACCAGCAATGCAAATGCTCTAACGCTCTCAATATCGGCTTCCTCTGCCGCACGGGGGACTAGTTCCCTCGCTAGGGCAAGGTAACCAGCCGGGGTTGTAACATCGTCAGGAAGGTTTTTATCGGGTGTTGTTGGCGTGCTTTTTGGTCGTATTGATCCGATCGCGAAAATAGAGTAAAGCGAGCATAGCCAAGAATAACTCGAGGTTCTTCCCCGATTTTCCAAAGTGTGGTCAAGCAACGTGTAAAATTGTTCCAGCGAATAGAAACAATGCATTGAATGGGCCTGTGCAAAAAATCGGGCAGTGTACTCCATACATAGCCGATGACAAGGCAGGTAGTGCTCGACTCGGTGTTGACTAGCGACACATTCAGGTGTGGTTGGTGGAAGCAAGCCAGTTTTCAATGGAACAACGACGCGTGGGTCTGAAGCCACGGCGCGCTCACTGATCAGACGTGTAGCATGATACCATCGGAGTGACCAGTTTGCGCCGACATATCCTATGGTTCAATAAGTATCGAACTCCCTCTAAACCACTGATCAGAAGTAAAATTACGGTATTTTCCTAATGAATCCAGCGTCATACATCCCAATTCTTCTTGAAAGAGTGAATTATCGTTTGGCACCGTCAGCTCTTGCGGATCGTCATGAGGATTCGAAGCTGAGACAGCGTGGATGGGGCCTGTGTCAACACCACGATCATCAGGTGAGATGTGCAGAGAAGGGTCACTATTCATTTGCTCTAGGTAACAGCTTATGCTTTCGACTGTGAGCTCTGGTAGATCCTCTTCGGAAACAAATCGTCGCAGCAGCTTGATCAAATACTCGTAGCTTTCCTCGGATACTCTGTAGAACGGTCGTTTTCGACTTTTGAGGTTTAGCTCGCATGTTAAATTAAGCGATTTGCAATACTCGCAGTCCCCATTCTCGACCCCGACACACTAGATGGTTGGCGTTTTGTTTCCCCTCGCATTATTGATGGATTCTTACCTTTGTTTTGCGGGCCTTGCAAGCCTCACAGCTTTGGCGCGCCCGTTTCCGTGGCAATGAGTTCTCCTTCTCCAATTGCCTTTTCTGTGTCTTTCTAGATACTTGCATGGTTGGAATGGTGCAAACATGTAGGAAGTTGGGAATGTTTGTAGAAATGCGGGGAGCCGATCGTGTGGGGTAAAAGGGGGAAGAATTCGGATACAGTAAAACCCAGTTATAATGATACAAACCAGACGAGGAGAAAATATCGTTGTATCCAGGTATTCGTTAAATCGAAATGCATAGGTTAAATATATATTTCTGGTCTACATGCACATTTACACTCCCAAATTTCAAAAGAAAAGCTTCTAATATTGCTCTACTTCTCTAACCCCTAATTTCCTCGTTTTCACTAACCTTGTATATCTATTAAGCACCCCAATTAACTACTCTTATAGAGCCATTTTCTAGCAGGTTTAGTATCGATCAGTGAAGTATTTTAATTGGTTGAAAGCGGTCATGTGTCACGTGACGAAACAGCAAGGTATTTAATTGGAAATTTGTTAAAACCACGTGACAGACCCCTCAATATACCGATTTTTGTATGGCAAATTAGTTCAAGCACCGGATTTTTATCGTTATAAACGGGTCTTACTCAGTGAAACCTGTTCATAACGATACAATTGAGACACAGAGAAAATATCATAATAGCCAGGTAATCGCTAACCCGACTCCTATATGTAGTTAAATATATATTTCACGTGTACATACGCAAATTTATACTTCAAAACAAAGCTCCTAATATCGCCCTGCTTCTCTACCCCCAATTCCCTCGCTTCCAATAAAATTCTATGTATATTATTATTAAGCGTACTAATTAACTACTCTTGTAGAGCCACTAGGTTAAGATCGGTGAAGCATTTCAATTGGTTGAAATCAGCTAAGGGTCACGTGATCAACCAGAGAGGTATTTAATTGGTTAGAATTGGTCACATAATCTGGATATAACAATTTTTTTGCGTACAAAGTAGGAGAAGGTATGAATTAACGAAATATAAAAGAGGGTTTGATGATTTTTGTATGGTAAATTAATTCAAGCACCGGATTTTGATCGTTATACAGAGTACTCGAGTTAAGGCGGTCACACACCACGTGACCCATACGGCCTTAGCCTCAGCAAATATGATCATCTTCTCTTCCCCTGGCTAGCAGCGTAACACTCATCCTTTTTTTTTTTTTTTTCGGTTGCATCCTTTGATTGCTTTTTGCGATCGCCTTATCAGGTGTGATTGTCATTTGTAAGAATAGTCAGCCGCTTATGCAGCCTTAGATCATTTTAGTGGTCTTTTCTTCCTGGTTTCTTGGATATTTTTGGTTATGTTATTTCCCCTTTCTTATTGGTGTTGTGACTATGATCATAAGGTCAATTGGCTGCACAATATAGAATCTAGGTGGTGAAAAAGGGTTCGAAATGTGCAAATTGACTTTGCCTTTTTTTGAGTGACTTCTATATCCATACATACTATGTATGTTGTGGGTTGTGATCTCGAAATATGCAAACATGTGGGCGCCTGGTATATATGTCAACTACTCCGTATGGTGGAAATGTATGGGTCCAATCAATGGTATTCAACTCTCCGTATTGCTGTATTGACTTCCTGGCAATTTATACTGTCCTGATTACATAAGAAATATTACTGCATACTTAGGATTAATAAATCCTCCGGTATCCTGGTGTATCTGCGCCGACACACCCCCTCAGCGGTCCCAGTATACTTGCTGAGATCGCTGTATCATCTTGTAATTCCTAGTCTATAAGATAGCCTATATCAACCATGTTGAGCAGTCGCACGAAGCTCTTATGCTTTTGCCGAGTGAGCAATTTGGTAAGGCTATCAGCAACCATGCTTACTGTAGGCACCCAGCGCACCCGTATTCGACCCTGTTGGACTTCCTAGCGGAGCCAATAGTGGTGAATATCGATATATCGAAGCTTCGTTTCAAAAGCTATATCCTCGCTTGTCAATAAGCTGATAGTCCTCTCGTTATCACAGTCGATTGTCAGGTAGTGTGACAGAGTAAAGGCGAGGTTTTGAAGCAATCGGCGCCACTATTAGAGCTGCTTTCCTGCCTCCGATAGGCCGAGTAGCTCTGCTTCTGTGGTTAACGTTGTCACTGTGGGTTGCTTACTTACTTTCCAGTCAATTGGACCGCCGTATACTTGACAGATATACCCAGCTAAGCTTTTTCTATCCGGGTAGTCTCTATACGAAGCGTCACTTACAAACTGCACCGAGTCGGTCCCAGTATTGGCTGTTCCGTACTCAATCGCTAGGTTCTGGGTGGAGTAGAGGTAGGTAATAACTCGATCAGCTGCTTACTGGTACTGTGGACCGGGGTTCGTGAGAAATTGCGCGAGCTTCGCGGTCGCCTTTGCAGCGTCGGGCCTAGTGATAATAGTGGTATACCCTGCTGAGCCTACCTTTTGCTGGTATAGTAGGATTTCCTTTGGCGTTACTACCCCCTGAAAAGGGGTCAATTCCTTAACCGGCAGTGGAGTATAGACTAGTGCCCTTTCTGTTAAGTGATATCGGGTAGCAATACTTATTATATAGCTATCTTAATATAACCAGAGCTTCTTTTGTTACCGGTCTCGAATGATTCGTATATTTAGGAACTATACTGCTTCTCTATAATCGGTTAGTTCCTAGTGTACTTCGAGATCTCGCTCTAATTGCTGTACCTACGCCTTTATATTAGTATAACTGGCGATTAGGATATCATCTATATAGAAGAAAACCAGTAGTCCTTTTCCTATAAAAACGTATAGGTCTTCTGGTACTTGCTGTAGACCTAGCTTACGGAGTACGCTTGCTGCTTCTTGCTGCTAAAGTCGTGGTAAAATCTATAGACCGTATAGCGCGCGATATAACTTCCAGTATTTACCTAGGTTTTGAAATCCCTTAGGTATATACGTATATATCTCTTGGTCTAACTTACTGTTTAGGAACGCGGTAACAGTATCTCTCTGTCTTAGGTTAAGATTAAAGGCAGTAACTAAGGCAAAAATTATCCTCGCTGTCCTTACTGCTAGTGTAGCAGCTCTCTTTTCCTTGTGAGAGATAGTTTTAAGGTCTCCGCGTATATAGATACGGGCCTTAAGCTTCAAAAGGTACCCGTCCTGGTCAAATTTGTATAAGAATACCTATAAAAGAGGGAGAATCTGCTTCCCTCGGTCTCTTGGTTTCTTAATAACCTTAAAAGTCCCCTTTTCAGAGAGGGAGTTAATCTCCTTCCTTATCGCTGCGAGAAAACCTTCCTGAAATAGGTGGTTTATTATATCCTTCCAGTATTTTAGCGGTGGTAGGAGGTCGTCTCGGTGGCGGTGAGTGTCTGGTTTCTCAGCGTATAAGCTAGCGGCAAAAGTATAGAGTAGCGCCGGCGGTTCTACTTCTTAGGTAGTACTTATCGCGTAGGCGAAGTCTTTTTCCTACCTTACTTAGCGTCTACGCCTACCACTGAGTATATTGCTGGTATCTATATCTCCGATTATCTCTCTTCTCGGAGCTAGTAGCTCTACCTAAAGTTGCTTCTCTAGTTCGTCTTCAGTGGTTTTAAGATCCGCTTCTTCTTACTGGATCTAGTCCCTTTAATCTCCCTCGGTATCCACCCCCTAACCAGAGCCAGTATACCTCTCTTACTCCTGCGGTAGGGTGATTGGTAGTGGTGGTAGGGGCTATTCAATCGGAAAGGAACCTAGTAGTACTTGTGGTAGAGGGTCTAGGGTCGGCCAATATAACCTATCACCCACCCCCTAGACTAGGGTAGTCCCTCGTTAGTTAACTGTTATCTTTTAGATCTCTGCTTACTACGGAACCTCCTCTTGCTGCTGTACTTACTGAGGCTCCTGTGCTTCCTATAGATCCTGAGTCCTCTCTTCTATCGTACTAGTCTCCTCTTAACTAGTAATTTAGTGGTTTATTACCTATACGACCTCCTTAACAGTGAGTTCCTATGGTCCCGTTATAGCTGGTAGTGGGATAGGCTGATATTTCTTATAATTAGGGGTATATTTTCGTATCTCGTCAATAACTATATCCCTAATATACCTCACTTTCCCACTATATAGGAACTAGATCTTCTAGATATTCGAGGTAAGGTATCCTACCACAAAGCCAATCTCTGTACGTAGGTTTATCTTATCGGACTGTACTTACTTCTCAATCCTGCAGTACGCTAAGCTTCTATATAACCTAATATTTAATAGGTTTATCCTCGGCGCCTATAGTACAACTTCCTTCCTTACTTCCTCCTATAGTACTACCCACCGATTCTCGGCGGCGATATACGTTAGTGTACGATTTAATAACTATACAGCGGCGCTTACGAACTCCGGCTATAGCTCCTTTGGGAGGTTCCCTTCGAGGGCGAGTATACGTATCCGGGTGATAATCATTCCACCTAATCTCTCAGTATACCTATTTATCTCTGAGTGCCCTAGGGGGGAGTGATATATCAGGATACTATCGCTTATAAGACTATACTCCGCTGCTCTACTAGCTGCTACTTTATTGTTATAGTGGAAGGCCTTAATTGGTAGCTTCCACTGATTTCTTATAAGTTATATAAACTGGTTGATAGCCAATTAATATTTAGGTTTCACTTCGTGAGTTATGATCCAGTGGAATCTCGGTCCTTCTAGGTAGAAGTAGGATATCCAGCGGTGCTTATTGTAGGCTGGCTGCAGCTAAATTAGGTCGAAATACACCCTTCTAAAACGTCTAAAGGTACGTCTAACTTATTGTCTTGAAATCTACCTCGGAGCACTTCCTGTCTTATAGGTCTAATATAGAGATTCTTACTCTGTGCTTACTCCTCCTTTATCGTTAAGAACAACGCTATCTACTATAGTAGTAAGCTTTGCTACGGTCCGCGGTTGAATATATACTAGGCGTCGGTGCCAAATTTCAGAGGAAGCCCTTGATTCCTGTGGCTTCACTGATTTCCGTTGTGCTTACTGCACAGTATATACTTATTATAGCGGAGCCTCGCCTGGCTTATCAAAGATCCAGAGATTGAATTGATCCTATAGGTTTATATAGACGATAGGTCTATTATTTGGGTCCTGTATACAGTTTGTACGTTGGTACTAGAGGCCGCCTTTCTTCTTTAGTATCGCGTACAATACGAGACTCGTATAGAAACTTAGTGAGTATAGAGCGTCGCTTAAGGTGATCTCTATCCTTCCCTTTACCGGGTGTCTCCCTAAAAGTCTGACTTTACCTCTCCCTAGTACCTACGTAGTACTATCTCCGGTTATTAGGTTAATTATATCAGGTGTGAAGTCGACGAATAGGGCTCGGTTATTGTAGATATACGCACTTAATCCGGTATTAAGAATCCACCGGTCACGGAGGGAGGGCTCGCCTACCTTTACCACAGAGAGTATATACTTGCTAATCTATATAGCTTTACTTAGCTTGCTTCGAAAAGTAGTTGTAAAGCTGACTTGGTTAGCGGATTCGGCTGGTTTTTCCTATACTTACTGAGCTTACTGAGCTTCAGCTATCACTTTATCCACCTATTGCTTCTAAGCGTGGTCCTTTCCTAACTTCTTCTTTGCTTTCTCTAGTTTCCCTTCGTTTAGGGTATACCCTTCTAGCCGAATCGCTTTGTTTAGGAGCCAGTAAGTAGCAACTTTATACTTCGGGTGTAAGCTACTATAAGGGTAGTGTCTCTTCTTAAACGGAAGCTTCTCTTACTTTGTTTCCGGTTTCGCCTCTTAGTGACCTTACTAGGTCGAGAAAGCGCCTTTTAGAGGAGTGGTTGATAATACCACCTATGCTCCTATCTCGCGATTTATCGCGCGGAATAATTTAAGGAGATCTCGGGTATCGTATACCTTCTTTTCTATCACTATTTCCTGGTATTTGCCTTACCACTATATAGGTAGAACTTCTTTCACAGTGTGTAGGAAGTCCCTATTGGTATCTCCGTCCTTAATACTAAGACTAACCGCTTACTCCCTTAGCGAGTTCTACTTTTAGAGCCACTTATCGATATCTCCAGTCGGCTTCTGTATTGCAAACACTTTCTAACTTATTCGGATTTCCTCCTTATACGCGGTCGATCGAGCGAACCAAGACTTTAGATATACAAGTCTATTATACGGTGTACGATATATAATCAGTGCGAGGTAGTGTACTGGGTTAAGATAGGTAAGGATATATTTATTTATATCACTCAGTCCCTTTGCTTACTTCTCCTATCGAGTATAGCTTATTTTATATACGTCTGCTTGGTCTCTCTATTTCCTTCGATCTATTTCGGTGCCCTCTTCAGGATATTCTGGTTATACCGGTTCCTTTAGAGTATTAGGTCGTTCAGTTGACGGGGTATCCGGGTTGCAGTGATCCCAGACATTTTTTTGCATTGCGTATAGCTGCACCTTCGCAAACCAGGTAAGCCATTGCGGTGTATCCTTCAGTTTATCGCCCTTTATAGCGGAGAGAATCGATGCTGTTTCTATTGCTGGATACTGTGTTGTTTTGATGTGAAACAAGGGATGACTTTCTGCGGAGTGGCTTCGTGGAGGTTTATAAGACAGTTTCTAGCAAGTTGCTAGGTACTATATGCCGATATAGTAGTCTTATTCAGTGCGAACCGGGCTCATAACTGTCAACTACTCCGTATGGTGGAAATGTATGGGTCCAATCAATGGTATTCAACTCTCCGTATTGCTGTATTGACTTCCTGGCAATTTATACTGTCCTGATTACATAAGAAATATTACTGCATACTTAGGATTAATAAATCCTCCGGTATCCTGGTGTATCTGCGCCGACAATATATATTGGCCTCAGGCAGCAAGCCGTTGGGGAATGGGACAAATTTGTACAGCTACTCGAGCCCATCTTGGCTCTTTGGAAGTTTTTATTCCTATGAATCTTGATATGTAGAAAAAAATAGTTGATTCTTCTGGCTCGATTTTCAAGCTATGGTGATCAGCCTAAAATAATCGGAAAGCCTCTAGGGGCTACTATTGCTCCTCCTACTCCATACGGAGCACACGGGGAGTGCCTCGACAACCCCTTTCTAGTGATAGAGTATTGACGGAAATTTCCCTAGATAGCACAAAACTGCGGGGTCGAAACCTTCTGATATGCTGAGTCTGGCTACCGACAGAAGCAAGATATTTCAAGAGATTTAGCCTAGATTTCAGAATAGCCGGCCGATCTTTCCACATTCCTTCTCTCGCTCGCCAATCAAAGGGAAGTTTCCCGATGATCCTCGGCCATCGGTAGACTACCTTATTCACCTACAAGGTTCACTGTGAAAATGCGGCCAAATGCGTGTCGCTGTAAATGTGGAGTTCACCTTGTGTTTTCTTGGCCGGAGAAAACACCGCTTCATTCTGGTCATGAATTGCAAATCACCACTGGCATTGCCAAGCATCGGGGACTAGGGGAATCTCATGCCCTGGGAATCTAAGCCAAATTATCCCTATACTGGGGGAGGGGGTATAAAGGGTAAGTCTATACCGCTAGACTAGGGGAAATTTGATCAAGCGACCATCTAAGGCAAAGCGCATTATGCACAATCTCCTTTTCTCTGCTCTGGCATTCAGCATCGGGGCTAATGCCTATGTCCCGGGAGCTGCTGGGTGGGATGCAGCTTATTCAAAGGCCCAAGCAGCTCTTCTCAAGCTAAATCAGACCGAAAAAGTCGGGATTGCCACTGGCATTGGCTGGGCAAAAGGGCCCTGCGTGGGCAACACCTATCCCGCCAGTTCAATTGACTATTCTTCCCTATGCACGCAGGACTCACCCTTGGGAGTCCGCTTTGCCAACCCTGTCACAGCTTTTCCCGCGGGTATCAATGCTGGAGCAACCTGGGATCGCAGTCTCTTGTACGCGCGAGGAGCTACAATCGGCAAGGAAGCCAAAGGTCTGGGCGTCCACGTCCAGCTAGGACCATCCGCGGGGCCTCTAGGAAAGAATCCTGATGGAGGTAGGAATTGGGAAGGTTTTTCCGTCGATCCGTATCTCAGTGGAGTTGCTATGGAAGAGACAATCCAGGGGATGCAAGATTCGGGCGTTCAAGCCTGTGCCAAGGTATGCTGGCTTCCACTCTGCTGATTCTGTTGTCTATTCTGACCATGACCAAGCACTGGCTTGGGAACGAGCAAGAGTGGAATCGCGATATGATTACCTCTAATATTGGCGACCGCGCGACGCACGAGCTGTATATATGGCCATTCATGAACGCAGTCAGGGCCAATGTCGCATCTGTCATGTGCTCCTATCACAAATTAAATGAGACTTGGGCCTGTGAAAGTGACGCTGTCTTAAACGATCTATTGAAGGAAGAGATGGGTTTCCCTGGCTACGTTATGTCCGACTGGACCGCGCAGCACACTGGTGTCAACAGTGCCTTGGCTGGACTTGACATGACGATGCCCGGCAGTGATTTAAATACCCCACCCGGCAGCATATTTTGGGGACCCCATCTCGTGGAGGCTGTTGCTAATGGCTCTGTGTCTCAAGCGCGTCTGGATGACATGGCAACTCGTATCCTCGCAGCTTGGTATCTTCTTGAACAGGACAAAGGCTACCCTGAGGTGTCTTTCAACTCTTGGAATGGCGGAAAAGCCACTGTCAACGTCACAGAAGATCATGCGACTGTCGCTCGAACGGTTGCCCGTGATTCCATTGTCCTATTGAAGAACCAGAAACACGCTCTGCCTCTCCAGAAACCTAAGAGTCTTGCCATCATTGGACAGGATGCCATCGTCAACCCCGATGGTCCCAATGCATGTGCAGACCGCGGCTGCAACACCGGCACGCTAGCTATGGGGTGGGGCAGTGGCACATCGGAGTTCCCTGTAAGCAAGCTATCGCCAGCATATCGACTGCAAATCTGATAGACTGACAATGCCGCTCTAGTACCTTGTTGGTGCTCTTGACGCAATCCAACTTCAGGCCAAAAAGGACGGTACGAAAATTATTGAGAGTACGACCGACAGTACGACGGCTGCTGCCTCTGCTGCAGCAGCAGCAGAGACTGCCGTGGTCTTCATTACCGCAGACGCCGGAGAAAGGTGAGTTACACTTGCACCACCGCAAATATAACGTATTTGCAATTATTAATACACTGTCTAGTTATATTGTAGTGGAGGGTCATGCTGGCGACAGGAACCATCTCGATCCCTGGCACAACAGAAACGAGCTCGTCAAGTCCGTCGCAGCAGTGAATAAAAATGTCATCGTAGTCGTGCACAGCGTGGGACCCATTATCCTTGAGACCATCCTAGCGCAACCCGCAGTGAAGGCAATTGTTTGGGCTGGGCTACCGGGTCAGGAAAGTGGAAACACCCTAGTTGACGTGCTGTATGGCAGCACCTCTCCAAGCGGCAAGCTGCCTTACACGATCGCCAAACAGGCTTCAGACTACGGGGCCGGCTGGACCAGCGCCCTAGTCGACAATTTCGTCGAAGACTTGTTCATTGACTACCGCCACTTCGATAAAAACGACATCGCCCCGCGTTATGAGTTTGGATATGGCTTGTCGTATACGGAATTTCATTACACTTAACTTGCTGTTAGCATTTCTGCCACAGCGGGAGCATCAAATGGACGTATTGTCCCTGGCGGGCCGGAGGAACTCTTCAGATCGGTCGGCAGGGTCTCTGTCACTGTCCGAAACACTGGCAATGTAGCTGGTGCTGAGGTTGCCCAGCTCTATCTTGGTCTTCCGGACTCCGCTCCAAGCACTCCACCAAAGCAGCTCCGAGGATTCCAGAAGTTGAATATCCTATTGGGACAGCCGGGGATTGCTACTTTCGAGCTCACTCGTCGCGACTTGAGCTACTGGGATATCCAGACAAATAAGTGGGTTGTGCCTAGCGGCACCTTCACTGTCTATGTTGGAAGCTCCAGCCGGGATATTCGCAAGCAAGGGGAGTTTACTGTCACTCAGTAGTACTACCCTTTGCCTTTGACTTGTACATATCTCTTGTCCGGAAATGAGTTGTTTCAAGGTGAAACTTTCTGTCAGAATAGTGGGAACTACTTTCGCGCCTCAATGTATTAACTGTCTATAGATATAGACTTGCTTCTTTGTTGAGATCCGTCTGTCTTTATCTATACGCCATACTGCCGTCGGGATGTTTCACTCGAAACAACAAAGAGAACAAAGAATGGGCTTCATAACAGCTGTTTCTGTCATTGCCAATAAACATATTATTGTATGGTCTATATTCAGCATGTATAAATACAGCCAAGTCAATTTTTCTCGAGGCAACAGATTCTAACTGCATTTTGTTCCATCTTCAGTGACTATCATATACACACACACCTCTCCCACGTCGCCTCAAAAATTTATTCGCTCATTGATCTCCAAAAAGGATGGCTTGGTAGGACAGTTTTTCGCCCGGCTGGGCCGAGAATCTCGTGCCGACCTACTTACAAGAGATCGCATGCTTCCGAACAGAACTCCAGTGCCAGATTGAAATTCTGATCCATCACCCCGGCCACCAGCAAGTAGTGGGCCCGAGACTCATTGCAACCGCGCGACCCATGCGGAAAATCAAAACATTAGCATCTGATATCGCGGTGTATTTCCCGCACCATCCATTGATCACAGGCGTAAGCCCTGGCTTCTACCACGAAAATTTCCCTCAAGTTTGCGATTTTATCGAAAACGCTTTGATTGAGTTGGGTAAAGCTCTGATCGATTCTCCAGAGAATGAAGGGTCTGTTGCCTGTCAGCTTCGAGATTTGCTGGGTTATCTGTAGGTTTATACATTTGTTAAGACGGTTTCATGTAATTTGGAAGATGTCAGTAGAGTGGATTGTTTTTATTCGTTTTGGAATACATCTTAACCTATATGTAACAAGTGCTCTGGAAAAGAAAGAAATACAACGAATACCAGTAGAATTAAAGCAGAAAAATCTCCTTTCGATCTTGGAATGAGATTCGCCTGAACTAGTGCATTGCGCAAGGAGGCTGGGAGTGGCTGAAATACATTTCAACTAGCCAAACACAAATATGTGACGGCGAAAAGCGTCAAGCTAATGTAGTATATTCGGATTGGTAGTTTTCTTTTAAAAAATAAACCGGAAATCATGCATTATATGTTGTACTAGTCTGTTGATTTCGAATGTGTTGTCACGAGAAGCTTACCCATGACTGCAATACTGCAAGGCTCCTACAATGTGACCTAAGATTTCTACAAGTCCAGCTGATCTTCGCCACTTTGTTCTTAATATTTAATGACATGCCCCTCATGGAAAGTGGAATGTCATTAGTGGAATTCCTCATAACAAGATACTTCTTCGCATACAAGCACCAAAGCCTCTCTGATAGTCAAAGCCAACTCAGCATAATCTCACCCCGAAGCGATGGAAATGCATTTCAAATCTGGTCGATGGAGCTTTTTGCTTGCAATTATATCTACTTGTTTGTTTGCTTTTGTCGAATCTAAGGATTGCCCGGAGCATACAAAACCAGCCTTCACGTTTGACCAGCTCTGGAACCTTGAGAAGGGTTTCTGGGATTCCTTTATCTACCCTGCAAATCTCGAACAGGCTCAAGGAAATTCCTCGACTGTTTTCGCACCAGATGTTAGTATATTCTATTTTTGCATTCTGGCCAATCTGACACAGTACAGGTACAAGGCCGTGTCGACGTCACGCGCACCTTCGATGGCGACGAGCTAAACCGCGAATACATCTTCGGCCTGTTTGCAGATCCAGATCACGTCAGTATCGTCGGTACCCCGATCGGATATAACATAACACAATTCAATGCCAACGACAACCTCGCTTTTGCGACAACTGTTATCACCTTCAACGCAACTACTTTCGGCATCGTCATCCCTGTGACGATCGAAACCTGGATCGAGTTCAACGCCGACGGCAAGATCGCACAGTATGACGCAACATTTCGCTGGTTCGACTATCTGATGGAATTCCTGATCGAAGGAGTCGCCACAAAAATAAATGCCACTTCGCCTGATCAGGCTGTAGCTTATGTTGCAGATCTTCTAGCTACGACAATCTGTGATACACACGAGAAGCACTGCACAGGTGCAAACCAGCAATATAAGGATACCCCTACTTGCTATGACTATTTGACTAAGACTGTGAGATTTGGAAAAGGACACGAGATGGGTCGTAACACATTGCTATGTCGAGAGGTTCATGAGCATATGGTGCAGTACCGGCCTGAGGTGCATTGTTCACATATCGGTCCCAGTGGTGGAGGATACTGTGTTGACGATATGGACTACCCACAAACTGTGCTACAGAGATATTTCAATGACTCTTGGATTCCGTTTGGCTATGGCACAGATCAGAATATTTGGCTCGCCAACTGAGGGGAGGACATTATTTGGTGCAAGGAACCCAACCTTTACTCATGTTATTATGCATAATCTTCCGGGTTGAATATACGGGCTTATATCCATAAATTATCCAGCGTATTCGAACTAAGTCTTTGGCCTTCTGGCAAATGTGCGCCAGTATAATAGCGAAAATTGTGCCTGCAGACTCAACATGGTGAAGCAAAATGGACGAGCTACGTGAGGAAGAATACTGTTGCCCTTTAAGTAGTAATCGTGGTAAGCCTTCCAAATTTGGTCCTCTGTCACATGGAACTTGAACTCACAGTTTACAGAAATATGCAATCAAGTCCGTGCTCTTTGAATACCGCATGTCATTCAGAATCCTGCACTGGCCAAATCTGGTCTCATGATCTCCTAGGAGTGTGACCAAGGCAAAGAAACCCCGAGCGAAACAAGATTGCGGCAGACCATGGTAAGCGCTCACAGACATGATATACTGGCATGCTGTCATTCGCAACATCTTGCGTGCTATGTCACATCAGACAGGAGATGATTGGCGCTCTTGGAACCCCTTGATTATACGATCCAAGCCCCCTCACTCATCCTCCTAACGTGGCACTACGCGGAGTTGTACCGAGCAAGGGGCTGTCTATTGATCTGCATCTCGGAGCTTTATGAGTGATATCATAGGACATATATTGGCAGAAGTCTCCGACGTCTCCATCCTCATTTGGCGATGATCATACTCTACATTCCAATCCCTTCGGATGTCCGTCCCTAGCCGTCTTGTATGATATCCCAGCTTACAATCCTCCGTTGTAGACCGAGGGAGCTCTCTATTCTCCACGCAAAGCACGTCAGTTTCGGCCTTTCAAAACCGAAGTTTTCTTAAAAGCTTCAAAGCAGGGGCTCGATATCACACGCACATATGTATCAAACTGCTCCTATTCATTTGTATATAGCCTAGATTAGAACCATCAGATTCCCAGTCCGATTGCGAAATCGGCGATATGGTTACTCTTGAGCTACCACTCATGTTTAAGTTAGATACACAAGTTTATAATATTCCGCTCGGCCGTTGAATTCGCATGCCAGCCTTATCAGTCTACGTACGGAAATTCCTTCCGTCACCTGGCTGATCCTTACCAAGAGTTCTTGCTATCCCTTCGAACGCTTGGCCTCCTTGACAGTGATCAAACAATGTGACCAAATTCTCCTATTGCTTAATATAGATGCAGTTAAAATGGACACATTCACCTTTGTAAATTACCTTCGTCTCTAATGTCACTCTTTAACCAGACCCATGAATTTCCATATCACCACCATGGAGAGAAGACGCTCTTCCTGCAGCAACTCACTACCAGGCAGTGAAGCGCAGATACGCCTGTGCCCTGAGAAATCCGAGGAATCATCTACCGATGAACTAAGCAAGAAGTTGCCACCCGTCGATGGAGGCTTTCAAGCATGGATGTTTCTGGCAGCCTGTGTAATGCTTGAGGCTCTGATATGGGGTAAGTCAGTTCGTGTGAGTCTCGGAATTAGAAAATTCTGAAACTAATTATGAACAGGCTTTGCTTTTGCATTCGGAGTCTTCCAGAAATACTACCATGCCCACGAAGCCTTCCAGGACTCTAATATGGTAGCTGTTATTGGAACATGTGCCACGGTTAGATCACCGAATTCACTCAGAATATTCCACTGCTAACACTATCAACAGGGAATATCCTATTTGAGTTGTCCACTAGTCATTGTTTCTATGATCCTCCTCCCTCAATGGGGCCGTTGGTTCTCATCTTTCGGACTGATCATCATGTGTCTTTCACTGGCATTGGGCTCGTTTTCTTCCAATATCACTCACCTTGTTCTCTCCCAAGGAGTTGGCTTCGGAATCGGCGGCTGTATAGCATACAGTCCATCCATTCTGTATATGGACGAGTGGTTCGTCAACAGACGAGGACTCGCGTTTGGCATAACCTGGGCCGGATCAGGGGTATCTGGACTGATTTTCCCAATTGGCCTAGAGAAGTTATTGACTCGATTCGGATTCGAAACAACGCTTAGGGTAATCTCCGTGGTGGTGTTTGTTCTCGCTGCGCCTTTTTTATATTTTCACAAACCCCGCCTCCCAGTTAAAAAAACAGTCGATTATCAACGTCTTAACTTCCGGTTTATTACAACCAGGATATTTAGCATATATCAACTCGGCAATGTCATCGAGGCACTGGGATTCTTCTTGCCGGGAATTTATCTGCCAAGCTTCGCACGGAGCATTGGAGCTACGGATTTTCTCTCCTCGTTGACTGTCACGCTTTTGAACCTGGCGTCGGTTTTTGGGAGTGTTACTATGGGCCATTTGGCGGATCGATACCATGCTATCACCTGCATTACTATTTCAACTGTCGGCAGTACTCTGTCCGTGTTTTTTCTCTGGGGATTTTCATCAACCTTGCCCACTTTGCTAGTCTTTAGTATCGCATATGGATTATTTGCAGGCTGTTACTCGGCGACATGGTCGGGGATAACTCACGAGGTCCGACGAGTCGACCCGACAGCCGATGCAACTATCATCTTCTCGGCCATTGCTTTTGGGCGAGGAATTGGAAACGTCGTTAGTGGCCCCTTAAGTGAGGCTATACTTGGTGCAGACCCGTGGAAGGATTCTGCTGCAGGGGGCTACGGTAGTGGATATGGGCTTATCATCTTGTGTACGGGGCTAAGTTGCTTGTTGAGCGGAGTATGTATAGTGGCGCATTATATGAAATGTATATAGGCGAGTCTCGTTGCACATTTATGCTGATGATTAACGTCTGCCTTTTGCTGGGACAATGGATGGTGGAACTTGCTACATATACTACTTTTTCGAACTGATGGGCCATACTTCTCGTCTGCCAATTATTTATGTCATCTTCGAACACACCCCTCCGTTCAATTCTATTTTTATTGAAGGAATTAATTAAACAGAAAAATGTTTAGAGCTCTCGAAACTACAAGTTCGCTACAAGCCTTCGACATCAATAATCCTGTTCACGATCCGCCAACTTCCGAGTGCACGGAAATAGAATATAACCTTCTTACCATCACCACTTTGACATTCACCTTGAAGGACATATCATGAGTAGGAATATGTTGTATATTAAAGATTCAGTAAGAGCTAATAATGTAAGCATCTACTTCATTCAACATTGTAGACTTTTCACATCCAAGACGCCATGACCCACGTCACCAGGGTACACCGGGTATCCCGACGATCCCGAACCCACTTAATCTTGGATCTTCGAATCAATGTTTGGATTTTCGGAGCTTTAATGTTGATATACTTTGATTTGATTCAAATCAAGACTATTCAAGCTAGGAGTGGTCAAATGGTCGACGTCATTCTACAAGAACATGCCAATGTTGATTCCACGACACACTCCCAAGAGCTTATATTGTGGTCCATGACGCCAATGTATAGAAGACTACCGGTTATTTGGAAAGTCAAACCTCATACAATGTATTGGAAGCCTCACCGCATGCGTCGCTGGGGCGATCATGACTTGAGATGACTTGAAACATTGCGCAGCTTGATGGGTTTAAAAGGTATTTAACGACCTGAGGATGTTGTATTCTGCATCTTAACAAAGTCTCACTCAATCGCACTACACGATACCTCTTCCGAGACCACTCCAAGAGCCATGCGTTTCTTCAACATCGTCAGCCTCCTGGCCGGAGTCACCTCCGCAGCCACTGCCACCTCCTCGTCCTCAGGCGCAAGCGCAACCTGCTCGCCCACAGCCTCTGATGCAAAGGTCCTTGAATTTGCTTGGGGTATCTCCCAGTTCATCGGTGGCTACTACAACTCTACTGTCCCCAGCACCTTCGGAAACTCCAACAACGCCACCCTCCAAGCGTACCAGAAGATCCTCTACGGTCTCGAGAAGGACAACACTCTATCCACTGCCGCCGTCGAGAAAGTCGGCGCTAAGGCGCCTGGCTTCTCCAAGCCCCAGTGCAGCTTCACTTTCCCCCAGGTCAACACTACCCAGGCGTGGGCATCCTATGCCTACCGCTTCGAGGATACCATCACCGGTGCCTTCATCGGTCTTGCCGGGTACACTGAGTCCCCCGAGGTCTCTTTCCTCATGGCTCGTCTAGCTGCTGAGCACAGCGCCCACTCTGCCTTGATTGGTAGCCGCGTTAACTCCACCATGTTCTCTGCCAACTCTTCTTCCCTTGTGGCTGCTTATGGCCCCGCCCAGGTCCTGTCCTCTCGCAACCAGACTGGTAGCCTCGGCGAGTATCTTGGCGGATGTCTCACTGCCCCCGTCAGCCGTTGTGGCCCCCTGAGAATCGGCCCCTTGGCTGCTACTCCCTCCTCTTCCGGCGTTGCCAGCAGCACCGGCATGGCTACTTCTTCTGCCAAGAAGAACTAAGGGGTCAATTGGAGAATGAAGAAACATTAAACTTTTGAGGAATGTTTCAAAAGGTACGATTATGTACTAAGTTTGATCAACTCGATCAATTCGAGAGGAGGAGCATCGCTGCTGAATAGAGCAGGATTGGAATATATGAGATACTTAATGGACTAATTGGAGATATGTCGATGATACTTTATTTTTCTATACTTTATTTTTCTATACATCTAATTGTAATTAAATTAATAGAGAGATAAAGAGACCCCAGCAAAGTGTAATTAGTAAATTTCATCTATTCTCGAGATAGACAGTCAAACCATCCCATTTTCCCAAGTATATATATGACGAAGGCCCTACATTTTGACTTTCTAATGATATCATAAATATTGATTTTTTAAACTTGAACAGTCGCTGAACAGAATCGGGTCTCATTTATATTAAGAAATTATTTTTAGTCTCTTTTTTGATACAATGAGATAAATAGATATCTTTACTTACATGTCAACTGCTGATGCTTGGCTGTGGACATTACCGCAGTCCGGCGGTAGTTAAGTTTGATATCTGCCTTCCCCCGGTGTTTCATCGCCCCATCTTTTACATACTTGGGCTCTTGGGGACTTATGTAGACAACCCGAAAATCTCTTCAAATTCCATACCTTAATATACTATCTTTTGCAAATCACTAGGAGGTAATATGAAACTAGAAAAGAAAACTAGGCGAAACTACAACATATGGTTTGGTTGCCATGGGTGATGATTTCCTCATACAGGTAAGAACACGAATGCGAAGTAGAGCCAAGATTCGCTGTTGTCAGATCCCAACAATTATTCTTAAAATTATCTTCAACTATTCTGCCTTGAATATGCATCCTAAGCGGTTACGAGACCCAGTAGGCGTAATTAAATATTTAAACAAATCGACTTCCCTATATCTAGCTCCAATCTAAACTTTAGAAAGGCCCTCGGAATCGACTACTCCCACACCAGTGCTCAAATTGAAACCCATGGTGCCGATTCAATAAGAAAGTGACATAAAAGCTACACATCGAAATGAATCTATCAGTCGAAAAAAGCCCGGTGATCAAATTCCGACTCCACATCATGATCGGCGTTTCGGTCTTAGTCGTCTTCATTCTTATCATTGCACGCATTGCTGACAGTGGCACTCCAAAAACAAGAACTAACATTTGGGGCATTGTAGTGGTGAGTGATTCTCTTATATTTGTATTGTTTTGTATCAAATCCACTAATCCATGACTAAAATGTCTCAAATCAGCCGTTTTCATGGCCTATCAAATACTCACGAGTCATATGGATCGACTCAAACGATGGGCAAGCACAAAAGCGTACATGATATTGAATATTATTGAGACTATCTTTTGGTTTGCCCTGTTTGTTATCACAGTCATGGGTACTAGAGGGTCGACTAGCGAGAGCAGTCGGGCGTTTGGTGGTATTACTGCTACATTAGTCTTCTTTTTGTAGTAAGTGGTATATTAATCGAAGCGACAGCGGTGTGGTTTTTTTACTAACTTCGTTTTTCTAAGTGGATTTTCTGGGCTTTTGGCGTTTGTATCTGTTCGTGACAGGCGGTTCTTCAAAGCTCATGGGCTTCTTCCTGGTCCTGGAATGGCTAAAACTTCGGTCCATGCTTCTTGCTGAAGAATGAAGCGACTCTTTCTTTTTCTTTTATTTTTCTTCTGTCTTTCAATTTTTGCTTCTCTTGGCTATTCCTTTGGGTGTTTTAGACCCTTTATACAGACACATCTGAACTTTCGCTTACCTGTTTAGAATGGATTGTCTTCTTTGATATGGGGCTTTTTAGAAGAGTTTCTCAAAGTGGTTTCAGATATTTTGCGCCGTTACGAGCACCCATAATATATTGAATATAGGCGGTCAAAAATTTGTGAAACGACTCTTTCATGTAAAACCCACAAGAATACTTATGTGGCAAGGGTTAATCTATCTCCATAGTCTTTTTAGATGCCTTCCCACGTGTTTTCCTACATGTACCTTTGTTGTATATAGATGAAATATTGATATTATAGAAGAGGTAGAAACCGAGTCAAGCTTCTATAGAGCTCGTGGCAGCAAGTATTCGTCAATATGCCATGTAAAATGCGCAGGAGGCAGGTATAATCTAATCATAAGTCCCCAACCCATATGAGAGCCATCGAAGCGCTGACTTGGGAGTTGCCAATAGAATATTGCCCTCGAAATTCCCACAGTAAGTCGTCGAATATGGCAAGTCCGTGATAACGCCGAGGTATTTTCGATACTGGCAGTTCCTCCCTGCTTTAGATTATCTGAAGCCCTGTTCCAACAACTTATATAGCTGCTTTGCCCATTGCTTCCCTCGCATATGCTATATTTTGATTTCCTGTTTGTTATTTGATGGCATTCAGTCATATGGTCTGAGCTACTTGCCCAGGTCTGTGTCCAGACAGGTTATTCTATCCACCTTGGCCCTTTCCACGCCTCAAAGATCAAACTACGACGACACAAAAGTTTATAGAGGAACAGTAATGTTGTTTATAGAAAGATGAACTTTGTGAATATCCAATGCCGCCCGTTATTAAATTTGACCTCGCATTGTGCAGTCTCCTTTTATACGAGACCTGTTGTTGTTGTTTTTTTTTTGTTAACAAGACTGGCTTGTGGATAGAAATAGAAGACAGGGCAAGTCCTTGGGGCAGACTATCAAGCCCGGCCGCTCGGCATAGCTTCGCCGATTTTAAGGACACAGGTTAGCAATGATGCCCCGCCCAAAAATCTTGTTGTTTTAAGTCAGGTAGCATAACCTGTCTGGTGGTGCAATCTGACGACTGAGTCGCTTTCGCATCCTGAGCCCACCATAATGTCAGCTTATTGCCCGGAATATCAGTGATGTTTATTTTGAAATTGATTTGCAAGATAGGAGGTACTCTTTTCATGGGAATGCAATATAAAAGGTAACTGGTTTCTGTTCAGTATGTTATAGATGGCTTATATGCAGCTCTAGGGAAGAAAACCTCATAATATTACAAAGTTGTAAAAGGACCCCTCTGCTGGAGATTCTCAATCCTTCCAAGCAAGAACTCCAAATGCCTATAAGCCGCACCTGGAGTATATTGCGGGATCTCATGACCGGCCGTATAAACCGAGCTGAAGGTAAGACCACGCTCCGTATGTGCCGTTCCAAGAATACCACCACCGGCATCATAATTCCAAGGCGAACCAGCATTCCCATTAGAGATATCCTCGAGCTCATCCGTATACGGCACGAACAGAGGCTCATCCGGTGGCCTCTGGAATCCCTGCGCTCCATTCCAAGTCATATTCTGAATCGTAGCGAGTGTTCCGTTCGCGAAGAGCAAGAAATCGTACCATCCATGGCCGATGAGCACGTTGTTCGTGCGCTCGATGACTCCGGGCAGTGGGCCGAGCGCGCTAGGCACGGATCCATCGCCGTCTGCGAAGATTTCGCCGCCGCAGATGGCGTAGTTTGTTGGTGGGAGGTTGAGGGCTGCTTGCACGGCAGACTGGTTGAAGTAGTTGTTTGGCCCGCCTGCTAAGGATGGGAAACCCATTTCATCCCAGAGGAAAGGACAGAAATCTGTTAGGTGGTATATGTTGAAACATGGGTTGATGTATGTTGCCGCCTTTATGATCTCGTCCCAGAGAGCGCAGCCATTCTCGAAAGGGTCTGGTGCTACCGGGAAATTCTTGGGTGGGGGATAGGTTAGGGCTTTTTCTAGGAAATCGGTGTAGCCGCATTTATCGGCGCGTTCGTTGATTTCGGTCATAAAGGTGGAATTCAGGGCAAAGACGGAGGAATAGTGGTTCAGTGCTGCTACTGCCGGGGCTATTGAAATTGGTTAGTATGAGGGATCATTTTATCGGGTGGAGGGATAACTGACCATACATCAAGACGTTATTGTCATTGATGGACGGGTCGTTAATCTGGATGCCCTTCAAATTAAAATGCTTCTTGTCATTGCGGTTCAACATCCCTTCTGCCATATACGGGATGTATTGGCCAGCATAGCTCTCTCCGGTGAGATAAACCTTGTACCCCTCCATGCTGAAGGTTTGAATGAAGCGCTCCCAGAAGTCATTGAATTGATTCGAGATGTCGACCTCATTCTGAACAGTGGATGGGCCAGGAGAAAAGCCAGTGTCGGCAGGCTGGTCGATGTAGACGACATTTGTCAAGTTGGTCCACGAGTAGGGGTTGCGCACAGGCTCGTACGCTCCAGATTGCCACAGGAATGGACCGTTTTCTTGTAACAGACCGTCAAGTGAGCTGCACCCAGGGCCTCCATTCAGCCAGACAGTAATCTTAGAAGAAATTAGATGAAACCCTGCGGACACATTGAGAATAAAGTACCTCCTTAGCTGCAGCTGGGTTGGTAGATGGGAAGAACCAGAAGAACAAGCTCGAGTTTCCAGCAGGCGTATTTGACAAAAGACCTGCATAGCTTTCGCCGATGTCGAAGGGGACTTGTGGAAAGTGAGTACCATTCACGGCGAATTCTAGCAATAGCGAGTTGTAAGTATATAGTCTTAGATCCCACGACAAAATTCCGGACTTACTTTCCGTCTTCTTGTTCAAATACTTATGTTCGGTCCGAGCAGCTGAAACCTCTCTTTTGTGCAGACCTTTCGCAGGCCGTTTAAAAGATGCAGCCTTACGATGAGGATTTTCCAACGCAGCGACCGCAGTCACCAAGAAAACAAAGGGTGCCAAAACTAACATCGTGGGATAATCTTCCGCAAGCTTAGAGAACCTGAGTTAGATCCCAAGGAACACCAAGTTCTGCAATTTATAAATCCCATTGTCCCCTTGCAACAGCAAGGCACGCTAGTCGGGGCGCAAATCGCTCCGAGCGGATATTAACGCACTACCAAGCTTTGCCAATAAAGATGGTCGCTAGTTGGGGCTCGACCCGCTATAAGGCAGACACTCGTCGCTGACAAGCGGGGTATCTGTCAGATCTACAGTGATTGCAACCTCGTCAGGAACATCCAGGATTGCGATTCGATTGAGTATCTTTTTACTCCGACGGAGTCCGTTATCGGTCGCATGTTTCTCTCGTAAGGTCAGCCCACTGTCTAATTGAAGAGGTATCTGTGCATTTGGATCATATGGATCATATTCTCATTGCGCAGGTATGGTCGTGCCGGGGCAACAGCGTAATATCTAGGTAGACATTTTAGTAAATGCATTCCATAGCGTTAAATCATGTGACGTTAATACTGCTACCTTTATGTTCAGAATGATCTCGACTTGGATTAAATCAAGCGATACCACCCAAGTAAGGTGGATCAGTTCTTTTGACAAGATTTTCACCTGCTGAAGAATCTAGATGCCGTCGACGTCATCGAATGGATCATAAGCTCTGTTGGGTGGCTGACGATCTTCAGGGGTCCTAGTCAGGGGGGATTTGAAAAATGAGCATGTGGAATTGAATCAACATAGCGGTTCTGGGAGAAAATATGGTGAAACGATGGCTACGTGTATAAAAGAGAATCTTTGAAGATTGAAAATATCTGATCCTGGCAAATATGTAAGCCTCAGGCAAGCATCCAAGTCGTGCAGATGTAACGTCACGCTCATTTTCTCGATATAGCTTATAACATGTAATGTCTTTCCATGTTGGCTAAATTTCACTAATGCCCTTACGTTGAACTATACAGTAGCCTACCTATAAGCTACATATCCATAGGTACGTAAGTACCTGACCTATGTACGCATCCTAGCAATAATGCCGACATACCAGACTGTTAACATGTCCCGAGAGCGAAGCAAATTAGTCTTATAGAATGAAGAAGATCTAGTTCAAAATAGAGCGAGTTTTAAAATTCACACAAAGGTTGTAGACAATTATCTCCCCTTGAAGACTAAGTAAGTTTCTTTATGCCTAATGCAGTCGACCAATAGCATTACACCCGCATAAGCTTCCCGATGTGGCTCGTAATGAATGCAATGGACACATCTGCCCAAAATGGTTTCGGCGCCCGACCTATATCTCCCGAAGCGCTTCTCAGATGGCCTTTCTAAATCCACAGCATTGTAGTTTCGACATTGAATTGAGCAGTTCAATCTCATGTGAATAGCAATTCATCCCCGCAAATTTCAGTAGGCGCCAAGGATATTACATGTCGAAAAGGCAGTATTAAGATTTTATGGATGCATGATCTATTGCATGTTTTGCGGGGTGATGAGAATGAAGTACGCAGATTGACATGATTGCCCGTTTAGGAAACGGTTCGTGTGGGAAATACTAGTTCATGCTGATGGGATGATTAAGGTGGCTAGTTAATGAATTCCTCTGTTCTTGACCATTTTGGACCCCGGATTGGAAACCCAAGCTATCATTATGATTTTAGTCTGGAGGGGAGACTTGTGGCCTGCGTCTGCATCTGTATCTGTGAGGGGGCGGACACGGCTCGAGGCCGATGGGTCACTGTGTAACAACATTCCTCGATCGTCAGTGGGTTTGAGGGTTTTAGATTAATCTATAGATTGTACGCTCAATGTAAAATTAGCTCGATGAAAAGAGTAATTCATGGAGCTGGATTCGTATATAAGTGCTATCTAAGGTAGACATAATGAGCATGTTGGAATACGGAGGTACAGGAGCTTGGGGACTGCAGTCACGTTGATCAACACGAACACGAACACGAGGGAAGGTTTGAAATGGGCCTTTGGCCTTTCATTTGTGAAATTACATACATGAAGTATCGGTATACAAGATAATTATCCATACCCCATAAGTAAACGAACCAAAAGTTGTAGTCTCTGAAATCATATAACCCATAAAACTCCCGAAGACAAAAAGGATAACACATGACCGTTTCCAAATCCCAAAACTCAAACCCAGCCAAAGCCCGAACTCCGAATCCCAAAGAGTCCAGGCATTAATCCATCAATCATGTCATAATAATCAGTCTGTCATCAGGTCATGAAGTTGGAAGACCTGTTTAATTGGTGTTGCGTCGTTTCTTGAGTCGCAGACTGATCTTCCTTCGTAGTTCAGAGAAGGGATTCACCAGGGGACGGTTGTAGAAAGGATCATTCTTGAAGTCCTCATCGGTGAATTTCTAGAACGGAGTTTAGTAATGGTGACACAAATAGAAAGAAAAAGAATACATACCATGCCAGGAATGCGCATAAAGTTACCAGCAAAGTCGTTCATCATGTTCGAGCCCTCTTCGTAAGAGTACTCTTGGCCGTTGCGATCCGTGGTTCCAGGGGGTAGAAGGCAACGCCATCCAGTGGGCGGTGACTGTTTAGAGCGTCGGCGATTTTGTGGTTGGGAGTCGCCCGGAGTGCCTCGGCGTTGGACTCCTTCACAGCCTCAAGTGGGCTGGATTGAACAAAGCGGTTTCTTTCAGGGCGCGCTGCGTCGTACGGACCCTCGTGATGATAAGAGAAATTGGTGACATCGTCCAGCTTGTCGATGATATCTGGTTGCACAAGCTGTGAATGGCGGGAATACTTGTTGTTGCGGCGACGATGAGGAGCAGAGTGCTCGCGTTTGCGTCTCGGCTCAACCGGGTAATGTTCGGGGGTACCGGAATACCAGATAGAAGGCGCGGAGTTCACAGACTCGGAACGCGACCGTCGAGAATAGGCCGATGATGGTGAAATGTAGCGGGCGTATGGATTGTTGCTTCCTATACTTGTCCCCACGTTTTGGTGTCGATCTTGGCCGAGTTGGGTGAATGGGTGGTGTGGATTGTGGCCTGAGGCCATAGGGATGCAGTCAACTGCCATTTCGTTGTTGGATGAAGTTGTTTTGTAATAAGAAGAAAAGGTATCCAGGGTGAAAAGCGCAAGGCGCAAAGGTGACCCCGTATAAGTAGTACTTTATTTAGAACAAGTGAGGCTGAGCTGTGATGCAGGGTAGCTCGTACAACAGCTGATGATGAAAAGAGATGAAATAGATGAAGATGGGAGTTGTAGAAGGAAGAATAGCAAGTGAGTTGAGGAGAGCTTATATCAAAGGGAAACCGCGGACGTGACGTGATGACTTTCCACGCTTAATGATCCTCGTGGCTAGACGGGGCTTAGTAGCTTTCTAACAGGTGCCTAGGTGGGCTTAGTACTTCACTAATATGTTCACGGACTAAATGTACCAATTATTACATTCGAAAAAATGATGTGGGTCGAACATCATAGGCTTAGTATCTTCATAATTGACGATGCCGACTCCCGACACCGTATATGGAAATATGTAGAGTGTGATATCATCTAACAGGTACACAGGAACCATTTACTACTTACACTTCATCTACTTTCCCTATTACAGGTACAAAATCCAAATTGAATATATCCAATTGAGATAATATTTGACTTGAGAAAATTTTTAGTATGATTCACCATTCACCATGTATGAAGACTCTAAACGCAAGGCCCATGTTGCATCCACACATCCGAGACTTCCACTGATCGACTCCTATGACGGTATCCCCTACCTAAACTACCACATATAGAAAATTTGCTTGATTTTTTTGTCCTCAATCGTCATATTGTTAGATTTCCAGAGAAAATTCAATTTACTTAAAAATTATATATATATAATTGTGAAATGATTTAAAAAAAACCGATCGGATATGTGTTCCCGGGAAGTTCCGACCGATGACTCGTTCATAGATTAAGCTTATCGCTAAGGAAAATAGCGCCTTTTCACTTAGTGCATCTATAACCCCTAGCATATGGTCTTAAATCTGAGTACGGAGTACTTAACAATCTATTGGGGAATTCCAAATTGATTTAGTTATACTTCATTTTCACCGCTTTTTGCTCCTTGTTACTATTTATGTATAGCGTTAATCGTCCTACACATAATCGGAATCAGATGTCTCGAGCATAGCTACACATGTATACAATATCTCCAATTCAATCATTGAAGACTTTTAATGTGCTTGAAATTCGTTTTGTCGGGCAATAAATCAATTTTAGGTCTTCTAACATGTCGATATTGATAATAGTGTAACTTTCCTGTCAGCGGGGAATATTCTTTTCCCTATAGCGCGGTGTACAAAATAATCCATGGCATGTATATAATTAATAACGCTCATATTGCATTTGGATGGGCTATATTACGCCAAAGAGCAGATGATCAATACAACCTGGCGTAGGCTTGCCACTATTCCAAGTTGGAGCTGGCAGCCAAGGTGGAATTAGAGATCAAACAAGAAAACCAAAGCCTTGGGAATCATCTACGAAGACCCTCGGCGTGACAATGTAATTTTGAAGGAAGGCTGGGCAAACGCTAGGTATCGACTTTGACTGCTCTACATTGAAATTTCGGCTTAGCCCCAAAGCATCACGAGGGGACAAACAACGGTTGCGAACAGACTCAAGAGATCCAAGGCGCTTACAAGTTTGAAATGATTTTTCTTGTTTTCTAATAGCGTTTATATTCGCATGATGAAGTGTTTCTACATACGTTATTTCCTAAACCTCGATGGCTGAGGGACATGGCATTCCCGAACACCATAGATCATTGCAAAACTTGCTTTGTAAATTAAGGTGTGATGCTGGCTCTTTGCGAGCCCTAGCCAAGGTACCAGGAGCTACAGGGAACGAGGCTACCTCCATGCACGTATATATTCAATATAGAAAGCCACCACAACATTCGTAAAGGTGACGCTCCAACAAACCCCCAAGTGCCATTTTGGAGGTGTTGTTGGTCCTTTGTAGGGCTCAACCAGATGAGCCTCGACTATGTGACATACCCTCCAGCTTTCACTGTCAACGAGTGTAACTGAGTGATAACCCAGGCTCTTCCCTTGATACCGATAACAAAACTAACTCTATTTCATGAGCTCCTCTTCCGAAAAACAGTCATCTTATCCAACCCCATATGTTCGCACCCCGTCCGAACCATCTCCGCCTCTCTCAGATGGATAATTCCCCGATTTCTCAATGCCATATTGCATTTCCTCACTCAAAGAAATCCTCGAATTTGTGGTCGCAAATTCTCCATAGATGTCCCCTTATGAAATAGGTTTGGTATTATTATACTGAGGTCAAGGTTACCAAATTTCACTAATCCATGCGATGCATCTGATATATATCCAGAGACGTGTCATCATAACTACATGTTGTAGTGGGGTACTCTGGACATTGACGCGTGGTATTGTCTGTCTGCGAACTAGGCAGAACTAGCAGGTTGTTGAGTAGCGGAGGATAGGAGAAGGAAACCCAAGGGTAGTTTGTAGAAGAAAAGATGGGATATTCTTCTAGTCTCTTACTTCTCGCACAAGAACACAAATTCAGCTTACTAGCTTACACCGCTATTCCGTAGAAGAGGCCCCCTCTACAATGTATACGAGAACCAGCGAAGCTACTTCAATACATACAATCTAGACAAAAAAAGGCATATGGTCCCTGTCTTCCAGCGAGAGGTCGGCACATCGACGGGGATTTCGGGTTGCCAGATATAAAGCCAATTGGTGGAAGGGGATCGAAGGGTCACAGTCCTTTAGGTAGGTGTCTCCTAGTTAGATCTTCGGCAATCATCTTCTCGGCCATGGTACCCACCACCGGTTGATGCTCCATGGCTGTCAACTTACGCATGCAATCGCCGATCTCAAATCGGATCTCGCAGAAGAGCATTTCCGTGGCTCCGGGCCGATCACGGACTCCCGCGTTGACGGCGACAGGTCGCTGTCGCTCACGTTGCGTGGACTTTCGGTGTCCCAGAAAGAATACGAGTAGGCGTTCATGGCTACACCACACAGCTGTGCTGCGCGGCTGTCTATGAGCAGAGCCTGCCACCAGAGTCCGCGCCGCATCTCCCACTCGAAGACAGGTAGCAATGTGACGCTGCGTTCGCGGTGGAGGCCCATGGTTTGGGATATGCGACTCGCAATTCCGGTTAGCGGCCACCTAGTCTGCGTATCGTACTTTTGGCGGGTCGCCAGCTGAACCCTCTGAACCCTCTCCGCATCCACATTCTCGAGCGGTTTGCTCTCAATTTCATCTACCGCACTGCTGCATCTGCTAGGCTTGGTAGTCAAGCCTTGCCAGAGGGGACTAGAGCAACAGAACCAGGCAACCAGATCAGATGACGTCTTCTCGGAGTAGAGAGAAAGAGTGAGTTCAATTTTCTACCTCACTTCTCCACATAACGAGACTGTACTGTCTTACTCACTAAATGGCCTTCCTAGGCTGATTATGAGCTATTGGTGAGACGAAGAGAAGGATTCTTGTCGGGCTCACCCCGGTCATCGAGGGATATTCCGTGGGCCTGAGGTGCTCTCTCGCAGAGCTCAAGTCGCTTTGCCAAATAATCTGTAACTCTGCTAACTATAGAATCTTTATTTTTTCGGCCCTGTGCTTTCGGCCAGATGCGTCTTATGCATTCCTGTCCGTTCCGCAGGGCAGGTTGAGCACGGTAGGTGGCTATCACAGCGCACTTTATGCTGTTGGCAGAAGTCACATGAGTGACCGCGAGTAATACTCCAGGCTGGGACCTGAAGATGAAATAATGCCAATTATTACAACAGTTAATAATACGTAGAGTACAAGCGAGAAGAAGGGTTGAAGGGTCTTATAATATGTGACGGGGCCCCTCAGCGGCCCAGCCTAGACCAAAGTCGGGAGTCGGGTTTCGACCCTGGACTTAAAGCCATGGAGAAAATTTACACTCATATATACACAGCAAAAATTCCTAGGGTCTTTACGGGCGTATATGGTGAGGTCTAGGTCAAGGGGAGTCACGGGGTATGTATGACTCGGACCCTTCGGTGTGTCGGCGCTACCCGTCGGTCCCCTCGGTCCCGCAATGAGGTGGACTGTTAGGTTCGGCGCCGAGACACTGTTCATCCCACTGCGTCGTTTTGTGTATTATTGAGTATTTATAGTCTACTCCTTTCCCTGGAAATCCCGAATTATGTTTGCCAATTTATTGCAAATCACTCACATACATCCTTTAACTATTCTCGATCATGGCTCATTCGGTAGAAGAAGAGCAACGGCTTGATCAGCCAGACAATGGCTCGATTGCCAACGAGAAGCCCTCGGAGGTCAAAGAAGACGATAGTCAATTTCCAACTGGGATGCGGCTGGCTGTAATCATTGTTTCAATTCTATTAGCTATGTTTCTAGTTGCATTGGTATGGCTTTCATAGATTCACCGTTGTTCACACGAATATACTAACGACTCCTTCGCACTAGGATCGAACTATCATTGCCACTGCAGTCCCCCGAATCGCCAACCAATTCAATGCCCTCGAGGATATTAGCTGGTATGCCAGTGCCTATCTCTTGACAAGTTGTGCGACCCAGCTCTCTTGGGGCAAAGTCTACACTTACTACTCGACCAAGAGCGTTTTCTTAGCCGCGATCCTGGTCTTCGAAGTCGGATCAGCGCTCTGCGGCGGTGCCCCCAACTCAAATGCTTTTATTGTGGGACGTGCGATAGCAGGTGTTGGTTCAGCAGGTATCTTTTCTGGCGCGACGGTGATCATCGCACAGATCGTCCCGCTAGCTAAACGGCCTATCTACGTCGGTCTAATGGGCTCAACATTCGGCTTCTCATCAGTTATCGGACCCCTACTAGGCGGTGCGTTCACAGACAAGATTACATGGCGCTGGTGCTTCTACATCAATCTTCCAATCGGCGGTTTCACCCTTTTAGTGCTCTTCCTATTTCTAGCGGTCCCGTCCCCGTCCGATACCTCCACCTACACATGGAAGCGACAGATCCTCCGCCTAGACCCACTAGGCAGCGCAATGTTTCTCCCTTCCGTGATCTGCTTCCTGCTTGCCCTACAGTGGGGCGGCACAGCCTACCCCTGGGCGAATGGACGTATTATCGCGCTATTCGTGATCTCAGGGATCTTAATGATCGCCTTTGTCTTCGTGCAGGTCTGGCTCAAGACAGATGCGACCGTTCCTCCGCATATCTTCAACCAGCGCAGCATTATTAGTGGGGTCGTGTTCGCTATGTGCGTCGGTGGCGGGCTTATCTCTACATTATATACCCTATCGCTGTGGTTCCAGGGAGTGCGCGGCACCACCGCCGTAAAATCTGGCATCGATACGATTCCTATGGTCCTCGCGCTTGTTGTCGGAGCCATCCTTTCCGGTGGTATCATTACCGCGACAGGATACTATGTTCCATGGATGTTTGTCGCGGCGGCTCTTATGTCGACTGGTGCAGGTTTGATGACGACCTTTAAGTTAGATACCAACCACGCTGCCTGGATTGGATACCAGGTGCTATTTGGTATCGGTATCGGTACTGGAATGCAGCAGCCGTCTCTAGCAGCACAGACTATTCTCCCAATGGAAGAGGTCGCTATCGGTGTCTCGCTCATGTTCTTTTCTCAATCCCTTGGTGGTGCGGTCTTCATTGCTGTAGCTCAATCACTCTTCCAGAATTACCTCAGCGCAGAATTGCCCTATATCCAGGGGATCGATCCTGCCAAGGTTCTAGCAGCTGGCGCGACGGGCCTCGTCCATACAGTACCAGCTGACAAACTGACTGAGGTTCTGATTGTGTACAATGATGGTCTTCGCCGGTCATTCATCGTCGGTGTGGCAGTTTCTTGCTTGATGATAATCCCGGCGCTGACGATGGAATGGAAGACGATCAAGAAAGACAAGGTATCTGTCCCGGCTGATTGAGCAACTTTGTCTGCGCATGCGAGGAAAGGTGTGTTGAACTGTACTACCACTTCACTTCATAAACCAATGGTCAAAGGCAGCCTTAGTGCGCTGATCAGGCGCGCCTTATTTTGAAACCTTGTATTTACAAAGCTGGGATTGTATTTAATATTTAGGCAGGATGTTGGTACTTTATCAAAAACAATGTTATTGCATATCCAACCATGTTCGTACTCGTGTTTCTTAGCTCTGTTCTTGAAGCAGAAATTAGAAGACTGTGGAAATGCTAAATTTTGGCTCGAATTTCCTCGCAAAGAATATGATCGAGATACTGGAGCATATTAGCCTTAACTGGGGCGTAGTTGCTGGGTGCAAGTTCAGGAGCAGCTCATCGTCCCAGGTTACGGGTGGAAATTCGTTTTTGGTAACAAGGGCTCAGTCGCAGTTTGAATATCAAGGGATAAGAGCCGTGCAGGGCAAAAAGGGTGTCCGATTAGGCGGACAGATTGCAGGGGCACAACAATGAGTGCAATATTCAGACGTAGGAAGAATGGAAGAGTGAGAGAGGAGGAGGAAGAGCGGCGTAGATGGGTCTTTTATGTCGGAGGGCATGAAGGGAGATTACGTGACGGCGTGTTGGGCCACTACCCAATTCTGAAAAGGAAAAGGTGACCGGATGCAGTACTTCACAGGTCCCCCGTTTACAATAGCAATAGCAGGGGGGTGTTGATGGGTTCAATATCGCGTTTAAATGAACAGTTGACATTCTCACACAGTGGCGCCGTCTTATACAGGTCAGGGGTCAGGCCGGGTGAGATTCTCACGCAACAGAACTCTGTTGGATAGTTTTAGACCAATAATCAAGTTTTCTACTAATTTATACGTTGAAATAACACTCACTTTGCGGATCAGGAACAGGAACAGAAGCAGCGGTAAGAGCGGTACTCAACACTGCCAGAAGAGTGTCCATTTTCATCTTTACTTGGTCACTTCTACATGAGTCAGTCTATAAATCAGATTTGCAAGAAGTGACCTTGGAACCTCGTCTTACCTTATATGTAATCTGTGTGCTTGGCAGTAGATTAGCCTAAAGGTGTTCCAAATTCAGGATGAAGCGTTCATCTTATACCTCAATTTTTGGGTTTTCAAAAATCGGTCAATAAATATCCCACGTTACATCTCAAATTAAGCAGGAAATGGCGTACTGTGAGAATAACTGTTGACAACTCAGCTCTTCTACTTCCCCACTCGTGGAAATATTTACTCAATACAAGTTCGAATTTACTCACTATAGCTGCTAACAATGAAGAATTCTCAGGCATGTTACTCAAAAGAGGAAGATTCTTCTATGCGTATTTTCATCCCCGACAACCAAGATGATCTTGCGTAAGGGATTACTACCTAAGTGGACCCTCAGTTGTGGCTTCCAATATAGAAAGAGGACTTTGCAGAGTGGGCGAGCCCACTAGCTTTATATCTGGAATGTCCCTTCAATCTCAGGTCATAGAACACCAGATTAAATGTTGACCTATCAAATTAATTTCCATCAATCCGGTCGTTACACGTGTTGAGGTGGTTTGTGCTGTCCCACAGTCTATGTAGGTACATAGATGTGTATGTTACGTATGTAACTAAATTTGCTTGTCGAGAATCACGCAGGAAAACCAAACTATTCATGTAGACATAGCAACTGGGTAGGTCTCTAAATATTGAGATCTACTTCAGGAGGTAGATCAAGCAGATATATACAGATAGTGAAGGTGTTAATTGTCTGGTTCATTAACCATGTTTTCGTTACAAAGCGAGAGTTTGCCCGTACAAGAATATAAAAAAATGAAGTCAGAACTATTATAGCATACATGTAGTTAAATAGAACTGAAACTTCAATCGTTAGCTAGTTATAGTAAGATATAACTCAAGGAACGTCGGCATTTTGGGTCAAGTCAATATTCGCTAATATCAAGCATCAAACATCAAGAACCAAGTCCTAAATGTCCAGCTTCCCTATCATTCCCAACACTGGCAGTATCACCACCTCCCAGTGATATATCTTCCAACCAATAACTTCTCAGTATCCCCCAGAAGGGGTAGGAGGAGTGGGAGGTGTGGGAGGAGTGGGGGGTGTCGGGGGAGTAGCAGGAAGATTTTGGTAATTGTTGTCACCGATAAGCGGACCATACACACCAGTAGGGGTCGGAGGAGTAGGGGGAGTGGGAGGAGTTGGGGGAATCGGCGGAGCATTGACATAAGGATATCCGGGAGCATTGACGGGAGCGGAATAAGTAGGAGAAGGAGGGGTGGGAGGAGTCGGGGGTGTTGGTGGGGTTGGAGGAGCTTCCACTACAGGGTAATAACTCGGGCCTTTTTCATAGGGGACGTTCTTATCCTTATCCTCCTTGTCCTTGCCCTTATCCTTGTCCTTATGAGGGGTAGGAGGAGCGGGGACGGGGACGGGGACAGGGACATGTTCAGGTGTGGGAGGGGGGTTGGAGGGGTCGGAGGAGTTGACGGAGGAACTTCCACTGCAGTGTATTTGCCCGGCTCTTTCTCATGAGGAACATCCTTATGAGGAGCAGGAACGTCACGTAGTTGAAGCTCTATATGAACTCATTTTTATTAAAAGTTATTCTCACTAGAAGGGAAAGGATTGCGTACGGTGCAGCGGAGCAGGGGCCGCAACAGCGGTAAGGCCCAGGCCAAGGACCGTAAGGATCATAGTGAGCTTCATCTTTACTTTGTTGAACTACTGCTCACCTGTTTTGGTTAGATTTGAAGGTTTATATGAACAGAAAAGCGCAGTTATGCTCACTGGGTTGAGTTATATTGTCACCAGATCTTGATAGATTGTTGGTTGATAGAATAAAATCTAGAAAAGTGGAAAATTACATTCAATTTATATTCGATCTCTTCTTTGGATTTTACATCGGAAATAGATCTAGACGGTCATCGATGGTTTGAGAGAGAAAGTCTTTTCGTCAATAAAATCAGATTGCAAGTAAGTATGGTTGTTAGTCCAACGGTGGTATGCATCAAATTTGCAGTTAACCATGCTGTCCAACCGTTGGGATTAGAATTGGACCAGGTATAGGTATCGCCTATTGTTCATAGTAATGTACACGATTGGTCTAGCTGTCTCACTGAAAACGATGATGTGGGAGCTCAATATTCTGTGTTGATCGGCTCTACTATGTACATATTTTGCCAAATTGCATATCTAACCTAAAGATCCTGACTTGTACATCCACCTAAGGCGCAGTTAGCTGCAATAATTTCTGTAGCTCTTTTATCAGTTTCATTGGGGTAACTGCATACTATGTAGGCATTGAGACTCAACATATACCTTTGGGTAGTAGTCTATTACGTTTCAGTCGCACTGCATAGTTCCAAAAGCTCTTCAGTGCATTTGATGACGACAATGATATTCCAGGAGCCACCACCATTAACCCGATTAATATATCTCTAGGGTCCAAAGTAACTTACAGATACATCTATGTAATAAGTTTCATCATTTTCCTCTTCCATGAAGTACATTTGTTACTAAGGACCTACACTACTCCAGTGATAAGACAAAGAAAGGTCTTTCAGGATAGCAGAATAAACACTTGGACAAGCTGCTGGTCCTAGTTATTTGAATAGTGAATTAGGTGGTTTCGTCGCGAGAGTGGAATGTAACTCTCGCTACGAAAGATGTATCTTTGCATGCACTGCCACATTTGTCATATCCGCCCTTCTCACTGGAGCCATAGAATAAAAGAATTGGACTAGCTTGATGAAAAGGAGAGGGTTTATGCATGGAATAAATTCAATTACCAACAACTCCCATCATCCGCTATGGCCCCATCCATAATATACCTACCGCCGCCCCTACTCCATCTGGTATCTTCTTCCGCCCCACTGACCTCCGCCGGGGTGGCCATAACTACCAGCAGCGGGGAATTGCAGGAAATTATTTGTTACGAGTAACTAGCAGTAGATTTTCGGAGTACCAACTTGGCCAGATATTGCTCAAGTCTTGAAGACATACCGTATCCTGTGGAATAGGGAAGCAGTTGCAGCAAATGCAACGCCGAGGATAGCAAACATATGATTTGACTTCATATTTGGGTTGAGCTAATGCGCAGCTTGTGTTAGTGCAGTCTTAACATGTGAAACTGTGTTAGATACGGGCCCACCCTAGGTAGAGCTGATCAGACTGAGACTTAGCTTCGAATGATATTGAGTCCCTCGAGATTTGTATGTCCTGTCATCACACTGTTTCCAACAAAAAGGATTGGAGAGAATAATTCCCACTGAAACCAGGTATAGTCTTTCTGTCGCCTCGGGGGGTAGTGTCTCTGATCAGTCCTATAAATCCCCAGAGGCTCACTAAAGAAGATATGAAGCTACCCAGTCCTCTATCTATGAAACAAAGCACGCCCCAAGGCTTGATCATGAACAGAGAACTTTTAATAGAAATAAATCGTGTTCATAAATGCAGTGTGGTGTCGCCGCTTTTGTGATTGTTCTGCTAACTAATGATTGTCACCTTGACATGCAAGATTCAAGTAGACGTTCCACAAATCTGAAGATTGAGTCTAGAAGCATTCGCTCCCCACAGTCTCCCCACAATCCCCCCAGCAGATATCTGATTAGCCCTTGATGTGTCTTGCACTCTGCTGGACTAGGAAACCGAAGCCACTGTGACCGGGGTGGAATCTAGGATGCAACGAAATTCTGTCATACGTGACCCAAGATATCGAAGCTCCAAACATCTCCTCCTAGATATAGTGCCTAGATTTGAGGATCATGATTTAAACGGGCATTGAAATGTTTTTATTGACGAATGGAACCTTGGGCAAAGGTGTGCTACCAGTTTTCGAGTATATGTACCCTTCATTAGTGTAGCAGGAACCAGGGTTTATGACCAGTGGTACCCCAATTTGAATATAATAATCGGCATCCTCTTCCAATTGCGAACCGTCGCTCGAATAGGTGAGATACAGGGAGTATTGAGGCAATTGTAGCAGAGGTAGACCAAATATTACATATTGCACCCGCTCGGTCCGGGCTTTCAGTGGCTGTTGGTCTCTACTTCGACTCCTCAGTCCTCACACCCAGCGACACAATGTGAGAGTAGACAAGAAAGAACGTATAACTGTATATGGGAACTCGAGACAATTTCCACATAGTAGAGGTGCCAATATCAAAATTTAAATTTAGAGATGAAATTGAGACTGATGATTGGCTCCCGACTTTAGCCTTTGCTCCACATCAGAGAACCCAGAGCTTTATCAGAACAACAACTCCCCTGTCACATCGGAGATGACTCTAGTACAATATTCTGATTCAGAATCCGACTCAGAGTCTAGATCCTCTCTCCGCCCAACCAAGAAACCTCGCCACGACAATCATCCAGGGCCATCGCTGCCGCCTCTACCTGCAGCATTCCACAACCTCTATGCCTCGAGCACACGTGTGAGCGTGCAAGATAACCCCAGCCTTCATGGCGGCCGAACACGCGTAATTCCTCATGTAGAAGGAAACTGGCCAACACACCTTTACCTCGAGTGTGAGTTCCAGGCCCTAGTGTCATGCCACTTGAACAGGGAGCTAACTTTGACAGGGTACCCGGGGAAAGACGAGCTGTCGCTCCTTGAAGATATCATCGCTCACTCTGGGAATCTGCCAGATGAGAAAGCGCCCACGGTGCACAGTCTTCTTCATAGCGATCTCGGTGCCCAGCTACCCCTTCATATCAGTCTATCTCGGCCGGTGATTCTTCGCACCGAGCAGCGTGTCTCATTTACTGAGGCGCTGCAAAAAGCCATCCATGATTCGCATGTCCTATCGTATGTGGCAGTCTTTTAATCTCTTGACCATCGTCTAATGCTCGAACTAGATTTGATGTCCAACCGGATACTTTATATTGGTCATCTAACTATGAGAAAACACGCTGTTTTCTCGTCTTAGGCGTGCAGAGACCGAAACATGATGGTCTGAACCGCCTCTTGAAGGTATCAAACGACATCCTTGCTCGCTTTGGCCAACCATCTCTTTATGCAACCTCCTCGACTCAAGGAAAGCAGACCAATGTATCCTTCCATGATAGAAGCGGCATGCTGAGCAGCGATGATTTCTCGGGGTGCTTCCATATCTCACTTGCTTGGAGTCTGTCAGAGCCCGGCCCGAAGGAACGTGAACGGGTCGCCGGGATCGATTTGCAAGCTTTGCGGGAAATACGGGTTGAATTCGATAGTGTCAAGGCAAAGATTGGGAATATTGTCGGTAGTATACCATTAGGAAAAACCCCATGAAACGCAAATTTGACGGGAAAGCAAACAAAGGAGAAGGATTTATTGTATTTGACAAACAGAAGATCAAGAAACCTGATCTGTCTCGACAGGATTTCTTCCCGTAAAATCATATTTTTCTCTTGTAGCCATATTGGCAAACAAATCCAAAAGAAAAATACACATTCAACTTGTTTTGAACTTCAGATATCATATCATCGAACGCGAGGCAGAGGAGAGTGAGGCGGGCTCAATCCTCACCGCCATTACATTATTCTGGCAGAAAACCAACCCTCCCGAGGTTCAAGGTGCTAAGCTCGCCCCAAACAACAAATCTCCTCTCAACACCGGGTCACCATGCAGATCCCAAACGTAACTGTGGTGAGCTTCTCCGGAACTAGTAATCAAGATGTCTTCTAACTTCTCTGTCTTGTCTAGGATGATCTCCAAACCTTCCAATCGAAGCACTTCCCTGGCCAACAGCTGGCGGTGTTTCCCCCTGAAAATAACCAGACCACAGACGAGGATCTCGGATACTACCCGGATGGAGTGAAGCGCACACTTACAGACGAGCAGATTCGGATTTTCAGACATAGTGAAATCCATGCTCTGGTACGAGAGAGGCAGCTGCGGGATGATGAAACGCAATACCAAGCTCGGATGCAGTCGTCTCTAGATGATAATGCATCAGAGGATAAAGCAAACACTGCACCGGAAAAGCGACCTCTAGATGCTGGGTCTCAGAAACAGGGTGGCGACCAGAAACGGTCACAGTCACGAAAGGGGTCTAAGAGACACACCCCAGAGCACAAGACTACCAAGCTCCTGGACTACGGGGACGACTCAGACAAAACACAAATGGAAAGGCCATCAGTGTCACAGATGCCCTACCAAGGTCGTAGGATTATCTCCTACAATGACTGATTTACCTGATATGCACAATGTCCGAGTCAAATTCCCTCTCACCTCCAGATGGAGTACCTGGCCAGAAGCCCCTACCTTTGATCCAATGGACAATGCCAACCTCCTTAGGCAACTATAACGCGGTAAGTTATTCACTTTCTATTCCACTGCACCCTTGCCCGTTCATGATGAACAACATGTATCATCCTTAGCCAGAAAGCCATACCATCTGCGGATGTGTAAGGCATTGACGACCTTAATCTTCTCTCTGAGGGCTCCTTCATACCTTTGAATCAAATGGCAATATATTTTTCGTTGGGATTCTAACACGTTATCAGTTAGAAGCCTCTATCTTTGATCCAACGAACAACCTTGGAACCCCGAACTCCCCGCAGAACTGATAAAGCGGTAAACTATCCACCTTCTATTCCACTGCACCCTTGCCCGTTCATGATGAACAACATGTATCATCCTTAGCCAGAAAGCCATACCATCTGCGGATGTGTAAGGCATTGACGACTTTAATCTTCTCTCTAAGGGCTTCTTCATACCTTTCACTCACATGCACACATGTTGGGTTGCGGTCCTAACAGCTTACCAGTTTCATTACTTCACGTCGGGTTCTTTTGATCAAAACATGTGACTTTCACATCCGTGCAAAGGACCGTCAGCCTACTGCTCCCACAGCACTCTCAGCAGTCTCTTCATATCGCTGGATGTCCGAGCGAGATAATGATGGAATGAATTCTGCTGGTCCTGGAACCAAACGCAACCGTATTGACCACAATCCGGAGATTGGTACCAACTCTCTACTGGCAATCGACTTCATTGGCGTAAAGTTGGATACTGGTGTCATCAATTTAATTGGTTTGCGCTGGGACATCGAGGTCACTCGTGGTCCCAAAATCCACCCCAAAGACCTGTGGGACCTCGATGATTCTACTCAACAAAAGCGACTGGCCGTCCTTGCTAGTTGATTAATTCATCGGTACAGACAGCTCGCATCTGAAATTCGCGGTCGCCAAGGGTGACAATATTAACATTGTTGAATACGTGACATCCGATCATCCGGATTTGCAGATTATCTCCCTCACACTTGTAGAACATCGATATCAGACCTGTCAGCCCCGTCACAAAATTATCACGCTTAGTCATATGTGCCATGAGGGCTCCAGGGCTGTTCTAAACTAGCGCACTATTAGCAATGAGCATAACTGTTCGGCGTATTCGATTATCAAGACCAAATTTATCAAGACAAAAATTTCACTCAGCCACCATTTTCTCCGCAAATTTATAATGTATTGTTCTTGGTCAAGCGTTATCGCAGCCATGGCCTCATCCCAGGGACCAAACTAGGTGCGTCAAACCCAGTATCTCCTCACTAATCGCCTTTCTCGTCTTCACTCGGGCGAACTTCGCACCTGAAACGGTCCTATGCTGGACCTCCCGAACGTCAACAATCGAACTGGTACAGAGATATCGCTTATGGCAAGCCCGCTAACTCACTACCCCAGCAGCACAGAAAAGCTGACAATTCCTCCTATATCCAACGTATCCCTAATCCTAGTCGGCACCCTACGGAACCATCGAACCGAAAACCAAAGTGCATCCAAGGCACCTAACGACTTCTCAAGCTTAGCCCCTACTCTAAGCTTCAACCGCATCATGATGTTCTCAATAAAGCCCCATTTACAAACCGCACATTCTCAAACAGATGATTGACTGAAACGAACCCAGCTGCAACCCGCAACCTAGGCCTGCTTGATCGCCCACGCAAGCTTACACTTATTGCCTACTTCAGGGACTGCTGACAGACACTTGAAAGCCAGGTATTATCTCCTAGGTAATATCCACGGCAAGGCGAAGAGTCGATTTTTCAGCATATGATTATCTTCGTACACATCTATTTACAAATCGCGCTGTGGTGTATATATGCAAGTGACAGTAAATACGCAAGACAAGGCCAACTCGAGCAGAACTCGAGGTCAAAACAAGGTATCCAAAATACCAAAAACAAATGCGCCAAATGCGGAATCAGAGCGCCAGAAACCCCTTCCCAGATACAGTTTTATACAAGCCAGGCTAACCCAGCAACAGAAACGCAAAAACGAACATGCAGCTAAGCATTATTCGCACAAGAAAAGCTCGCACTGCTGGGGTTATCATGAAGAGCCTTCCCAGAGACCCAAAGACCAAGCCCGCACAGCGCAGCACCAACAGAAATAACAAGAAAATTCAACAAAGTGAGCGCAATCTTCCTCGGCGACGAGAACCACCTCCCCTTATTCATAAACAACCAAAAGATCCCACTCAGACCATACGTAAACCAACTTGCAAAAAGCGCCGTAATCAAGCTGAGCAGATTACTGAACACGGGAATCGCAGCGGAAATAATCCACGCCAAGATCCACAACAGGAGCGCAATACCGATCCACGATCCCGTGGCGATCCAATCACGCTTGTGCATTCGGTCCGTACCCTGGAAAATACGCAAGTACACATACTTGAACGCGATATGGCCGTTAATGACACCAGCAATGATGATAGTCGGCAGGGAGATTCCATATGCAATTTTCGCGACGATCGGTGAGGCAGAGCCCAGCGCTGGAGATGTCACGTCGCTACCGGCGTAGCGGTAGATCACTAGCGCGGCGGTGATGTACAGGCCCATATCAATGCCTTGTAGGAGACAGAGGGATTTTGTGAAGTCTTTTGGGTTTTTGAGTTCGGCCATTAGGCCGAAGAAGGCGGCGTGGCCACAGAAGGCGAAGACGATGTTGCAGACTGCCGTGAAGCCGTGGAAGAGGTCTGTGTTTACGACTGCGACGACGCCTGTTCCGGGTTTTGTGATACCGACGGCAATCATGACGATTATGACTGATGTCATGATGCTTATGAATGCTGGGGTTAGAAGGGTTAGTGATTGGGTTTGGATTTTTGGGGCGGGAGAGGGAGGAGGGATGAAAACGTACAAACTATCGACAGCCACGACATCTTTACTAGAGTGCGAGGTAATGAACAGATAAAGGAGACGACCATGCCGATGATACCGAAGACGATGGAGCAGGTGCCGTGATTTGTGATGGTGTTCATAGCAACGGTGAAGGTCAACAGGTGGCTTGCCATGACGAAGATGAGGAAGATGATCTGTGCACCACCGAGGAATTCTCGTCCCCATTTTCCTGCTATCACTTCACCGGCATCTGCCATCGTAGAGATGTGTGGATATTTCCATTTCATCTGTCCGATCACATAGCCGGTGTATGTGGCCAGTGAACCTAGGAAGATCAAGACGAGGATCGCGCTGAGAATATAATTAGCTCCAATTACTGTGATTACATAGATCAAGCAGGTCAGCTTACGGAACTAGTCCCAGACCAGCCACAGCGGCGGGCAGGGACAGCACACCTAGTGATACTGTTTCGGCGACCATGACTAGTAGAATGTTAGAGGTGGAGGTTGATTGTGATATAACCCGTTGTCACATACGTAGACCACATTGCCTAAACAAGATACAAGTTAGCCACAAAAAAAAAAATCCAATTTTCAAGCTATGCAAACATACCACCACTTGAGTACTTTGTACTTGACCTCCGCGAACTCCTCATCACCAAAGGCATCTTGTCTGACTTTGGGGACTTCATCAAACTTCTCTAGATCAGACTGCAAGTCCGCAGGATTGATATAGGAACTTTTTTCGTCGGAAAGAACATCCAAACCAGCAGGTGAGGATCTCATAGCGAAGATATCAAAACTAGTGGCGGATACTCGGGAAGTAGATATCAGGTCGGGGATCGATCGAAAAAGCCAAGAACAAAAAGCCAATCTCTTGATACAACAAACTGAATGGGAGATTGAGATCTTAACGAAAGGAAAATAGTAATAAAAAATCAACTCAGCAAAAAAAAACGCGCCCACTCAGACAGTAAATTGAAGAATAAAGCATCCGCCACCCGAAACAGATGTGGATCGCCGACCTGCGGACCGAGACGACGAATCATCTCGAAGCGACGTAATAGAAAGGCCAAAAAGGACTTGGTTCACTGGATCCAAATATCCAAATCTGCCCGTCAAAACTGGGGAAAAGGAAAACTTCGCTCCGATGCCGGCCTCCTATGTAGAGGTTGGGACCTGACTGTTTTCCAGGGGTTCAACTCTTGGAATGATGAAATTTTCAAGGGCAAAGAGATCAGAGGCAAATATTTCGGCCCGCGTGCAGGATTTACCGGAAAACTCTATTTGATAAGCTTATTTCTATCAGTCTAGCCTATAATGACCTTGATCGCGTGCTTATATGCCCTAAATTGTAGGAGGCGTTCTGGTGTAGATCGGGTCGGAGTTGGGTCACTAATTCCGGTTCCTTTTTTATTCTATGACCCCATATGGATATCTGGGTTAACTATTATTATTCTCTCATTGGATAGAAGCAATCACTTGAGTGGTATACATTGTGAACTAAGTCCTTGAAGTGTTCTTGGAGAGATAGAAGACAATATTTTTGGCGATGAGAGTCCGATAGGCCCTCGCGAATATCATATTAATCCCTTCGAGCTTGCAGATGTTCAAAATAAGATATGCACGAAGAATAGGGCGGCATCAAAGATCGTCCAAACGAAGTTTTGCTGTGGGTTGGGCTTTGGAACGTCTGGTCCATGGGGATATTTTGAGCGATACTAGCACGTGCCTTGTCTATGTTACCAATTGCCATCTCGGGGGTATAGGCAATTGCAACTAGTTCCAGTATGTAGCATGACATATAGCCTGCCAATTAGAAGAAAACGGGAAGATCAAAGGGTGAAATATTAAGGTGAAAAGTGAAAAGCCTCAATGTCACAGACAGCCCAAGGCTCAGAATCCCAGAATCAGATCTCTCGTGCAGTGACGGCTATATTTACAAACTCTTGATCACACAAAATGTCACTAAAGTCACTAAAGTGTGCTAATACGGGCAATCTTAGACGAGTTAGCCCGCGGTGATGGGCGGCAGGCATAACAACGAACTTAAGGCCGCAGATGAGGCCTAAGAAAAGGTCAGCAAGCTGATCACGGGTATAGTGGAGATGGAATTTCCAAATTCCCCGGTAAGGCCGAGCGAGACATGAAGTAGGATTGATGACACTTGTCATAGAATGTATGTGAAGCAAGCACGTGAGTCCGCGGAGGATATCTACGATTCGTCGCATAACTTCTTCATAGATTTGGACGTCAGTTCCAACTGTTAATAAATTTGATTTTCATATTACTCTTCTGAGAAGAAGCTCAAAATGATGATAACTGGGTATTAGAGAGAGCCAATGGCAAAGCAAAAGTCTCGAGATGTGACAGCAGCTACACTGGCAATCTCGTTCTCATAAAGGAAAACTACATTAGGTGTGACCCCATAACCAGCTGCATTGCCGTGCCAGAATCCAAACCCATGACCACGGGTTCCTTCATACGACTGATTTGGAATGAGCAAAACATGCAACCAATATGGTACCAAAAGCCGAAGCGCACTCACCACCTCGCATTCATCTCGAGCCTGCGGACAGCCCTGGCACAGCTTCGACATGAACACGTCACGAGAACTATCCTCGTTCTGTTTCTTCTCAGTCTCGGACTGCTATTCGGAAGCAATAAATGCACCTTGCTGTTTCCACCGGAATGGGGTTCTTCTGGAGCTTACAGAAGGCATTGGGAGCCCCGGCAAGGACCTTGGTCTATTCTGTCACCTTTGGGGGGTTCTTATGAACCTTTCCAGCAGCTGAAGACTTTGCCGATACGGTTGCTCTCTTTAGAGCGATACTTGAGAGACGCAAACCGAATCGTGAACGAAGTGGGGATGAAGAAAGGAAAATAAGATAGGAGGCAAGATGTCCAAGAATATGACAAAGACACGTCAACAAACGAACACATTAGACGACTGGGGAATTATGACTCTATTAGATTCTCCTTTTTCTCATGGCGATGTTTTCAGTCCGCTGAAATCACTGGTTTGTCGAATCCCATTCATATTTCTCGAGTTTGATCATCGGTCTTCTGCGATTGCCAGTCAGTCTACCCACAGGTGCATATCACATAGTCTATGGATTCTGAAGCAGCATTTTCCACGACCACGGTAGGGCTTTGTAGGGAAGGAAAATGGAGAAGAAACCCATTGAACTAGGGGAGAGAAAGAGAGAGGAAGTCCCATCCAGATGCGGAGCAAAGTGGTCTTGTCCTTAGGCAGGAAGGCAGCCCCCACCTCATCGGGCTCCGGACTACATTGATATATCATCTTTGACCAACTATTTTCTTACCTTCGATACCTTCCCACAGCTTAGGCAGATCACTTGCGTACCCCCTGGTGACATTGCTTTAACGGATAGCCAACCGGAAATAGGCCTCCTCAGAGATGAGAGAGGGAGTGCGACTATCTGACGAGTGAACATACATGGCCACCAAGGGCGACATAAACAAACGAGAACACTGTCGATGTCGAAGGCGATCATGGTTTTTCTTGAGGGAAAGGTGACAGGGGTAGTGGAACACTGAAAGAAACTGATGAAAGCTCGGACGCTTTGAGATATATCTTGCTGTTTTGTGTCTATCTGCGTGGAGCCGGGCCAAACGATGCAGCCTAAGGATTGTCACGACACAACTACACTGCTCAGCCAGCGTGCAAAAGCATTGCACTCCCAACCTGTTTGCCCCAGATTTTGACCAGAAGGAAGCCAATGCAGCGGCTGATGATACCTAACAAGTTGTTAGCCACCTCTAGATTGGCACTCTCTCCCTTCCTCGCAATAGGATCATCAAATTCAACGAGATCCAACAGAACTGTGAAATATGTGGATATTTTATATAAGACGGAGCCCAGTTTCGGCGAATCCGGGAGTCTCAGTCCGAACCAACGTATATGCAGGAGATATGGAAGATGCTAGCAAGGTCTCAAATATGAGACTAATTCATCGGCGGATTTATTTGTCTGTATGGCCTGGGAAGGACCTATTAATCTGAAGCCACTTCTTCCTGTCATTGGACCTTAAGTGAAGAAAAAGAACAACTCGGTTGAGATGCGTGTGGAAGAGTGCTTGTAATCCTGGGGCTTGTAATCCTGGGTTAGCTGATTGAACTTTATAGATATTTATACTATCATAATAGAGGATTTGTTTAGAGGCTTTTTTGATAGCAGTGTCTCTTATTCCATTGAGCCAACATGACCTGAAGGTCTTTCAGCCATGCCGTTGGGTCCATTATTACTGGGATTAAGTTTATATCAGCCACTCTAAAGTGTCTATATGTGCTCTTTGAACCCTGAGGGTTTGTTCGAACTCGACTCCAATAAATTTATATCGTGGGGACTCAAGAGGATATCTCATTGCCCCTGCGTCAGAGGCTTAAGCATCACCCAATCACTGGCCGAAAGCAAACATATGGATAGCATTCGTCCGGGTCTTTACCCAAGGGGTTTATTGTAAGTATAGGTTCTCTCTGCTCTCGACAGCAGCAATATAATGCCATTTCTTTCTACAAAAGCGTGTCATGGTGACTGCTCATAATCGTCGAAATGGTTACCTATGATGTCGATGTCAATATTTACGGCGCACAATCATGTGTCCACCTAAACCTCCTAGCCTGCACGAACGATGCTGTTCACATGCGTGGTAGCATCCATGCCACATTCCCTACAGCAAACAGAGTCAAGCGATCCACTGACGCTATTGCACCGATGCTTAAGGATGGAAAGGATCAGGTGCAAGGATCTTCATGACTCCCTGTGACATGGACCGCATGTTGAGGTACGACAAATGGATCGGGGCCAGATGAGATCATATTCCTGCGCCCATCGCTGCCTTTCTCATCCTCTATGTACCGATTCTTTTCAGAGTAGTCTGAGTGCTTTCCTATGTAGACAAACTATCCTCCAGGAAATCTTTGATATAGTGCAGAACGAAGTTAACTATGTATGTAGTTACTATATACTTCGATCTTGTAGGCATAGCAGGGTGGACCCAATTGTGTTACCGTTTAAGCTTGTATCTACTATTAGGCTTCCTTCTTCGCCAACCTCATCGTCTAGGCATACTTCAAGCTTGAGACCTACGTTACCGGAGAATCCGGAGCAAAATATCGATACCAAGACAGACACACACACTCACACATCCTTGGCAGAATATATCCCCTTAATAACAAGAAGCTCGACGATCTTAGTCTCAAAGCAGAGATGGCGCAATGCAACACCCGATATGGCATGAATGCGCGAACCTACGAACCAGCACACACAATTGTAACCTGAATACGAAGACTAAATCAATACATTCGTAGGTTGCGTGATGAACACATCGCAAAAGCACTGTGACTACTAGTGCAGTGGAGGATCATCTCGGCGGTTGCGTAAATGCGCCATCTTAGAATGGTCATATGCGAGTTCATGCATGTCCTTGACACCAACAGCGGCAGCGATATCACCAACCTGCATAAAACATGCATATATGTACTTACACTGGAAATACAGAGTATCCAATTCAGGATAATACCTATTATCTATTCAATAATATCGGATTGGCCATGAAATAATGTATCTGTACAATAAAATAAAATAGAGGCCTCAGCCGAGAATGAATCCGAATCCCACCAACCAACACCAACACCAACAGACTTTTCAGTCCGAAATAGCAAGATAAAAAGCAAAAGCAAAAAAAAAAAAGCAAAACACAGAACACCATGCTAGTAAAAATGCTATCATACAAACCCATGCATCAACCATTCATTTTTAATGCACCATATCATGCACCATGCACCATGAACCACTATGCACCATATTGTAGAACCAATACAACACGCCTATCGTTCAACCCCCCAAACTACCCCGCTTAAGCCTCCTCCTCTTCCGCTGCGACTGCTGAATACTATCCTCATTCAGAATATCCGGTGGCAGCTCGAATTCCCGCTCCGTCTGATCGGGAACCGGATATCCGAATGCGAGGGTTGACCGAGACCCACCGCGGCGGATACCTTTTGTTGCTGCGATGGCTGCTTCGCGCACATGTCGTTGGCGGAAGAATGACGTGAAGGGGCCGTCACCTCGGGGGGCGGGGTTCCAGAAGTAGGAAAGGGGCGCTTGTTGGAGGGGTCGAGCAGGTTTTTGGATTGGAGTTGGAGTTGGCGGCTGTGGTAGAGGTTTAGTAGGTGTTGGGTTGGGCTTTTTACGTTTGGGAGTGGGGGTTGACTTTAGTTCGGGATCGTTGGTGTTGACAGTGTTGGCGTTGGGGACGGAGTTGGAGATGGGCTTGCGAGCAGCCGGCGTTGTCTTGCGCAGTTTAGCGGCACCCGCTGACCGAGCTTCCTCGTGAAGCTGACGCGCAGCCAAGGCGTCGACGTCGCTTGGGTCTGGTTCTGCGTCTGGCGTACTCTGTAAATCAGTCACCGGTGCCGGGAAGCTGTCCACGTCTTCAACAGGACGGGATCGTTTGCGTGAGTGCTGTCGTGGCAGGGCATTGGGTGCTACCTCGGTGCCTGGCACAGGGTGTGCTTTTTCCTTTTCCAGTTTGCGACGACGCTCTTCGTCCTTCCATGCTTGGAACTTGTTGACCAGAGCAACAAGCTCTTGTATTAATATATGGCGCTTCGGCTCGTAGAGCTTCTTGTCGCTTTCGTGGACTCCCGTCAGGCCCATCACACGCAGCCAGTCATGGCCGCGTAGCTCGTCCAGGAGACGCTCTAGGACTTGCTGTTCGTGTTGGGCGCGGTTGCGCTCGATGTTGCGGAGTTGTTTCTCTTGTCGTTCGAACTTGCGGTGCGCGCGGAAATAGATATCCTCGCCTAATGGGTCGATTACGGGTTTGTTTGATACGGGTTTGGGGAGGGTGATCTTTTCACAGTCGTAGAGCTTGAGTAGCGGGTTACCGAAGGGTGTAGGGTCGGGCTTGGGGGAGAAAGGTGGTGGTTGCGATAGATCCTCCACGAGAGTTATGGTTGTTTTGGCAGCGAGGAATTCTGTAAAGTATCCAACGTCAGTCCATGCGCTCAACACACTCATGGCCGAGTAGCCTACCAGGCTCGGGGTCTTCCAGACTGATAATCTGTTCATAGTTGTGGAAATACTGCGCAAGTTCGCTCTTGCACCGTAGTCCGGTATCGGTTGAACGCAACGACCGTCTTTCCGACCGTTTGTCTTCCGATGCAGGCTGCTCAACGTCAGGCGCCTTGCTCTTGCTACCTCGCGTCGGAGTCGCACCATCCACGCCACCCTCTTCCTTGATCGCGTTTTCGTCAGCGTCAGTCAGCGATCGATTCTCATTTCGACGAGTCGTGCGGGTCACAGGCGAAATGGGCGGTTTGATTTTCGAGTCTAAATTCGCCGGGGTGGCGGTGCGCGGCTTCGCGACCGACGGCGCTGGGGAGATCGTGTCCAATGGATCTGGCGACTCATAGAGGTCGCGTAACAAATCCTTTCCGGAAGGGGTTCCTTGATCACGACGGGCGCGTGGGGTCTTGAAGCTCCCATTTCCATTGGTACGTGTCGCCGGGGTCGCCCATTGCCTGGAGTCTACCGAGGAAGAGGAGTCGCGGCGAGTGCGATTGGAGGCGCGCGGGCGCGAAGGTTTCAAGGGGGAATTGGCACGGACGTTTGCAGTCGTAGGATCCTTTGTGTCGAGACAATCGGGAGAGCTCTTGCGGCGGTCGCCATTTTCTTGGATGCGCGGTTTCTTTGTCGGCGGTGCCAGACCGTCGGCAGGTTCTTCAGGCGCCCGTCGCACAGAGCCGCGGAGAGATGGCCGCGACAGGAGGGCCATTAATAGATTGTTTGAGGGAGATTAGTTCATTGTAAGGTGGTGGATTTGGGGAGAATCCCTTTTTTACAGGGATTTAGGGATGAGATATGGGCAGAGAAGTTCTTGGCAGATGCCGATGGAGGTTGAGGTTATAAACCAGGGAGATATGAAGTATCTATTGTGTTTATGAATCTATTCACAGATTCACAATGCTTTGTATTCTATTGTTCTATTCAGAATTAATATAATCGGTTCAGTATGTTCAGACATCCTAGGTATAGGCAACGGTTCTAATACTGGTAGACCCTTCACCCTTGGATTCTATCGGTTTTATTTCTTCTCGATGACTCCCTATATTAATTCTGCTCCAACAGAAATGTGATTATATCCTAAATATCCTAAATCCTTTCGGAAAAGAACATACCCCCACGGCCCTCGGTGTGGGGGACGGCAACTCATTGTAATGTCGGCATTCTAGTAAATTCCCATATTTGAGGGGTTAGGGAGTCTGAGAGCTTGGATATTTGGCCAGGGCCATGATATACATCACTAATAGACTAGCACATTCAGGGGTATATCCAGATCGTAGCACAAGACCTAACACAAAGAGAGAGCTCCGATTTTGTGTTCCCAATAGGGAAGATGTTGAAGTAATAAGTAGAAACTGTGGACAATAATATATATCGCCGCATATACGCGTTGACCCCGCAAAAGCGTGGGGGGAGGGGAAAATGATATCCGAAAATACTAAAAACATCAACTCCCACAGATTCGCCAAGTTTAGGCTTCAAAATCAGTGGGGTGAACGTGGGGGAGGTTTCCTAGCTAAATAGCTGAAGGTTCGCCAACATTGATATCCTTCATTCCCCTCCAGTGGCTGATATTTGGTATGAAGACCTAGGGAAACTTGGAGAAACTTAACACTAACAGACCAATAGATTCAACTCCTCTCCAATCCCTGCAAAATGACCAACGGAACCAAGCGGAATCCCCTCCCCCACGGTGTCTACGTTCCCACCGTAGCATTTTTCAAGCCCGACGAAGAGGTCGACCTCGCAACAGTCGAGAAGCACGCCACTTATCTCGCCCGTAGCGGGGTAACCGGCCTAGTAACCCAGGGCAGCAATGGTGAAGCCGTGCATCTAGACCGCGAAGAGCGCAGGGCCATCACAGCCGCGACTCGTCGCGCCGTCGACGCAGCGGGCTATACCAATATGCCAGTGATTGCCGGCACCGGTGCCGCCTCAACACGTGAAACCATCCAACTTTGCCAGGACTCCGGTGCAGCAGGCGCGGATGCAGTGCTCGTGCTCCCGCCAAGCTACTACAGGGCACTTGTGAGCGCCGAGTCCATGCGCGCCCACTTCCGAGCTGTGGCCGATGCCTCGCCCGTCCCTGTGCTCATCTACAACTTCCCCAGCGTACAGTCTGGTCTCGATCTCAGCTCAGATGATATCCTGGCCCTTGCGGAACACCCCAATATTATCGGGTGCAAGCTCACTTGCGGCAACACGGGTAAGTTGGCTCGTGTTGCGGCGGCGAAGCCGCATTTCTTGACTTTTGGTGGCTCGGCCGATTTCACGCTGCAGACGCTGATTGCTGGTGGGGCGGGTATTATCGGTGGGCTTGCTAATATGATTCCTCGCTCGTGTGTGCGGGTTATGGAGTTGTATCGGGCTGGGAAGGTTCAGGAGGCGCAGAAGGTCCAGGCTATTGTTGCGCGCGCAGACTGGGCTGCTATCCATGGTGGCTTTATTGCTGTTAAGAGTGGATTGCAATCCTACCGTGGGTACGGGGGTCTTCCTCGACGACCCTGTGTCGTACCCTCTACTGAGGCTGCGGCAGCCATCGAAGAAGAGTTCCGTGAGGGGATGGAGCTTGAAAAGTCGTTAGAGACAGTCTAATGGATATGAAGTAGATTAAATTATGATACCTGAAATCCCAAGTGGAAATTACTGTTGCTTTCAAGGTGTTTTCAATTTTGGTTTGTTGATAGATCAACACCAGAGTGTGACTGTGTCATTTTGAGAATCTGTAGATCCGTAGCTCCGTAGTTCTTCCCCTCTTTTAATTTTGCTCTTCTATTAAGGGAAATTGAAGTTGCATGAAGAGGTTGCACTTTCTCTTTAATTTCCTCTAAACCACATGAAACTTAGTCCGGGATGCAAATGTAACAAGGGATAGCTCCAGGGCTGTTTGTTGATTCCCCGATCTCGAATCTGCCCCAGGTTGCATCAATGTCCATTCCGAGGACGATCGGCAATGCAGCTGAACATAAATAGTTCTGGCTATCTCATTGCCTCAGTCCTTTTTATTCTCATCATCACTCATCTTATCAATATGAAGTTCGCCTCTGTTCTGAGTGTGCTCGGGGCCCTGACCGCTGTATCCGCCGTTCAGGTGAATCCACTTCCCGCCCCCCGTAACATCACCTGGGGGTCCTCCGGTCCAATCCAAATCAATCACTTGAAATTGAAGGGTCATCACTCTCCTGTGGTCATTCAAGCTTGGGAGAGAGCATGGGAGACAATCATCACCCTGCGATGGGTTCCTGCCGCTGTTGAAGCGCCTTTCGCCTCCTACCCAGCCTTCCCGACATCGACCCCTGCCTCCAAGGCCAGACGCGCGCCCTCCGCCATCCATAACGTCGATATTCAAGTGGTGGACAACGATGCCGATCTTCAACATGGTGTGGATGAATCCTATACACTGGTGGTAGCCAATGGCGGCATCCGGATCAAGGCCCAGACAGTTTGGGGTGTATTGCACGCCTTCACCACCCTACAGCAGATTATCATCTCGGATGGTAAGAATGGCTTGATCATTGAACAGCCTGTCAAGATCAATGATGCGCCCTTGTTCCCCTACCGCGGTATCATGATGGACACCGGTCGCAACTTCATCACCGTTCCCAAGATCTTCGAGCAAATCGACGGCATGGCCTTGTCCAAGCTTAATGTTCTCCATTGGCACTTGGATGATGCTCAATCATGGCCCATGCAAATGCGCTCCTACCCTGAGATGACCAAGGATGCCTACTCGCCTCGCGAAATCTATAGCGAGCGCGACATGCGCCGTGTGCAAGCCTATGCTCGCGCGCGAGGTGTCCGCGTCATCCCCGAGGTTGACATGCCCGGCCACTCTGCCTCGGGCTGGCAACAGGTAGACCCGGAGATTGTGGCTTGTGCTAATACCTGGTGGTCGAATGATGTGTGGGAGGAACACACCGCGCTCGAGCCGAATCCCGGCCAGCTTGATATTATCTATCCCAAGACCTACGAAGTTGTCAACAACGTCTACCAAGAATTGTCTAACATCTTCGGCGACAACTTCTTCCACGTTGGTGGCGACGAAATCCAGACTAATTGCTATAACTTTAGTACCCACGTCACTAAGTGGTTTGCCGAGGATCCCTCGCGCACTTACAGAGACCTTGCTCAGTACTGGGTTGACCACTCCTTGCCTATCTTCCGTAGTGTCGGCGACCACCGCCGTCTCATGATGTGGGAGGACATGGCCATCGCGACTGAGAGCGCCCACCACGTGCCCAAAGACATCGTCATGCAGAGCTGGAACAGCGGCGATGGTAATATCAAGAAGCTCACCTCGTCCGGCTACGACGTAGTCGTTTCGTCCTCTGACTTCCTCTACCTTGACTGCGGCCACGGCGGCTTTGTCACCAACGATGCCCGCTACAACGAGCAGCTTAACACCGCTGGCGGGGTGACTTTCAATTACGGCGGCTCCGGCGGCTCCTGGTGCGCCCCCTACAAGACCTGGCAGCGTATCTACGACTATGACTTCCTTACGAACCTCACTGCCTCTGAGGCGAAGCACGTTATCGGCGCCGAGGCACCGCTGTGGGCGGAGCAGGTCGATGATGTGACCATCTCCAGCGCGTTCTGGCCTCGCGCCGCTGCTCTTGGTGAGCTCGTCTGGTCTGGCAACCGTGATGCTGCGGGCAAAAAGCGCACCAACAACCTCACTCAGCGTATACTGAACTTCCGTGAATACCTTGTTGCTAATGGTGTGATGGCCACTGCTCTTGTGCCCAAGTATTGCCTGCAGCACCCTCATTCTTGCGGTCTCGATAGAAACCAGACTGTAATCTCTTGATTGCGGTTTAAGCTGGACTTTTAGTGCTCAATGACTGTTCAGCTAGCCCTGGCTACTGTCTACCCGTCTGTATATACTTAGTCTATCTTCGATACCCAATCCATTAGAAGCTCTTTTGGGATACATGCATTTCATATCCACTTTAGATCTACGGAGTACCACCGTAGTTAATCTACTATGATCGACAACCTATGCCAGCCACTAATACCTCTCATATCTCTACTCCCTGCCCAATCCCAATTCCAATCGCAATCAGGCACCAAATCCCCCAGCCCATATCAAAATCAAACCCCAACCCCAACCCCAACCTCTCGCCCGCTCCATACACCTCTCCATACATGTATATCTATGCCCATTGCCACAATACAATCCAATCCGATCTCCTTCAAGCAAACAAACCTACAACCCCAAAATGAACCCAAACCAACCAACAGATCACAAGACCATCCATCCACCTAAAACCCCCCCACAGACCCTCCCCCCTTCCCAACCCATCCAGCTCCCCTCCGCAACAAACCAAACCCCAAAAAGCAAAACTGCAGTGCAACCTCCCACCTTGGAACTCACCCTTCGGCCCCTTCCCGGACTCTATATGAGTTTTGAGCTTCGGGACGGGCTTGCTAGATGCAGTATGCATGTACTACGGGGTACTCGGTACACATTTATGTAATATGTAGTGTGTAGTGGGGATATACGTACATAGGCACCTAGCTATATATGTACACATCCCATGTTCGAGTACACAGTAAGCAGTGTTGAATGCAGGTCGGATAGATATTGCATAGCATGTATGGAGTACCGGTCTATACTGCATTTAATATCAACATTTGAATCATGTATACTTCCGTCATTGTACATGGTGAGGATTTAGACATGCGTTGTATGTACCTGTACATGTCGGTATAAGATAAATGTAATTGCATAATTGTTTATGAATATAAATGGTTTTGCAGTTGAATGTCGTAGTTATATATCTGTATTATATGTAAATCTAGTATTGCACCCTCGGAAAAACCCAGCCCATTCAAGCATCCATGCTGGACAATCCAAACTCGAGACCCAGCATACAGATTCGGGCCGGGTGGCCTGGGGTGGGGTTTGGAGGTTTGGAGGGGGTGGTTGGCTCACGTGTACACTTACATGCAGAAAGAACATATGTTGCACAGGACAGCGCTGAAAATGACAAATTGAAGGATCGAGAAGAAAGAGGCGATTACTTGGATGTTAATTTTCTTTCTTTTGGTATGTTTGTTTGGCTGGCAGGAGTTCGTCATACACGTGGAATTTTGTGGACTAGCAATGTCCTCGTCCTTGGTTGTAGTCTGGAACGGGGGTTTATTTTGAGATTTAAGATCAGGTCTTGAAGAATGAAACACACCTAGTTTACACTCTCGATGAAGTGGATTTGTACTTTCATCTTGTATGTACATGTACATATGTACATTCTTTCCTCGGAGGTATTCGGGTATCCCCCAACTGTAGCTTCTACATATCGTGTATCCATATAAGTACCGACTCCATTTCCAATTCGCTGTGCATGAGTAGATCGGGAACTAATCTCGCATTTTTTTTTATACGGAGGTACAAGCACGCGGTTGTTCTGCGTAACCGGATGGTTATATTATTTAATTGGGCGATGGTGTCTGTTCGGCTAATATGGACAGTTTGGGAAGGGGTACGCATATATCCTGGAATGGAATGCCCAGGTGCATGGTTTGGCTTACTTCAGTACTTTAGTTTGTAACCTACATGCTATTTTAGATATGAAAGCTTTTGGTAGATGTCCCTTTTGCCTTTGCCTTTAGTTTATGGTTTACGTCTTACCTGGCGTGGGTTGAAGGGTGAAATGGATTTCTGTACCACAGTTGTGTTTCAGCGTAGACCGGCGTAGATCGGGTCTTTTTCCTGTTATATTCCCTTGCCTTATGTTTCAGGTGGTTGTGTGGCTTTTTGTATAATGCATGTCTAGCATATTACATTTTATTTGCTCGAGCGTTGAGATGACGTTTGGTTTGGGGTTACTTCTTTGCAACATATATCAACCCGAGATGGTCGAAAATATATCTCAACGCGACGAAAAGAAATTGAAGTTCACTCGTTAGCAGACGTTATCAAGTTGCTAATTGGTCTTAATCTTACCCTGACTCCTATCCCATCTCGCCTTGGTTACTCGTTACACAGCATTAACCCCAAGAACCAGGTAAGTCTGATGGCAGACCACGACCAAATAGAAGGTCTCGTGTTGGTTAGGGCGACAAATCTGGAACCGTGCTTTCGACGGGACAGCGGAGAATTTGCGCCATTTTATGTCTGTCTACATGGTAGTTCCCTGCTTTGTTGAAGTAGTGTTTCATAATATATCCCGGTCGGTTCTGACGTGCGTGTTGCTGGTAAGGCTCGCAGGGGCTCGACATTTGCATGGAAATCCTTCTAGAACTTAACCTTGTCGTTGGACGTACATGTGTTCTAGGCATGTCTATATCGAATTTCGACGAATGATATCTCGCGATGTCGATGGATGTTATCGCATACGTGTTTGAAATGCCAAATCGGGATCCCGACTCGCAACAAGGTGCAAGACCAGGCCAAAGAGAAGATAGACAATTATTTACATACAGCACCCTAAATACAGTTGATCCAGCTCAATATTCAACTTGGTCATCACAAGCTGGAAGAGCATGGGCGATGCCTGTGGGCTGCCTCTCGTATACATCGTATAAAATCAGACATAAGCAGCGGACCGAGCTCAGACAGTGAAGATCCCCCACAAATCATCCCACGCCTCAGGCTCTACAATAGATGTACCTGCTCGATGTACGCCACAAGTCCTAATCCTAGGGTTATCATAGGAGTGCCTGACCGCGTATACATATCCCATCTCACCTAGCCAGTCTACCGGGTGCATCTGCATCTGCCGAGCGGATTGCCAAGCTATACAACCTAATCACAACCGAAAACTCGATCGACGGTATGAAATATAATTACATACTACTCTGTATGTGAACCTAAGTGGTGATCATTCTAAAGAGGTCTAACCTTACTAGATCGTCCACTAGACGATTGTTCGTCCTACCACACCCATACCTTCCGCGTGCTCTGTCCTGCACGCCCAGACCAATTGCACCCGGGTTTCTGTCTACGGTCGCGCCCTTTTCTTTTTTGTGCTGGCGATGCAAATGCACGTTTTGAGATATTTTTCTTAATTGCGTCAGCGCCCGACTTCACACGTCGAATCAGGAATTAATTGTGGACTACGGCATCCTTATGCCGTGTTACCCAGCGTCACGGCTCGGAAAGCCATGAGAAAAAGGAATGGATCGTAGCACCGCCTCAATAAGTGGAGTTGGGGATTCGCTGCGTCATCTCGGGGAGAGCGGAAGCGCTCCCCCATAGGTTGAGAAGAGTGGCTAGTGAGGTGGAGAGAGGTTAGTGTTGGATGTGGATTGGTTTTTCTCTTCTTTTTACTTCTTTTAGCTTCTTTTAGCTTCTTTTACTGTGTGGCACAGTCGCGATTTTGAAAGTCCTGTAAAGATCTGTAAAGATCTAACCCGAAAATCGTGAACAAGTTTTCCAGTGGAGATGTGATCCACATACATTTTCTCTAGTGAATACTTTGCATAAATATTTTATTAAATCGCAGTTCACTTCGCCTTTGTTCGGGATCGGCATGCCAAGTTAGATTCAAGGTGACAGATCAAAATCGGTAGATCCATGTGTGATAGATCTAGTCAAAAGATCATCACACCGATCGGGAATATATGATGTGTACTTTGTACTCCGTACGGAGTATCTGGCATTGATATATATAATAATCTGGTTCCCAAGATCCTGTGAAGTGCTGTTGTCGATCATCAGGAATAGGGAATTATTATTTTGGTTCATGGATTAACTTGATGCATATATAATATTATGTATACTCGATCTCATCGCATCGTGCATTGTGCAGCAAGACGCTCTTGCCTATTGTGTCCATGTCAAAACCGACAGCCGGGAATTGATCGGAGTACGGAGTACTGTGGCTTGACTGGTCACTTCATGCGTCCATTCTACATAATAGTATATTGTTTGTTTACAATATACGACGCTGGGAACAGATTATGAAGTGATCCTAGGCACAGGCAATAATGAACAACACATGTCGGACATGCAGGGAATATCCCCTCGGGGACCTCCCTAGTAAGATTGAGGACACAATACCCGAGATAGGCTATCAATCTACTCCGTACCCTCGGACCTGCCTATACTTCTCAAAATGTATCCGCCTCGGCCATAGGTGGCACAGTGCGACGCCTTTCCTTGAGTTGATCACGGGGTTGGAAAACGTCCACGGCATTTTCTTCTTTAGTCGGTTGTGATAAACTTCTCGAAATATCAGAGATCAGATGATTAGATCCCGGCTCTAATCTAAAGAACCACTCTATATTCGAGTCTGTGGGTACATTGTATATAGTCTAGTAAACCAGGGGAAATTCAAACCGAGGGGCGTTACAGACATGGTATGACCGATAAATGATTGGGTTACCTGGTATGATATACAAACAAACCCAAATGGAAAAATAGCGAGAGACTAGGTTGTTTGATCTACGCCAACAGATACCAGCAACTAGCCTCCAGGCACTGAATTAGGGCCATGTTTGGTCGACGGGTAACTGATTCTACTGGGATGAATAGCTTGGCCCCCTTTGTCAAAGTTAATCTTGCATCACCCTTGTCGTCAGTGGCCGGCACATAGCCAGGTGATTGGATGTGTGTTACCCCTCACGGAGGGGCGAACACACCCAAAACCCATGAACACGTAGATCAGCACCCGGGTGACTCTACCACTTAGTCGCACCAGAAAATGAGCAGCATAGGATTTGGAATAGGGCAGATATAGGTCGAATGACTCGAGCGCAAAGTGCAAGAGCCGCACCATTACGTATGGAACTGTATTGAATCAAATGAATCGCATCTCAGGATGCAATGTGATTAAAAGGATGAACATCCCTGTTCTACCTGCA